GGGCGAGGCTGCAGCAGGTGCCGCTGCAGGTGCTGCTGCTGGTGCCGCTGCTGGTGCCGCTGCTGGTACCGCTGCTGGTGCCGCCGCCGAGGGCCTCCCGACCAAGAAAAAGGAAAAGAAGGAGAAGCAGGCCCGCCCGCCCAAGGCGGCGCCGCCACCGCCGGCACCCCCCTCGCCGTCTCTGATTGACCTCCGCGTCGGCCACATCCTCAAGGCCGTCAAGCACCCCGAAGCCGACTCGCTCTACGTTTCCACCATTGCCATGGGCGACGCCAAGGGCACCACGGACACCGAGGAGTACGAGGGCCAGGTCGTGCGCACCGTGTGCTCCGGTCTCAACGGCCTTGTCCCCCTCGAGGAGATGCAGGGCCGCCGGGTCGTCGTCGTCTGCAACCTCAAGCCCGTCAAGATGCGCGGCATCAAGTCGGCCGCCATGGTTCTGGCCGCGTCGCCGCGCCTCAAGGAGGGCGAGGAGGACCACCACGGCGGCCCGGTCGAGCTCGTCAACCCGCCGGCCGATGTCCCCGCCGGCACCAAGGTTTTCTTTGAGGGCTGGAAGGGCGAGCCGGAGGGCCAGCTGAACCCCAAGAAGAAGGTGTGGGAGATGTTCCAGCCCGGCTTTACGACCACGGACGACCTCGAGGTCGGCTTTGACGCGGGCGTGGTCAAGGAGCTCGGCAAGGAGGGCGTGGGCAAGCTGGTGACGGAGAGCGGCGAAGTGTGCACGGTCAAGTCGCTCAAGGGCGCGACGGTGCGGTAAAAGTCATAAAAGGGCAAAGGAAAAACAATAAAAGTATAATGCTACGTTTAGGGCATTGGGCGTATTATGGCACGGCTACATCCTTGTAACAATGAAAAATACTTGTCGTAAGCATGATTTGTTTCCTTAAAGACCGCATTGAAAGCTGAGTGGTTGGAAATAAACTCGAGTTGCGGCTGGAAGACGACGACGTGCGGAGAGAAGCGCCGTACGTACCCCATGATGTCCCCTAGATGTCGAAAACCCGGTTGACGTCATAACAGCAAATCAGGACGACACCGGGATCAATCACAAGGAAGGCGTGAACAATGGCCTGGTATATAAACTGTCTGGCTATTCCGTCACGGCAGCAACCAAATCTCACATTGGCTGGAAAAATTCTACGAGCTATTTGGATATATTTCATGTCAGCGGTACGTCCCGTCTATCTTATAAAAACGAAACAAAAACGATGCCCAGAGGATGAAAACAGTGAAAGTAACAAAAATGTAAACCGACCGGTACTTGCCACCATCCTTCTCATCACCCTTCTCCCTATCCTCGCCTCTGTCTCCCTGAGCACTCTCATCTGCGATTCTTTCGTCCCATACCCGGTGTCGACCCGCCGGAACACCCAGCTCTCTCAGGATGTCTTCCGGGTCGGCTGGAAAGTACGTTTTTGGCACGCGTCGTTTGTGTCCACCGACAACAAACGCATAATGTGTTTCTCCATCCGCGTAGCACAGAACAGGCTCGTGGTCTGCCATGCACAGACAACTCTTAAACAGAAGACGGGCGTTTCCATTGTCCGGTTGAAGCAGGCTGGCCAGTTCCGCGTCGGGACGGGCCACCATATGCTCAAAGATACGTCTCGCGAGCTCGCTGGATATGTCAGCGGGTTTGGTTCGTATGGTATGTTGCAGCAGCGGCTGTAGAATATCAAGCGGCAAGGTTGACTTGCGATAGAGTGTCCATTCCGCCTCTTTGCGCGTTTCCGTATCAGAACTCGCCAGGCACGACAAGATGCTCGCTAGGACGGGCCGAGAGACCAATTCGCGGTGCGATAGGGCAGTTATGAACGTCCCCGAGTACGATTCAAGGCTGCCGTCGCCGTCGCTAGAAGAAAGCAGCTCCAGCAGACTCGACAAGACGTTCTCTGGTAACGACCGGCGTGCGCCAAAGATCTCCGTAATCTGTCGCGGGGTTACAAAGTGTACAAAGTTGTACAAACGGAGCTCGGCCACTTGGTGGAGTGCTGTATGAATTTGAATGTTTTGGAGTTCTGTTAGCGTTTGTATTTGTTTGGGTGTTGCTAGAGTCTGCAAGGTGGACTCAGAAAGACGGCCAGGTTGAACCTGAAAGACGGCGAGTATCCACGCCCGTATGAAGCGCGCCGTTGTGGAATCCCACAGTTTCTGGGCCAGGACGTCTATTGTCGCTGGAGACAGAGGCAAGGTTGTGGGAAGGATGTCAAACACACGCCGCGTAGCCTTGTGAAAGTTTTCGGCCTGTGATAATATACCAAGGACAATATCGTCCACGGCAGGAACGAGAGGTGTTGTATGGTAACATAGAGCCACGGCCGTATAGCCGCGGACACCAACGTCCGGGTCGGCAAGACCGACAGCAAGCTGTTGGTATATGTGTGCGGGGAGAGGTCTGTCTGTCAACCGAAACGCCAGTGCGGCAACGAAACGGATTGTGGGTGTTGGACCGTTGTGCAGCAATTCGATCAGCGCCTCTAAAACAGGATGTTGTGTGTCCCTGGCCTCGCCCTTGCGCAGGCTATTTATTTGCTCCATTCTCCACGAATAGTCGGGAGTTCTGCCTAAGATATGGATTGCCACCGCTGTCTCTGCCTCTGACGACGAGCCCAGAAACTGGGCCAGGCGAGCCAAAATGGCATCGGGCAGCGCTTCTCGTCTTGATCGAAAGACGTTTACTGCCGCTGACAGGACGTCCAGCGCTGGATCCAGAAGCCGGTCGGTAATTTCCAGGAATATTTCCACAGGGAGCCTTCGCGCTTGCTTCGCGGCCTGTGCAGCGGCTCGGCGGACACTGTCTTTTTCGTCGCGCAGCTTGGCGCAGATGACACCAATGGCGTCTCCGGGAAAGGGCCGCACGTTGCACAATGCAACCATGGCGTTGCATGCCGCGCCCTCAAACACATCGCTGGTGCAACAAAGAACCAGCGCCGCAACGGCCTTGGGCGGGAGAGCCGCTCTGTCACGCGCGATCTCGGCAAAGGCCGTGGCGGCATTGGCCGCACAAAGCCCGTCGTGTGTCTGAGACAATCGAGGATCAACGGCAGCGCGTCGCCGAGATACTGGCTGAGGACGTCGAGAGAACGGTGTGATCGGTCGATTGGAGAGTGGCGAAGACGGTCTGTGATGGCCTGGAGAACATGGACCGGAAGAAACGGCTGCTTTCGTAGTAGCGTGCAGGTGGCGATCGGCATGTGCCCCGACGCATCAATAATGCACAGGTCCGGGGGCACGTCCCGTAGAAAATTGCTCTGCATCAGCTCCACCTTCAATGTCTCTCTCAGAGCAATGATTCCTGTCTCGTCTGGCACAATGGGACTAGCTATACGCTCGGGAAACGAGAACAGCGACAGCAGCCGGAGTGTCTGCCACTGATCAAAGTCGTACGCTACCCACTCCTTCAAGCGGCTGCGGTGCGCCTCAAAGAGGGCCATGTCCTGGGCCGGGTCGGCCTCGACCAGACATTGCACCACCAGAGCCTGGTGCTCGTGGCCCACAATGTCGCGCGGCTCGCTCTCCAGGGCGTCGAAGAAACGCCCCAGACAGGCCGTGTCGGGGACGTCTGTCTCGTTGTGGAGCAAGCCGGCCACGAAGCGCCAAAATCGGCTGTAGCGAGCGTCGTACTTGTGGGCAGCAAGAAACCGGTCCGTGCCCATGGCGTGCCTTGAGCTGTCCTTTGAGACAACGAAAGCAAAGCTCCTTGCGGGCTGTCCAGCAGCCGACAAAGTACTGTGCCGCAAAATACTCCTGGAACGTCGAGTGGACGAAGTGGTATGTCCGGTGGCGGTCCGTGGTGGCCATTGAATCCAGCGATGTGATGGACGGCTCCCGGCTGCGCAGACACGACACGTGGAGCAGCGCATCGTCTACGGATCCAGAAAGGCACGGCGCGTCCATGTGTCGCTGCACGTTGTCGCAGTGGCGCTCGTGAAAGTAGACGGTCTCGCTGACCAGCCCCGAAAAGGCCATCTGTTGCAGAAACGCGGCTTCGACGTGGACCAGCTCGCGTATTTGCTCCCGTGTCCGGAGACCACGTACCATGTCTTCGGTGATACGGCCACGGGGGCCGTACTTGTCGAGACGGGGAATGTCCTTGCGCCACAGCTTGTCTTCAATGGCCTGGTAGACGGCCGTGGACGTTTTGAACTGCGCTGTTTCGGTGGCGTGGTTGTCGTTGTCGGGGTTGTCTTTGGGGTTGTCGTCTTGCAAGATGTAACACAGTGCGTCTAGCAGCAGTGGGATCTTGACGAGGTCAGACAAGAGCCTGTGACGGTGCCGGAACCGCAGAAACGCTTCTACACGCGGTCGATCGCTGAGAGAATGGCGCACGTACTGCTGTACTTGGTAATTATTGAATCCCGTCGTCTCCAGCTCGCAGTCCAATGGTGGTATACGCATTCCGTTGGGAATGCGTACACCTGGTCTCGACGTGATGATGACATCCGGCTGGCTGAGCAAGGACATGAGAAACGTGGCTGCCCGGTGTTCCGTGTCGAGGTACTGTGACACCTCATCGAGGCCGTCGAGTAAGAACAGCGTGCGGCTGCTTTCTCCGTCATTGTCGCTGGATGCTGTGCAGTGGTCGTGGAGGACCCGTGCGAACACGTTACCGTCTGGCAGCGCGTGCATGTATGCCGCCCGAAAGAGATCCATCAACGTGTACTGCTCGCCAGGGTCGTGACGCGTTAGGTTTCGAAGGGGGAGCCAGATGACCCTGTCGTACGCCGCCGTCCAAAATTGAAACTCGGGGCTCACTGGGAATCGCGTGAGCTCGTACACAATCTTTTTGCAGAGTGTCGTCTTGCCAACACCAGCAGCACCGTAAATCAAAAGGCGACGAGGCACACGCATCGCCCCGTCCTTGCAGATGCAAGGGTCGAACAAGCTGTGAAGAGGCACCGTCTCGTTGTTTGTGTTGGACTTGGACGTCTTGATCATTTTCAGATTGATATAGCAGTCCTGCATGGGCAAGCACGCGCCAGACAACCGCTCGATTTTTAAAGGTGCTCGTCACGAGCAAGGTAATGCTTTCGAAGACTTGCACTCGCGTAAAACAGCTGGGCCGCTAGGCCACAGAGAAAATCAATGTCTTGGCGGCAGGGCACTTTGTCCAAAAACAACTTGAGGCTTGCAAAGGCCCTGTTCTGGATCAGCATGTCGCTGTAGCGCAGCGCCACGTACCAGCTCTTGGGCTTGCGTTGTTTGCTGACAACATCCTTGGCGGCATCAAGACTGCCCACGGCCTCGGAGATCGACTTCACCACATCCACCATGGCAGAGACGAGATCGGGCACATCGGCCAAGCCCACAGCGCCGTCAAATAGCTTTGAGGCGTCCATGGTCGCCACTGCTCCGGCAATCTTGCTCGCGGCACCAACAACGTCGACCAACTTGAGGAGGAGTATCTTGTAGGGGCCTTCGCTGTCGGGGAGGCATCGGAGCGCTTCGTAGGCATAGGTTGCGGCCTGCGCGAGGCGGATCTCCTTGTCTTAGCTCAGCGTGTCCAGCGTATCGAGAAGTGGCTTTTGCACCGTTTCGCGGTCAATGCCGACCATCTGGACGTCGTACATGGCATGCAGCACGCTTCCCAGTGTCGACACCAACTGGTATTCTGCATTTGGGTCACCTTGTGCCACAGCGGACTCCAGGCGCCGTTTGAGGCTGACAAGGACGGTGCCGAGTCGACTGTCGACTGTGGTGCTCGTACGGCCAGCTAAGTCGCGCGGGATGGAGCATCGCAGGACGCGCACAAACGTTTTGCAGAGAAACGGGTCCAGCACATTGCCGTCGGCGGTGCCCTCTGTGATGGCATTGGCGAATGCCCAGAGCAGGTCCCTGTAGCTCTCTGGGCTTGCCACAACGGCCAGCGCGGCGGCTTCGTGTCCCAGGCGCACAAGTTTCTCTTCGCGAAGCACTTGGACCATCTCCGTGGCGAGTGCATCCAGAGCGATTCGCTCCTCTTCTCTTATTGCCGTGTCTTGCAGACGCTTGACGAGATCGGTGGTGGTTGTTGGTTGAGACATGGCGGCATCTTTCGATCTTTCGTGGGGTTACCATTGTTGTAAAGCGTGTATTGGAGGTTGTTTGTTGTAGTCGTGAGTCACGAGAGAGAGAGGAGAAGAAAGACAAAGAGCGTATAAAAAAACCGGCTGCAAGGGGGAGATGAATGCTTAAGCTCTAGCCAAAGAGCAGCGAGTGGGGCTGGCAAGGCTTGGGATTCAGCTGAATGTTGGTCCTCGCGAACATACAGAGTGCTCATGTCCAGCCAGTGAAAAGCTGAAACAACGTAGGTTTGTTCTCGACCAATAAAAAAGTAAGCCACCTGAGGGAGCTGAAAGAAAAAAACACTGATCCTAGTGCATGGGGAGAATGAAAACTACGTGCATGACATGCTTATGTTTACTTGAGGATCGCATGGAAAGCAATAATTATAACTGCTATAGAAACCTCGAATCACGAATGGAGGAGTACAAAGCAGTGCAATCCGTACGTTGTATGACATGATGTATGTCGTACTCCGCATTGTGTTACAGTATACGTTTTGAGGGCCAGTGCATACATTTGTGTAAGCCAAGCCGTTGAAAACCAAGTGGATAACTGCATAGTGACAACAAGTAAAAAAAACCAAGACGGAAGGAAACGGGACCTGAATGAAAAAACCGAAAATTAAAGACAATAAATTTGAGCGATGGAAAAAAGAAGGTAGGTAAAGAATGCTGAAGTAAAAGGAGAAAAGGAGTATGTAGTGCCTAGACAATGGAGGCTATATGCGACACCACAGACGTTCATAGGGTATGCAGACAAGGGTATGACAGCGTCATGCGCTTCGTGGACCGGGAGTCTCTCGATGCGTGAAGATGAATCTCGTCTCGAACCTATCGTAGGCTTGTTGGCCCGTGACTGTCGGTTTCGATTCCGCCGGCCTTCCGCCCACGTATAGATCGTCGTCGTCATCACGGTTGTCGACGACCTCCATTTGCGCCTCGGCGGCTTGGGCAAAGGGAGGGAGGCGTGTCGTTGGTTCGGGACGAGAGACTGTCGTAGCGGGCTCCGGATCCCTGCTGGGAACCATGTTGTTTTCGGAGCGGGCAGGGGACACTTCGCGGCATCTAGGGGCTTTTTGAATAACCACATGGATGGTTGACCGTTCTTCGGGTTCTGGAGAAAGGGTCTCAGTGGCGGGTGGCTCTTCAGTCTCGGCAGGTTCAGGCTCGACAGGCTCAGTAGACGCAGAACCCGGCAAGCCGCCGTTGGGTTCGAGATTAGGTGGCTCGGTGCTGGCTGGTTCGACAACAGTCGGTCGCTCCGTACCGATATTTGCTTCGTCCGAGGGCTCATTCGTCTCGCTTTCGGACTCCTCGGAATGCCCATCGTCACAGAGGAAGCGGTGTCCGACAGCTCGGCGAAGCGCTTTATAGTACCCCTGTGTCGACATCTTAAAGTCCCGCACGTATTGGTCGGCTGCCGACTCGATCATTTTCGCCTCGAGGGTTTGCATAACCTCGTCGTGGGAGGTGTGGGCCGACTCGGATGTGGGCTTGCCTTCTGCCGCCCATTCGCTAGGCCGTGCAATCGCGTTCTCAAAAAAGGCCCCCGGGCTGTGCAGAAAGCAAGCCAGCCCTCGTAGGACAAAGAGGCCCTTCTCGTCGTGGGGCGTGCGTGGAAGATCGTGCACCAGGTCGAGTCTGGAAACCAGTGCGGTCTGGCGGGGGACGGGTTGCGCGAACGCATGTTTTATGAGAAATTCGAGAACCCTATCTGCCTCCAGAGGGAGCCTGTGGCCAAATGGATCCAGAACGGCATTCAGGAACAAAAGCGCAGCCGGGCCTTCGGCCGGACACGGAACCGGCCTCCCGCCCCGGAGATCGGAAAAAATGACCGACCAGTGGGACCCGTGGTCGATGGGAAAGACAAGGAAGTCGCAGGATTTGGCAGACGGCGGAACGGTGCATTCCATACTGCCCGGGGAATGCCACATAGAGGCCGGGAACAGGTGCACGTGGGCGTCTTGCTTGTGCTTTTTGCGCAGTTCAGCAAATAACGTTTCGAACATGTCCTCAGTGTAGTAGGCTGTTGGGTTGGCCTGCCTCAACAGAACTTTATGTTCACGGTCCAGTATTTGTCTAAGGGTCTGGCTCTTCCCAGCTTCTTCGTCTTCGTCTTCGTCTTCGTCTTCGTCTTTGTCTTCGTCATCGCCATCGTCTCCATCATCGTCTCCATCCTCGTCGCCATCATCGTCGTCGTCGTCGCCGCCGTCGTTGCCATCGCCGTCTTCACCGTTGTTGGTACGTTCAGTGTAGCCACTGTTATGAACGTCTCTTTCAGTACGTCGGGTTCGTTTCCTGGCTGACTGGGGCTGGTCTGCGTCTTTTCGACGTTTAGAACTTGTGTTGCCCTTTCCGAGACGATTAGTACCTTGCAGGCTTATGTGGAAAGTGGTACCGACATCAAAGTCCTGCGAGGAGGTATAGGAGAACTCAATAAATAAAGGAAGGAATTAAATGAAGAAATGTAGAGGAAAGAACGAATAGTACGAGGAACTGTGGAAGAAAGAACGAAGAAAATGAAGAACCAATGGCGAAAAAAGCCAACGGGGAAGACGAAAAAATGAAATGCTACTCACCGGTCTCATCGAAGAACTTGCAGCCACCACGCATGGTGCCTGTTCCACGACCATAGACACCGCACATAAACCGATGTCTGTGATTGTACCGTCACCATTGTCTCTGAAAGCGATTCTCTTGTGTGCGCTCTACAATGGTAAAAAAAATAATCAGTTAGAAATCCACACTGAAAGGTGCAGTGGCCTCACCATGAAACCAAATAAGAATAACACTGTCATACTCTCCAATGCTTTGCAAGGCCTCTTGTATTTTTGGCATTCACATCGCAATCGGCAACAGAACATGGCCATTCTTCGTCGCCGTTAGGGTCAGGGAAAGCGTATCCCCGGGGAAATAGGACGGCCTTCAGTGTCGTCCACCCGCCTTGGCTGTTGGGTGCCTGGTGATAGTCCCGACCTGGTTCCGCCGTCTCGATCCGTGCTGTTTCGTAGTAGAAGTCGCTTTCGCGGCCAGCTCCCGGCCCGTTTGCTGAGAGTATTCGAACTGCCTTCGTGGGCCGTGGCTGTGGTGGTGTGGCCAGCTTCGCGGTCCCTGTGGTGGAATTGGAAGAGGCCGCCATTATGCAAGACCGCGTATTTAGAAAAGTAGACAGCGGTTGAGATTCTGCAGGCTGACCAAGAAGACAAAAAATAGTAAAGGACAAGAACCACCAGTTGCAGAACTGAACAATAAAAAGGAGACGATTCAAATCAAAGAAGCAATGGCCACACAGGCCGACCGGACGCATTTCTACTTTTTGCGACTGCACCAATTTCAAGTGCTCCCAGCCACAAATAATATTCATGGTCTTGGTATGCCGTATCTCTACCCAGCTCTCTTATCCTGCTCTGTTGCTTCAAGGCTTACATTATGCATGCCCCTTTCCCAACGTCGCTCCTCATCTCGTCGAACAGCCAAAACGACCTGGTTGTCTGCCGCGAGAAAATTTTTTTATCTCCCCTCCTCGTTCCCCCCTCTACTTGAATTTTCCTGCTTCCCCATCCCACCATGGCCTGGGCACGCAGCTGCGTCGACACAATAGGGGTAAAAACTGCACTTTGCTGAGGGTGGGCGCACGGACAGGGCCGTCTTCATTTCCTCATCACTTCACCTGCGCCGTAAAGTCCCTGGACAACACTTTTTGCCTCGTTCAGCTGGTTTCGACCTGGTCCATCATGTTACGACCTACGATATTCAGTATACGAATGCGCACCTAAAAGATGGTCTAGAATTGTACGGTTGTGATCTAGAAACGCTTCCCACCGCCTCCCGCCTTTGTATTGGAGGAAAGAAAAGAAAAAGTCAGGGGTCGCGGTAGACATGGGGATCTGATTGGTTCGTCCCGTTCTGCGTTGTTTACGTGGCTGTCGCCTAATTCCCAAAGTAGATAAGTACGAAGCAAGGGAGATGTGCAACTGTGACATGAATAGCATCTGTGACTGATGTGTCTTCCGCGCTTCTGACCAGGGTCCCGGTTCCGGAACGGACTATTAATACAAAAGAAAAGTCGGCGTGAAAACAGCGGTGTCGACACAATGCCACTGGCTTGTACTCTGTACTTGCGATTATCAAAGGCAGTTTGTATCATTGCAGAAGTACAAAGTACTTGATTTGAAAATTCGACCTTTCACAAAACCTAGTAAATAATATTGTGACGAACCAAGCGAGAGGGACATTTTTGTATGACCTAGTGGTCCGTGTCCATCTTAGATATAAAGTGTACCTGAGTATGCCTCCCTCTTGCCGGATATGCGGCTCCCCTCTGCCCCCGACGGCTTTTTTCCTCCCCCCGGAAGGTATCATCGCCATTCTGTCCTGAATGAGATAAGTCGAGTCGCTTTACTCTTATTACTCTACATGAAGCCCGTTCGGTGGATTATTGCTTGTGACGTTGATCTGCCAGAGCTATTCTATTGGCTATCAGACTAAAGTCTATAGTTCCTTCTCCACGGCTCATTATGGCATTACTGGCAGAAACCTTGTGTCGGCCTTGTGCATCAGCCCAAAGCGAAATGTCAAGCTACGGCTCGATTGTACTGGACGCCTGGATGTACGTTTCTACTTGACTAGATCTAACGGTGTTGTCGAAAGCAAAAAACAGGACTAGAAATTAAGCGCCCGCCCTTTCCCCACTTCTTTCCTTCTGGCACGCTAGGCCCCGGAAGCGGCCAACGGCGGCCAGAGCAGTAGCCATACACCACTTTGGTTTTATTTTTATCGGTGCTTTTCATGCAGGCTTCTCTCCTAGGACGGTAACGCCGTCGGGGCAGACTATACTGGGTGCGTCCCTCTATACCTTTGCCACGGGTTGCAAAAACGGACACACGAGAAAAAGTAGACAACAGGTTGGCCGCAAAACAGGACAGGAGAGAGTCTCAAGGGGCCGATGCGTTTGAGAGAGATCGACTTTTGGCCTCGACCTCTCTGTAGACCCGGGGCAGAGTGGTCTTGTCTCCGCGGACGGCCTCCCGTCGCAGGATATGCACCTGCAGCACACAACTGAGCAAGGCAGACTCGGCAGAAAAGGAGGCGACGGGCGACATCAAAGACGAGTTCGTTTTGTTTTCCTTTTCTGGCCCCTGACAATGGACGGAAAACGAGTCCATGGCCAGTCCAGAAATGGGAAGGGGGGGTCAGAACTGGCCATAAGGGGCCCTATTTGTAGTTCTGGCCAGCATTGGGGCGTGGATGCCTTGTTGAAAGATTCTGCTGAGAAGGACAGGAAGAGGTACTCACAGAAATGGTATTTAAGAACGCAGTAGGACGATACCTGCTCGAAAATGGGGGACGCGTCAATACTCCCCTATTGTTTTACTACTAGTATTTTGTAGTATTATAATCAGAAGTTAGCAATCCCCCCAACACCCTCCCCCCCTCCCCATCTAGTTGTCTTTTATTCTGCCACAGAAATGTCAGAACTACCAGGGCCGATTCCACGAGACCCCATGCCTACAGGCCAGCGTGAAAATGACAATGACGCAGCGTCCATTTCCTCCACCAACATAAGATACTACGGACCAGAATGCGAGATTGAGATGGCAGAGCCGGGCCGCACATATCACCAAGCCCGTCGAAAGAATCGGTTTGCCAATTCAAAACATGCACTCCTACCAGCGGAATATGACTTCCCAGACGGCGACAGATGGGCATGTTCTGTCCGGGGATGCTCGATGTCGACGAGGGGATTGGTTGGCCTGGGGCACCATTGGCTAGTAAGTAATTCCTCGATGCGGATAGCAGTGTGGCAATTGTTTTAGCTGGCTTGTCCTTGTCCTTGCTTACACTGTACAGGCAAAGCACATGCGGACGGCATTCAGAGACAACGGCGATGGCTCGCTCTCTGCTGTTGGAACATGCGATGTCTCCATGGTCGTGAAGCAGATGCGCCCAGTAGTAGGAGCGGGCGTGACTGGACCGGTATGTATAGCCTTATAGGCCCCCAAAGTTCCGTCTCGCTTCGATGTTGACCTGACAAATCACAGAGGACGCCACAACACAGGCGAAATATACGGCGCCGTGGCACGGTTTCCCGAAACGTGAGAGCGCGGCTGAATCGCCGAGAGCAACGCGCGGACGGCTACAACGACATTGACCGTCACATTTACAGCGACATCGAGACGGACCGCAACGAGCCAGATGAGCAGCGACAAAACGGCACGGCTGCCACTGACAGCTCCCACAATAATGCGGCCAGTCCAACGGCGGACGATGCTCGGGCCGTCTTTGTCAAAAAACGACGCGCACTGATGGCGCTGGAAGACCCGTCGGCCGACATCAATGCCGACACCATTGACGCGTCCGCAGAGCAGCTCCAAACGCGCAACAGGACGCAAGACAACGTCTATATTTTCCCCTCTACATTCTGGAAGAGCCAAGGCGACCGGCCGTCCCCCGCTCTGCCCACGCAGCGTCCGCTGCTAGCAAAAGACCGCGACAGCCTTGTCTTCCCCATCTACCACGAGCACGGCGACAGCAAAGGGTGGTATGGAGTCTTCGTGCAGCGGCGCGCTCCCATGAAATTCGTGTTTGCCGTCGTTGATCCGACACATCCTACGGACGCCTGGAAAACGACCGAGGCCATCGACATCTTCCGTTTCTTGCAGGCGCAAGGCTGTCTCTGTGACCATCCCGCCGCCTCGTTCTTCAACCCAGACCCCGGTCTTCCTCGTGCCGCACACGGCAGCAGCGATGCCCACAGCGGCGTGTCCTTTCTGCGCGCACTGAGCTGTTTCCTCCACAGCCCCAAGGCCTTCTTTGATAGTGCGGTGCACGGCGTGCCGCTGCGATGGGCTCGTACGAGCTCCCGGGTGGCGTCCGCTGCGCACATGACACGGGCGAGCATCCTGGACGATCTCAAAGAGACGATACACCGCGACTTTGTGGACGAGGCGATCCAGGACTTTGTGTCCCGCGTGGACGAGTATGCAAACGGCCAGGCGCAGGAGAAACGGCACCTCCTCATCTTGCACGCCGAGGCCGCAGGCCGCGCTGCTACGCAGCTTGTGGAAGAGAGCCAGGACAGCCCACCAGAGTCGCGTACCAACGGGGCCGATGCCGCCGACGCCACAGCAGGTGCGACAGCCAGCGATGCGCCCGTCGCAGCTACATCGGCAGCGACAGCCACGTCGTCCGCTCCGGCGGTCTCCAGGGAGAACGTTGTGGATGGCCACGCGACTGTCCCCGCCACCCGACCACGGTCCACCCGCGCATCGTCCCCGTCGTACTCACACTTTTTTCCGCGATCTCTGTCACGAACCGTTACACCGAGGCCAGCAGGGCCAGCCACTCCGGCCGCCACTCCGGCCGCCACAGCAGCGCCAGGCGCACAGCCGACATCGACGGTCGCAGCAGAAATCTTTGTTCGCGCGGCGACAGCCGAAATGGAGGTGGACGAGGAATTAGACGTTCGCGAAGTGCCACCGCCAAACGTGCGCGGCAGCGTAGTTGATACCGACGGCGAAAGCAGAACGAATAACGTATTTGTTGTTCTAGGGTCCAGGTCGCATTCGTCTTAGTAATCTAGTCACTAGTCCGTATTTCCTTCTATTCGCAACTTCTAGTAGTGGTTTGGTAGTCTGACTATATAACACATGGGTCTATAATAAGAGAAAAAAAAGAAGCATAACCCATTTTCCGAGCAACAGCAATGTGTGTGTATTGTCCAGTTTTCTTGAAGACTTTAAGAAGAAACCTCGTCTCCAGAGAACTAGAATATAAAGTCTGAAAGAATAAACAGTCAAGCAGACCAAGGAGACATATACTGCCAATGATCATATGAGCTTATAAACTGCATGAATAAATAGAGCATAAATCAAGCAAAAATGCAATAGGGTCGTCTACGTCTGGATTGAAATGCTGTCGACATATGGCGGTGAAATTGGTCTACTTTCAATGAAGCCAAGTCGTTGTGAACGACATACGCTAAGGCGGAGAGTAGAGAGGTTAGCCTTGAGACCCACTTATTTTATTCTGCCGCCCTTACTCGTCAACCACCAAGAAAATTTACAACGTCAGAGCTGTCCATGCGACTGGAGTCGCTCCGTGTCTAGCTATATCGACCACTTCACCCAGGGACGCTTGACAAGTTTGTCGCTCTGGACACACGACCACAACTATGGCCACAGTAGCAAGCTCAGACACGGTCGCCGCGCCTGACCCCGATCCCGTCATCGCCCGCTACAACGTCTTCCTCAAGCCGCAGCTGCCCGCCCATCAGAAACTGCTCGTGCTCCAGTACCCCAACCGCACCGACAAGAATGCGGCCGGTGGCGGTGCCGGCGCCATCTCGCTCAGCGGCCAGACCCCGACCGAGCTGCGCATCAAGACCGCGTCGGGCATGGTCGAGGTCGACGTGCCCCTCGACTACGCTTCGGCCTACGACCGCGCCAAAGGCATCGCCTGGGGCACGGCGCTGGCCACGTCCACCAAGGCCAAGGCGGGTGGCAGCCACGGCTTGGCGGGCGGCTTTGGTGTGGGCGGCACCACCCAGGGCAACAACCGCCACGGTCCTGGCGGCGGAGGCGGAAGCGGTGGTGGTAGCCGCGGTGCTGCTTCTGGCCAGGCGACCGCCGCGACCCACGCCGCCGCCGAAGCCGAGGACGGCCGGTCGGCTGGAGCTGGGGCTGGGACCACATCGTCGGCCGACTGGGCCGAGGCCGTGCGCCAGGACCGCGTGCTGCGCCTGCAGACGCTGGGCGGCATGTGCCCGCCCGCCCGCATCGCCGAGGCGCGCTGGATGATTGGCGCCTTCGACGGCGGCAACCTGCATCTGACGCCTGTCAACTCGCTCGTCCACCTGCGGCCGCAAATGCACCATATTGACGCTGAGGCCGAGGTCGAGCGCGCCAAGCACCGGGACACAAATGCTGCGGCGGGAGCCGGCGGCGGCGAGGGCGGCGCTGGTGTTGGCGGTGCTGGCGGCGCAGGGGGCGGCCGGTGCAGGCGGCGCAGGCGGTCGTGCGGCCGGTGCGGCTGGCGCTCGTGCTATCCACATGACCGTCAAGAGCGCCGGGGCCGACGGCGACGAGGTCATTACGGAAACCATGGCGGACCGCCTGCGCGCCGTGCAGATGGAGAACTGGGCACGCATGCTCTACGTAGGCGACGACGACGAGACCTCGTGGGAGGTGTACGACCAGACACTGTTCCTCAAAGACCCGGCCGCGGCCATGCAGGCAGCAACGGCCGCGGCGGCTACGACGACAGCAACAGAGAGCGGCGCCGACGACGTGGGCGGCAAGGGCAAGGACGCCGTGGCCGACGCCGCCCACGGCCAGCTGGTCGACAAGGTACCGGCGCTGCGCACAAACTGGACCGAAGACGACATGCTGCAGGCCATTAGCAGGATTGAGAAGCCGCCCGACGACCTGACACCCACCCCGACCGCCAGCAAGGCCAAGTCAAAAACGGCCGTCAAGGGCAAGGGGCCGGCATTGCCGCTACCCACGGCGGCCGGTGGTGTCGAAATCAAGAGCGAGGCGGATGCACAATCTACGTCGCCCAGTGCACAACGCCGGACGCGCCCATTGGCCCGGCCAGCCGCGTCCAAGGCTGCGGCTGCGGCCCCTGCAACGACGTCCCGCGCTCGTGGTGCTCGGGCACGGCAGGCAGGGCGTGATGTGACCATGGACGTGGACCAGTAGAGGTGGAGAAGATCATCTCCTTGGGGCTGAACATGTTGTTTAAAGGGGCACGTGAAATTTACGTCTACAGAGCGCGTGGTGTCTGATAGTCTGAGCGTTGATTGACATCAAGAAATTGCTAGGGACTGTGGGCTGAAACGAGGGTGACTTCCCATTTGCGCCCCAGAGCTACGTTTTTGGAACGACTCGTGGGTCAAACCAGGGAATAAGAGCCAACCATGTTGTGCGGCTGAAAACGTCACATTTTCGGATATTGGATCTGGTGGGTGGAGTGGGGGTCGATTCTATCAAGCATTTGGCATGGCGTTATCTCCTTAGTGGCCAAAATATGACTTTTTTTAATGGGGCGCGCGAAACTTACGTGTACATACACTGCGCGTGTTGTTGGTCCGAGCGTTTGTTGACATCGAGAAGTCACTGAGAGTTGACAGCTGAAACGAGGGTGACTTCCAAGTTACGCTGTAGGGCTATGTATTTGGAAGTATCAGTGGGTCAAAAACAGGCATTAGAGCCAATCACAGCGTGCGGCTGAAAAAAGTCATATTTTGGCCACTAAGGAGATAATGGGATTTGGGAAATCGTCACACTAGACGGCCGTCGGTTGCGGTCCAGTCTGTATAGAATTCAAAAAGATATACAACCACAAGATGCACCTCGGAGGAACCAAATATTTCCTGCATTGCCTCGTAAATTGGGCATGCCTTGAATTGTCGTTTCTTCTTTTGGATCCCCAAGTTCCTGGTCGATCCCCAAACCTCTCTTTTGTCCTTTTTACATGTCCTTGTTGTAGCATGATATGTAAGTAATACAATACAGGATACAGGTAGCAACACACCCTTCGTTGCGCTGTCCCCCGTTTCCAAGCCCTCATTGACAGCAAAAAAATAGTCTCGGGCACTGGATCCTGAAAGCAACCTCCTTCTTCCCCCGTCAATGCTTTCTTATGTTGACAGTTTCTGTTGAAAACATCAAACTGTGGCAATTTTCCGTTTCCCCATCCCTACGACCCAGGCCAAGTTAAAAATGTCTGACGCTGGTGTCTTCTTGTCCCCGAAAATGGTACCTTGTTAAAATGGTCCATTGTGGACAATCGGCGAGCTCGACGTGGTCCAGTCCCCCCCAAGCTGGCCAATGCTCGAGAAGAACGGGGTGCCGTCGTGCCGCCAATTGTCCATGTGTGCTCGATGGAGACGAGGAACATCTACCAGGCTATTTCGAGCTTAGCAGAGAGGCTCGTCCCAAGGAGGCTTTTGTTGTGTCTTGTTGTGTAGTGGCCTGTTTTGTTGTGGTGGCTTTCTAGATTTTTGTGATTTTTTTGGTTGGCATTGTTGTGGTTTGACGAACTTCGTCGAGGTTTGTGGTTTGTTGCCGAGCAGGGTTGATAAAAATACTGCATTCGACTGTAGTGAAAAAGCAAATAAACTTGAGAAAATGCAGAGCAGAGGATACAGCGCAAAGCAGCGGCAACGCAAATCAGAGCAAGCGACAAAGCAATGCAGAGCTTGAAACAGGGGAAAGCAAACAAAAGCACACGCTGAACGGTAAAAATCAGAAAGGCCGTTTAGAAAAAGACACGGACACTTCCACGGGCGTCATCTGCAGCACAGACGCCTGACGCCCTGCGAATGGTGGACACGTTATGGGGACGTGCCATCGGCCGTCTCCTACTGGAGCAGCTCGACGTCCAGGCCGATGGAACGCATAAAGAGGTTCACATTCTGCAGGCGCTGCGCCGACAGGTCGACCGGCAGCGTCTTGGCCACCGCGACGGTGTCCATGACCCGGTCCTTGACGGCCAGGACAAGGCGCTGCTGCTGGTCGGGCGTCGCGCCAATGCCGAGCGCCGCCAGAAGCTGCCACACGTACATGTCCTCGCCCGACGAAACTGTGCCGGGGAACATGTAGGGCAGCACCGGCTCGAGCGCATTGAAGAAGTTGTTGTAGGTCATCTCCCACGACTGCCACTGCTCGGGCGTGCCGCCGCCGGCCTGCTTGATCAGCTCGGCCCGGCTCAAGATGGTGGTCAGCATCGACGCGCCGATTCTCGACCGCGCAATCACGTCCACCTTGAGGTTCGTAATCAAGCCCAGGACGCCCGCCACCAGGTCCAGCTGCAGCTCGCTCATAAACGTAAACAGCGTGTGCACCACGGTGAGCGTGAACAGCTCAATCTCCTCGCGCAGCGCCGCATTCGGGCCCGTGCCCTCATCGCTGTCGCTCGTGACCTGCGCGTTGCGCACAATGTCCAGCTGGTCGAGGTGCACGACAATCATGGTCAGCACCGTGGCGCGCAGCTCGTCCGACAGGTGGCGGAACACGCGCGGGATGGCCTTCTTGCCCTTGGGAAACGACAAAAAGGCAATGAACGGGTGCACGGGGAACTCGCCAATGGGCTCGTGCACCTTGAGCTCGCGCCACAGCTGCGTCTTGAGCACCTCGAGCTGCTCGGCCCACTCGCCGCGGCGCTGCATCAGCTCCAGGTCGTCCTGCTCCGTGGGCGGCGGCGGGATCGAGCGCGCGTGGTCCTCAATCTCCATGAGCGTTGCGTACACCTTTTCGATGATGTTGAGCACGGTCTTGCGGTCGAGCACGCGCGCGTGGCCGCTCGTCGACTGCGACACCTTGTGGTGGGCACTGGCCGGGCGGTCGGCAGCCCCGCTGCCGCCGCCACTGCTGCCGCCACCCTCGGCGCCCGCGCCACTCGAGACGCTGCCGCCAGCGGCCGCAGCAGCCTCGGACGATCGCTTGATGTTAAGAAGTGGCTTAGGGGTCTTGGCGTTGCTAAAGGAGATCTTGCCGAGGGTGCCTTCGATCACCAGCTGTTTGTTCTTGGGCCGGTTCTTGGCGGCCTCGACGGCACGTTGTACCTGCTGCTCCATGCGCTGCATGTGGTTGTCGGCGCCACGGTCCCGGTTCATGTAGCGGCGCGAGTTGAAGCGGCTGCCCGTCTGGAACAGGTAGGTCTGGGCAAAGTTGTTGAGCGGCTGGCCTGGGTGCTGACGGTTGCCGCCACGGATCTGGTTCAGAACCTGGTAGTAAAAGTCCTCACGGAGAGCCTCGTCGGTGCCGTGCTCGTTGGGGTTGCCAGTGGCCGACACGAGCTGCTGCAGCTGGATGCGCGTAACAAAGTTCTTGTCCTGGGGCGTCATGAGGCCGTTGTTCTTGGACAGCAAGAAGATTTTGTGGTTGCGCTTGGCACGTCTGGCCTCCTGCTCCAGGTAGGCCGCCTTCTCCTCGTCGGACAGGTGCACGAGCTGCGACGGGTGCGTGATGATGTGGGGAACCCCCGAGAACGAGCTGGTCTGACGATGATGCGAGGGCTGGCTGGGGAACTGCTGCGGAGGCGGCGCACCAAACTGCTCCGAGAGCCGGTTGGGGTTCTGGAGGATCTGAGTTGGCTGGACCGGCGGCGCTTGCTGGTGTTGCAGCTGTTGTTGTTGCTGTTGGTGTTGCTGTTGTTGTTGCTGTTGCTGTTGCTGTTGCTGCGGGTTCGGGAACATGCCCGGCGATGTCTGCTGTGCAGACGAGCGCTGAAGCAGGGCCATGGGGTGGTTCAGGTTATGAAGCTGGCTAGGATCGCCCAGCAGCTCCTGCGGCGGCACCGGATAGTAGTCGCCAGGAGGTGGCTGGTGGTACTGCTCCGGGATTTGCTGGTAGATGGGCTGTTGCTGTTGCTGCTGCGGCTGCTGCTGCGGCTGCAGGGGAGGGGTTTCCTGGGCCTTGCTCTGGTTGCGCATGGCTGCTTCGACCTCCTCCAGACTCAGGATCTTGCGGCCGGACGGAGCAGTCTGGCTCGGCGTCGACGAGGCCTGGGGCGTAGACGAAGCTGCGGGTTTCTTGGGAGCGACGCCCCACAGGGCAGCGTCGACCTGCATGTCGGCCTCGGGCTCCTTGTATTTTTCGTAGCCGGAGCGGACAGGCTTCACGGCGGGGGCCGGGGCAAAGTAGTTCTGGTTGTAGCTGCCGACGGACGGGCCCGGGGCATAGTCGTTGCGTACGGGAGCGTTCCGGGCGACGGGCTGCATGCGGTTGAAGCGGGCGTGCTCCTCTTCAATGGCATCGGAGACCTTGGCCGTTTGGCCGAAAAAGTCAAAGTCGTTGCCCACCTTGGCCGAGCCAAAGGCGCCTGTGTTGCTGCCTCCGCCACCGGCGCCGCCGCTCGCACCGCCTAGCACAGCATCGCCACCAAAGGTGTCGTCGTTGAAGGCATCGCCGGTCTCCTCGAGCTGGTCGCCGAGGCCGTCGTAGGTGTCTTCGAACTCGAGTGCGTCGTCGACCGCGTTGCCGCTCGCGAGACCAGCAAAGGGATCGTTGATTTGGGAGAAGCCCGGCGCGGCCGTGTTATGGCGCGACTGGGAGGATTGGTCAAAGCCAAAGAAGGCCATGATGGATATTCGGGGTCGTGGCTGTCGATGTAATCGACATGCACGAGTTGGGGGGGAGGGGTGTTGTGCTTTTGTTTGGTGTTGTGGACGGCCACGATGTTGCGCAAAATGGTAAATGGTGCGCAAAGGTAGGTGGAACCCTTCGCTCAGCACATGCGTGCGCTGTCACGTGATTATAAATAATGGGGATAAATACGCCGTAACCAATCATAACGGCACCCATGCCACAGAGCAAGATTGAAAAAGTCGGAGCTCTTCTTGGTTTGCTCTTCTTTGATTCATGGTTTGCTGTCAGTCGTGCCGAATGCTTTTTACAGCAAATGTCGTCCTGTGCCTTGTGTCAGCCGTGTGGTGACCTTTGTGTGCCACGAAGGCAAAGAAGCTTCGAAGCCACATTTGAGCGCAGCAGTGTGGCGTCTAAGAGCGGCCAGGGCGACTTTATTCTTTGAGAAGGATTCCAATAGACCAGCCGATAAAAATAAGCATTATTGTCTTGGCATGCTTGCATCTCTCAGTTGCTGGTCGCCAAAGTTGCACTGCGAAGGCGGCAGGCCACGTCTGGGTTTCGAAACATCAATATATGCCGTACTCGTATGATGTATGTCGTGCTACATCGTGGTTCTATCAAAACGCGACGGCAGTGCAAAAATGTGAATAAAACGTCAACCATGATTGTGAACTGGGCCCCTATGGCGATGTTTTGTTTGGTGCTCTGAGTATCATGTGAAAACCTGACGCGCAAAGTGTCCAGTGCAACGGTAACTAAGAGCAAAGCCCACGGCAGTTGGAGCCAGTAATTACGAGCCAATACAACCCTAGTAAGTACCATCGTAAGATGCAGCAGAACAACACAAGCGAAGGCACTCCTGTCCTTCCGTTCCTCCGCTTCTGCCTCCTGGTTCGCAACGCGCCCGTTTACTAAGAAACTGTTAACGGCCTCGATTAAAAAGTACCGATATCCCTGATCATCAGCTTCTACATTCAATGTGAGTCGTATTGTACCCCTGGTCCAGTTCTTGTCTTTTCCTTTTCAGATGCCCCTTTGAGGCTTCAGTGGCGTTGTATTGCCTTGTGTTCTAGATTCTCATTGGTCCAGCGCATCAACGTATCTTACCGTACATATATCGGACCTGAGGGACTTGACGCAGCCTACTGTGGACATGCAAGACGAACGCGTTCCAGAAAGGAAAAGAGGCGGTTAGCTGAGATGAAATGGGACGCTGCATTGAGTCTATGAGGTCGCTGCCAATCTGCACGCCCGCTAGTGAATACGAGATGCCAGCTATTACTCGGTCGCCAATATAAATTGCCTTTAGCGAGTCTGCCGAAGCAGCCTGCGAGATGCCAGCGCGCTGTGGCATAAACCGTCCTGCCGGTAACCACGGCGCAGTAGTCGGTAATTTTACTGCTGAAAAGTTGTAAGATTCCACTATTACCTGTCTAGTATGCCGCAGAGGCTCGTCTAGGCGCCACGTCCACTAAATCAAAATGGTTTTGGGCCACAGTTTCCTCGTCCCGAGTAAGATACACCCACTGCACGACGCAATTACACACTAACCGCGAGCTGAACATACCGCCCAAACGGGCTAGACGCACCTGCGAGCCATGCCTACCGTCACGCTACGCCACGCCGGGCAATTTCCGTTGAACTGAACACGTTCTAACATGCGTTAGAACAGGGCGTTCCAGGGCGTCGCTCCAGTTAGAGGACCCTTGCAAACACGCGGCGCGCGCCTCTTTCGCGCCACAGCTCAGCGCTCTGTTTCCTCCTGTGAATAATCCATGCGCTGTTCTTTAGTTGCGTCTCGACACTATGGTCAGGCCATTCGATTGACGAGCCGACGCCGACACACATGTCCTCCCAAAGACAAACTAACTTGGACAAAGGTCCGCTTTATTGCGCCCTCCTCGTAATACACCCTTGCCCTGCTTTAGGCCCCTATTCTGCATTTTGTCGCTTTTCGACTCTCCCTTGCCAGGCCTTGTCCATCGCGCCTGCCTCCTTTTCTTGCTTTTTGCTCCTGCCCTTCGTATGTCGCGTATGGCATTGTCCCTTTGTCTCCTTTTTCTCAATTCTCACAACCTTTTTCACTTCAACGGAGTAACCAAATACAAGCTTTGATATATTTGCACAGGCAAAGGGATCGACCTATTCCGCTTCTTGGGGCACCCCTGCTTGTAGGTTCTTGGCTTCATTGGGACTCCACCCCCCATACCTATCCCCTTTCTTCGTCTTCGCCTTCCGTTTTCGTGGATCTCTTTTTCATCTCGTCTCCTACATACAACGCACCTGTTCGCTTCTCTTTCTTCTCTTCATTTTGTCTTCTTTTTCATTCTGTCTTCGTTTTTTCCCTTGAAGCAGTCGAAGGGACGTTGCATGAGCACGGTTCCTTCGCCGCCATCCTTTCTTTTACTACGCTCTTTCCAAACCGCGACATTCGGTTCTCTTTTTGTCCATACCCGACTTCACAGCTCGAGCGTCCCTTGTAGGTCGCCATCGTTGCCGCAATCATGGTCGGCAACGCCCGCTACGTGCGGTACATTGTGATCGCATTCTTTGTACGTCGATCGCTTCCTTGCCCGTTCTTGATGACCAGCGGTGGCCTGCCGGTGGCACCATACTCGACGACATTGCTAACCAGGTTTCGTCCCACAGGTGATCGCCATTGTCTACTTCGTCTCCAACACATCCGAAAATGTCGCGTTGCGGACACCCGAGATGCTCGGTCTGAGGCCCAGCAGCGGCTCCTCGTCCTCCAGCTCGTCCACCGACCCATCGGGCCACACAAACTCCCACACTGAGTCTTCGTCAGATAGCCAGAAGGCCATCAAGGAGGGTTCTACCAGTGGTTCTACTGGCTCCGGCAGCTCGGGCAGCTCAGTATTCGGCAGCACCACCAGCGGCGGCAGCGCCCTCGACTACCCCCTGGCCATGTCCCCCAACGACCCCGGTTTCTACGCGCCCGTCGATACCGCCCCCGGCCCTCGCATGAACGCCACCTTTGTCACCCTGGCCCGTAACTCGGACGTCTGGGAAGTCGCTCGGTCGATCCGTCAGGTGGAGGACCGCTTCAACAAGCGCTACCACTACGATTGGGTCTTCCTCAACGACAAGCCGTTTGACGAGGAGTTCAAAAAGGTCACGACGTCCCTCATCTCCGGCACCACCCACTACGGCCTGATCCCGCCCGAGCACTGGTCGTTCCCCGAGTTCATTGACCAGGACAAGGCCAAGAAGGTCCGCGAGGATATGGCCAAGAAGAAGATTATCTACGGCGACTCGGTCAGCTACCGCCACATGTGCCGCTTCGAGTCTGGCTTCTTCTTCCAGCAGGAGCTGATGCTCAACTACGACTACTACTGGCGCGTGGAGCCCAGCATCGAGTACTTCTGCGACATCCACTACGACCCCTTCCGCTACATTCACGAGAACAACAAAAAGTACTCGTTTGTGCTGTCTCTGTACGAGTACGCCGAGACCATCCCGACTCTGTGGGACAGCGTCAAGAAGTTCATTAAGGAGCACCCCGAGCACATCGCCGAGAACAACTCGATGCGCTTCCTCAGCGACGACGACGGCGAGACCTACAACAAGTGCCACTTTGTATGTATTAGCCGATCCTGTTTCTGTGCTTTTCTCGTCTTTTTGATACCCCAACTGACCTGTCTAGTGGTCCAACTTTGAAATTGGCAACCTGAACTGGCTGCGCTCCAAGGCCTACACCGACTTCTTCGAGTCGCTCGACCGCGATGGCGGTTTCTTCTACGAGCGCTGGGGTGATGCCCCTGTGCACTCCATCGCCGCCGGACTACTGCTGCCGAAGGAGGAGATCCACTTCTTCAACGACATTGCCTACTACCACGTTCCCTTCACCCACTGCCCCACGGGCGAGGAGACGCGCCAGCAGCTGCGTTGTCACTGTAACCCTAAGAACAACTTTGACTGGAAGGGCTATTCTTGTAAGTTTTAAATATTGTTATTTTGATTTATTTCTTTTTGTTTCGGCGTAAACTACGTCGTCGTGGCAAAACACGATGGTTAACAGTCCACAGGCACGTCGAGATTCTTCGACATGAACAACATGGAGAAGCCGGATGGCTGGGAGAAGCAGAGCTAGAGCAGCACCAATCTATTCTCATCACCTCCAATTGAAAACCCTCCAGCCTTCCAACACCGAAATAGATCTGCTCGAATCACCATAGCTCCCAGAGCATGACCGTCAGAAATGGCATGGGTTACATTGAACTCCGGCGCGTTTCATCATGGCCTCCATGACGTAAAGGCACAAGTGTGCTATGACAGACATGGGGTTGGTACGACTCTGCTGATGGGGAAATCAACAGTCTGGAAATAACAGGCGGCGCACTTTGCACAGGATTGACTATGAAAGCAGTCGATATTTTGGGAATGCGGTTTTCTTTTTTTGTAAAAACAAAATGTTTATAATCTTGTTTTCCGAAACGCAAAGATCTTTTTCTTTCTCGTGCCTTTCACTTTACTTGTTTCTGTTTTCTTACCTTTGTGTTTTGGATGGTTCATACCGCGGGCTACGGATAGATTGAAAAGAAACAACTGGATCTGATACTCTTTTTTTTTGGCTTTCCGGTTCGGTGCTGTACGATAGGTTGGTCAAGCCCAAGGCGAATTTTAACAGACTCGATCATCGTTAACGGGATTCTAGTAAGTAATGTGAACGGATCAATACGATAAGTAGAAGGGTTGAAAACACAACGGTAGATTTTGGCTTTTATATCGTACTTATAAGATACCCGGTCATGACATATCTATCAACCCAACGCTGTCTTCCTAGCTCGAATGGCTCCTATGAAATCCAGACTTAGCCAACAGTGGCCTTCTTTGGCTTCTTCGTGCCGTACTTGCTGCGACTCGTCATCCGGTTTGCCACGCCAGCCTGTTCCTGTTGTTAGCATATTGTCGCACACGAACAATCAAGACGATGTACAGAAAACAGCCAGAATGGGCATACCAAATCATATGCGCCACGGACCAGACGGTACCGCACACCAGGACAATCCTGCGCACGACCGCCGCGCACGAGCACCACACTGTGCTGCTGGATGTTGTGCCCCTCGCCGGGAATGTATGCCGTGATATGGCGGCCGTTGGACAACCGGACACGCGCCGTCTTGCGCTCGCCAGAGTTGGGCTTCTTCGGCCGCGTGATGCCGACCTTGAGGCACACGCCCTTCATTTGCGGCGCCTTCATCTCCGACAGGGCCGGCGACACAGGTTTCCGCTTGCGCCGGGGCTTGCGGCAGCCGCGAAGCACCTGGTTCAATGTGGCCTGGGTGGAAGGCGTCGAGGAGAAAAGACGGAACGCGGACACGGCGGGCAGACGTAGCGCCAGGGAGACAGCCGGAGTCGTGATTGATGTGAATGCGGTCGCCTTGGCCACGGATTGTGTGAATTGTGTCCGGAGCGGCGTCGCTGGTCGCAACAGCAGCCGCAGGAGCGGCGACACCATGCTTGGCTGCATAGCTGGTTGCGACGGTTTTGTGGCTCGGGGCAATGCAGGTTGGTGATCGGCCGGAGGAGCTTCGCGGTTTCCGAGATCGCGAGACCAAAACGTCACGATGCTCTGTATTCTCGCGCAACCTCCTTTCCACCTTTCGTTAGCCTCAGCCAAAATTTCCCAATTTCCAGACCACGAATTTAGTCACGTGGTGATAACGGCTCAAGCACTCCAATCGTCTCCAACCGGAAGTTTACTTTTTGCGGGTCCCGTTCCTTCACTGTCGCCTCGCTTTCTGATTGTCCCCACCTATAGGCCGACGGCAAACATTGCTCGGCTTTGGCGTGTTCCCCAAGCCGTTTCCCCCGGTCAGCTCTCCTCCAAAGTATCAAATAGCGGGCCTTCGTCACAAGCAATGGATACCCTCGGTACAAAAGTCTCCAAAGGACCGCTTTATTTTCTACCGCGGGGGCTGTTTGGTGCACTCCGCTTGACCAGGGAGCCTATTTTCGCTTGTGGACAACGTCTATCTACGAAAAAGGGTCGTGGTAATGGCCATTTGGCGGGCTTGAGTCCTTAGATTCTTTTATTTTCTTTGCCAGGGATTTTTTTTCTCTTTTATTTTCGGTCTACTGGTTGCCGTCGTGACCCGCCAAGTGCTTGCTACTTGCTATATATGCATTCCACTGGTCGCTCTTACCCCAACTTTACCCTCCTCTGCCTCCTTTCTCCCTTTGCTTCTCTTTCTCTGTCGGCCGCATTTCTACAAATTCGTCCCTCCTAGTTCCCCCGACTCCCGACACAGTCCACCACAATGTCGTCCTTCGTACGAGCTCTGCGCCCGGCCCTCCGGATGGGCCAGGTCTCTGCCATCTCCAGAATCGCCACAGCTGCCCCACGGAGAACACTCCCCAGCCGGATAGTGGCCGCTCAAGCGTAAGACGAGCTGTGATGTGCCCTGTTCTGATTTGCCTTTGTTGTGTGATTTACCGTATCGAACATTGCCGGCTGACCCGTTTCTTGTTGCTGTCCGTTGTAGCACCCGCTCGTTCTCGTACACCCCCGCCCGCCACGATGACGACGTCCCCCACCTGCCCATCATGTCCCTCAACGAGATCGAGTCGTCCATGCAGGAGGCCGTGCAAAAGTTCGCCAACGAGATTGTCCTGCCCAAAGCCCGCGAGATGGACGAGGCCGAGGCCATGGAGCCCGAGATCATTGAGCGCCTGTTCGAGCAGGGGCTGATGGGCATCGAGATCCCAGAGGAGTTTGGCGGCTCCGGCATGAACTTCACGTCTGCCATCATTGCCATTGAGGAGCTGGCGCGTGCCGACCCCAGCGTCAGTGTTCTCGTCGACGTCCACAACACTCTCGTCAACACCCTCTTTACGCGCTACGGCAGCCCCGCCATGCAGAAGCGTGTTCTGCCCAAGCTTGCCTCCGAGTCCGTCGGCTCCTTCTGTCTGTCCGAGCCTGTGTCGGGCTCGGACGCCTTCGCCCTGGCCACGCGCGCCACCGAGACCGAGTCCGGCTTCCGCATCTCGGGCTCCAAGATGTGGATCACCAACAGCATGGAAGCCGACATCTTCATCGTGTTTGCCAACCTCGACCCCTCCAAGGGCTACCGCGGCATCACTGCCTTCCTCGTGGAGAAGGGCACCCCCGGTTTCTCCATTGCCAAGAAGGAGAAGAAGCTGGGCATCCGCGCCAGCAGCACCTGCGTCATCAACTTTGACGACGTCGACATCCCCAAGGACAACCTGATTGGCGAGAAGGGCCAGGGCTACAAGTACGCCATCGGCCTGCTGAACGAGGGCCGCATCGGCATTGCCGCGCAGATGACCGGTCTGGCCCTCGGCGCCTGGGAGAACGCCGCCCGCTACTGCTGGAACGACCGCAAGCAGTTCGGTCAGCTGATTGGCGAGTTCCAGGGCATGCAGCACCAGATGGCCCAGTCCTACGTTGAGATTGCCGCCGCTCGTGCGCTCGTCTACAACGCCGCTCGCAAGAAGGAGGCCGGCGAGGACTTTGTCAAGGACGCCGCCATGGCCAAGCTGTACGCGTCGCAGGTTGCCGGCCGCGTCAGCAGCCTGGCTGTTGAGTGGATGGGTGGCATGGGCTTCGTGCGCGAGGGTCTCGCCGAGAAGTTCTTCCGTGACAGCAAGATCGGTGCCATCTACGAGGGTACCAGCAACATCCAGTACGTTACGCCTTTTTTTTCTCTTTTGTTTTGATTTCTTCCGCGTGCACCCATACTGACTAGTCTAGGCTGAACACGATTGCCAAGCTTCTACAGAAGGAGTACACCGCATAGAGATCCCACATTTAAGTTTAGAATGCGTGGCGAAATGGAGAAGCGTCACTTCATATCCAGAAGCAACAGCGCGGGACCTGATTCTTGATTTTCGGCGTTTTTGTTGGCCTGGGAATTTAAACGTACATTGCCGAGTGAAGTACACAACGAAATAAATACATAAATTGGATCAAACACACTCCGCAAAGACATGAGCGCCTTTCGTAGCCCGCGTTTACATATTTTCATACAGATCTCTCCTTCAAATCAAATCTGAACGAGGTCAACTAAACCGGTTTCCAGACATCACCATCTCGCCGTACTTTTGCAGTCTGTGTATATTTTCAAGGTAGCATCAGTCTACTACCGACACCTCGAACTATCTTATATTCTATATATAATTGGCCAGGTAGGAGAACTGCCGCCTGCAGTACTTTTGAGTTGAAACCGGCACTGTCGTTTTAAGTCAACTTTGTCAGCTCGAACATTTATTTCGTCTGGTCGTTTTGTGCCACGTGCATACGAGTTTTACTTTCTCGGGATTTTATTTTTCTGTTATTTTAATTTAATGGTTTCGTATTCGACAGCAGCCGAGTACAAACGTAACGTTATCTTTGAATTTCATGTTCATTCAAAGCTTAAAAGCAAAAACTTTCATAAATAATTTAAAATCATTATGATATACATAGTCATGTCAATAATCAGGAATAAAACGAGAAAAAAGAAAAACGGTCGAAATATAGTTTTCAGCGTGTGCAGTTTGCCCTGAACCGACGTCAACCGTTTCTCGCTACGAGGCCATCCGACTTGCCACTGTGGACAGTTTACGCAGGACAGAGTCCCCACAAACTAATTGAACCAGTCGAGAGGACAGAGCTAGAGTCCGGGTTCATGTTATGTTAGTGTGCCAAGCGCACTGGAGGAAAATTAAGATGCACGACATACGACGAACGGGACGCAAAACGGACCAAGTAAATTATGAGAAAAGCAAGGAAAAATATATGGTGACAAAAGTAGCGAGATGACTGCAGCTTGGGCTTACCCCGGAACGGCTGCCTCTTCTGGCTTTTGTTTTGTTTGACGTTGCCGTCGGTCACGTGCCCCGTTTTGATATGATTATTACTTTTATTATGATTATCATAATTATTTATTTTAATTTTTAATCTTTATGTTTTGTAGGCGCAGAGACTGTAAACAAGCTGCACCAAACTTTTACAGTGCAAAGTCCAGCGTATGTCGTCTTCGTCCTTTCCTCTGCTGGCAGTCAACACTTGATGCTTGTTTGCTCCTGACAGTTGGGCTGATGTTGTGTCTTTCCCCACCTGCTGGTTTTGGGCGACACAGGCGGGGTTTTGTCAGGCAAGTCCTAGAATCTAGGACAGTTTCTAGAGCTGGAAAGCGCGACTTGCAAATACGCCCAGTCTGACAGCGCCCGACCAGCCAAACTGGTAGGGAAAAAAGGGAGGAAGGGACGGGCATCGGCTTCGACAAAGTAAATAAATAGAAATATTATATGGTAGCGTTCTGCTTTGACATCACTCTGCAATGCGGTACGGCGGACCTTTCTGTTTCCACTCCCACAACCACTAACGTCACCTACGATACGTCACTGTTCTGCAAGCGTAAAAGCACACCCCTGTCCAGAGCCCCTCCACCACAGCCATTGCTGTGAACTGCTTCGCGCCTTCCGCCCACCTCCACAAAACAGCGTGCCAAAGAGACTGCCACAGCGGCCGTAAAGCGCAGGAACGACCAAAACAGCCCCTCTTCTCCGTCCCTCCCCATCTACTTCCCCTCCTTTAACGCATCTTGAGCAAGTCTTTTTTCGCTCGTTTTGGATTTTCATTCCTTCTAGGCGGGTATTCATTCTGCGCCGTTCCTTGTCTCCCGTTTTCAACCCCTCCCTCCTCTCCTGTTCCCATAGCCTGCGGCATCGCATTCTCGCGCCGAGACTAGGAAACCCGGAATACTGCCCCGGCTCCTGTTCTCGTCTCTCTCCTCATCCCACCTCTCGCCCTCGCAGCAATACGGGCACTTCGTCCTTCCTTTCGCTCACGCGCATCTTGCATCACCAGGGCTGCAGTTGTCACCATAGCCTCTCGCATACCTGAGCAGCAAAGGCCCCCGTTTGGTTTTGTTCTCCAGAACTGAAACATTTTCTAGCTTGTGTTTTGTCTGCCTCGCGTCCCTCCACAACCTTTTCCCCCGACCCCCCCTCTCCTCTCCTCTCCCGCCCGCTGGCGCACCCCTCCTCCTCCCTACCTCCCAACCGGTTTCTGCATGAGCTTCGTCCGCTCAAGCTTCTTCTGTCTCGACCTTCGTCTTGTGCAAGTTTTTGCCTTGGTCTTTCGCGGGTGTACAGTTCGCGGCGCGATATCTAGGCACGGCGATTTGTCCTCGGCAGCACTCACGATACGACGACTGAGCTAGCTTATGGGCTTCAAAAGGAGACAGCACGAGATCAGACGATTCCAACATATCTGCGCCTGTGGTTGTAGACTCGCATCCACTTCACGATTATTCCGGTAGGCATTCTCGAAGACAACCGTACCGGACTGATCGTTCCAACTTTTTCGGGGTCTCTTCGATTCTGTCCGTACAGCCTGACTTGGTCATCACGAACGCCACCCGAGAATTGCCACAAAACCGCTTCGCAGCAACTTCCGAAACAAAAGCTCGTTTGGCAACTGCTTCTCCCTCGTCACCTTCAGTTCTCAGTATTTCTTCGGCGCCCAAGATTTCCCAATAAGGCTTTCCAAAGCGTGTCAATTTCAGCCGGCCTCGTCTCGCATCACAACGACAGGTTGCTCTCTGCGCCTGAGCACCTCCTGAAACCCTGCTGTATCGATTCTAGAGCTGCTGCCACGCGAACCAACGCGTGGCCCGAAAACTAGCAACCATGGCGGAAGAGCAGCAGATGCAACTGATCTTGAAGAAGATCGACATCGAGAAAGTGTTTTTAGGCAAGGCCATTGAGATGCGCAAGGCCGCCAACTCGGACAATGCCGATGTTCTTTCCAAACTCGATTCCGCGGTCCACTCCGCGCGGCGCCACCTGGAGTACTACGAGGACATGCTTCGCCAGGTTCAGGTGCGCCGCCTCGGCCAGGGTGTCGACAACATGAGCCTGGGAAGTGGTGGATCCAATTCCCCGGCACCTGGCTCTCTGCGTCCCCGGAGCACCGATCTGCGAAATGAAGCTGGCGGCGCCCCGCCGACGCCGCCACCAAAAGATTCTGCCTCATCTTGGGGTGATACTTCCACTCTGAACTCGCAGAACTACGCTGCCAGTACATACTCGCAGCATGGCGTCCAGTCTCCTTCGAACTACTCAGACTCGCCGGCCGACACAGCGGTTGTGAAGACGCGTCCCAACTATACGAAACTTGGTAAGATACCGTCGATGTTAGGACGCCTGCGCTATCCTGCATGCCTTTACCTCGATATATTCTAATGGTTTCCTTTCATAGACCTCATCAAGTACGACACGCCGTACATGGGCCCTCGTATCCAGCACATGCTGTCCCAAATCCAGTTTAAACTTGATGTCGAAGAACAGTACCTCAAGGGCATCGAGAAGATGGTCCAGCTGTACCAGATGGAGGGTGACAAGAAGAGCAAAGCCGACGCAGCCTCGAAGAAGGTGGAGAGCAAGCAAAAAATTGTACTACTGAAGCAGGCTCTGAAGCGGTATGAAGAGCTACATATCGATGTTGACTCGGGCGACACACCAGATGGTGAGTACTTTGGCACAGTAAAAAAACGCAGCAAACGTCGCTCGTTGTACTTTTCGTCGTACATACTGACAATTGACTAGATGACAGTGTCAATGTTCCGAACATGCGGAAGCCGCTTTCTGGTAACCTGTCCATTCGCATCATGGCTGTGAAGGATGTTGATCATGCGCCGACCGGTCGATTCAGCCGCGGCCCGGATACCTTTGTCGCCGTGAAGGTCGAGGACAATGTTGCAGCGCGCACGAGGCTCTCTCGCACCGACCGTTGGGAGAGCGAGTTCCATAGCGTGGATGTCGACAAGGCAAACGAGATCGAACTGACGGTTTATGACAAGCCTGGCGAGTATGCCATCCCCATTGGCATGCTTTGGGTCCGGATATCAGACATCGCCGAGGAGATTCGGAGAAAGAGAATCGAGGCCGAGATCAACTCGTCGGGCTGGGTGTCGGCCGACAAAATGTCGGCTGCTCCCAACCGGGTACCGCCAGCTCAATTCCCGATGAATCCCCAGGGTCAGTTTGGCGCACAACAAAACGCCCAAGGCGGGCCTCTCTCGCCCCAAAATCCCCACGGCGGCGGTTTTGACGGTGTCGGTGCTCACGCCGCTCATCTGTCTCCCGAACCGATTACGGGATGGTTCAACCTGGAGCCCACCGGCCAAATCCAGCTCAACCTCAACTTCGTCCGCCAGAACAAGGATCGTCGGCCGTTGGACCTTGGTCTCGGTCGCAAGGGTGCCATTCGTCAGAAGAAGGAGGAAGTCCACGAGATGTATGGCCACAAGTTCGTCCAGCGCCAGTTCTACAACATCATGCGCTGCGCGCTGTGTGGAGATTTCCTCAAAGGAGGCGCGGGTATGCAGTGCGAAGACTGCAAGTACACCTGCCACATCAAGTGCTACTCGAGTGTGGTCACCAAGTGCATCAGCAAATCCAACGCCGAAACCGATCCCGACGAAGAGAAGATCAACCACCGCATTCCCCATCGTTTCCAGCCGTTTGGCAACTATACTGCCAACTGGTGCTGCCACTGTGGCTATTTACTGCCATTTGGAAAGAAGAGCTGTCGAAAGTGCTCAGGTTGGTTTTGCCATCACTCTGTGTTACTGAATTAGGATGTTTTCCGCTAACACGTTATAGAATGTGGTCTTACTGCTCACTCTGGTTGTGCCCACCTGGTACCCGACTTCTGCGGCATGTCGATGGCCGTGGCGAACCAGATCCTGGAAGGTATCCGTACCCAGAAGCAGCGGCAAAAGCAGTCGACAAACTTGACTGACCGTACTCTCCGGCCGGGAAAACCTAACTTGATTTCCCAGCAGGGTGGGTATGGGAACTCCCAGGGTGCAGCGCCTTCTCCTTATGGCCCCGGCGCTGCGTCCAGTCAGGCGACCGAAGCCGCCAAGGTGATGTACGCGAACCAATCCTCACCACAGCGTCCCCAGCATCCCGATCGGACGGCGAGTGCATCTTCTTCGGCTGCTGCTGCTGCCGCCGCCGCTAGCATGGCTATGTCGGGCACTGGTGCCAAGGCTGGAACTGGTCCTCAGGCCCAGGCGGGCCAAGACTCCTGGAGACATGACCCCGGAAACTACGGCGACTCATATGACCCCCAATCTGTGCAACAGCAGCAACAGTCGTACGGAAATGCACCACAGCAACGCAAGTACAACCCGGCAGACTACATTAATGTTGGACAATACCCAGCGACCCAGCAGCAGCCTGGCCAGATGCAACATGCTCAGCAACAACCGGTTACCATTCAGCAGCAGCAGCAGCAGCAGCAGCAACAACAACAACAAATCTACCAACAGCCGCAGCAGCAGCCACTACAGCAGCAGCCTCCCCAAGCCCCGGTGCAGGTGAAGACGCAGCAATCCGAGCCACCCGTTTCGCTTCCTCCCGTTTCTTCCACCACCGTTGATGTCACCGGTCCTGGCGTCAAGAAGCCGCTGCCCTCAGCGACCGACCCCGGCACGGGCCAGCGCATTGGCCTCGATAACTTCAACTTCCTTGCGGTTCTCGGTAAGGGTAACTTCGGCAAGGTCATGCTGGCCGAGACAAAGCGTTCGAATAGGCTGTACGCCATCAAGGTCCTAAAGAAGGAGTTCATCATTGAGAACGATGAAGTGGAGAGCATACGGTCAGAGAAAAGAGTACTGCTCGTTGCCAACCGGGAACGGCATCCGTTTTTGACCAACCTGCACGCCTGCTTCCAGACCGAGACGCGTGTATACTTTGTGATGGAGTACATTAGCGGTGGTGATTTGATGCTGCACATTCAGCGTGGCCAGTTCGGTACTCGTCGGGCCCAGTTCTACGCCAGTGAAGTCTGCTTGGCGCTCAAGTACCTCCACGAGAACGGTGTCATCTACCGCGATCTGAAGCTCGACAACATTCTGTTGACGCTGGATGGCCACATCAAGATTGCCGATTACGGTCTCTGCAAGGAGGACATGTGGTACGGTTCGACGACCAGCACTTTCTGTGGTACTCCCGAGTTCATGGCGCCCGAGGTATGTTTGCTGCCCACCTGATATCTCTTATACGTCTTTTTGTACGAATTGCTAACCTGCGGTACTAGATTCTTCTCGACAAGAAGTACGGCCGCGCTGTTGATTGGTGGGCGTTTGGTGTGCTAATCTACCAGATGCTGCTGCAACAGTCCCCGTTCCGTGGCGAGGATGAAGACGAAATCTACGACGCCATTCTGGGCGACGAGCCCCTGTACCCGATCCACATGCCCAGAGACTCGGTTTCGATTCTGCAAAAGCTGCTCACGCGCGATCCCGACCAGCGCCTGGGCAGTGGCCCGACAGACGCGCAGGAGATTATGTCGCAACCGTTCTTCCGCAACATCAACTGGGACGACATTTACCACAAGCGTGTGCAGCCGCCGTTCCTGCCGACCATCAAGAACCCTACGGATACCAGCAACTTCGACTCGGAGTTCACGAGTGTGACGCCCGTTCTGACGCCCGTTCAATCAGGTATGTTTAGGTGGTTTTGTATCCATGTCAAGGACTGTGCGAGACGTTTTACTAACTCCTTTACAGTGCTATCACAAGCGATGCAGGAGGAGTTCCGTGGCTTCTCATACACGGCAGACTTTGTGTAGCTCCGGCAAGCACTGGAATTTGACGATATCCAGACTTTTGTTGCTGGTTTTAGATTTTCATTTCATTTCATGCCACCTTTTTGAGGGAGAGAATTGGAGCTTGCAGCTTGTTTTATGTCGCGAGATTTTGATTTACGCTCGAGCGACTTGATGTGTTATTTGGATACGGACATAAAAAAAGTCGATACGTTTTTGGATGCCAGCTTTCTCAGCGAGTACAAGTTTGGCGACGGACGTCGCGAGAGAGCCCCTGGCGAGACCGGCGGTCGGGCGCTTCCACCTGGCTCACGTTGTTTGTTGTTGGCTGTTTCTGAAAGGCCATCGCTATTTTTGTAATTTCTTTCTGTCGCGTTATTTCTGCGCGCCATTTCAAGCTTTGCGCGTTCCAACATTTTTCATGTCGATATATCCATTTTCACCGAAGCCATTGTTCACTTTGGGCGGTAGTTTTGCTCTTCTACAACATGCCAGCCACGTATTAGTTGCTGGAGCGTTTTTAATAAAGCCTGGTTTTTCATAGTTTGATTCATGTTTTCTATTTCTTGAACATCAGTGTTTTATACAAAATCTATGTACAGTGCCTTCTCGGATTTTCTTTTGACAATCGCTAATATTACAGTTCGCAGGTAAGCCAACGCTGCCTACCGGAAAGCAAGCACCAGACCGCCGACAAAAACAGCTCCCGCGATGGCACTCTGCAGTGCTACGATGGACACATCTCGCATCCGCACGTTGACCGTGCGTTCGCTGGCAATATCCTGTGCCCATGCCTTCCACCGGACAGGATCGGGTCCAAAGGCCACGACATCATGCCACGATGTTGGCCAAGACAAGGTGAACAGCTGCAGCCGGAGAGGTGGCGAGGGGAGCGCGTCGGCGGTGGGTGTGAGGGTAGGCTGCTCTGCCGAGGAGAGTTCTACTGCTGCTACGTCGGCATCGCCGGCAAGCGGGGTGTCGGCCGGTCCTGTCGTCGATGCAGCAGCGCCCGAGACGGTTGCCAGCGCCGCGCGCACGTCCGCCAGCTCCTTGCGCACATCCTCCAGGACGCCCGACTCCGCCTCGGCAATGCCGCGCATCAGGCGCCTGCGCCGCCACGGCTCCGCAACGACTTGCAGGATGATGAACAGGACCACGTTGAGGCCCATCAGGCCCCAGGTGCCCCAGGTGCTCTGGCGCCGGATCCGGTCGCTCCAGACCTGCTCCTCGTGGTACCGCTTCAGGATGCCCGAGGTCAGCGCCGCGCTCAACCGCGACTCGTCGGCTTCTGCCTCCTTGAGCTGCTCCACGGCGCGCTGCGCGCTCGTCTCCAGCTCGTGGTCCTGGCGGTACAGCACGGTAAACCGTTCGAGGTCCGGCGGCGCCCAGCTGTCCTTGCGCGCCAGGAGGGTCGTGACTTCGCGCTGGGTGGCGGCGCGGCGCTCGTTGACGGCCTGGTACGCGCGGCGGGCGACGCGCAGGTCGGCCTGGGCGGTGGCCAGGTCGGTCTCGAGCCGGGCGTTGTTGGCCTTGATGTGCTCGATGGCGGTATAGCCGGTGAGGTCGTTCAGCGTCTGGGAGGCCGACACGAAGCGCGCTTGCAGGTCGTCCATGAAGCGGCTGAAGCGGGCATTGAGGGCGGACCGGCGAGACTCGACAAACGAGGGGAGCGACGAGGACGAGGACGAGTCGTCAGCAGCGGTTTCGCTCTTGCTGTTGGCTGCCGCTGGTGGCTGCTTGGCCGTCGCTGACGCGCCCTCCTTCTTGACCTTGTCCGTCTCGGCTGTTTCTGCGTGTGGTTGTGGCTCGTCCGACTTTGGGGCCGAGGGCGCATCTGTGTTGGGCAGCGGCGGTGGCTGCGAGGAGGCCGGCAAAGGTGATTCCGGTGGCGGCGGAGCATGTATGATGGATGGTAGGGGGTCGTCTTTGGGCGGCTTGTCGGAGGAGGACGAGTACCACCGGCCCGCGGGATGGTCGCATCTGGGACGAAATACCGCGCGAGATGCACTGCCGCTCCTCGCTACAGACATCGCCATGCCTCGTTGCGGCACACTTACCACGTGCCTGGCTGTCCGTGGTGGCCAAACACTTGCAAGCTCCAACGTCGTCCTACCCGGCATCGCCGCACTCCGCAGCAACGTCGTCTTCAACTGCCGGCCCATCCGTCCAGCGGCCGCCGGACGGGCACCTGCCCAGGCTGCCATGCCTGCACAAGCGCCAATGGCGATCGAAGCGACTCTCTTATTTCGTCGAGCCGTCGTGTCTATTCCATCAGACAGGCTGGGCCTTGAGCTGCTCGCGTGAACCTGCGAAGCTTCGCCGTCCGAAGTCCAGGTCGTCTGCGGTTGAAATTGCGGGGGAAATGGAGCCGTTGGGGCTCATGCGGCGAGGTATTTTGGAAAGGAGAGGGCGTGCTGTGGTCGATGCAGTCGTGTTCCAATCGTCATTCAGGTTGGACCAAATACACTGCCGCCGTCTTGTCGCGCATGACAAGCAGTCGTCTAGCTTGTTGGTTCCTGGTTCTGGTCGATTCGTTTTCCCGGCCTCGGGCCGTGGGCTTCTCGTCGGCATTTAGGCCCTGAATTAGCGGCGAGCCACAGTGTACCGCGCCCACCTCTTTCGGGGCAGTCTACCGCAACTGTGGCGGCTGAAGAAATCGAGATAAAGGTTGAAGAGCTGGTGGAAAGTCTCTCGAACGTCTGTGAAAGGACAGAGGACTTGTTAAATTTATTCGATTTTTGACGCAGTGTTTCACCTTCGTTTGTATCCGTACCGACATATAACTGTCGCCAGTACTTACAGCACCTACAATGCTGAAGACGGTGTTATTTGCGCGTTGGTGTACCAAGTAAGGAATCAGCGCGCAGGCCGGCCTTCACCGCCCAAGTCGAGTGGACACACCATGGGCCCATAATTTTTGAGAGTGCCCCACTAAAAAGTAGAATACGGCAGAAAAAGTTGGAAGTTTTGATGCACTCGTTGGGAAGTCGCAACCGCCTGGAAAACACCTTAAGAGAGGCACACTCTTTGGCTTCGTCTCGTCCTTCTCGCCCTATTGACCACCACGACAACCGCATCTACACATCGCAACGGCACTGTTGCGACCATGGCGACTCCCAACGGGAAGTCCTCGACCCGCAGGCAGCCGCGGCCGCAAAAAGTCGACCGCAAACTCAAGCGCAAGCGCGAAGTCGAAAGCATCGAAGCCCTCCAAAAAGCCGTCGACGAGCTCGATCCCAAGACCATTCCGGCCCAGTTCACCGAGCTTCCCCTGTCGAAGCCCACCGCCGCTGGCCTGCGAGACTCCCACTTCGTCTCCCTGACCGACATCCAGGCACGTGCCATCCCCACCGCCCTCAGAGGATCCGACATCCTCGGGGCCGCCAAGACTGGCAGCGGCAAGACGCTCGCCTTCATCGTGCCCGTGCTCGAGAAGCTGTACCGCGCGCGGTGGACGGAGCTGGACGGACTGGGCGCTCTGATTGTCTCTCCGACACGAGAGCTGTCGGCGCAGATTTTTGAGGAGCTGCGCAAGGTGGGACGGCACCATGGCTTCTCGGCCGGTCTGGTGATTGGTGGCAAGAGTCTGCAAGAGGAGGCTGAACGGGTTGGGCGGATGAACATTCTTGTCTGCACGCCGGGCCGGATGCTGCAGCACCTCGACCAGACGGCCACCATGGACGTCAACAACTTGCAGATTCTCGTCCTGGACGAGGCGGATCGCATCTTGGACATGGGCTTCAAGGCGGCCGTCGACGCCCTGGTCGAGCACCTCCCTCAGTCCCGCCAGACACTTTTGTTCAGTGCCACTCAGACCCGCAAAGTGTCTGATCTCGCCCGCCTCAGTCTCCAGTCACCCGAGTACATTGCCGTGCACGAAGCCGCGGCCGCGGCCACGCCCAGCCAACTACAGCAACACTACGTCGTCACACCCCTCCCCGAGAAGCTGGACACGCTCTACGGCTTCATCCGGTCGAACCTCAAGTCCAAGATGATTGTCTTTTTCTCGTCGGGCAAGCAGGTCCGCTTTGCTTACGAGGCCTTCCGCCAGATGCAGCCGGGTATCTCGCTGCTGCACCTGCACGGCCGCCAAAAACAGGTCGCCCGTCTCGAGATTCTGCGCCGCTTCGCCGCTGCGAAGCACGCATGTCTCTTTGCCACAGACGTCGTCGCCCGCGGCGTCGACATTCCTATGGTCGACTGGGTCGTCCAGGTCGACTGCCCCGAAGACGCCGACACCTACATCCACCGCAGCGGCCGGACGGCGCGGTACGAGAGCGCCGGCAAGGCGATCCTATTCTTGGACCCCAGCGAAGAGGCCGGCATGATCAAGCGGCTGGAGCAGAAAAAGGTCCCCATCAAGAAGGTCAACGTGCGCGAGACGAAGAAGCAGAACATCCAGGACCAGCTGCAAAATATGTGTTTCCAGCAGTACGATGTCAAGTACCTGGCGCAAAAGGCCTTTATCTCCTACACACGGTCGGTCCACCTGCAAAAGGACAAGGACGTCTTTAAGCTGGACGAGCTGGATCTCGATGGGTTTGCAAAGTCCCTCGGCCTCGCGGGTGCGCCGCAGATCAAATTCCGCAAAGGCGACAAGGGCGAGGACCTGAAGACGATCAAGAACCGGTCGCGGGCGATGTTGTCGAGCGGCTCCGAGGACGAAGAGGCGTCAGACGGCGAAGGCGGCCTGAAGACCAGGGACAAGAGCAAGGACAAAAAGAAGAACGAGGTGCGCACCAAGGCGCAGCGCATGTTTGAGCGGACCAACCAGGACGTGCTCACCAAGCACTACCAGAACCTCATTGGCGAGGAGGGCGACGAGGCACCAGGGACAACCGACAATGCCGACGACGCCGACTTCTTTGCCGCCAAGCGCGTCATGGACGACGATGCCCTCACGCAGGCCGCCGGCCTGCGCGGCCCCAAGGGCAGTCAATCCGCCGCCGCCGATCCCTCCAACTTTACCACTGCCAAGGTCCTCCATCTCGGCGGCGAGCGTGATCTCGTTATCGACTCCAAGCGCCGCGAGAAGCTCCTCAAATCCAAAAAGCAGCTCCTCAAGTTCCAGGGCACCGGCACCAAGATGGTGTTTGACGACGACGGCAACGCCCAGCCCCTCTACCAGCTCCGCGACGAAGCCCACTTCCGGGAGCAGGGCGCACCCGAAGCGCAGCGCCAGCAATTCGTCCAGGCCGAAGCCGACCGTGTCCGCACGGCCGATGTCGAGGACAAGGCCCTGGCCAAGGCCAAGCGCCGCGAGAAGAAGCTCAAGCGCAAGGCGCGCGAGCGGGGCGAGGCGGCCGAGAGCGACGGCGACGCCGACGGAGACGGAGGCGAAGACGAAGACGACGTGCACGGCGGCGCTTACATTGGCGGCAGCGGCCAGTTTGGCGACGACGGCGACGACGGCCTGGCACTGCTGCGGTCCCTGCCCATGGCCGGCGAGAACGGCGACGGCAGCGAGTACGACAACGGCTACGGCTCAGAAGGAGATGCACCTGCACCCGCCAAGAAGAAGCAGAAGAAGTGGTTCCAAAACGACAGCGACGTCGACAGTGACGGCCAGCAGAGGACGACCAAGAAGGCCAAGACGTCCAAGAAGGACAAGCACACGGTGCTTGAGATGGACGCCATGCCGGACAACCTGGAAGACCTGGAGGCCTTGGCAACAGGTCTGTTGGACGACTGACGCGGTTGAGGTGGTGGTCACAATACTTTGGCATAGCATGGGTTTTGGTACATCTAGATTCAATAGGAGTTTGTCCTTTTCTTTCTTATCTTAGTATACTCTGAAGTCCGCAAGTGAGAGGAGCCTCGTGTTCCTGATGATTTCCAGTGAAGACCAGCCACCATCGGTGAACTTTGTAAATTGGAGCCATGCCAATACGATCCGTGTCATCGCCAAGTGTGTCCGAGCACACGCCGTGGCCAAGCCTCCTTGTCGGCCCAAGACGGTATGCAGTTGTCGTCACAAGACGAGCAACGCTGACGACGACGTCAAGGATGAGCGTGGTTGCTTATTCGTATGAGCGAACTGGAACGTATCTGAAGGATGGCGGCTTGATAGTGGAAGGAAGAGCTACCAAGAAATACCAATACGATTTGTACTTGCTTTACAGATGAGCCTACCAAAGTACAAAAGACCTGGGATGGCAGGTGGTCGTAAGGATAGGGCCGAAAAGAGATGCTGGTGTGGGGTTGTTTATTTTGCTATCTTCAATAGCTGAAAACCAGGACAATGACAAACCAAAAAAAAGGGACGAAAAATAAATGTGGCCAAAAGAAATAATATTCCAAGGCCAAGCCCTTTGGTTTCGGTGTACCGCCGCGAGGGGGCTGGTTTTGATTCGTGTTTCTGCCCACTCGCCCCCTCGAGCAGAAATAAATCCTGGGTCACTTGGATTGTCTCTTGGGGGGCTTGGCTCTTTTTGGCTGCATCGGCATGTTGGTAGTGTCCGCCGCGCAAATGCAAGAGGCTGCAGGTGTCAACGCATGTACTGTACTTTGATTTCTTCCTTGTTATTTTTATCTTTTAGGTTCGGATCTGCCTGCCCTCCCCCGGTGATGAACCAACCTCTTTGCGAACACGAACCGACCTTAAGAACTGCCAGCGCGAGGATCCCGGGGGAGCCAACGCTTTGCAGCGTTGCAGTGGACATGGCGAAGAATACGGAAAACGTAGATTAATCGCCCCCTCGCTTCGGCCTCGGCCTCGACCACCTATCGTCTTATTTTGTCCTTTACGTCCCATGTACGTATTTCACCTCTTCTACTTTGTACTAACTTTGGTATCTTCACTCGGGCCTTCAGATGACTCTCCACGTGAACACTCCGTATTACTCCGCTTTCATCAGAGCCCATCAAAAAGTGCCTTGGCATGTCTGTTTATTTATTTTAGGCACTCCAGAAAAGTACTCCAGTGAGGAGAAATGGGCCCAGCGGCTGAGGCCCCGTCAAGCTTTTTGCTCTTGAGGTGAGCCAGAGAACAGCCTTAAGTTGGCCATTAACGTCGGGTTTGGAGAGGTCCGATGCCTGGGATCCCCGCACAGGGCGGGATGTTACGTTGCGACATGTTCGTGTTTGGCTTGTTCTAGGCTGGGCATTGTTTTATTTATATTCCAAAAAAGAAGAAAGAAAACAAGTCCCACAAACACAGATAATACAATAGTTTCCAACGTGTTAGGGTACCAAAACAACGTCTTCCCCATCTACAACAATAATTGCCTCCCGATGCTATTATGGCTCTGGCCATTCGCATGAGACCTATACGTGAGAATAGTGAAATATACTTTCACAGGGACGCACATCATTGTTCGAGATAATAACATCATGGCTGGCAGTTCATGCTCAGACTTTCCGAGATTTAGAAGGGCCCGGGGCCAACGTTCCATGTCGGGCAAATCAGGGAGAGCATATGGCAGTTCGTCCTGCAGCAGCTCCATGTCTCATAACCTTAATCCAAGACAAAGGATTTTACCCCGGATCTTTGATCAGGAAGACTGCAAAGCAGCACAACGAGTATACGGTGAGGAACAATTGAACCGGAACCTCTGCCGGCCCTTTGTTGTGGCCCCTTTTCTGTCGGCGATTATCACCAAGAACTCCCTTCCCGCTAGACGAAGGCGGCCCGCTGCGAGGAGCTAGCAGATACCGACGTCAGTGATGGCCTGGTAACTTGGCTCATATTGACATTTCGAAGTAGTGATTCTCTTGTGAAACTATCATATACATAGATCGTACTGTGAAAATATAGTCAATGTACGGCGCAGTTAACAATGCCTCGTCCCTAAGAAACTGAAAAAAATGCGCAGGCCCATAGGGGTCCAAGGAAAAGCAGAGTGAAAGGAATCAACATATTGCGATGAGCCAGCTTGATACAAAGATCCTACCGGGGAAGATTGTCGAGAGATACAGTTTGAAAAGGGAAAACTGAAGCATGCCGCCCGGAGAGGAACCGAAAGGACCTCCCTCTTTTTCATTATCCCTATTTTCAACAATTTGAAACCAGGCGCAGGCATGCCATAAACCTCGCGTAAGGCAGACCGACGCCGGCGTCCCGATATATTATGTGTATCGTGTGAAGCTCGAAAATATGATTGCGGCCCCGCAGCTGGCCTACCGGGTTCATCGGTTCGACGTCTTGGCTCTATGGCTGTTTTGAATTTCCAATTTATTTTCCCAGCGACCTGCGGCACAGGCGGGCTAGAAAATTACGACACAAAAGTACACGTCTCGTGCCTTTACTGTGAGATGATTGTACGCTAGTCTCTCTGTTCTATATAGAATTTTTACATTTTTGCAAGCCAATCTTGCACAAACGACATATAGACTTGGGGTGTGAGAACTTCCAAAGTCAATGCTGAGGCGCAAAGAGATGGACCGTGGGACTTACGTATTCATTATAAAACAGACCGAGTTAAGAGGCTGTGTTGGGCGGTCTGTTCATCGGGTCTGCCCAGGATTCTGTAGTTTGCTGAACTTGGGCTATGTCTACGAGATTCGACCTGTGCCTTTCGGTACACACCTGTCCATGGCATGGCATATCATCGCCGATTGTGTTGCCTATCTGCAACTCTCTCGTTGTACACTGAGGTATTGTGAATTCCAAAACCAAGGGGAAAAGACTCCAAATGGACTTCTGAGAAGCGACCGCTCAAGATATCATAGATGTAGACTGAGATGTGCCAAATAACACGGCATCCTAGAGGAAAGGACGTGTACAGTTAATACTTTGTGAAATCCCACTACCGTACAAGGATGTATACACGGCTACTACAAGCACATGTGAGCCGATGCCACGATTATGTGACAACGCTACCTTGTTGATTTAACGAACTGCTACTAAGCGCGACCAGTGTAAGTCAAGGCGCCGAGCCTCATTTCTGTGAAAGAAAGGGGCTCACAGATGGTCGATATAGAATATTAGCAGAAGGGAAATTCTAGGTCGATAATATTTGCCTGTGAGCTTAAACACGCAGGTGAAATGCTCAAAAATTCAAGCCGGGGTAGGTACTGGCACTATTTTGACTTACAGTCTCCCAGTAAGATTTATGCCTGTTATTTAGTTTTGTACAATTATTTCATTATCGATGTTTTCCTTCTGTTTGAACTTCTGACATTATTTCAATGAGATATCCGCTGGCGTAGCGGTTCCCCAAACGGAAAGTTCATCCTGCCGACAACCGACAGCCGTCGATTTCACCTTCGCGCTTTCCGCTTGCCCTCCTTCTGTCTAGTAATTGCAACCTTGGACACTACCTCATACTTTTGTCGTACACGCATCGAAACTGGTAATCATAGCTCCTTCCTTGTTTGTCGTTGCATGATCTGTTTTTGGAACGCTCCTGCTTACGATTCACATCTACACCGGACGAAAATGTAACAGATTACGTACCCACACCAAACCTTTCCCAAGATACCAAGACAATTCCGGAGAAAACCACCTCACACGACATGGAAATAAATTAAGTATAGAATTTCTATTTGTGGTCGCTCGTGCTCCATTTCCTGCCTTCGCAGTTCGCGGGAGGAAATTGGGCGACAGTCTTCTGGCAATTTTGGCCACCAAGACCGATGCGGAAAGTGCATCCCCCCACTGCCACCAAAAAGAGTGAGAGCGAACAACAAGAGGCCAAAAAGACGGCATGAACAATTTTACAACTCTCGGCAGGGGAAGGAGCGATGCGGACAGAGTCTCGAGAAACTGACGGTGGTGAAAATTAAAGAGACGTGTTAGAAGTGGACTTGCGGATATGCGCTGCGCCGCTAGAAAAACTGGTACCTCTTTACCACGTCAGTTCAGTCAATACGGGCTACAATTCATTGAAAAAAAAAAGAAAGAAAGAAAGAAAGAAAGGCACGGTTGCATCTTGGCTTCTGTCATCTCATCTGAAGCGCTCTTTCTTGTCCATTTAACCCCCAAGATCATTCTTTCCCTTTGGATTTCATGATGTGCTTCGCCGTAGCCAGGGAAGGAAGGCGCGTCTCAGTTTGTTAACCCGTTCTTGACTTGGAAACATGTCTGCCGCGCCGATCAGCGAAGAAGGCAGGAACATACTGCATCGCGACTTGCCACTTCCCAAAAAGGTAACTGGACAATAAAAGGGGCAAGTGAAATAAAAGACAAAAAAACACAAGCACAAAACTCAGCACGACTCGCCTAAAGATCGAGTTCTCTTTTATCAAACTTTGCAAATTGTCGACATTACAACATCACCAGACACACGACCCTCTGCACCATCACCAATCTGCCCCGTGCGCACACACGAGTGGTCACACCAACGCAAGAAGAACGTCGATTGCAAACGACGTAATGCCACAAACGGACGTGACCACATCGACACCGTTTCTCTGCTTCTGTGGTTTTCTTTAATATGCGCTGTCCAAGTCTTTCGGTACGAAGCTTGACCTGCCTAGATGGGTCATGATCCCGGGTCAATCCAACCCGGTTAATACCTGCGCAATCTAGCCGACTGGACTGGCCAAATGCCACCTCTTGTCTCTTTGCCTGGTGCCGCTTCAATTCTGGCCTCACTGCCTGCCATTTCAACTGGACTGCTTCCCCTCATTGTCTTTATCCCTCGTCTTGGCCTTCTGCTTGGCCGCTATTTCTTGTCTGCCGCATCTCCTCCAGCCAGCCCTTTCTCTGCCGTATTCGTTCCATTTAATATATATCATGACTTCCGAGTGGCCCGTTACCTCCATCGTCCATTTTGGCGGCTGTCCCGTTTTAGGCCACCCGCCATCTGCGACGGGAAAAGGGGGTAGAAGGTGGTGGTACCTTCTCTACTTCGCTATGCATCCTGTGTTTGCTAACCTGCCACGGTACCCAGGAGCCTGTCCCTCTCGACACCCTGTTGCTCGCTGTCCCCCTTTTAACCTGTTGACGACTTCATCCACGACCACACGCATCCTGAGATGCGGCCTAAACGCCATGGTGACCCATCGCGCCCCATCTGTCCTTCCAAGTTAGCCCACCTCCCATCCCGTCTGTTATCACCATTGAAGTCGACTGTGTTTCTTCCATCCCCACTCCCCCAATTTCCGCAGTGATTTCACATAATTTTCTCTCACATTTTCCCACAAGTCATGCTCGAGAATTCGACTAAAGGTTGCCAAAAAGGTCCAAGAGTACCCATCCTCCTGGGCAGCCAAGCTATTGCGGCCTGGAGTCTGGAGTGCAGCTTCTGGCCAACACCATCATCATCCCCAGAAAAGGCTTGCAAATGCCGGTGTACGCTTTAAGTTTTAAGATGCACCCGGCGCGGGAGACGCCGTGGGGAAACAAAGGTCCTTCATTCCGCTGTCGATGTTGGCTCTGAGTCTGGGCAATTTCTTCACCTTCTGCACCCCTTGAAATACACTCGCGGCTCTACGTTTTATGTGCCTTTGCATTCAAACGTCAGCAGAGCTCACATGCCTTCCCCATCTGTGCTGCTTCCCCGTGATCCGCTTGCCTCGAAGTCTCACCTCTTGCCATACTGCCTAGGAAAAGAAGACCAAGGCATGTTGCGCCTCTGACGGTGAGTGCACGGTTTCGTCTGTACGTGACGCTTCAGAAATCGCAGCCCCCCTCATTCATACTTCCCCTGTATTATTTCCTTACTTCTATTAAACATCCTGCCCCCATTCACACCGTCTCCCAGCCATTACACCACCGCCACCATCCGCAACCTGCCATCGGTACAAACCGCGGGCGAATGCAAATCATTTAAGTCGTTCATCCACAAAAGGCGGAGGGTATCCCCGTTCGGAAAGATTTTCACTTTTTCACCCCAGGCAATACAGAATTCAACGTCTCGTGTCGACAACCGGAACACGATGTAGAAAGGATCCAGATTGGAGACGACTACAAATCTACGACCGAAGAAACTAGGGTATCGAAGACATACGCTGACGACAGCTTCATCAACAACATATAACGGTCTCAGAACTCTACGCGTCTCCTCAATACGACACCGGTTGTGATTCAGTCGTTCGGGTGTCAACATTCGAGCTACAGTCCAGAGCACAGTCAAGCCAGCACAGAAACTGGCCGCAAAGGCGCTCCTTCATCATCTTTGAATTTTGACGCCTGCCCTTGGTCCTTTGCTTTTTTTCACGTGTGGCGAAATTCAAAGGACAAGAAAAGGGATAGACTACGGCCAGAAAGCATGTTACTTTGCTTGTTGATCCTTGCCACTGCCCAAGATGGATATTCGAGCTTCGAATGGTGGCCTGGGCCTCGCTCAAAACACAACAACTTGCCCGTAAGTATGCCTTGAACTGCACGTTATGGCAACAATTCACTCCAGCTGACGGTCAATAGTTACGAAGAGAAGGTCGTCACCGACCCAACGACTGCTCGCATTGTTCTCACATTTCTGCGCGAGTTTGTTGAGCAGAAGATAATCTACTCGCACAGCTCACAGGGCTACTACTGCCCAATGACAAAGTGCGAATCCTCGTTCACAGAGCCCCTGTTACTTATCCAGCACCTATTTACGTGTCCGGAGCTCGGAAGGGGCGAGTTTGAGTGTTGGAAATGCTGCAGCTGGCACCGCTTCCCTACGACGGAGAAGGAGTGGACTGAATGGGCAGGCTGGAAGTCGACAGCAGTAGGCTTTCAAAGGAAACGGAGCCTTGGATCGAAGATGAAAGAAACATTGACAGATACCCTTACGCTTCGTCGACGAAACTCGAATCGCAGATTCTCAGTGTCCAGTGCTGGCCCTGTGGGAAATGCCGGCCTGGATCAGACGCCCAATCCAACGTCCACATCCTCGATGATTTCATCTCCAACCTTGACCGGCACAACAGCTGATATGGACGGCATCGCCTCGACCATCCACCACTCGGGAAAATTTCTAGCTTCGACGGATGCCTGTGAATGGAATCAATTTCTCGGCCTAGACCAAGCACAGATGCTCTCGCCTCGTTCAATACAAGAGTTGCAGACGGCGTACAGAGTTGACCAGCAGATGGTGCCCACATTTTCACATCCCCCAGGAGCAAACCTTGGGCTCGACTCTACACCTGGGACTGCAAATGCATCGGGGTATACGTGCACATTCGACGAAGGATGTTTTGTCACGAGCGAGCACCACCACCACCACCATGGAATCGGTGTGAAGCCGGGGTCAGGAGCGGGAATATCTACAATGGCTGCTGCCTGCTCATGTGACAGCTTCGGCAATGCAGGAGCAGTAAGCAGTAGCATGGAAGACCGAAGCGCGTCTATGATGTGGTCAACAGACATAGACTCTAGCGACACAAGCAACATTTCCTCTACCCGGCCATCGACAACGTTTGACCAGACTCCATCACTTCCTTCATCGACAAACACATCACAGGGATCATTATTCGCGGCACAGATCCTGCCTTCGTTCTCACCAGATGCTGCTCAACTTATTGCTGCAGGTTTTGCAGGTGAACCGTCGGCAAATGTATCGTCAGATATGTGTTCTTTACAGTCGCCCCCATCCACCGCACCTCTTCTTATGAATGAGAGAGTAGGCACGAGTGTATTCTCACCAATATCGCCTTCAAAGGGGGACGACCGCCTGACGGTGCCCAGTTCCTTTGCGTCAACACCGGCATCAGGAGACTTCGACCAAAGCGAGAATCTCATATTGGACGAGCGACATAACTGGTATCATAATAATCAAAATGCAACTGCCTCCGTCGTATTGGCTCCTGTCCCCAGCGATGGTAGCCTCGATCATATCCCGGGACCTGTCCTGACCACAGGACCTTCACTACCTTCTACAACTACCACAATATCCAACCCAATGCACAACGCACCGACAACTTTTGAAAATTTAGCGAATCAACAAACACCTCACAATCTCCATCAAATAGATTCAAATCCACATGACTCACTGGCGGTGTCAATGGATATTGACATGGATGGCTTGCCAAGTCGCCCACTCCAAACACCAACTCGACCTGTTAAACAGCAAGTCGCATCTTTCATGCAAAGGCCTCCATCCATGGCATCAGGCCATCTTCCAGCCCAACGCCCCCAGCAACACCGAGACACCTACCCACACCAGATCGGTCCACCAACCATCCCAGTTGCGGTCCAGGAGCCCGCGACACATATTAACAGCCAAAAACCGCTTCACAGCGGGCTTTTCCCTCCATCGTCTTCTCAAATGTCATCGTTGACAGCTCATGCTACCAATCCGCGATTTGAATTCACTGGCGCAGGGGTATCACAAACAGGGAGCAGACCAGTCAGCCACCAGCGCCATCCATCCAGCTCAAGGGCATCATTACAGCCGCCGAAGACACCTACGTCGACCATCGACGATGACATCGATCCCGAGGACTTGGTATGCGACGAATGCAATTGGAAGCCTCGAGGCGTCCGTGAGAACCTACGGGGATACTTACGCAAACACAAGAACGTTCATAAAGGCCTCCGTCTTTCTTGTGATATACCCGGCTGCAAGAAGAGTTTTAGTCGACTTGACAATCTCAAAACACATCGCCGTGACAAACATGGAATCGACGAATCCACAACTATCTCAAAAGCAGCGAGCACAGCATCCGTAAACTCTACGGGTGCCTTAGCCAGTGGACAAATCGCGACCGGTGGCATCAGCGCCCTTCCAGCCAAACGAGTCATGACTATGAACGACTACAAGAACGATAGTCTAGCCGTCGATGGCCTAGGTGCCATGGTGCCCGTGTCAATGGTATCTACAACGGCACTTCCTCCACAGTCCCAGAACGTCCTTCAGGCTGCAGCCAGCGTCGCGCAAGCTCAAGTCCAAGCTCAGGCACAAGTACGCCAAGCACAGCTTCAAGCCCAGGCGCAGGCACAAGCACAAGCACAAGCACAAGCACAAGCCCAGGCTCATCTACATACCCAATTCGACCAGGGTCATCTCGTGATGCAAGACCATACTCGTGGCACTAGCCATGCTCATCCACACGTGCAGGTAGCGAATATGCAAGCCCAGCAAGCCCAAGAACTGGCACAGGCACATGTTGCACAAAGTCAAACTGAGCTTTCTCGTTCTGATTCCAAACGACAGAGGGAGAGCCTCGATCACGGAGGCTACCGTGGCGTAAGAGGCGAACATGCAGCACTTTGGCCGCTCATGCAGATTTGAGAGCCTGCATCGTGTCCAGCAGCATCACGAACACAGTTTTATTTTCTGAGCACATATTTCATTCTCGTTCTAGTTTTGACTTCACTTCAGCCCTCTGCTAAAGCAACACATCCACTCGTTTATTTTTTTTTTTCTTTCGCCTATTTTTGCAATTTATTGTTACCACTCTTTTACCGTTTTTCCTTTGTTATTTCTTATTTATTTATATCTAACACCAATGCTGCATTGTCTGCAAGTCCATTCGCTTTGTCGGTTTCGAAACACATTTTCAGTCATGTCTCGAATTTTTCGTCATTATACCATTTTACATCCAAGACGCATATAGCAAGCTCTCGCTTCTCCTAGTTTACAATTTTATATTTTCTAAGCAGATTTCCTGTCGAGGCAAGGCCAACTATACTTAAACACTTGCCTGGCCATGGTATTTGTTACATAAAATATCATGCCTATTTTGGACCTTCCATTTTTTAAGATGGGTCCTGGACTGCAACGATATTCATTTGGTTTTCCACGTCCGTTGCCTTGTTTTGTGCTTTCTTCTCACATAAAGCAAACAAAACGACACTTGAAAATTTCAAGAAATGAACTTTCATATGTTAATATTTCTATTCTCAACGAGAAAAATGCCAATAGATACACAACAAATTCGGCCGTTACAGGCATGACCATCTGGAAAAGATGCAATAGGTAAGAAAGTGGGTTGAACAAATCATTAATCATTAAAATTTGTGTCGTTGTCTCATCTGTCTAAACGGGAAAATATTTTGTGGACGCATGCCTGGAGCACAATAATTGGCGGCTGGAACACGCCGCAAGCAATTTGGAGTGTAATGCACAACAGCCGCCGAGAACATTCCCCCGCCGCCCCAACAAAAAAGTGAAAAATCCAAAAGACAGGTCATCAATCGTAAAGAGCCGAATTTTTAATGCAGAACGTAAGAATAAAACAATAAAATCTTCTAAAAAGATACGAACTTGCGGTAAAAAGACATCGAAATGCTTTGGGTACAGGGTATACGCAAAAGAGACAACATCCGAAAGCGGTGTAAGAAAAAAAAAACGAAACAAATATGAACACAACGCATACGTGGAAGCCCAACGGTTTCCCATTTAGCCGTCGACTTCAGTCATGGCGAACTCGGCATGGCCGCGGCTTTGGCGGTAGGTCTCGTTCCAGCCCCCGTCCCAGCCTGGTGCCGGGTGGCTGTTGTGCGGTGGCGGGGCATGTGGGAACATGGGCGGCATCTGGGGTGCCATTTGTGGTAGCTGCGTCTGTTGAGGATCAAGTGGTTGCTTCACATCGCCTGGCCAGCCCCACTCGGCAGGTGTTGCCCCCTTGGAAACTGAAGCGCGTCGTGGCTGGTCGTAATAAGGGTGAAAGGCGTTGCGGTATGGCGGCTGTGAGGGCTGCTGTTGGTGCGATCCACCATGCATATTGGGCGACCCTCTTGGCTCGCGTCGGTCTCGATCGTCGCGCTCCCAGCCCCGAGGCGGCGAGTCGTCCGGGTGGTAGCGAGGACGCTGCTGTCGCTGCTGTTCATGGTACTGGCGGCGGCGGTCTTGCGTATGGTAGGGCGGGCTGAGTGACCGGCGCCGCGGTGGGTAGTCGTCGTGGTACGGAGCACTTGTCACTGGGCCACGGTCATCGTAGTCGTCGCTGTAGTAACGGCGATCGCGCGGATATCGGTGGTCATAGTCGTCGTAGTTGTCGTCTTCACTGTACCCAAAGACTGCATGTCCGTCATCGTGATGGTCATCACGACTGCCCCGGTTGCGATAGCGGTTCCATGGCTGAGGCCTTGGCGGAGGATGTGCACCCGAGTCTTGTGGCGGAGGTCCGCGAACCGGCTTGGCGTGATCGTCCCCCCGGATCCAGCTTGAGCTCCGTTCTGCTGCAGCGGTCGGACCACTTCGAGGACCGTTCATCCTTGTTGCCTGAGTACCGACCCAAGGAGCGGCTGGTGGCGGCATGCCCAAGCGCTCGTTCCAAAAGGATGCCCACATCGAATCTATGGTAGCATCACCAGCACCAAAGCCAGTACCGACGGCACCCATGCCCATATCAACGTTGAGTCCATAGCCTGTGGCTTCGGGACCACCTCTGGGTTGTGTCTGGTATGGATAAGAGCCCATCATGGGATGCGGCGGTTGCGTGAAGTATGGTATGCTAGTAGAACCTGGAAAGCCACCAGGACCAGCAGCGCCACCAGCTCCTAGTGGACCTGGCTGTGGCGCCTGCGAGTGTATGTGAGCAGCCGGTGGTGGGACAGGCGCCTCGCCAGGGTGTGGGATGTGCGGCGGTGTGTCTGGGGGTGTAAAGACTTTGTGCTCGGTATCGGGCGAAAATTGCGTCTCATTGCCGTCGTCGTTGGCATTTTTGTCTTTGTCATTCTTGCCATCGTTGCCTTCGTCGGCACTCTCATACTCGCTATCGTCCCTATTCTCATTCCTTGGCTCTGTCTCGTTGTGGTCCCCCTCCGCAGTCAGCGCCCTGGCCTTAGCGTTACGTGTGTTCTTCGCCGTCTGCTTGGCTTTAGACTTTGTCTTCGATTTGGACGTTTCTGCTTCAATAGCATTATCATCTTCTCCGGCCGCAGATGGAGGAGTTGGTGGCGTAGGCAGGACAGGGGCTACCGGGGGCGAGGAAGCCCCGTTAGCTTGACCAGCGGTTTTCCCAGCAGACGTGCTGACATTCCCATTCCGTTTTTTGCCCGAGTTGTTTGACAGTGGCAGAGCATCTCTGATATCGACCGTCTCAGCGTCTGAGTAGTGCTTCTCAGCTTCGTCCTCGGTCTCAGCAGAAGCCTTCCCGTCGCCCTTTTTGGTAGGCTTCGAGGACACAGCAACGGGCTTTTTAGGGCGGTACACGGCACGTTCAAGGCTCAGCTCCGGTCGTGCTTGTGTGTCGTGCCCTCCGTCGGCCGTGCCTTTCCCGGGGGATGTCTCATCGCCTATCTTGTTGCCTGAGCCGTATTTTTCGTTCTCCTTGTTGTCGTTGGTCCCTTGAGAGTCATCGCTCTCCCTCCGGCGGCGGCCAGTTAAGTCGCGTCGCCTATTTACCGGGGACTCATTATCAAATTGGCCACCTTCCTCGAACTTGCCATACGCAGCCGGTCGGCTTCGAGGCGCAAGACTACCACCACGGTCCATCTCATGACTTGGTGCGTCACGATATGATCGTTCAATGGATTCTCGCCTTATGCCGGGGAACGGTCGGCTTGGCGGGAGGCCGTCAAAGAGGTCACTAGGTCCGTGGGTGTCACCCGTGGCTCCACGAGGTGAGAAAAATGACTGTGGTGCTGCCATGTATTGTGGATGAAGTGGGTAGAAACCGATAGGGAGCATCGCAGGCTGGGGTTGCATAAATGGTGGCATATCAAACGAAGCACCAGGCGGTGTTTGGTAGGCCATAGGATTTGCTGGAGGATACGGGAAGTGCGAGGCGCCAAATGGCTGGCCTCGCCCATGAGGTATGAAAGATTCCGGAGACGGGTATGGTGGTGGGAGATCGTCGTGATCTTGCTCAAGGTCGTATTGTCCAATCTTGGCGTCCCGGGATTTGCCTGGCTCGGTCTGCGTCGCTGCTGCCTTGGGAGTGTCGGCTTGATGCGCGGGTGTTGCTTCGGGAGCGCCACTGGCATCGGCTATGAACCCGCCTTTCTTTGTGCCCGCTGTATCAGTGCTGCTAGCATTCATGTCCTCCATGGCCTTTCTCTCTGAATCTTCGGCCGTATTATTGTCAGTTGTTCCAATGTCCCTGTCGTCTGACGGACGTTCAGGTTCGGTAGGCTTCGTGGCGACTGCTTTGGCCTTGCCCTTGAGCTTGGCCAGTTTCTTAGCCGCCTTCTTCGACAGAAAAACAGGGGCAGGTTGTGGTTCTGGTTTTGGTTCTGTAATAGGCTCCCCTCTTTCTGTACTGGGATTGCGCTTATCCTTTGACACACCTTCTACTGCTGTATTTCCGTCCGTTGGCTCTGCCGCAGCTGCATCTGCAACTGCTGGTTTTTCGTCTGTTTTTGGCAGCACAGCCTCTTCGAGAAGCCACTCAACAAAGTGGCGTGGGAGTCGCTCGGCACGGTCGCTTTCTTTGATTCTATCTCGCAGATTCTCATAGATCCAGTCGGCCGCGTCAACTTTGACCTCGACGAGCGCCTTGCTCTTGGACTTTCCCTTCTTAGAATCCCTGGGATACGGGGCAACAGGGGCAACATAGAGTAAGGAGCCTGGTCCTGTGACGGGCTCTTCGTCATCACTCTGATCGTCGTCCTCGGGACCAGCAAGCCTTTGCTCAATCGTCCGGACATAAATAATGACGGCACTGGTCAGCGTCTCGGACGCAATGCGAAACCTGTTTTGATTGTTAAGATTGGCGCTGTCGTCGCTGCCATGCGCCTGTGATGTGACCAACCGGAACACGGTCGCCAGAAGAGCAAGAGTGTTGCGCATCCATTCCATTTCTGTAAAACGCTCCGCGGCGCCCGAACCGGGGAACAGTGTCTTGAGCCGTCCGAGTTTGTTACTCGACTTGTTTGAGTTCAGCTTCTTGCTGCTGCTGGGTATCTTGCCACTGACAGGAGCTGGATTATTGTCGCCCAGGCCTTCCAGGAAGGCCGTTTGTACCATATGAACACGGTGGATCAAGGCGCCGACACGCTCCAGGCATGGTGGTGTCAATGATACCAAACTCGAGCTAGACGGAAGTGCCGATGCGAGATCGGCCAATGTCAGGTTGATGTCGACAAAGGCCTGTGCAATGCGGCCAATCTGGCACTCGACGCTGGGATACTCAGAGGCGAGACAGTATAGATCTTTGGCCAGGTTGACACCCAACTCGGCGGCGTCTGAAGCGCTTTTCGCGACGAAAGATGAATCCATGACTTGTCATAATTTTTCTTTTCAGGAGAATTGATCGAGAGATGTGAGAGATGTGTGCGTGGCACGACAAAGACCGAGAGTGCGCTTTGCTGACCGTAACAGCGAGCAATGGGATACCTTTCCGGATCAAACGACCAGCGCCTTGGGCGAAAGGAGACAAGAGTGAGAGATGTAGTCTTGTAATAGAGACGAGGGATTTGCTGAGGTGGGGGAGACCAGAGTCGTCGCGCGAGTGAGTCGTCGATGCGCGCTGGCAGTGGAGGCGGAAGAAATGAAAGGAGATGAGGAATGCTGTACGGGAGAACCCACGCAAATGAAATGGAAGAATTTCAAAAGCCACAAACATAAAATGTACACCCCTCTCGTATTTTCCCCAACAGCCAGGACGAATTGGGATAAAAAGGTATGACAGAAAATGGAGAAGTAGGACAGAATAAAGAGCCGAAAACTTACAATTTAATGCGCAGTCTTGCTCATTGATGTCCAACTGTGGTCTGTGAGCCCAGCGGAGCGGCTTCGGTTCCCTTGTCTGGGTTTGGCCCCATCATGATCTGTCCCTTGTTCCTGCAAACCAGCCCATCCATATAACATAAAACTACCGGCGGCCCACAGTCCTGCCAGTGCCTCATGAGAATGGCCGCTTGTCCGTTTCCCTTTTCCTTCTCGCCCCTTTCGTCCTTGATTCCCGAACCCTGTCAGCCCTGGTTGGTTCTTCGTCATCTGTCGTTGACTCGTTTGCTTGGCTGTGATGTGTGGGCGCTCTTTGTCCCGGCTCCCCTCGCTGGCTTCCCTTGTTTATTTTCATCCATGCTTGCGTTTCATCCCTGTCCACCCATCTTTCCGGAACATATTAAAGTGGGCAATGTGCATGATGGCACGGGTAGTGACGCAGCCAACGAGAAGTGAGACGGCGGGGCGCGAAGCAGAAAGCGGTGCGCGAGTTAGGACACACACACCAAAAAAAAGAAGAAAGAAAGAACGAGACAGCAGATGCAACGGTCTCATCACACTCAAACCCGTAGCACGCGAAGAGGAGACAAAACAAGACCTGAGGATTCTCAGAGTGACACGACAAAAGGCCGAACGAACAAACGACGAGACGGCGACAGGGCAAGACAAACCGTACACGACGTAAAAAATGGTGACAGCAGCCGAAAAGGGTGATGTGTTTTAGCCCGCCCAAAGTGCACAGCAGCAACACCAGTTGGATCAGACGCCGATGACGTGGCAGTCGAGGAATGTGGATGAGTTTTGCAAAGAACAAAGTGCTAACACGAAATGAACACCAGAGAACAAGAGCACAAGAGCACAAGAGCACAAGAGCACAAGAGCACAAGAGCACAAGAGCACAAGAAGCACAAAAGTCAAACGAGCACAAGAAACCACGAGAGGGCGGTGCGAAACAAAGTGCTGGACGGAGCGGACGGTTGGACTGCAGAGACGAGAAAACGTAAACAAACGGCGAGCGCATGACTGCAACCTTCGCGCGTTTTCTCCTATCAATTCAATTGTTTTCCCTCTTTGATGCTTTCGTAGTGTTACCGTCATGCGTGTCTTGGCCGTCTTCACGTCCGTGTCTTCCAATCGTTGCGCGTGCTTTTGGCTTTGATGGTGGCCTTTTGTTGTGCGCTCGCGGCCAATCGCTGTCAAGGGAGGGATGCAAGGCAATGAAATTTGAACATTTGCCAAGGGCAGCATGAAAGCTCCCGACAATAATTCGACGGAAGGGATTGTGTATTGAAGGGATGGGGCAGCTATGCATTGCATATGCAGGTGGGATGCAGCAAGGGTTTTGATCCACTGGTGCTACCGCGCGCCTCGGAAATGGCAGCTTTGCGTGAGAGAAGTCTGCATCGTTAGATTCGTTTGCTCGTGAGTTGGAACATCGATGCGAATGCAAACGACAGACAAGGTAATTGTCGCGTTCATGTAAAAGGGCAAGCCAAACCGTAAACAATGGGACGGCAAAAAGGGGGGATATGATGTCGAACATTACTTCCGTGGCTGCGGGCTCTTGGCCTGGTCTGTTGAGACCATGTTTGGCCGTTTGCACTTTCCGAACCCAGGAAAAGCGGCATGCAACCCAAAATGTTCTGGAAGGAGCGTGCGCGCTTAAAACAAAAGGAGAAAGAGCGGACGGAGAGAAAATCAGGAGGAAAACGTTACGAAGCACGGGAAGGAGCGGATCAAGTTCCAGGTGGGTGAGGGGACTTCCAGAGCCCTGCTTGAATTGGCTACAACAACGATACACGATAAGCCCGGGCGCTACCACACTACTGGGCCAGGCCACTGCAGTCAAGTAACTGTCTGTTCAGCGGCCTTTGGGCGATCTAATTACATTTTATCTCCAAATTAGCACAGCGCCGGTCGTTGAGGCCGTAGCTGCTGGTGATGACAACCCTCAATAGGACGTTCGAGGACGGTCATGTCGGTGATACGGACAGTAAGTCGTAGGGATTTGCCATGATGCTGTCCAGGTTGATGAATGCATTTGGCACAAAGTCAGTGTAATTCGCAAACATACCCGGCATGTTCAATAGTAAACGTGAGACGTTCAAAGTGTTGCCTTGATCGTCCGCTTGGCTGGCTTTCGACTCGCCGGTACGGTCCAACTCAACGTGGCAATTAGGTGGGTGAGGCGTGAGGCGTGATCCAACGATACAATCTGCTTGTATGAAAAGGTGCAGGGCGTGGTTAAAAGTTAAAGACATTTTGTGAGCAAGTGCGTTTTTGGAGTGTTCGTCTTACAACATGCCTGTGGCGGTTGTCAAAGAGAAACCTGCGATCCGAAGTCGTAAACAATTTGCTTCCATAATGGCATAGCTCAGGTGAATTCAAATTACAAAAGGCACCTGGCATGGTATCTTAAACGTTTCTTCGTCCCTTTCCGCCATCAATATTAATGCCTGCCTGCTTCCCGTGCCATACGACTCTCCTCTGCGACACCGCCATCCACCGTGTCCATGATCGTCTCAAAGACAGGCCTTGGCCGCCATCCCAGCCGGTCCTTTGCTTTTTCATTGTTCGTGACAAGCGCCGGACCCAAAAGCGGCGACACATTACGACCACCACTGCCGCCAGCACCACCAACCATTGACGCTGCCCTCGCCACCCAATTTGGAACACTGATCGACGGCACCTTGCGGGCCTTTGCGAGCGCCGGTCGCTCTTTGCGGATGGCCATGGCGATGCTCGACAACGACACGGGCCGGCCATCGGCGGCGGCCAAGAAGCGTTGGCCGCTGGCGGTCTCCTCTGACGCGGTCATGGCCCGCACGTGCAGGTCGGCGAGGTCGCGGACGTCCACGACACCCAGGTGGAGGTCGGGCAGGGCAGACCACGTGCCGTCGAGCAGGTGCTGAATGGCGTTGGACGCGGGCGGCGGCGGGAGGCCAGGAAGTGTCGGGCCGTACGTACCCACGGGGTTGAGGACGGTCAGCTGCAGCTTGTTGCCGTGACGCTCACCGCCAGCGGGCAAGCCCTGAACATACTCCCAGGCGGCACGCTCGGCCTGAAGCAAGCCGCGGTGGTAGGCCGGAAGCGAGTTGTTGTTGTCGACCGACCATTCGATTTCCGTGAATACGCGGCTGCTCTCTTGGGGATGGCCGTAGCCAATCGTGGCAAACGACGACGTCAGGATGACACGGTGGACGGTCGTCTCCTGGGCCGCACGAAGCATGCGCAAAACGCCATCCTTGGGTGCATCGCCCGACAACGCATGGTGGAGATATGTGCAGCCGCGGACGGCATCGGCCCAGCCGTTATCGGAGGCGAGGTTGGACGCAAAGAAGTGGAGCCGAGCAAGGTAGCCGTCAACGTCGGCACCGGCCGCTGTCAGGGCGATGCCCAGACTCTTGCGCACATTGTCCTCCTGTGACAGGCTGTCCAGAGTTGTGCGGACGGCGTAGCCAGCCGCGAGCAGTTGGAGGATGAGATGCGACGCAAGGAAGCCTGATCCCTCCGTGACAAGGACGATGGTAGCCGAGTTTGCCTTGGCATGTGCCGCATCCGTTACGCCACTTGACGTGTCGACGATGTCGTCCGGGGGATGTGCTTCAAATGCGCCGGGCGCACGTCCGGCCGGATGGCTGTGCGAATCGGATGCTGGGGCCATTTTGGCCTCCACAATTCGGGTTGGTCCAGCTCAGTCAAGTTGCAGCTAGAATGAAGCATTTCCAAGACGGCACAACGTAGGTGCGCTCGGATAAGCTCAAAAGATCGTGCCAAGAAGGCTTACCTGCAAGCAGTTAGCATGACTCAAACGCCATCTCGGGGGTCACATCTCGAGCTGCTAGACTTCTGTCATCTTTCAGGATTTCAGTATCCGTGTGATGATACCTGACGATAACACCAAAAACTGCGAAAATACACCTAAAGGGCACGCACTCCGTCTACGTATTTTAGACATTCTGTCCTTTGTCATTTATACTTGTTTCTGTCACTCCTAGCTTTGAATGCAACAGTATTAAATTTTCAGTCTGGGCATACACCGTTCACACACATTCCATTCGACGTCTTCCGAGCTACGAAACGGCGCCGACGAAAACCCAGCCACGACTTGGCTCAGCGAACATTCTTGATAACGACGGGTTTCTCCTTTGGCACACTAGAAGCATCTTTGAAGGCATCCAGAGGTGCGTCCTGTTTTATGTTAGCGGGGATTTTGTAATACATGTTGGCCCGCCTCCTGGGGACCTTGACCCACGTAGAATACCTTTTGATCCGGCGTCTTTTCTTTTCCGGGACCGTCCACCGCACCCCATTTCAAGTATAGGTCCTTGGGCAGCACCATGTCCTGGTCGACGCTGCGAATCACCAGCTTGTGCCCTTTGGTTGGGTCGTATTGGAGTGTGGCATGCCCTCCCCGTTCCCGCGTGACCAGGACAATTCTGGCGACCAATGCAGCCAGCTTTCTCAGATCGGCCTGTTGGGCGTCTTCCCATTGTGTGATGTCGGTTGCTACATCCTCCACTTGCGGCTTCGGGAAAATGCCCCTGTCGTGATACGCTCGCACAAGCTTGGGCGTCTGGGCGATCCAGAGCTGCGGTGCCACGTCGTGGATGGCGAGGCGTTTGTGGGCGGCGCGGGTCTTGATCTCGACGAGGGAGTCCGGAGGCACGAGCTGGCCTTGCAGTTGGATCGTAAGTTTCGTTGGTGTGGCTGTCGTTGCGTGCGTGGGTGTGGCAGATACAGCATCGGCCGAGGGACCACCAGGTTGGGCGAGGGACAACGATTCCATCAAACCAGAGAGGTCGTCACTTTTCATCGCCTTTGACTTGTTGCTCGCAGACTGCAGAGGGTTGGCAGAGACATAGCCGTCCGTCTCGTAGCGAACGATAAAGTCGAGACCGCCAAACTGATACGAGATGATGCGATGGTGCCCCGTGCCGCCGGTGATCTGCTCTGTGGTGTATGCTTTTTCAAACTCGTGGCCGTAGCCCCGGAACTCCCAAGGTAGAATCACCTGCGTAGTGTCCGTCTCTGCTCGGCAGAATATGACAGTCGTGTTGTTCACTTCGGTCTGGATCGTAAACGGCTCCTTTGCGTACCGGTTCATGCTTGGGTTGACAAAGGCAAGCAACTTTCGCATGTTGTTTCTGTCGGTCACAATGTCCACCGAGCGAATGTCAAAGGACGGATGCTCGACATACAAAGCGCGGAACAGAGGCTCCAGGGGACTGTCTGGATGGCGTGCCGCATTTTGGGCAATGTAGTAGAAACCCGTGTCCTTCTTGACTTTTCGGGAGCCCTGTGGAGCAGTCCAAAGTGCTGGGCTACCCGGGACGGCAATCGTGGGCTGCCCGGCTTCAATCCAGCTGTACGAGGCAAGGTGCTTGACGTTTGTAATCTTTGCAGTCGCAGGAGGGTGGAGCGCTTCGAGATCAGACGAAGTGATCTCGGCGATGGTCGAGGAAGGTGCCATTGCTTTGAGAGTGAACGGGGGCAAATTATGGTCTGAGAAATAGGGAGAAATGGAGAGATTGATGGAAGTAAAGGGCGGTCTCTTTTGCAAGAAACATGTTGCTTCTCAGAAATGCGGCGACGCTGGCCATCCGAAGAAGGCAAATTTCGCGGGGCCGTATCGACATCACGGCCCCAAATAGACCACTTCTTTCAGCAAATATGTCTATACCCAAAGAGGCTCTCTCTTGCAAGGTGTGGCCGAGTGATTGGTTGGCATTGTCGAATATTGACTGGTGCCTCTTGAGCTCCGTACTCTTGATGCGAGGCGAGGGAACTGAATGTACAGTGCACCTGATGAACGGCGGGTAGTTACACATAGGCTACAACCACCATTGAGGAAAGTCAACAATGCTCAGTGGTTGGAGTTGGGCATTGGCTTGAATAGGAAATGGAACGACAATTTTACCGCCTCAACTTCACAGGGCGGTTCTATACGCAGCCAAACGAATTTCGCCACGTCTGTGGGAGGCTTTGTGCATAAGTTCAGCCCCCAACATCACATACATGAGAGCGATGTAAAGGTTGCGAGATGCAGAATTTACGCTGCGGAAAGAACCACAGTCACACCTGAGCAAGCAATGGCCTGTGGTAATAAGAAGAGGAGGACAAACCAAGACCACAAAGCATACTGTCGTAAACGCTTGCCATTTGGGAGTGGAAGCTGCTACAGCTGGCCGGGCGATGCCCTTTGACTGTGGCCGGAACTAAAAAGCGGCCGAAACATAAGCCAGCTAAAACTGAGTCACATTGGTGAATACATATAGTCAGTACGGGTCATTCCCCATCGTGCCGTCACTTACCTACCTACAAGGGGCGTTTCCCTTCGTCTCTATGGTCAGATCAAACAAGCTAATACGATGTCACGAGAAATCCACAGGAAGGCGGTGGATAATGATGGGAAGAATTCGTAGATTTGGCGGCAGATAATGATGATACCTGGCGATGATAATCATAAGCCAGCAGTTGAAACAGGCCATCAAGAATTCGACGTCTTCATTTTAGCCCGAAAATAAACATGGTAATACCAAGAGTAGCTTATCCTGTCTTATTCAGCTAGATATCCACGAACAACTCCGAGCATTATAATCCCCTCGTCACCAACCGCAACTCTTGAAGCTTAAGAAACTACATATAGGAACAATTCCTGGTCCTGGCTACTTGTAATGTTCTTCACTTGTGTGTCTTTCTGTTCCATGGAAACCTTCGACATCTTCCTTCCTTCAACGTCTACTTTTTCAAAATATCAAGCTACCAAAACCAAAACCACAACGCCTCAACTATGGCGTCTTGGACATCCTTACCTTTAGAGCTTCGGCAGCTTGTCCATGGATATGTCGCTGGAGCACCTCTTCCTCTATCAGAAAATGAACGTAAGGTCACGACAAAGCTATCTAGTTATGCTTGCGTCTGCAGGGAATGGCAGACGACGTTCAAGCAGTACACGTTTGTGCAGTTGACGTTTAACGACGATGATGTTGGTGCATTTTGCCGCGTTGTAGATGGCAACAAGATGATTCGTCTCTTATACATACGCTATATACACTTTGTGATTCGTCTGAACGAATACACTTGCTCTTCGTGCTCGAAAGTCGAAGACCCTGATACTATTAAAAGGTAAGTCGATTCGGTACTACGCCTTCACGATCCTTTATCGCTGACCACTATAGAAATAATGTCGCATTTACGGGTCCATTCCTTGGCCTCCTCTCCGCCTTGTCTACGTGGAATGCAGCGGAGAGTGGTGACGAGGGGCGACGAAACCGAACGAGTCACGGTCTCGCACTATCCTTGTCGGTCTGTTCACCGAGCGACCCCCACCATGCGTTTCATAACTTTCGTTTCCATTTCCATCATAACCTACACGCGCCTCGACCTAGTGACGCCGAGCTCTTTGCTGCGCGTAGAAACGTCACAAATCGAAAGCATCGGTGGGCAAGCGGCATACGTCTGGGAAAACCGACCCTGGCCGCGACGCGTCGTGTTTTGGGTGGGAGGCCATTGGTCCTGGACATGGGCAACGGGGCCACGCCGACGATCCCGCGTCTTGACATTGTTCGTTTTGTGTATGTACACCGCCAGTTTTACCGCATGATCCACCCAGGGCGCCTGGCCGATCTGGTGGTAGCCTGTCCGGGGCTCGGCGGTGTCTGGATCGAGCAGTGGCGGCCTGTCACGGATTGTAATTTTCGAATCGTCGAAAACGGCACGTTGCTCTACGAGTCATTTAAATGAAGGAACGTGATATGCATCTGTCGATTACTAACAAGGCCTGTGGTAGGCTACAACTGTCTCCTAAAGAATCTGCGGATGCAGCAGCTGCTGCCAAGAATGGTACATTTGACCATCTACCAGGAGAGCAATAGCGTCATCAACGACATCGACCGTGCCGTGAGCCGTCGTAGACCATGTCGGACGTTGGGTTGGAGCCTGGCGAAAACGTGCAGGCGGCTTACGACTGTCACGGTATCCTTCCTGGTAGAGGCCGACGACTTCTTCTGCATCACCGATGCAGCTCCGCTCACATGCAATTGTGTCAGCTGTAGCAGAGAGGTGGCAGAGGGGAGGAAAATGCCCTCTCCGGACTTTTCCAGACGCTTGTCCTATCAATGGCCAGCTCTGAGCTACCTGGCCTTGACGTCTTCAACACTTTCACCGTCGTCATCCTGCGAGGAGGTCCAGGCCCTCCTTTCTTCTGCCTGCCGGTCTGCTGCACGGATGCCGGCTCTGAAAATGCTAGAGCTTGGTATGGCGAGGACGGCTCCGACCACGCTTGTGTCTTTCAATTTATTCGCCCGGTTTTTGGAAAGGGGGGGGAGACGCAGAGTGAGACGCAGACAAAACCGACGACAAGAAGCGAGCCACCGCTTCTCGCGCTCAGAGCTACGTGGCCCGTCGACGACGTCCTTTCATCTGATCTCGTCCAGCAGTGGCAGGCGGTTGTCGACAGGCACAGGTCCGTGGATCGGTCCTGCGCCTCGACATGTACTGGGTGTGGTCCACCCGATCCTGCATTACCCCTGCATGCGACAACAACGTTATGGTCTCGACGTAGTAGAAACGGCGGCTGGCAAGATGGGCGTACGCTTGCTCTATCAGCACTATACCAGTCTCCCATAATGCTCGCGCCGCAATCACGTTTGGCCCACGACTGGGAGCGCGGCCCAGGGAGACTCGTCATGTAAAGAGACTGTCGAAGACAACCAGCATTCTTGCTCGATCATGACGGGCCGCGGTCGAGAATATTTTCTGTCGTTCTCTCTTCTTTTGTTCATCTATGCCTTTGCCTTATATCGACGGTGCCTCTTGTGCCACCTCGTCATCGTCTTTCTCGTGTCCATTTCGCCCCTGGTTTTCCATTGTCTTTGTCTCCTCCTCCAGCTCTTTTTCACTCGCCTGTCTCTCCTCCTTTGCTTTGACCGCTTCCCACCGCGCCGTCCAAAACGCCTCCACGTCCTCACGCTCGATACGCTGCCCGTCGACGTAAGTCAGCGCGTGCGTCCCGTCCGAGACCAACGGTGGCGGGCCTTGATCGAGCCGCCGAATAAACTCAATACGGCCACGGACGTCCTTGTCGAGCTTGGCGCGGCGCTGCACGTACGTTGTCGCGTCGCTGTGGCCCGTCTTGATAAACACAAAGTGGATTGGCTGCTCGGTTTGGCCGACGACCTCTTCGCGCACGGCTGACGGGCAGTCGCCGAGAAAGACGTCAAAGGCGATAAAGGCCGCACTGTGTAAAAGGTGGACGACATGGGTGACGTGGGTAATAGAAGTGTCGCCCTCTATCGGCCCCTTGGCCAGCTGCGCAGCCAACTCCTGGCAAAACCCATCCACACGCGGTTTGGCCCAGGCGACAATGGTAGGGATACGGCGGTTGGGCACGGCGAGTGGCTGGCGGTAAAGGCAGCGAATCGTGCGCCTCGCCGTGAGGGCCGCTGTTGTATCTTCGCAAAGTATGATCACCATATTAATTATATAGGGGACGAAAGAGAATAAAACGAAGATAAGTCGTCGGTGGCCGGTTTTCTGGGCCGTTTGTCTCTTGTGTTTTGAAGGAAGGAAGTGTTGTGTGGCGGCAACGCGGGGTCGTCGGGGGCGTAAATAGCGTGCTGTGTTTGGTTGGTAGTGATAATTGGAACCATGGAATACGTCGTATTGACTTTCTTAAATATAAAACTGGCAGATATCGCGCCTGGTTGCTGCCTGGCTGTTGCCTAGAACAGCACTCAGATATTCTGTATATGCCTCATGATTTTTGTTTTTGTCTTTCTAAAAAAGAGACCGATGCGCACTTTTCGTAAAACGCAAAAGATATACAAATCCAAAACAAAAGAGAAAAATAAGGGACAAACAAACTCGAAAACGAACAAACAACATGTGCGTTTATATTGTCATAGTGTGTCCTGACTGTAACGTCGTTATGGGCAACCAAGCACAAAACTGTCCAAACGCCCCTTGCCCTCCTACAGCCGCGAACACCGTCCACGCTCCAAATGCCACTGCTTGTGACAACTGTCGTGACTCTGGTTATGGCTCCAGTAAGACAATATCCTTTCTTATTTATGTATCTTATTGTTTTGAAAAAAAAATACTGATCTACCGATCACTCCATTTTCTGTATATAGCCTAACACCTTTTCCATATCTGCTACCTGACAGTCACGATCCCCGAATGACCAATGCATGGATGCCTCAACTAGGGAAAACAAGAGGGCGCCTACTTTATAGTAGGGAATCCCACGGCTTGTTACGTCGTGTTGTTGTTTGATGGATAAAATATAGCATATTTCATAGATTACTTATTTAGCTATATATGACTTGAATTGTGAAGCTTTTAACTATATGAAACAGGATTTCCACACGTAATTCCCATGCCAGTGTACCCAGCTTGATTCCTTTTTAGAAGGGACGGAAAGTTGCTTTTCCCCATTCTGATATCACATACGATAACCTATGCTGCCGTACACGCGGTAACGGCAGGTATAAAACAATCGTCGACCGTGACAGACCGTTTCGCGGCGTACTTCGTCACCGCCGCCAAGTTAATATCCGCTTTCAATGGGGTGTGAATTATACCACCTGAAAGGTGAGCCTGTATATAGTCTAATTCTAAAACATGACCGCTTAGTGAATAAATATAATATTGTACCCACGCTCTGTGGCTCCCTATCCATCCTCTGTTTCATAGGACATCGGGAGCAAACTAAATTTTAATGTGGAAACGGCCCCGTCTGGTAAACCGGTTTTGGCTGCTCCACCTATCGGAGCGGTAGTGGATGCACGTGACGTGGATCGGCAGGGACCATGGCTCGAAAGCCCGTCCAAATTGCGGCATAATAAAACATCTTCAAAAGACCGATTACGCCGCCTCATCCACACCAAATTCACTCCTTTTTACTCCTTTACTCCTTTTACTCCCACCCGCACAAAATGGGCTCCGCAGCGAACACCGTGGACCGGCCAGCGCTGGCGTCCAACCCCAAGTACATCTTCTTTACCGACTTTGATGGCACCATCACCCTGCAGGATACCAATGACTACATGACCGACCACATTGGCTTTGGCGAAGCACTTCGCCGGAAGGGCAACGGCGACGTCCTCAGCGGCGCGCGTGACTTCCGCGATTCGTTCCGGGAGATGATGGACTCGATCCGCACCACCTCGTTCGAGGACTGCATCGCCCTCCTCAAGAAGAACATCAAGCTTGACCCCCACTTCAAGACCTTTTTTGACTGGGCCGACGGCGCCAACGTGCCCATTGTCATCCTCAGCGGCGGCATGGAGCCCATCATTCGCGGCCTGCTGAGCAACTGGCTCGGCGAGGACGCCGTCCGCCGCCGGCTCCAGATTGTCAGCAACAACGTGGCCGCGCGCGAGCCGGGCGTCAAGGACCTGTACAAGGACGCTGGCGGCTGGAAGCTGGTGTACCACGACGACAGCTCCTTTGGCCACGACAAGTCGATTGAGATCCGCAAGTACTCCCGCAACGCCGACGGCAGTGTCACGGCCGCCTCGGAGCGCCCCGTCATCTTCTACGCCGGCGACGGCGTGTCGGATCTGTCGGCGGCGCGCGAGACGGACCTGATGTTCGCCAAGGCGGGCAAGGACCTGGTCGAGTACTGCAAGCGGGAGAACGTGCCGTACACCGAGTTTACGGATTTCAGCGACATCGCCAAGGATGTCGAGAGCATTGTCGAGGGTCGGGCCACGGTGGCCGACGTTTTGGCGAGAAAACAGTAAAGGGAATGCCACGAACAATACAGCGAAAACATAGACATAGACTCAGCAAAGGCAAAAAGAGAAATTAGAAGAGAGGGGCCACCGGTAGCATGGGAGATTTGGTATAGGGACATATAATGGCACTACATAGAACCCGATACGCTCTATTATTTCACCCGGGGATGGGCGCAACGCTAGTGATTCAAACACTTGGTGAAGATTCGTCTGGAAGGAAGGTTAGCATAAGGCATGAAGGTGGAACACGGATCGGATATCAGGTTCATACTCTGTAAAAAACTGCTCAAACGTGATGGTATCTGCTTCGAAGGCATACGTCGGTTTTTTCCAGAGCGGTAACTCTTTGCCGGTCGGGATGTCTTGGCCCACAAACCCGGCGCGCCCAAAGTCAATAATAATCATAGTTTTGTCTGGTCGCTGCATGACGTTTCCCGGGTGAAAGTCATTGTGAACAACTCCAGCATCGTGTATCTGTTGCATTATTGTTTGTACTTCGTCCGCATGCTGCTGGATCAGCGTGCGCACTGGGACTTTGATTAGTTGCTCCATACGGAACCCAAATATTCCGTCCTCATCGACCAACGGATCCGGGTGGACAGAAACAACGGGCGCCTTTTGGGCTACAAGTTTTTGAAGGAGGACAAACTCGTCCTGGATCGATCGACGCTGGCAAGCGTTGACGGCCACCTTGCACACCGGGAAATCGTCGTCTTGTACACAAGGATCTAAGAGCCGGATATGGGAGTCGGATCCGTGGCAGACCGTGCTTGACTTGGCCCATATCTCGTGCACCTGGGCGCTATGATGGATTCGTGTTGCGGTATTCGTGTCCGCAATATCGGGAAAGGTGGTCAAGTCGGGTGTGTCTCTCCAGCTTCCAGCCCAGCTGACACGGTATTCTTCTTTTTCAAAGTCGATATTGATGGCCCACTTCCCCTCCCATTTATAAACCTCGGTTATTTGAGTCGCCATGTCGTAGTTGTCGGTTCACAATGTCAACCTGGACGGGTTGAAAATTCAACGAAAGATCTTGTACGTCAGTAGGCAAAACAACTTAGGCAGAACAAACATTAAAATTCTGCTGATTATTTAACGAAAACTAGTCACGTGCCGTCGTCTTGAACTGAGTAACAGAACGAAGAACCAAACGACATTCTTGGATATTTTCTCACCTGCCATATTCATTATGTAGTGTGGCATTCCGTAATCGTGCAAGGTCCATATAATGTGGATGTTGGAATTCACGCTGCAATTCTAGGTGCTGAGCACCGCGATCAACTCAGAGCACCCTTCCCTCGTAATGTTGATTCAGTACGGAGGACATAAAACGATTATTTCCACACAAAAGTTAACAAATCGTTATTCGTCGACGTCTGTCAAGGGATTGACAAGTCGATGACATCCCTCTCCTAACTGCCCTGTCTCGTGTGCAGCCCCCAGCGGTAAAGGTCGTAGGATTGTCAGGTCGTGGGTAGTCGAGGTCGATTTTTGAAGCAGTTGGAGCATGGTGTGAAGTTGCCACATTAGTTAGCACGTGACACAAACTGTAGAGCACGACAAATCACGGAGTCTGATTACATCAACCCCGGTTCTTAGCAGTGAGACCCACCTTCTCGACGCTTCCTCAACATCCGGATTACATTTCGACACGTTCTCATCACAACCACGCCACGATCGAGTTTTCTCCCAGTGTGATACCAACAGCGTACATATCACATTCTCGCATACGCCCTTACCGACAGCATTGTTCGTTTTGGTATCTTTCGGCACGCCACGTACGCAGCCGCTGGCGGTGGGTTCGTCTTCGTCGGACCGGATCTTGACTCACCCCAGCTCATAGCCTCGCATTCTCCCTCCTCGCCTTCGTATCGAGGCCGTCTACGGCACTCTGGTGCAGTATTGCACCGCCTGACGCGTTATGGTGGCTGCAAAGCGAAAGGCGCCTCTCACCGGCCAAGGGGCCAACAAGGCGCCGCGGGCGTCCAAAACCTCGACACCCGGTCCATCGACGCCGAATGCTGGCGACGACAGCGAGCTGGCCGAACAGTCTGACGCGTCGGACGGCTCCGAGGCGCTCGGTGTCCCCGATGAGCTCAATAGCATGATCTCCGACAACGTCGACCGGTTCGGCATCGGCGCCTTTCCTTACCTGCTCCCGTCCGGCGCCAACGACTCGGCATCACGCCACTTCCAGCCCCAGAACAAAAAGGACTTTACAGCGCTGCCCATGAAGCCCGACCACGAGTCGCGGCCGCTCTGGGTGGACGGCTGGGGCAAGCTGGTTCTCGAGAGCTACCACCCGCTGGCGCGGCCGGTGCAGGATCTGCTGATTACGATTGCCGAGCCCATCTCGCGACCCATCTTCCTGCACGAGTACCGCATCACACCCCACAGCCTGTACGCCGCCGTGTCCGTGGGCCTGGAGCCCCGCGACATTGTGAGCTCGCTCGACCGGTTCTCCAAGACGGACATCCCGCCCAACATTGTGCAGTACATCAAGCACTGCGGCAAGAGCTACGGCAAGGTGAAGCTGGTGTTGCGGCGCAACAAGTACTACGTCGAGACCTCGGATGCGGCGGTGATGCAGATTTTGCTGAAAGACCCGGAGATCAGTGCGTGCCGTGTGCACGGCGCGGAAGAAATGACGCTCAAGGCACCGACCAACGCGGGTCTCGCCATTGCGGGCACGAACGACGCAGCCGGTCTGCGGGCGGCCCAAGGTCTGGACACGCGGCCCGCAGCAGAGGGCAGCGCGCAGGAGGCGCTCTACACGCAGGCATTAAATACCCTGGCCGACGACGCAGACGACGCCGACGACGCCGACGCCAGCGGCCGCAGCTCCGTCTTTGCGTTCCAGATCAGCGACGACAAGGTCAGCGCCATCACCCAGCGGTGCCTGGCGCTGCACTACCCGGCCCTCGAGGAGTACGACTTCCGCAACGACTTTGCCAATGCCAACCTCGAGATTGATCTGCGGCCCGCTGCCCAGATCCGGCCGTACCAGGAGCAGAGCCTGAGCAAGATGTTCGGCAACGGACGGGCCAAGAGTGGGATTATTGTCCTGCCGTGCGGCGCCGGCAAGACGCTGGTGGGCATCACGGCGGCGTGCACCATCAAGAAGGGCGTTGTCATCCTGGCGACGAGCAACATGTCTGTCCTGCAGTGGCGCAACGAGTTTTTGAAGTGGTCCAACATCAGCCCCGACGACATTGCCGTCTTCTCGTCGGACAACAAGTCGACGTTTTCCGGCAACACGGGCATCATCATCACGACGTACTCGATGGTGACCAACACGCGCGAGCGGGCGCACGAGTCTGCCAAGATGATCAAGTTTCTGCAGAGCCGCGAATGGGGCCTGATGCTGCTGGACGAGGTGCACGTCGTCCCGGCGCAGATGTTCCGGCGCGTGATTGGCAACATCAAGGCGCATTCGAAGCTGGGGCTGACGGCGACGCTGCTGCGCGAGGACGACAAGATTGAGGATCTCAACTTTTTGATTGGCCCCAAGCTGTACGAGGCCAACTGGATGGAGCTGTCCCAGCTGGGCTTCATTGCGCGCGTGCAGTGCGCCGAGGTGTGGTGCCCGATGACGACGGAGTTTTTCGAGGAGTACATGCGGGCCAATGTGCGCAGCCGGTCCATCTTCTGCGCCATGAACCCGACCAAGTTCCAGGCCTGCCAGTATCTGATCAAGTACCACGAGAACCGCGGCGACAAGATCATTGTCTTTTCCGACAACGTCTACGCCCTCGAGGCCTACGCCAAGAAGCTGATGAAGCCGTTCTTGTATGGCGGCACGGGCAACGCAGAGCGCCAGCAGATTCTCGACTACTTCCAGAACTCGCCGCAGTGCAGCACGCTGTTCCTGTCCAAGATTGGCGACACGTCGCTCGATCTGCCCGAAGCCACCTGTCTCATTCAGATCTCGGCCCAGTACGGCTCGCGCCGCCAGGAAGCGCAGCGCCTGGGTCGCATTCTGCGGGCCAAGCGGCGCAACGAGGACGGTTTCAATGCTTTTTTCTATTCGCTGGTGTCCAAGGACACGACGGAGATGGCCTTTTCCGCCAAGCGCCAGGCGTTTCTGGTCGACCAGGGCTACGCCTTCAAAGTCATTACGCACCTCAAGGGCATCGAGAACATGCCCGACCTGGCCTTTGGCAGCTCCCACGCCCGGCGCGAGCTGCTCCAGAAGATCCTGGTCGAGGTCGAGAGCAAGTCGTGGCGCGACGAGGAGGAAAAGGAGAGCGCCAGCCTGCTGGCCGACAGCAACATGTTTTACGGTCCGGACGGCAAGCCGCTGCGCAAAGGGCCGGCCAAGCGCAAGGCAGCACGGCGCACGGCGGGCACGCTCAAGGATCTCAGTGGCGGCCAGGACATGGCGTACATTGAGCAGAACCGGAGTGCCAACAAGATGATCAAGAGCAAGAAGGGACCACAGAACGCCTTTTTCAAGGCCATTACGAGAGAAAACGAGAGACGGAAGAAGATGGAATAGGATGTGTGCATCTGATCTCCTCGTGTTTGTGTTTTTATCTTCATTTTGGGTTACTGGTTATTACCGGAATGGTACAAATTGCATGATTGAATGGGTAACAAGACACTGGGAATACAATGGTACATGGACTTTTGTCAAAATAGAAGGATATGAAACTCCACAGCGAATCAAAATTATATTACAAGATCGTAAAACTCTTGCAACAAACCAAATCTGTCGACCAAAGCGAATTGCGATCCTAAGATCGTTATATCATGTCATGACCACACTACAACTACAACACCACCTCCATCTAGTCCTTCTGCTTGGAGAGATCCGGCACCAAGTACCAAAACACCAGCATGGCTGTAAATAGGCAGATGACTATCGGGTGCAGCACAAAGGTGCCCACGGCCTGCGCCAGGACACCGGTAATAAACGGTGCCGCCGCGCCGCCCGCACTGCCAAACGCACCCATGACGCTGATGCCCGCGACGCGCTCGCGCCGGCTCAGATTGCGCATCATCAGGCCGACGGCGCAGGGGTAGACGGGGCCCAGAAGAAGGCCCACGGCCGAGACGGCGACGGCGTCGCCAATGACGTTGGGCACAAACCACACGAGCAGCTCGAAAACGGCGGACCCGACGACCAGCAGGTACACGGCGCGGCGGGGGCCGATGCGCTGGGCCGGAACGGCCAGCACAAAACGGCCGACGGTGATGCCGGCCCAGAAACCGGCGGTGATGTAGCCCACCTTGGGCTCGGTGCCGCCGCGGTTGGCAATGAGAAACGACGTGACCCAGCCAGCGACGCTGACCTCGGCGCCCTGGTACATGAAGAGGAAGAGCGCGCCCAGAAGAACCATGCGCGACGAGGGGACGGTGAACATGTCCTTGAGGCGCGTGGTGGCGTGCTGTGTGCGGAGGCGCATTGTTGTGGGCGTCTGCGGAAGCTCTTGCGTCGTCGTAGGCGCAGCCGTCGACGGCGCCGCCGGCCCCGCCGGGAACAGGGGCGCTGTTGACGAAGCAAACGAGTGAGAGGGCGTAGCAACGACGGACGCCGATGCCGACGGACAGAAGGGGGAGATGGTCTGGGGATGCGACTGGATGGGCGACAGACTGGGCCGCGGCGGTTGAGGTGATGCGAACTCCCGCACGGGCGACGTGGACCGCGATCTGACTCGCGGCGGTGCTGCCGTGGCGTGCGTCGACGTGGGCTGGGGACGCTGAATGGCAGAGGCATTGGACGCAAAGTCGGTGAGTTCGATGTTGGCTGGGGGTGGTGAAGGCGGCGCTATTGCGGCCATCGCTGTCTTGCCTTTCGCATCCCACGGGACCTGGCGCGCCGCCCGTTCCGGCCTGTCCTGTCCGGCTTGCTCCTGCTCCTGCTGCTGCTGCAGGTTGTCCAAGGCTGCCTGCCGCTGCCGCCCCACAAGCCACCGTCTCCGCCGTTCTGCGGCACCTTCGGAGCTGGACGAGTCCGGCGTCGCCTCCCGCACCTCGCCCCAGTCCCGTTCGTAGCCCGCAAACGTCCACGCCGACAGCACGGACGTCAGCACGCACACGCCAAACGGTACCAGGTAGAACCGCCCAAACGCAATGGCCGACTTGCTGTCCGGGTCCTCGGCCGCGCCCGTCGCCACCGCCATCGCCGTCGCAATGAGGGGGCCCGAGATGCCGCCGATGCCGTACGAGCCGTGCACGATGCCCAGGGCCAAGGTGCCCTGCTGGATGCCCGCGCAGTAGGTGTTGCCCATGGCGACATTGAGGGCTTCGCCCAGGCCGACGGCAAAAAACCCAACGACAACGGCCACAAAGGGCGCCACCGTGGTCAGCAGGGGGACGTAGCCGACGGCCATGATGAGCTGGCCGATGCAGAGCGTGCGGGCCTGGCCGAGCCGCCGCTTCATGGGGTCGGCGACCGTCGCGGCGATGATGGACCCGAACGCGCAGGCCACAAAGATGAGCGACACGACGCCGTAGCCAATGTTGTAGTGCCGCTCAATGTACGGCAGCAGCGCACCGGCGGCGCTGTCGTTGAGTCCGTCGTTGAATGCGTTGAGGGCCGCGGTGGCCATGCGGAAGATGTTTTTGCGGGGCAGAAATATGCTCTGCAGGACTTCGACGCCGTTCTCTGCGTCGTCGCCCGGCTCGCTGCCCAGGCCCGTGTGGTGGCTGGCTGTGTCGGCGTGGTGGACGTTGGCGCCGCTTGTGCCGCTGTTCTCGTCGTCGTTCTCCACTGGCGTCACGGGCCTGCTCCTCTCCAGGTCGGCAGCATCAAACGTCTTGGTCGACGGCTTGCGCTCCAGCAGGACATTGTCGTCGTTGGCGGCGAGGGGACTGGCCGGACGGGGGCGGGCGACGGCACGCGCAGGCCGGGCAGGGATGGACGGCGAGGCTGAATAATGCGTGCCAGATGCGCTGGCCATTTGAACAGACGTGCTCGTGGAGTGTGCTGCGTGTTCCGTGCGTCCAGGCTGTCCCGTCGACGCCGACGATTCAATCTGGACGAGGGACAACATGGTCAACTTATAGGCGATGGGTGCTTTGAAATTGGATGAACATGGGAAATGGACCAAAGTATGTGCAATATAGTCGCGCCAAGTGAGATGGATGTATTTGCAGTAGGCAGGATACGGAACTGGCTATCATCTATGCCCAGAGCCCATATCGTCCGATGCAAGTCACAAAGAGGGGATTCCGAAGACGGGGAGACGAGAAGGGGAGATTAGGAGGCGGACACAAGGGTAAAATGGGGATGGCGCCGCTTCGATCCTGAGTGTCCGGAGTGTCGTGGCGGCTGGTCTTGACGTTGTGGCCCAGGTTGGCCCACTGCGGTACCGTGAATTGTGATGTGAGTTTGGGTTTAACCGATGGATAGCCGTGGCGGAGCTGGTCTTGCAACATTAGGAGGTTGGATGACTGTAATGGGCGGAGAGAATCAGGAGGACGGCGGACGACATAGGCTTGGGAAAGTCTGAGTCTGAAAATAGACGGTGAAGAGGGTCCCATCCGAATAAGTGCGAACCACCTGAAATAAGAAGTAAGACGGCCGACTCTCTACCGACGCTCACTCGCATTTTCTTATATCCTTTTCCTTGTCGTTGTCTTTTCTGCACGCTTGGGGATTTGTCAGATCCACACCTCCACGGCAATGACTTCGACGACGTGATATTCCGCCCTTACCCACGGCCACGATCCACTCCCACTTTCCACTTACACCTAGCACGCCCTGGGGTCTCGGGCCCCCTTATTGTGTTCACATGGGATGGACTATGCATCGCAGCGGAACTGCCATCACAGGTGCCTTACTTGTGGACCCCAAAAACTCCGACAGCCACGGCCAGACTCCGACAGGAGTGGTTGTAGACAAGCAGGCAAAATAGGCAAAACAGGCAAGGCGTGAAAGCGAGCATGAGGCAAAGTGGCTATGTGGTTATTGGTCGAGTCTTGAGCACGGTTGTTCTGCGTAGTCTTTTTGCAACTTCACTGCCGTGCTTCTGTTCGTCGTTTTTATTTTCGTTTCCGGCCGTGGCTGCAGATCAAAGGCTTGACTGACACAAGGGCCCACATGCTCCTCGCCAGGAAACAGTATTTCGACTTCGCCGGTCTCTTTGTCATTCTTATTTTATCTTCTTTTCCTTTTCGTTCCCAGCATCGCATCGTCCCTGTTAGTGCCGGATTTTCATCGGTCTAGGCCCGGGCGCCAGCACGGGCGAGCAAGTCGCATTATCTCTATCATGCAGAGGAAAAGGCAACAGGACAAGTACAGGCTCCAAGACCTCGTCCAGAGGACCAAAAGTGTTTGGGCTGGTCTTGTCTCCCGGCCCGTCTCGGCCTCAGTCTCATGGCCTCGTCCAGTCGGTCCTTTTCTGCCAGCTATTCCTATTCCATAATCTCAAGACGTGGGTGTATTTCGTGTCCCGCCGGATCGTGGGACAGGGGACTCGAGGTGGAGATGAGGGAACGTGACGGGCGAGAAGAAATAAGAATACGTCAGTTACAAGTACGGAGTTGTGGAGGATGTGCTGTGCGGAGGTCTAGTGTCGCGGACTTTCCCAATTGGGCGCATCCGCTCCGCCAAATTATACTACTTGACACACAATGCAGAACTCCAACCCAAATAAATCGTAGTTTCTTTTCTTATTTCTCACGCTGCTATCACCGTCCTCTTCAAGAAAGCCCTTCGCTGGCAAAGTTTCGGCAGAAGTTCGCTTGAACATAGCTGAACCAGCCACACGAATTACGAGCCCATGCACCGTGAACTTGTTCGGGCTCTTTTTGTGATCGGTTTTTTGGCTGCTATTGTTTGAAGCCACCTGTCGGTTGCCCTCCCATTTTCCCACATGCTGCCGTTCCCTGTTCTTTGACAAACAGATATTTGCCCTTGTGAACTGCGTCTCGTCTGACAAATACGATATCTGCAACTACCGAGTATTACGTACTACGATATCTGCTATCATTTGCTATTCCTCTCGTCGAGACCACCAGCAGAGACAGAATTGCTGACCAGATCTTTGGCATACCCTTATTTACCTGACATGGGTCTTGTGTCGATTGCGGTCCCTCTTAACCTTTGCTTTGATTCATAATACAATCACCGACGGCCGGGGACGTTGAGAAGCGTGACAAATGTGGTTAACATTCATAAGAAAATTCACTCGTCATCCATTACTTTGAGAAGACGGAAAGCTGGAAAGCTTTCACGGCTACGATTAGTAGCTTCCCGGACAAACACGAAAAAAGTATCTAAGTAAGCGCAGCGTACAATTGGCCGTGGAATTTGAAAGTCCCCACGCTTGAATGATGCGAATGGTTTCGAAGCTTTTCCTGTTGAATTTATCCCGGGGCGTCGAGATGCCTCAATTGGCGGCAAAGCGAACAAGGGCGACGTGGACAGGAGGGAAGAGTTCCAATTGGCTCTCGGGAGTGCCCTGTGCTGACCCTTTAGGGACTTGAAGCTGATCGTACACCGCCAAAAATAATGTGGCAGAAAATAGCTCTATTTGCAGTACAGGATGTGTCATAGTATAATACTAAAATTACAGTGCGCTTAACGATAAAAATAATCGAGTAAAAATTTCAGACAAGAAAGCAACTAGCAACAGGGTATCACATCCAACAAGCTCGACAGATTCCTTTTGAAATATTCGCACTATCGCAACAATGTCCTCCGATGCCACGTTTGAGCCCGAGGTCGACGTCAACGGCACTACGCCGCCGGCCGCCCTGACCGCCACCCAGTCGCTCGCCCGCGTCTTCATGGCCGAGGGCAACGGCCGCTACACCGTCATCCTGCCCGACAGCAGTGCTGCCCTGGCCCTCAAGTCGGGCGCGACCGATGGAACAGAGAGGGCGGAGAAGAAGTCCACAAAAGGAGGCAAGTCAGCAAGGGGTGGTCGTGGCGGAAGAGGCAAGACCGTTCGCGGTGGTGGTGCCGTTGGGTTTAGCGGCATGGGCCGTGTAGGCTGCGGGGGCGTCGGGCGGTGCAACGGCAGCTGTCTCGATCGCGGTGGGAAGACATGCAATGGTGGTACACGCGGTATTGCGGCGGCCGACGCGCCGACAGGGGAGAAGGAGGCGGACAACGGAGAGGCCACACCAAAGACTGCGAAAAAGAACCGCGTGCTCGTCGACCTGCACACGGCCTTTCACAACACTGTCCGCGTCGCCCGCCATAGCATCGTGCTCGTCGACCTGGCCAAAGCACCCGAGAGCCTGCAAAAGGGCAGCCGCGTCGTCGGCACCATTGTCAATGTCGTGCGAAACCCACAAGTCTGGGCCCAAGCGTCGTATTGGCCATACCCGCCGCCAGCAGCCACCGTCAAACCCAAAGAGGACGACTCCATTGTCGGCCAGATGCCGCCGAGCGACGACGATGAGGAGTGACCAGAATGAGTGACCGCGATTCACTCCTCCTTTTTCTCGCTCGCCCCCACTCTGACAACTGGGGCATACTCCTCGGTGGCTCCCCACCAGACGAGCGCGACCGTCACCGCCATCGCTGCCACAACAACGCCCGAGCTGACAGGCGTGCTGGGAAACACGTTCCACGCCCACTCCTGCGCGGCCCACAGCCCGTACTGGACAATGGGATGCACGCCGCTGCGCCACAGCAGGTACGGCGTCGTCCAGGCCAGGTACGCGTAGAACTGGTAGTGCAGCGAGCGGGCTGTCAGCAGGCCGACAAGGTTGGCCGTCAGCACGGTTGTGAGCACAAAGCGCGGGGACGCGGCGCGGGCCGACAGCTGTGCTTCTTCGCTGTCGGTGAAGGGCGGTGCAAATCGGAGGAGAGGCGCCACAACGGACGCCAGTGGCCCCGCCGGCCGCAGCCAACGCGTCGTGGCAAACAGAGCCAACAGCGCGACGTGCACGCCCAGCAGGCCGAGCGCAAAGGGCCGGCTCAGAAAGACCTCCTCGCCCACAAACCGCCAGTTGACCGTCCACTTGAAGAAGAACTGGCGCGACAGCTCAAACGCCCGGCCCAGGTAGCCCTGGGGGTTCTCCAGCAGGAACGGAATGGCAATGGCGAACTGGACCTGAATGAGAACGGCGGCCAGCCGCACCGCGCCGCGGAAGCCACGGCCGTACAGAAGAACAAGGCCGACAGCGGGCAGGCTCAGCAGCAGGCTCATCTTGGTGCCCAGGCCCCAGGCATACGCCAGCAGGCCGAGCGCCCAGTAGCGGCGCTGGAAGAAGAAGATGGCCGCCCACAGGCAGAGCGCCGCGATGCCGTCGTTGAAGCACCGGAGCATGTAGATGCTGTGCAGCCGTTTTGACAGGATCAGGAGGGGGAAGACGTAAGGAGGGGCCTGCAAACAACAATGGCACAATTAGCACAATCAGCACAATAAGCACAATGAACGCAAGTAGCATATACTCCATAAACGGTCCTGAGACTCGTTACCACGCACATTCGCACCCCAATAGCAAGCCATGGCCAGGGCCAGCGCCGCCAGGTAGACGCCGGCAAAGATTTGCTGCGCCAGCAAAATGTTGCGGCCCGCGTCCGTCACGTAGTACAGCCCCGTGTACGCCCACACGTGCGCCGCCGGATACACCAGCGGGCCCGTGCCGCCCGCCATCTGCGTGTAGTCGCGCTCGCCCGCCACGAACTGGCCAATCTGCTCCATGTACGCGACCCAGTCGATCTCCGTGTACGGCACCTTCCAGACGACGAGGGCGCACAGGACCGCGTCGAGGGCAAAGAGGCCAAACGGAACAAGGACAGACAGCGCGCTGCGGCCCGTGAGCACGTCGAGCACGAACTGGACCACCTGGAGGCGGAGTGGAGGCGACGAGGACGAGGCTGAAGGAGGCGCCGCAGCCTGTGGGCGTTTCGGAGGCGGTGGCGCCATCGTACCGGATCGGCGAGTGTGCCGCGCCAAGAGTGTCGTGTGCAATGGGATGGGATCGTGGACGGGTCCGTGGGGGTGTCGCGGGCGCAGTTCCGCGATTATCTCCGGATTGTCACAGGATGGGATGAGTTGAGAGCTTGAATCGCCGCCGAAGTCGCGTCGAATCGCTGGTCTATTTTAGTGGGGCGCCCCCTGGCTACTGTGTAAAGGTGGCCACAACAGCTAATCTTAGCTTCTGGCAGCTAAAACGGAAGGCACGGTGGGCAGCTGTGCTTTCCACGTTGTAAAAGCCAATCCGTATAATTACGTTGCGTCTAAATTCAACCTTCTATCACATTGTCTGCCCATCAACACAGTCACCCAACAGCTCTGCCAACGATCAGAAGCAACCCGAATTATGCCGTGCCCAGCTTTCCTGCGACAATCTCGGCCACCAGCTCGACGACGCGCTGCGAACACCCATACGAGCCCTGGTAGCCCCAGCCAGCGTGGCCGTAGTTGTGCACCACCCAGACTTTGCCGGTGCCCAGTCCTTTGACCAGATCGATCTGCTCGGACTCCAGCCGCACACCGCCCTCCCGGTATGGCCGCAGGCCCACGCCGTGCCGAATCACATCCAAGTCCGCCGCCGTCTTGCCCGCCGCCACCAGCGTCGGGTGTGTCGCCGCGATCCGCGCCAGCAGCCGCAGCGCCGTGTTCGGGTCCGGCTGGCTCTCCCAGTTGCCCACCTGGTACGTCCCGCCAATGACGGTGCCGCCGCCCGCCGCCCGCATCATGCTGTACACCGTCTCACTGTGCGGGGGGGCCCCGTAGCGGTCGGCCGCGCGACCCGCGCTGAGCATCGGGCTCAGCTCGTCGCGCACCACGACCACCTGTCCGCGCGCCGGCTGCACCGCCTTGTCCATGACTCCGCCGAGGCGGCACGCCAGCAGACCGCTGCAGTTCACCACGATGGTGTCGCTGTGGTCCAGCACCTCCTCGGCCGACTGGGCGGCCGTCGTCCCGTCTGCCTGCACCGCGAGGTTGGCAAACGACGCCGCCTCCGTCACGTGCTGGAGGACGGCCCGCCGCAGCACGACGCCGAGCGCGCGGCACTGTCCGACGAGCCACGGCAGGTACAGTGCCGTGTTGATGCACACCGACGTGAACTCGGACGCCGACGCGAAGCCAAGCGGCACATGGTCGGCCGGCACGTCGCGGTAGTCGTCCACGAGCGTGCTGAACCAGGGGTCGTCGTCACCTGATGCGTCGGGCAACTTGAGAGCCGTGTCGCCGTCGGCAGCGGGAGCCACAGATGCCACTGTGGCCTTCTTGCCGCGGCGCAAGATCAGCGACTTTTGAAAGTGGATGCCGGCCTCGGGCACGTCGGCTGCCAGCCGCCGCAGCTCCGGCCACGTCTCGCACTCCCACCGGCTGCCGGGGGCGGGACTCATCCTGGCTGTGTGTTAGTGGTTCCGCTGTCTCCGAGTCGCCTTTGTCGTCTTTTCTTTCATTTTGAGGGAATGACGCACGGTAAAAAATCTGCGCCTGCCCAAGGCGAGGTGTATTCAATGTCGTAGTCGCCCGGCATATGGCGGGCCAAAACCGTGACGCGGTTCTTGGGGTCGCGGGCTAGAAGCAGAGCAGTCGTCAAGCCCGCGACGCCGGCACTGGTCGCGTTAGTAGACGACGTAGACGACGGCCAGAAGGACGTACCCGATAACGACAATGTTCGGCATTGTGAGGTGAGACGTAAGCTGTCGAGTTGCGTAGTATAATTCGCGCCAACTGGCAATTTGTAGGAATATCTAAATCTTATTGTGTCTCGTATGTCGTTGTTGCATTACAAGTCTACATCAAACCCAAATATCAAGTCACTGGGACGGACGCCCTGTTCCTCATATACGCTTCTTCCGCAGCTCGGCACAGCATTCCCAAGATGGAACATTTGTTGTCAGTAATACTACGTGAAGATGCATCGAGCTAGTAGCCCCTCCTCCTTGTTTACGTACTCCAACTTGGAGATAGCAAAACCGGGCCCTGGTCTTGGAACTTCCCCTCATAACTTGGCGGTTCTAAGCCGACGCCGGCGCAAAGCGACTACCAAATGTATCTGCGGGCTGCCAATAGCGACAACGCCTGCAGTCGCCGAGCTGTCCGACTTAGGACGTAAGAGGAAGGCCGTAGACGGTTCTTCTTCAAGGTATTTGGTCAATGAGCAAAACAAGAAACAGGATTGTACCCAAGATTGTGCGTCAGCGTACTTCCGTGTCCCTCATTATGATCTGTCGCACATTTGGCTGAAACTACAAGTCATGTTTCTATTTCAATGCAGAATTTTTTTGCTCCTGGTCATTTTACCCATCTGGTATCTAGAATCTAGTAAACTGCCTCTAAAGTTGTGAATGGTGATTATGCATATGGCAGGCAGAGGCCACTCATGGTGTCCTCTTCCTTAAAAAACAAAACGAACAAAAGCAGAATATGTAATGTAGCCTCTCCGCCCTCAGTTGTTCTTCTTCAGCGCCTCCAGCAGCTTGGCCGGAGGGTCCTGCCGGTAGCCCTTGGGGTTGTTCTCCACCCACCGCCACAGGTCGTTGCACGCATCCTCCATCGTCAGCTCCGTCTTCCAGCCCAGTTCCTTGTTCGCCAGTGCCGGGTTCGCCGTCAGGTCCAGCACATCGCCCGCCCGCCGCGGCACCACCTCGTATGGCAGCTCACGGCCCACCGACGTGTTGAATGCCTTGATAATCTCAAACACCGTGCTGCCGCGGCCCGAGCCCAGGTTCCACGTCTTGAGACCGGGCTTCTGCTCGCGCAGGTACTTGAGCGCCGCCAGGTGGCCGCGCGCCAGGTCCAGAATGTGAATGTAGTCGCGGATCGCCGTGCCATCCCGCGAGGCATAGTCGTCGCCAAACACCAGCAGCTTGTCGCGGTCGCCCGTCGCCACCTTGCCCAGCAGCGGCAGCAGGTTGTACGGCACGCCCTGCGGGTCCTCGCCCATCAGGCCCGTGGGGTGGGCGCCCGCCGGGTTGAAGTACCGCAGCAGAGCACCGTTCCACCGCGCAACGTCCGCGTCCGACTTGCCCGCCTTCTTGGCGTTGTTGCGCTGCGCGTTGACCTGGTCCGTAATCACATCCTCAATCATCGACTTGGTGCGGCCGTACGTGTTGGTCGCCCCCGTCGGGCAGGTCTCGGGGATCGGGATCATGTCGGGGAACCGCGTGACGTCGCCGTACACGGTGGCCGACGACGAGAACACAATGTTGGACACGCCGTGCCGCTCCATCGCGCGCAGCAGCGTGATGCTGCCGCCCACGTTGACGCGGTAGTACTCGACGGGGATCTCGCCCGACTCGCCCACGGCCTTGAGCGCCGCAAAGTGGATCACGCTATCAATGGCCGGGTGTGCCTTGAACACGGCGTCGAGGGCCGCCTCGTCTGTCACGTCAGCCTTGTGGAAGGCCGGTCGCCGGCCGCAGATCAGCTCGATGCGGTCGAGCGCGACCTCGGACGAGTTGTAGAGGTTGTCGACAATGACGACATCGTAGTCGTTTTGCAGAAGCGTGAGCGACGTGAACGAGCCAATGTAGCCAGTGCCACTGTTTGCAAAGAAAGTGAATGGTCAGGTCGCGGTCCTTCTGTGGCTTCTTTGGTGGGGAAGCTTTTGGAGAGACATCTGCACGGAGGGGCTAAGGGGGCTTGGCTTACCCAGTCACCAGCACAGTTCCGACGACCATGATTGCAGATGTGCTTGTGGGGGAAAATTGGGAGGAAGAATGATCAATTGGTTCTGTTTTGTCGTCCGAAGATGAGGCCAAGAGAGAATAGGGGCAGAGGGCAGCAAGGCCTGGCCAAGTTATAAAAACAGCAGGAGCTATTGCGGGGGTTCCGTGTAAAATGTATGGCCCGCTTTGCTACAAGCGCCCGTCCCAGACACAACGGCCGCGCCGTTCAGAAATTCTCGCAATAATACGCAGTTGTAACGTTAACCTGTTCCACACCGGCCACCGCTCTTCTCTCTCGCAGCTCCAGCACAGCTAATAGACACACCTGGCGTCATCGTGTTCCATCCTGAGCCTAGCAGTCGCTGTAAATCAGACCGAATGGGACACCTGCGACGGGGAACGTCGGGAGTGCAGTTGCAACGAATATCATTCATTTGTGAAATCGCTATAACGGGGTGCATAATGCGAACCCCTGGCCATTCACTTGGAATCACCCATTCACGGTCGCGACTTCTCCAAAATTTCTATATTTATTCACATCGCAGGAGCATTGTTGACGAGACAAGAAGGAACAATGGCAATTCTGGCCTTCGCCAGCGGGGCTAGCACCAAAACGTGGGGTCGACCGTATGCGGCCTAGCACTGCCTTCAACCAACAAGGAAAGCACGGACGCGCCGTAACTTCCATTTGCGACGCGTTGATCCAGTAATACCGTCCCTGCCACCTCTTTCCCAGCCTGCACGCGGAAAAAAAAAGTAAAATAAACAGAAAAAAAGGAGCAAAAAGAGCAAAAAGAAATCGACCAAGCTTCACCGACCTTACCCCGGTTCCTCGGCCCCAACCACCCCCGGACCCCCAAGCGCATCACGAACCATTTTGTGTTTTGTCACATCGCGGCCGTCTCTCCCACCGGGCGCGCAACCAAAGAAACCGCAGGGCTCCTCATCGATAGAATGGCAGCAGGCTGCTGAGCTTCCTTACTGCCGTCGCCTCTGCTTTCTTCGCCATTGGCCTAACATCGGGTGGCTGTTGGTTTCGACCTTCGCCGACAGTTACTTTCGTCCTTTTGTTTTCCTTTGCTGTTTCCGCCGTTCCTTTCTCTGTCCTCCTTTGTCTCGCACTCTGCCGCTTGCGGGACTCGACAATCGACAACAAAGAAGCGACCGACCCCCTTGTTCGCAACAAGCTGTCGACCTTTAGATCGCGACGACGACGTTGTCATTTATTTGCGCTCCCATGCCGGCATCCACGGGGCCATCTCGACTTTGCTTCGCTTTTCCTTCACCTACGTCGCAAGCGACAGAATACGTACACCATTCACTGCGCATCAACCACGAATCTCATACGCAAATTCTCAAGCTCAAATTGCTCTTCACTGCTCCGACTTCTCCATCTACTTCATGTCGTAAGCATCACAACGACCTCGCAGCCTCGCAACCATGCCTCCTAGACGATCGACACGCGTGACGTCGTCGAGCCTGCTCTTCGACGGCAGCTCGGAAGCCGGCGGGCCTCTCGACAGTTCACATCTCGACAATGTCCAGCCACAGTCTGTTCACACCGCCGTCGGCCGCGGCATGTCACCGGGTCCCGCCAAGTACAGTTCGGCTTACGGGTCTCCCCCAACCATCCTTCCCACAAGACAAAATGTTGCACGGCAACGGTACAACTTCTCGAGCGCTCTGAGCCACGTTGTAGATGCGGTCGAGCAGGACAACGAGAACGACGCCCGCGAGCGCGCGCAACGGGAAGCCGAACAAGAACAGCGCCTGCGGGCCGACGCCGACAAGGCAAAGGCGAGCCAGGCGGCGGTACCTCTGCCGCCCCCAGCTCCAGTCCCGTCACGCCCAGCAGACGAAACGCTAGAGTCGGTGGAGCTCGTAAGAGAGCCAGTTGCCGACAGGGAGTCCGAGGCGACCAACACCTCCGACCGAAACTCAAGGCGTACGTTATATTCTTCATGTCCTGGATGGTGACTCGCGCATACTAATCTTTTTCTTTCTTTCCCCGGACAGCAGGGCGCAAAGCACAACCAACAGCAACAGGCCGGTCTTCGCGAGCGGTGACGGAGACATCTCAGCCCAGGGAACAACGGGAATCGTCCCCGGAACTGGACTTTGCGGCCGAAGAGCAGCTCTTTGCCGAGACCCGGATTTTCTCGCCAGTCGTCCCAGCACGGACCACCGGCGTCGTCTCTAGAACTTCGAACATCCTCCAGAACATTCTCAATTCAGCACGCCGTATCTCAAACTCCACCACCACCACCCGTGAGGAGCCCGACGATGAAGCCATCCGCCAAGCGTACCCGCAATTCCGCTTCATTCGACCCAGTGCCGACGACCTTCCCGCGAATGCCGACTCGAACCAAACAGAAGCCGAAGCCGCGCGGCCTCGCGCCGCAGCAGGAGTGGCCGAACCAGCAGAGGCACAACCACCACCGGCTACGGCGGCTAGAACGGCTGCAACGGGAACAACGGGTACACCAGGTACTACACGTGCGGCTGCAAAATCGATCAAATCGCGGATCGCCACGCCAGGTCCGGGTTTCAGCATGCGTAACCGCAAGAGCTTATTCAAGCCATCACGCGACCCATCACAGGACGAACTCGCTTCTAACGATAACGACGTCGAGACGGTTGCGTCAGCAAGGAGTCTGCTGGGCCGGAGGCGTACGCCAAGGGCACCGTCCCAGCCAGTGGCGGAGCCGAGGCAACGGGCAAGCACCGAAGACACTGAAGTCTTAAAACCGACGTCTTCCGATACAGCATCAAAACGCGTCGGGGGCATTTTCGCGGGTCTTGGTCAACTGGCAAATGTGCTGGCCATGATCATCACCGTCACCGTGCTGGGACTGGTAGCTTTGCGCGTATTCGTTATATCGACTTCGCCGGCCGAGCTCTACCAGGGCTACAGGGTCGACAACCGTCTTCGCTGGTATGGAAGCGACTGGAGGAGCAACTTGCGCCAGCTTGTGCCATTCGCACTGGTACATCCTCTTGGTGCCATCAGCGACGACGAGTTTGCCCGCATGAACGGTCTCCTTCTGAGCCATACCAACGAGATCGCGCAGCTGAAACGTGCAGACCGCCTACACAGCGACGCCCTCGAGCGCATCGGCCGAATCTTGCCGCGTATGGTGCAGATGGAGCTCGACCGGCACGGGCGCCCCGTCATTTCGCAGGAGTTCTGGCACGCGCTCAAGGAGAACATGCAGGCCGACAGGGACATCTTCAGCCTGATCTGGAACAAAGACGGCTCCATGGCCATCTCAGATCTGCAGCTGGCCGCGATTAAGCGCCAGCTGCAGTCGGCCGGTCTTTTAGCGGACCCCAACACAAAGGCCCTTTCCGTCGCTGATGTAGAAGGCACCGTCACAACCACAGTGTCCAAAAGTTTCGAGTCGTGGCTGCGGCAGAACCAGAAGAAGGTCCAGGACATTCTCGGTACACACGTCCCAAAAGACCACTCTACGCCGTCCCCGTCGGCCGAGTTCGACTACGGCGAAGTTGTCGATCGACTCTCCGAGACCCAGGTGGTGAAGCTGGCCAATCTGCTTGCGGCCTCGCCTGGGGCCAAGCAGATCCTTGTGTCCCGGCAGGAGTTCTTGCATCATTTGCAGAATGCGTTTGTGGAGCACCGGCTCGAGATCAAGGGCGAGATTGCCGACCTGGAGACGCATGTCGTGGACGCTGCACGTGTCGCGGCATCTGCACTGTCCTTGGCACAAAACTCGCCCACGGAGGCGCCGCCCACGACGACAGGTGTGGCTGGCAGTGGCGGGTTGGGCAAGCGCGAAGTCACGGCGCTTGTTGACCAGCTCGTCCGCCGCATCATCACCGACACGCAGCTCGAGGCCATGGCGCGTGGTAAAATCAAGGCCCACTGGGACGCCGACCTGATCCAGCAGATCAACTTTTTCACGCAACACCACGGTGCCACGATCAACCACCACTTCTCGAGCCCGACGTACGAGCCGACTAAGTCTCTCTTTGGCAAGCTGATCGGCAGCGGCGGCGGCGGCGGTGACGTAGGCCCGTCGCCCGGTCTCCCGTACGCAGCCGCCGTGTTTGCGCCGTGGGAGCAGGACGGTGATTGTTGGTGCGGTGCGACCAAGGGCAGCAGCAGGGCGCGGGCGCCGTCGACGTCGACGTGGAGGAGGAGCGCCAGTGGCCAGGGCCCGACCGACATTGGAATCAAGCTCGGCCTGCGCATTCTGCCGCAGTTCCTCGTCCTCGAGCACATCAGCCCGTCGGCCACACTGGACCCCGGCGCCACGCCCAAGGACCTCGAGGTGTGGATGCAGATCACCGACTACGCGCAGCAGCAGCCGCTGCACGACTGGAGCATGGCCCAGTTTCCGGACACGGACGACCGCGAGCCCCTCTTTGGCTATGGCTTTGTCAAGGTCGGCGAGTTTGTGTTTGAGGCCACCAAGGCCGGCGGCGTGGCGGGCGGCGGCAGCGGTGCGGCCCAGGTCTTCCGGCTGTCCCCGGATCTCGAGACACTCGATGCCACGACCGACCACGTCATCGTCCGCGCGGTATCCAACTACGGCGACCAAGACCACACCTGCTTCTACCGCATACGTATGTACGGCCAGCACCGGCCAGATGTTGTGGAGTAGGGTGATTTTATTGGTTTTTCATTATGGTTTGTCTTCGTTTCTCTTCGGTTTTTTCTTTCCTTTCATGTTGGTGTGCGGCGCAGGACGGAAAAATACCCTAGCGATTTGTTCAGCAGACTGGGGTGGCTTTTGTTTTAGTTCCTGTTCCAATGTTTACACAAATCAGGGGGGCAGGCGTTTGGCAGGCGTTTGGTGTACTCTCTCCATATTTGATGTTTTCGTCTATTCGACTCTTTTTCTTGTTTAATTGCATCTTCACATTCTTGTTCTCCATTTCTTCTTGCGTTCATTACGTCCGTTCATTACGTTCGTTCCGTCATGCACACGTGAATATACAGTCGATTCCAACGGTTTGCTACTTGATATCCAGGGGTATCCAATTTCGTGCCAATTTCGTGCCAATTTCGTATTCCATGCATCCAGTCAACGGACTGTGTCAACGTCTACACCATCGCATCTGCGCCGTGTCCGGCCTTCTTCTCTTCGGCCTCTGCATCCTCGGGTGCGCCCGATTTGTAGGCAGCCGGCTCCTCGTACGCCAGCTGCAGGTCGTCGTCAATGGCGTCGCCGACCTCCATCCACTTGCCCGTGGCGCTGCATGCGGGCACCGGCCGCAGACGACACAGCAGCCAGTACATGCCAAACGACACGAGGAAGCCGCAGAAGAAGTTGAGGTTGTAGATGTAGGTGGCGCCGACCGGCACGTCGCGGCCGATGGCGCCGGCGAAGCCGACGACATTGATCAGAATGCCGGAAATGTACGCGGCGTAGGCGCGCCAGTGGAAGCCCTTGAAGAAGTAGTAGGGGCTCTCGGCGCGGCCGTCGTAGAGCGCGCGGACTTCCAGGTAGCCGCGGCGCACGGCATAGTAGTCGGAGACCATGACGCCGGCAATGGACGACAAGAAGACCGAGTAGGCGGACAGGTAGGTGGTGAACTGGTTGCTGCTCGTCAGCAGCGTGTAGGGGCACATGGCGAGGCCGACGATGGCGCAGATGTAGCCGCCGCCGCGGATGTTGATGAAGCGCGGCAGGAGGGCCGTCAGGTCGGTGCCGGCGGACACGGAGTTGGCGGCAATGTTGGTGCCGAGCTGGGCCAGGGCAAAGGCCAGGGCAATGACAAAGACACCGAAGCGCTGGGCCGAGCCGCCGTCGGTGATGAAGTTGTCGAGCATGTCCAGGGGGTTCCAGATGGGCTCGCCGTAGATGACCTGGGACGCGGAGCTGACAAAGATGCCGATGAAGCTGGTGATGCCGAAGCTGACGGGGATGGTGCAGAGCTGCGGGAACAGGGCGTCGCGGGGCCTGCGGGCGAAGCGCGTGAAGTCGGGGTCGTTGACGATGAGGGTGGCAAAGTTGGCGATGCTGCTCATGATGCCCTTGACAATGGCCCACCCGAGCGCCGAGCCGGACAGCGTGGCGCGCTGCTTGACGACGGGGCCCGCACCGCCGGCGCGCAGAAGCGTCCAGATGAAAAAGGCAATGCCGGCGCAGGGCACAAAGTAGGCCTTGACGGTGAAGAGGTGGCGGATCTTGTGGACGGGGAACCAGAGGGCGGGCAGCGAGCACAGCCAGAAGATGAAGAAGGAGGCGTAGTCGGCGGTGGTGGTGCCCGAGTCGGGCGCGAAGGTGTTGTGGATGGTCGTGCGGTCCCAGCTCGTCCAGATGGCGCGGATCATGAGGTAGACGCAGTTGCCGCCAATGTACGACTGCACGCCGTACCAGATGCAGGCCATGGCGGCGCGGTTGAACACGGGCCACAGACTGCCCCAGATGCCAAAGGACGCGCGGTTGACGACGGGGAAGCCGATGTGGTAGACGGCGCCGATGCGGCCCGTCAGGCACACAAAGTTGGCGGCAATAAAGTAGCCCACCCACACGCAGATCCACGACTGCCACCACGACAGGCCGGCCGTGACCATGGTTCCGGAGATCATCCACGTGTTGATGTTGAAGGCATCGCTGATCCAGAAGGCCACAAAGTTCCACGACCCCCATTGGCGCCGGGCCGGCTCAACGGGTTTCAGGTCATGGTTGGTCAACTGAGAGAGGGCACAAAATTAGCATGTCTGCCGCGGGAGGCAAGGGGCATCGCAGCAAGGCGACCGTACCATCAACTGCGTGGACGTCAGCCCCGGCTCGGCGTCGACGGCCAACGCATGGATCAGACGTCGCATCGCCATGTCGGCGATGAGGGGCGATGAGTGACGTTGAAGACTAGTTGTTGTTTTTTTTTTAAGTAAAGTCAAGTGGATGATTAACACGAGTTGTGTTGATGTTGTCAAAGTCGATGGTGATCGCAATGGCGAACAACAGATGCCAAAACAGTGACCATGATGCAAACGACTGGAAACACAGACGGGCGCGATCGACTTATAAGGAATGCCAGCCGCGCAAACCCATCAATCGACGCTGGGAACGTTATCGCACGGCGACATCTTCACGTCGGCGCAGATGCTTGTTCCGTCGCTTCTGGCTCCATTCTTTTCACGGTTTTCGCCGTTATGGCTGGTCGCTTCCCCGCAAAAATCGTCACTTCTTCCAACAAAGATACAAGGATACAAGGATACAAGGATACAACCCGAAGACGAGAGCATGTGCTTATTGTCAATGACAATTAGACACGAAACTAATGTCCTTGGATTGAATCGACTGCCTCGACGGTGTGTATTTGCATAGTAGCCGCGTCAAACGGGGCGAAAACCAGCACAAATCAAGATAAGAGAGGCCGACGGAGGAGAATCCCTGGGATTGGGTGGTATTGGCGTCACAACCAGCGGGGGCGATCTGCATTGCTGCACGCTTCTCACCTTTGTACGAAGTATTGCCAACCTTTGTTTGGGTGTCTGTGGTCCAGAGGATTTTTGGACTTTGGGAGCAAGTCTCCAAGTCTTTGGGGGTCAACTCGCCCCATCGATTGTCTCGATTGTCCTGCCAAGCTCAACTTTTCCATTGCATTTTCAAAAACATAATGCGTTCATTTGTCGCCTCCAGAGGCATTGATAAGAAAAAGAACGCAGGCAAATGTCTCCAGAAAGCAGCGGGCCAGCATCCACTTGGCGGCAGGCAAAGCGTTATCGTACAAGCTGGTCTCCTGGTGTATCGGTCAATGGGGCCGCCGTCGCACAGATTAATCTTCGTGACAAAATTCCGACTGTCATAGCGGGCAAGGGCCTGGTCCCTACAGCGTACGACGTACAGAGTGGACTGGACTCGAGGTGAGACTCAAATGACATCGTGGTCGATTGCCGAGGAAGACGCCAGAAACGCGAGAGACGGCGCGACAGGGGGGAATAGGTAGAAAACAGGAGGCACAGTCTAGTAGTCGGATCGCCATACTGCCCCGATCAGCAGTGCTATCGACCCGTCAACATATCGGACGGAGCCAGAGCATGACTCTTTACTGAGCGACCTTCACATGGAACGGCGTCCATGACGGAAGCGGAGGCGAAAATAGAAGTAGAAGTAGCCGGCGCCGACGCCGGCAAAATCACGATTATGTAAGGAAGAGGCGTGGTCACGTGCTGTCTTGAAGAAACATAAGGCGGTGAATGAATGTGGAAGGGTCTTTGTCTATGCAAAAGTGGGGCATCCAAAATACTGCCGTCCCATGTTTTTTTCTGCCGTGGGCCGAGATATCTTGGATTCTCGAGATGCTTCACGACCGACTACTGCGCTCGACGAACGACCGCCACCCATCGTTGTTTTACCAGTCACCACAGCCACCATGGTATGCACAATTTTCTCTGTCTGCACGGCTGCTGACCTGTCACTAACACCGCTCTCCAGAAAATCAAGGTCTTAAATCGATCGGCGGCGTCGTCGCAGCACCAGCAGCGCAACCACGACCCGGCGCTGCATCCCTTCGAACGCGCCCGCGAATACACCCGTGCGCTGCAGGCGGCCAAGATGGAGCGCATGTTCGCCGCTCCCTTTGTCGCCCAGATCGGCGTCGGCCACCAGGACGGCGTCTACTGCCTCGCCAAGGACCTCGAGAACACCGACCGCCTTGCGTCTGCGAGCGCCGACGGCATCATCAAGATCTGGGACCTGTCGACACGGGACGAGACGCAGAAGGCCAAGGCTCACGAGGGCCTCATCAAGGGCATCTCGTGGATCAAGACCCAGGCCGGCCGCTACCTGGTGTCGTGCGGCACCGACCGCAACATTACCGTCATGGACGCCGTTTCGGGCGAGGTCACGTCGGGCCTCGGCGACTGCGCCTTCACGTCCATCACGAGCCACCGCACCGCCCCGACCGCCGTTGTTTCCGGCTCCTCGCGCATCTTTGTCTACGACCTCGGCCGCCCGACGCCGACTGTGTCCGAGACGCTGGCCTGGCCGCACTCCGTCGACACCATCACGGCGGTCCGCCTCAACCAGGTCGAGACCAGTCTGCTGGGCTCCTGCGGCAGCGACCGCAGCCTGGTGTTTTACGACCTGCGCACCTCCTCGCCCATTCACAAGACCGTCCTCAACTTTGCCTGCAACGACCTCGCCTGGAACCCGCAGGAGGCCTTCAACTTTGCCGTCGGCAGCGAAGACTACAACATCTACCACTTTGACATGCGCCAGATGGGCCGCGCCCGCAACATCCAGCAGGGCCACACCGGCGCCGTCCTGTCGCTCGACTTCAACCCCACCGGCACCGAGCTCGTCAGCGGCTCCTGGGACCGCACCATCCGCCTCTTTGACGTGCGCAGCGGCCAGAGCCGCGACGTCTACCACACCAAGCGCATGGCCCGCGTCCACGCCGTCAACTTCACCCCCGACGGCAACTACGTCCTGTCGGGCTCCGACGAGGGCAACGTGCGTCTGTGGCGCGCCCAGGCCGCCTCGCGCCAGGGCATCAAGTCCACCGCCGAGCGCCAGAAGCTCGAGTACGACGCCACCCTCAAGGAGCGCTACAAGCACATGCCCGAGGTCCGCCGCATCCTGCGCCACCGCCACCTGCCCAAGGTCGTCAAGAAGGCCGACCAGATCAACCAGGAGATGCTGCGGTCCATCAAGCGGAAGGAGGAGAACCGCCGCAAGCACAGCGCCAAGAAGGACGGCAAGCGCACGGCCGCCCGCGACAAGGTCGTCCTGGCCAATGTGGAATGAAGCGTGGTGGGCGAGAAGTTCACGATTGCCAGCTCATTTACCTTTTATTTCCCCTACGTCTCCTGCAGTGCCGCGCCGCGGAGAGGATCTGGGTGCATTCAGACTCGGCACTTGGTACCATTCTGGACACACCGACAACTGGAAAAGCAGGGATACCAGCCCAAATGGACACGCCATTATCAAAAGGACGTGCTCGTCTATTGCAAAAGGACGACAGTTTTACGATACCCCAAAACTCGAGGGAATGTACATATAAAAGCGTTTTATGTTCGAATGGTTTGCAAAAGCATGTTGGGTGGGGTTTAATTCATAAATGGATGGCGCCCCCTAATACAGGCAAATAGCTAAAGTATTCGAGACGAACTGAGCGCGGGAGAGCCAAGCCCGCGAGTCTGCCGTCTTTCTTTTGCCGGGAAACAATGTAAATATTGCTCCTCTTGTCTCGTGAATGACTTGAAAAAGTATGTGCCTCAAATCCAGGGACGAGGATACGCTCGACTGTAGTTTGCTGTTTTTGCCTCTTTGTCTCGCCGCTGAGTTGTTATCGATGTTGTCGACAGAAATTAATCATGAGACTTCCATCGACTCTTGTCGGCCTCGCTGGCCTCGCCGTCCCCGTATTCGCCGACGGAAATACAACACAGCTCGGCCTCATCCGCAAGGCCACCGACCCGCAGGTTCCGCCGGCGTATCCGATCGGCTTGTCCAAAGAACCATTTGCCAAACCAGCTGGCCAGCTGTTTGACATCAATGGAACAGTTGGCTATTTTGCAGGTAACAATCCCTACAAGTTGGTTATCAGAAACAACGCTGTTCAGTAAAAGCTAAGGACGCAGGCACGAATGCGTGGTGGCTTGGCCATCTCACTAAAAATGAAGATGTCGATACGGCCATGCAACAAATTGCCGATGTGGGTGCCGATTGGATTTCTCAGAATTCTATTTTATTTTCATTTTTATTTACATATTTATTTTCATTCATCCTTCCGCTAACACGAACAGACGAAATACAAAATCGTTCGCGTCTGGGGATTCGGCGACATCAACGCCGGCTTCCGTCCATCGACAGACACGGCCGATCCGCTCCGTGTCTGGTTCCAGCAGCACCCTGCGTCCAACGACACGGAGGCCAACCAGGCCGCGCTGATCAACTACTCGCCCCAAGACGGCCTGCCGCGCCTGGACTATGTCGTGTCCACCGCCGAGCGTCTCGGCCTGAAGCTTGTGCTCCCTTTTGTCAACAACTGGGCCGACCTCGGCGGTATTGCGACCTATGCGGCTGCCTACGGCGGGTCGAATGCGTCCGTGTCCTTCAACTTCTTTGAAAACGACCGTGCCCAGCGCGCCTACCGCGACTACATTCGTGTCCTCGTCGAGCGCTACCGGTCGTCCCCGGCCATCTTCGCATGGCAGCTCTGCAACGAGCCGCGCTGCGAGGGATGCGACCCGGCCGTCATCTACCGCTGGGCCGCCAACGTCTCCGCCTACATCAAGCAGCCCGGCATGGACCCCCACCACATGGTCTCGCTCGGCGACGAAGGCTGGTTCGCCCCGGACGCCGGGTACCGCGAGGCCAGCGGCGCCTCCTCGCTCGCCTACGAGTCGCACGGCGGCGTCGACTTCTGGGGCAACCTCAACATCTCGACGCTCGACTACGGCACCTTCCACCTCTACCCGAGCACCTGGGGCTATGCCTACTCGTGGGGCGACCGTTGGATCGAGCAGCATGCCGACGCCGGGAACCGGGCCAAGAAACCGGTCGTGCTCGAGGAGTACGGGTCACCGCAGCGGGACGACCATGCAACCGTCCTCATTCCGTGGCAGCACGTGGTGCTCAACACGAGCATTGCTGCGGACCAGGTGTGGCAGTTTGGCCCGGCCAATCTGTCGTTTGATGCGACAAAATTCGGCGACGAGTTCAGCGTGTATGCAGACAAGGCAGATTTTGCGAATGTGAGCCAAAAGCATGCTCAGGCCATGTTGGACAAGGTTGTTGTTTTGTAGCAACTGTATTTACTGTTTTTCTCGACTACTTGAGTTATTTAAAATGTAAATATGTTTTCAATTTAAATCGTGAATTTATGTATATTCAGTGTCGTTCTTTACAATTGTTTATATTATAACAAAAAAAAAAAAAAAAAAAAAAAAAAAAAAGAAAAACAAAAGAAAAAGAAAACAGTCATCCATTTTGATTTCAAATTTACGGTAATTCTCTTTTCAAACTCAAGGTCACAATATAACGATCAACAATTGCTTTGCATGTATCTATTCGTTTCAAGCAACAAAGCAGAGCCACACAACGAAATGCGTCGTCTCGACTCCTTTCTACTCTTTTGGCCGCTCAGGCAGCTTCTTCTCGTTGTCGCCCTTGGCCTTACCATCAGCCTTGCCCTCACCCTTGCCCTTCTTCGGCTCCGCCGGCGGCTTCGGCTTGGGGTTCGGGTTGCCGCCCCACTGCAGCTTGCGCGGCGTCATGTAGGACACCAGCACCTCGTCAGTGACTGCTTTTCTCCGCTCCTGGAACTCCTCGACGTTCTTCTGCAGCACCTCAATCGCCATCTTCTTGAGGTCGCCCGTCAGCAAGTCGCCCTTCTTGTAGTCGTCGTAGATCTTGGCCAGCTTGGCGTCGTCCTCCTCAAAGTAGGTCAGGTAAATGTACGAGACATCGACGTCCGGGTTGCCGCCGAGCGCGCGGTGCTCCTCGACGGTCTCGCGGCCGCCGCTGAAGGCGTGCTTGTTGATCTTGGTCTTGACCTGCTTCGCGGTGTCGGTCATGAAGATGGCCGAGTTGGGGTTGGACGAGGACATCTTGCCGCCGGCGCCCTGGAGGGCCGTCAAGAACTTGGAGTGGATCAGGGCGGGCTTGGGCGACGGGTAGCGCATGCGGTGGGCGTTGTCGCGGAGGAGGCGGAAGTACGGGTCCTGGTCGATGCCCATGGGGATCAGGCAGTCAATCTTGGCAATCTCCTTGGTGCGGACCGCGGCCGGCGTGTCGGCCCAGATCTCCGGGTACGACGTGGCAAAGCCGGCGGCGCACTGCACCGACGGAAAAAAGACCTTGCCGACGTTGGAGCTGCCATCAAAGCCAAACGCGCCGCGGACCTGGTTGAACGTCACGAGCCGCGAGAACTCCCAGGCGTTCATCAAAAAGTGGTTGCTCAGGTACTCGAGATCGCTGAAAATAAACGTCTTCTTCTGGTCATAGCCGAGCGCAATAATGTCGCGCGCATTGTCCTTGCCGTACTGCAGCGTGTCCTCAAACGCCAGGCTGTCCTTGAACAGCGCCTTCTCGTCGTCCGTCAACATGAAGACTAGCGGCACGTCGAACACGTCCTGCAACCACTTTGTAAACTGCAGCGGGATCGTGTGTCCCAGGTGCAGGCTGCCCGTGCTGGGTCCGCGGCCTGTGTACAGGAAGAAGGGGTCGCCGTGCTCGTAGCGGGTCAGGATGCGGTCAAAGTCGCGGTGGCTGAAGAAGAGGCCGCGCCGCAGCCAGCGGTGTGGCTTGTGGCCGGTGACGCGCTCGAAGCGCTCGAGGAGGGCCTCATCGATCAGGCTCGTGCTCCATTTTCTGGTCCTGTTAGCACACAATGCAACAAAAAGACGAGTGTAGACGGGACCGACGTACTTGCTGAGCGCCGCATAGTCAATGGCGACAACTTCGCCGTTCTCGTCCACGCCGCCCTGCACCGACCAGGGGTTGATGTCCTGGTCGGCAGAAGCAGGAGGAGCGGCGGCGGCCGGTGCGTCAGTTGCCATTGTTACGAGGGCGGGGTTCGGAGCGGATCGAGGTGACGTCGTGTGCAGCTCGATTGGCCGAAATGTGTCATTAGATGCCAAAAAAGTGAAGCTTCTCGGAAGAGCGCAAAAAAAGGACAGCGCTCGCTGGCAAAACGGGAAGTTCTGCGTTAGTCACCTCGCAGGCCGTGGGTCGTGCCTGCCAGATTGGAGTTGCCCCGCGAAAATATGCAAAAACGCTTCGAGCCGTCTTTTTGCTGGCGAGGGGCAGGCACAAGGGCACTTTAGCAGAGACAGGGTGCAGTGGGGCCGCTATATCGTTTTACAGGGGACTACGAATTAGCTGTTTGGATCAATGGCGATCACGTGTAGCGAAATGGTCGCGACGAGATGCTTCATGGTCAACAGGGATGACATTATTGCAAGTACGTAGGCATTTACTGATTGTACATTGGTGGAGGAACGGCCCACGGTAGTATACACTGACGTTTGAGATGCCTTGCGAAAAAAAAAACAGTATGCCTGTGCTCTCTATGCTGCATGACGATGATTCCAAACTCCTTTAAGAAAAAAACACAAAACAACCCAAAAGCTTTTAGACAGACACAAGAAAATCCAGCCCTCGTAGAAAGTGCCTACAGCCCCGTGCTCACTTCTTTCCACGGTCGCGGCGGCCCACCTGGTGCAGCCGCAATTTCTTCTGGAACCGTCCACCAACCATGCTGTCCTCGTGGCCGGCACCGGCACCGCTGGCCCGGGGTCCGTCGATCGTGTCGATGCCCCGCTTGCGGCTCTTGTCTAGCATCGAGCGCGTGCCGGCTGCACCGCCGCCGCCGCTCTTGCGCTGCGTCAGACGGTTGATCCGGTCCACGCCTTCGCCCAGGCCGCGCCACTCCTCGCCGCCAAAGCTCATCTGGCTGCTGCCGCCCTGCTCGGCAGCCCGCTTGGCGCGCTCCTTCTTGCTTGCCTTGGGCATGCGCACAAAGTTGGCTTCTTCGTACTCGCGGCGCTCCTCCTCGCGCTGGCGCTCTGCAGCCGTCGTCATGTGGCGGCCGCGGCCGGCAATGTTGGCGCCGACGCTGAGCTCAGCAATGGGCGCCGTCGACAGCTCGTCGGCAATGAACTCGTCCATGGTCGCCGACTTGAGCGGGCCGCGGGCGCGCTTCTCGCGGCGCTCGGTTGTGGGCATCATGGTCGGTGCGATCTTGGGCGGGCGGTAGACGCCGCCACTGCTGCTGTCGGCCTCGGCGCCGCTGCCGCCCACCTTGGCCTTGGCAGCCGCGGCGGCAGCCGTCGACGTGGCCGGGCGGACAAACGCGCTGCGATTCGGCCGGCTGGCAGACACCTCTTCCTCGTTACCGAATGCAGCGTCCTCGTCTTCGTCATCCTCCGCGTCCGATCCAGAACCAGAGTCGGAGTCGGAGTCCGAGCCCGAGTCGGACTCTGCGGCAGCCGCCTCGGCCTCGTCTGTCTTTTGCTTTGCCCTACGCTCGACCTCTTCGGCGGCCCGCAGTGCTTTCTCGACCTGGTAGCGCAGCTTCTCCTCGAGCGGCCGGACGCCCTTTTCGAGGTAGAGACGCAGCTCGACAAGCTTCTTGACCACGGATTGGCCCAAATCGGAGGTCTCGAGGCTCAGATCAGCATCGGAATCGGATGGAGACGAAGAAGCGACTCTGCGCAGCTTCAACAGTATTAAGAAGACCATGTGCTCGAGGTAGCTGAGGAGAAGTTCGTTCTTGACGTCGAGCAGCGAAAGGCCGTCTTCGGGCGGCGTGAGGGCCGACAGCTTCGGGGTCGCATCGGACACGGAGACGACAGACTTCTGGAGCGACTCCAGAAGCTGTGGTAATGTTGATGTCGCCATTGTACTGGGAAATGTGTGTATATGGAAAACTCGGATTGCGTCGTGAGAAACGGCCGTGCAGGAGACGAATGTTTGCTTGAGTCGCGCCTGCCGAGCGCCTGTAATTTTTTCCTTATCGTAGAAATTTAGTGGATACCCTGCGCTACGATAAGATGACCCGCTGTTGCTGCCCGGCCTAAGCCTCGATTTTGGCGAATGACTAAGATAACGGCTGCTGACGGTTACTGGCTGGGTTTTGGGGCGCTCCAGAAACGGGTTAGACACCAAGCTCCAGGCAGGAGCGAAGCAGGGAGCTGCAGAAAGGCTAGCATCACCAAACGTGTCGTTTACATCACGAGCATCGACGCCATCCTCTCCACGCAGACCACCCATTGCACGCACTCCACGACGATCCTAGACAGCGTCGGCACGCGTTTTCTGCATCACTGCATTTTGCATGCTCGGCAATTAATGACAGCTGCAGACCCACAAAGCTGTGCTACAGCAGGCAACACTGTTTTGTCCTCCCCTTTTTAACACGTCTTCCGAGGCGCACGGCCAGATCGAGCGCCCCATTGGCGACAGCCTCGGGAACGATTGGACTGTGAGTTACGGGCCTGCGATCTCCTTGTGTAGATGTTCGATGTTACGTGGCGTCCACGCTGCGACCGAGACAATCCTGACGTCCCTGAAGATCTCCCGGTCTACCCGCCTCTAGGCACATCCCAAAGATACGAACTACAAACGGCCTCCTCAACCGCCACGATGATCGCCCGCGCCTTCACGCCGTCCTCCGCGGCGGCACTAGCCGCATCCCTCCTCTTGTCCGCCCTTCCCCAGCCGGCGTCGGCTTTCTACCTGCCCGGCGTGGCACCAACCTCCTACGAGCCCGGCAAGACTGTGCCGCTCAACGTGAACGCCATCCGTCCTATCGCGGCGCCGCGTGATGCCATGCTGCATGCCGTCGTGTCCTACGACTACTACCACCCCTCTCTGCAGTTGTGCCAACCGGCAGGCGGGCCCAAGAGCGTTGGCGAGAGCCTGGGCAGCATTCTGTTTGGCGACCGCATCATGACGTCGCCCTTTGAGCTCAAGATGGGGCAGAACGAGACGTGCAAGACGCTGTGCGGGGTGACGTACGAGGCCGAGTCGGCCCAGTTTGTCAACATGCTCATCGAGCAAGGCTACAGTCTGAACTGGCTCGTGGACGGCCTGCCGGCGGGCCAGGAGATCATCGACGACCTGACGGGCACCGAGTTTTACAGCCCCGGCTTCTTGATCGGCCAGGACAACGGCGACAACGCCATTGCCTTCAACAACCACTACGACATTGTCGTCGAGTACCACGAGGTCAGCGGCGACCCGAACCAGCTGCGCGTCGTCGGCGCACTCGTGCAGCCCAGCTCGCTGCGCTACGACGACCCCAACGCCATCGACTGCTCGCTGCAGCACCAGCCCGTCGTCCTGGACACCAAGGCGGGCGGCAAGACGCCCGTGACCTTTACCTACAGCGTCTACTGGACCCCCTCCAGCACGGCCTGGGCCACGCGCTGGGACAAGTACCTCCACGTCGTCGAGCCCAAGATCCACTGGTTCTCGCTCATCAACTCGGCCATTATCGTCGTCTTTTTGGTGCTGACCGTGCTGTCCGTCATGGTGCGCACGCTCAAGAAGGACATTGCCCGCTACAACCGCCTCGACCAAATCAACCTCGACGACCTGTCCGGCACCAGCGCCGTGGACGACGGCGTCCAGGAGGACTCGGGCTGGAAGCTCGTGCACGGCGACGTCTTCCGCGCGCCCGCCCACCCGCTGCTGCTTTCTGTCTTCCTCGGCAACGGTGCCCAGCTCTTTGTCATGACGGGCTTCACCATCGTCTTTGCCCTGCTCGGCTTCCTGTCGCCGTCCAACCGCGGCTCGCTCGGCACCATTATGATTCTGCTGTACACCATCCTCGGGTTCGTCGGTGGCTACGCGTCGGCGCGCGTCTACAAGGCCTTTGGCGGCGAGAAGTGGAAGCTGAACATTGCGCTGACGCCGCTGCTGGTGCCCGGTCTTGTGTTCAGCGTCTTCTTTTTGCTCGACCTGTTCCTGTGGGCCAAGCAGTCGTCTGGTGCGGTGCCCTTTACGACCATGATTGTCATTGTTGGCATCTGGTTCGTCATCTCCGTCCCGCTGTCCTTTGCGGGCTCCTGGATCGGCTTTCGGTCGGCCGCCATTGAGTCGCCCGTCCACACGAACCAGATCCCGCGCCAGATCCCGCCCGTCACCACGTACCTCAAGCCCATCCCCAGCATGTTGCTGGTCGGCATCCTGCCCTTTGGCGCCATCTTTGTGGAGCTGTATTTTATCATGAACAGCATCTGGTTCAGCAAGATCTACTACATGTTCGGCTTCTTGTTTTTGTGCTACGGCCTCATGATTATTACCTGTGCCGCCGTCACCGTCCTCATGGTCTACTTCTTGCTGTGCGCCGAGAACTACCACTGGCAGTGGCGCGCGTTCCTGGCGGCCGGCACGACGTCGTTGTACATTTTCGCCAACGCCATCATCTACTGGATCAGTAAGCTGAGCATCAGCAGTCTGGCGGGCAGCGTGCTGTATGTGGGTTACAGCGCCCTCATCAGCTTCCTCTTTTTTATTCTGACTGGTATGTTTCTCCTTGACGCGTTCCCCTTTGTTGATGTGCTAACAGCGACCTCTAACACGTACAGGCTCTATTGGTTTCTTCTCGAGCTGGTGGTTCACCCGCAAGATCTACGGCAGTATCAAGGTCGACTAAACGGCGCCAGATGTCAGCTAGACAACGTTGGCAACGGCAACACGAATGTATCTTGCCGCGTGCTACGGGCACAATTCCACACACGCACATACGACGCACCCTTACGTCCCTTGTCGTATGTACGTTCTGTGCGAGAGGTCATGCTACAATGCCCTGATCTTTTAAGGCGCGGTCTTTGCGTCAAACGACCCATGGGGCGTTCAGTTCTAAATTCAGCAACCTACCAGCAACGTGTCCTTGGACTGGTTATTGGTTGACACGACAGGAGGGGGGAGAATCAAAGGTAGAATAGGAGATGCTTTGGGTTAAGAAAGTTAGAAAAAGGGGAGAGGCTAGGCGTTTTTCACTTTCGCTTTCATGTCACTGGAATTATTTTTGGTTTGTTCTTGTTTTATTCATATTTTCAATAGGTTTACGGTCGTAACTTTTCGGGACTGTCTTCCACGTCTTATTCATAAATTTTCACTCTCCATACAACGACACTATGACTCCTGTCACTTGTGATCTTGATTAGCACCTGATTAGCACCTTTGCGTCTCGCTTCTTTCGAGGCTTTGTAATCTGAAATTGGATTGACATACAAAAACATAAAATAGATAGCAGGCGTTTACACAGCAAGAGGACATGGGCCGTGCAGCTTCCCAATCTACGCCAGACGCCGACCCCAATCTCGATCTGATAGCACGAGAGACTGCATCACCCGACCAGGTTGATGTACGGTTCCGGCCACCGCCCAAACACGAGTGGCCGGTCGCCCAGGCGTCCACTGAGCGGCGCCAAGACGCGCACCTTGCGCCGCTCGGCATCGACTTCGGCCACGTACACGAAACCAAGCACAGGGGCGTGCTGGATCACGTCCGGCGGGTCGTGCAGTCCCGCGTTCATCACAGCCAGCGTCCAATGCGCCAGCGACGGGCCCGCGTCCACTTTTTCGAGGTTGTGCTCGCCGATGGCGCCCTCTTCGTCGGGCCCGTCGTCAACACCCGCGTCGCCATCGTGGCCATCGTCACCAGAGCCACCAGCGCCGTTGGCACGCGCGGCATTGTCTCCCGGCGGCAGGCGCAGCACGGTCAAGGCGTCGGCGTCGACTTGCTGCGTGTACGGACTCAGCGTCCGTTTGGCATCGCCGAAAAAGTACTCCTTGATGCACGCCTCCCGCTGCTGCTGCTCAACAGCATCGCTACGGTCGACCACGCCGTCGGAGGCGTCGAGTTGGACGATCTGTATGGGCTCGCCGAAGGTCGTTGTCTCGCCCTGGAAGCGGTTGGTCAGGGCCTGCTGGATGGCCGTGCTGGCTGCGCCGTCGCCGAGCACAACCACCAGGTTCACAGAGAACTCGTCGATGATGTGGGCCAGCAGATCCATGGACATTAAATGGCCGAATTTGCCGTTGTTGTTGTTTTTGTTATTGCCGTTTGCCTTGCCACTCTCGTCGGCCGTCACGGCCGGCGTGTCGATCAAGAGACCGCTGGCCGCCACATTGGCGTCCTCCGACGCGCGCGATGCGACGGCACCTGCTAACCGTGTCACGAGTCCGCGGTACAGATCTGGCGCATCGCTGGGCCGTGCATAGCCGTAGTTGTAGACGAGCGGCAGCTTGACGGGCACGGCGCTGGGGCCGCTGCTGGGTGCACCGCCCCAGCCCGAACCGCCCTCGGTCTCGAGGTCCATGAGCGTCGCAAACACGGCCGCACTCAACGTCCCCGGTAGGCTCAAGAGGCCTTCCTGCGGGTCGACATTGACCACGCACGGCTGCTGGTAGTGTGGCGGCGGCGGCGGCGGCGGCTGTTGTGGCTGTTGGTATGGCTGTGGTGGTGGTGGTGGCGGCGGCGCGAAGCTAGCCATCTTGGTCGCCCATGCCGTGAGCATGCGCACCAAGCTCGTGCGCCCCGAGTGAGGAGGTCCGCAGACGAGGAGTCGTGGCCCTGCCGAGCCCGGGCTGCCACGGGGCACCGACGCGGCCGTGGCACGCTGGGACGCCAGCAGCAAATGGAGGTTCATGTAGGAAATCATGGGCGACTGGGCGGCGTTGGCACCGCTTCGGGCATCGCTCTTGACACCCCCCGGGACGACCTCGTCATGGTCGCATGCGCCTTCCACTTCGAGCTCGCAGCCGGGCCACGTTAGGATCTTGGACTGCGTCCCAGCGAAGCTGTAGGTCTGGCTGGTGGCCAGCTCCGTGCCGTCGCGCTCAGCCGTGCCGGACAGCACGCGGACCTTGACAGCCGGCTGCGAAACGGAGAAGCGCCATTCTGACAGCGGTGCGAGCTTGAATGTGCGGGTGGTGCTTGCGGTGGTCTACTTTGTTGCGTCAGTCAGTTACGGGATTCTCATGAGAACGAGCGCGTCGCATAAGTTGGCCACTATTCACCTGGACGGGGATCTGTCCTAGACCGGGAATGGACATTATGGGCGATGATGCGGCATGAGAGATGCTTTATACGGGTAGGTATTTTTGTTGCAGGGCGGCGTACGTCCCAAGGGCAGATGACGTTGATGTTGATGGGCTTGTGAGCTTTGAGCTTGAAGGTGACCGCAACCTCGAAAGCGGTCCAGGGAATGCTTCTCATTGGCCAAGGTGGTCAAGTCAAACTGGAGTGGAGTTCGTTCCGGCAGTGTCATTGCACTGGGATTCTGAATGTATATAGCGTGTTTTACAGCGCTATGCAGTAACCTAGAGCTGTTACTAAATTGCGTGGCATGATAAGTATTCTTTGACCTCTGATAGCGCCACCACACCGCCAGGCCAAGACGACCACGATTATAGCGGTCTTCTCTACCTGATGGTTCAGAAGCCTACAACACAGCGGTATTTCAAGACGTAGAAAAGTCTTCCGACAATGTCGCTTTGTTCTTTATCCCTGCTTGTTCTACAACATGACACAACGTTTCACTTTCTTTTTCGTGTGCCTTTGTTCCTCGGCGTGGTCATTCCAAACTTTCCCTCGCTACAACTTTGGTCGTGGGCTACTCGGTGTTAACTGCGCTAAAGGCGCTGTAATGCGCTGAAAGGAACAGCCTGCAGATGAGACATGCCCCCGCGTTATCTCCTGCCTCTTGGGGAGTCCTTGAATTCGTCTGCCTACCTCGTTAATTCCTTCGCAGGTCTTGGCACAGCCCTCTCGAGTGTATTGCCACTGAAGGAGTCTGGAGTGTGCCGATGCCCCCAACCCCTGTCGTTGTTCCCCTCGTGCCACTGTGCTATTGTCATAGCGTCCCCGTACTATTACGTGCACTCCGCCCGCCTTCTCTTTTCTTGCCCTCTCTCGATGCTCTCTTTCGTTGATATCATCCACGACACCCTCTATTCTTTTCCCTTCAATCGTCAAACGTTGGCATCGCTGGACGATAACCTTTTATACCGGCGACACATATACGCACAGACTGCGGTATCCGCATCCGCAACCGCAACGCGACCGTTTTTTCTTTCCTCCTTCCATGTCCTCTTCGAGCGTCGTCATGTGCTCAGCGGACATTTTCCTTGGCCTGCTGGCCCTCCTCTTCCCACCTCTTGCTGGTGAGTGACTACTTTCTGTTCTCTACCGTGACACTGGACCGCAGACCTGTGTGTACAGTGTGGTGACGTCTGTCGCCCTCGCTTCAGCTGCACACGGCCTGACTCCGAGGAAACGATCGGCTGATTCCAACAAACACATACTAACACGCATCGACAGTCTGGGTTAAGCGCGGCATCTGCTCTGCCGACTCAGTCATCAACATCCTCCTCTGTGTTTTGGGCTATGTAGGTTCTCCCGTTTGTTGCGTCATCTGTGACCGCGTCTAACTACCGTCTTCCAGATCCCCGGCCTGATTCATGCCTGGTACATCATCGCCAAGTTCCCCGAACCCGACTACGAGTACGAGGTCCTCAACCAGGATGCCGAGAACAACGGCCGCGTCACCTATGTTGTCGTGCACGGCAGCCGCCGGCACGGCAGCGGCCGCGGTACCAATGCCAACAACCGCCACCACGTCACGACCAACGGCCCTGCGAGTGCCGACAGCAACGCCGTGCAGTCGGCGGCCCCCAAGATCCAGGACAACATGAACTACGGCACGGCGTCGACGGGCGGCCCTGCTGCTGCGGCCGGCTCGTCCACTGGCCCGGCGGCGGCGGGCTCGTCCGCTCACGACAACGGCGGCGAAGGCGGCAGCGATGCCCCGCCGCCGAGCTACGCCCAGGTTGTGGCTGGCGACAACAAGGTGCAGAGCCAGGAATAGAGAATGCGCCACGAATCTTCTCATCTCCTCCTCCCTCGTTAGCCACCCTGCCACCAACCAGTATCTCTCACTGGCATCACTCAATATCAACCTCTTAAACGGATCCGACTCTCCTGCTCGGCCGACCTCGCTCTTCATTATTAGCCAAGCTCGATTTGTTTACGACCAACAACGTCCCTTTCTCTCCTTGTATTTTGTTTCTGGAACTTGGCCGGGATGGCTTATCTGTTACTGCTTAGCTCTTATTGCGACTTCCCCAGCACGGGATGTTTTGCTCTTGCATTTGTTTTATGTGTTTGTTTGCCACGTCATATCTCTACTGTTGTCTTTTTTTTTTTTGGCTATTATTAGGCGCCATTTATGTCTTCCCAATGCTCAAATCAACTGTATAAAACTGATTGAAAAATTATGGTAGACTACGAGTGCAACCGGAGACACTCAAAATTGTGAAATACTGGTGCCTGGCGAAGACGCCACCAGCGTGGGCCCGGCGTTAAGGTCCGTGACGTACGCAACCCAACTAATACTGGCACCTGCATAACACCTTGCCACACTCGGTCCTAACGACGCAGTCAGACAGCACGGCATTGATTGGATGTGAATGCTTGTTTATTTCTGGAGTTTGATTTTCCTATGCAGCTAACTGCAGTTTCCTGTCATCTAATCACCAATGTCCGAAATCGTATTCTTCCTTATCCGTAGATCATCCGCTTTTTCTAGCGACCTTTCTTAGACCTTCCTTTCGTGTCGTATGCTAATCGCCTCCCCCCTATTACTTGTCATCCTCCATCTCCTCATTGCCCGCCTCGGCGTCGGCGTCAGCATCGGGGTTATCGACAGAGGGGCCTTCGCGCTCGTTCGGCCGGGGCTCTTTCCAGTCGGACATAAGCTCCTGCGGCAAGAAGGTGTAAAACGAGGGCAGCAGTTCTTTGACGACCGACACGAAATTGAGGTCGCAGTTGAGCTCGTGCATGACGACGCGCAGCTTCATGCCAGGGCACAGCAGGTCCATGAGGTCGACGTCCAAGAAAAACGCATGCCGCAACCGACCGCGGCGGGCCAGCTCGTCCTCAGTGGGGATCGGCTGGTTGGCAACACCTTCTTCAATGCGGTAGTGTTTCGTTATGACGACACCGGCGCGTCTGATAATGTTGTCCGCGTCCACTGCCTTGGTGGAGGTTGACTTGTCATTGGAGTTGGTATCGGCCCTCTTGCCTCCCGCCGCCTCCCCCTTGGCAGTGTCCTCGGCAATCGCTGCAGTATAGCGTTCCTTCATCGTAGAAGAGGGCCACACCATCTTGGTGATCTCGAGCTCCAGCTCACGGGTGCTGACAATTTGAATACTGGACATGTCGACCTGGGCCATCGTGGTCGCCCGGGTGCCAATGACCAGGTCCTGCAGCGCAACGGTTGCCCGGAAAATGTGTTCTGCGTCCCAATCCTTGTTGGTGAGTACGGCCAGCGGGTCGAGGCCGTCATGCTCGACCTTGTGCTCGGCCGTCTTGCAAAATAGCTTGGTGCATGCCATGTTAAACTGGCCTGGCATGAGAGGTAGTGCCCGCAGCAGGTTGGGCAGCTCCGTCTGTGCCTTGGCACAAATCTGGCGGGCGTTCTTGACATCCTCTTCGTACTCGGGGCAGACATCGTGGAGCTGTAGGTAGCGCAAGAAATTGTCGACGACGTCAATGCCGACTTTCATGAGCCTCTCGTTGCTACCACCAATGCTGCGGAGGGTAACAGACCTAAATGCATTAGCAGCAGAACTGTTTGGTAGCGAAATTAGTGGTACATACAAAAATCCAGACAAGACCCCGGAAAAGTCAACGGTCCAGAGGTCGGCATTGTCCGAGGCGTAGTACTTGGAGTTCTTGCTGCCGGCACGCGACACGACGTCGGTGGCGGTCAGGGCGCGCACATCGTCCTTGGTCAAGTTCTCGCCGTCTTCCATGCCAGCGGCACCATTGAACATACGGGGCGTGCAGTCGATGCCACCGAGCCTGAGATATTGGTTGAACAGGTTGGTGCGGTCATTGTCAAGGCGACGACGGGCACGGTAACGCTGGATACAAGTCTCGATGCGTCTGTGCCACAGTTAGTTATGTGCGCTAATCTGAAAACGGTGACGGAAAGATGAACGAACTCGTCAAAATTGAGAGAACTGTGAGAAAAATTGAGGTCAGCATAATGGTTACGCCCGACATACTTTGCCCAATATCGGCAGGCAGGGGCGGAGTGCATGCACAAGGCAAGGCTGCATGCAAGGCGAACACCACCGGCGCGTGCCGGGCAAGATTGTCAACACGAAATGGAGAAATGGGTCTCTTACGCGTGGTATAGGTCCAACTCCTCCTCAAACTCGTCGACGGTCAAGGGCGGTTCCGCATAGTATTCTACAGTTTCGCGATGGCGGTAGGTCGTATCGTGGAGCTCCAGTCAGTATCCCGTCCAAAACGAAAAGCTTTAATTGGACAAAATATGGAGGCTTTATGCACGAGCTTCCGACAGCTACTTAGCTTGCAGGAGCTTTACACGATTTTGAGGCATCGCGCCAAGGGGAACGGCTAGGCAGCAGAGCCACCACATCGCACATCCGTTTAGGGATCCCGACAACGAAACACACGCAGCGCAAGTGTAAGGCAAATGCTCACCTTCGAAGCCGGTACCACATCTCTTGGGAAGGGCCGTCGGGCCACGTGCGGCCGTGGACTTGCTCTTTCGCTTCTTTTTGCCCGTCACGGTGGCTTCCTGCATGTCAACGACTTGGGCAGGATCGTGAGCTGGGCCACCAGGCCCGTTGGCGATACCGCTCGGGTTACCCTTTTCGTCACCATCTTTGCTGGGGGCATCTTCGAAGAGATTGGCCCTGCCGGCTTTGTCTGCGCGGGCGTCTCTGTTGGGGTCTAGTTTACTGGTCGGTTTGTCGTCGTGGCCATTGTCGAACGGCGGCGCAGCACCTGTGGTATCACCACCAGGTGCCACCTGGGCCTCGACTGCCGCAGGCATGGCGACGAAAAAGTGGTCAAAGCTCCCGGAGCTGTCAAAGTTGTAGCGGAGGTCAAGGCGAAGCTTTTCTCTTGCAAGGGTGCTCAATCCAATGACGGTAGGTCGGAAATCTTGAGGTTAGGAGGGTATCAGCGGCGAGTGGCTTGGAGGAACGGATTCGAGAAAGCGGCTGCGTTTCGCCGGTGAGTAACGCGGTGAAGCGATAGAAGCAGAGATGTATGAATGGTGACGACGTGAGCAGGAAGTCAATACAATCACAGACGCAGCCCAGTGGGATTGTGGCCCAGATATGGAAGGAGCGGATGGTTTTTCTGGGATAGGAAGGCACGACACATCAACAGCAACAACGCAGACAATTATGATTTACTGTAAAAGAGCGCAAGGAGGGTGCCATCATTGGCAAGCTCGCCAAGTGGGAGAGAAAATACTCACGACACGCTGAATCGCTTGTTTGCACGTCAGACTTTCAAACCACAATACGAGATGTCTCAAAACGAGCTGTCCCCACGCGGCTCGCGTTTGCTGGTCACTTCAACAACGACTGAGGTCATGTGCACCAGAGGCCACACCGACTACGTGATACGAAACAATTCAGCACTTTGTGAAGTCTCTAATTTCTGTTTCTTTCAGTTCCGGTCATTGCAGCTCCAGCCAAACGAGTCTTTGTCTTCGCGATGGCTGTGCTACGTTGACAGGTGGTTCCCAATCTACGTCCCGTCCAGTCGGTATAACAAACTGCACGTTTCTTACTGGAAAAATGGGATATTTCCGTTGGGACCAGGGCGCACCCCAGGCTTACAGGACCTACCGAATCTCAACATGCGAGAGAGGAGGGAAAAGTGACGTTGCACGTCAGCGCGCAGGAGATGGCAAGGCTTTGCGAGGCCGGGTGAAGACGATGTAGGTAGTACTAACAAATATGCTGCATTTGTACAACGCTTTTTGGGCAATCATGAAGTTTTTGGACTATTACGTCACGTTATAACATGAAGACGCACAAGTTGTTTACATTAAAAGCATCTCATCACAAATGCAACGGTTGAATTCACGCCGGCGGCCAACTATGTACATAAAGCAGTTACATGCCACATGAGTGGTTTTGGCAGTACGTTTCCGAGTAAAAAGCACGACGTAGTTACGACATGTAGGCAGCACAGAACGTCCTTCTCCTTGTATGAATTATAAAACTGCACGTTATGAACATTTTGTCCGTGTGCACGTTGCTTACCTGCTCTGGAGGATCGTCTCGGTGCGACCAGGCGGCGAGTCGAGCTCACCTTTTGCTCTCATTCCTTGGCTAAACACGTCATAGGAATCTTGGTGTCTCTGGTGTTCATGCCGCGAGCGCACTTGGTTTGTCCTTCAGTTCTACCAAGTGCTACGGAGTACATTGTGCTGCATTGCAACGTTTCCAGGGCTCGGAACTTCAACTACCTAAATATACGAATACGTGAGTCCCCATATGTACCGTTCACCCCAAGTTCGCTGGTTACTACATGATGTATCTTTTTTAACAGTTCAATATAAAAGGTACATCAAGGTACAAGTTGATATCTTCAGGCATTAAGAAGCTTGCCCACTTGTTACTTTTATTACTTGAAATCGGCAAAGAAGAAATTCGATTAAGTACTATTTGCATATAATATATACGAAATGTACTTTGCGTCATGGGCGGAAGGGAGGATGAGCACTTAACCTGTATTACAAAGAAAAAGATAATACAGAGAGGCGCGGGGCCTGCGCACGCAACTGACCTGTTCGTATGACGCGGAAAGTCAACGATGGGCAGTGAAAGGACCAGTGTGACCAGGCTGAGAGACGACGATAAGGTGAAAAGAGGCACCAAAGACACATGAAGGAGGAATAAGAGCCAAATACGGCAGACACGAAACTAAAAGGCCACTGGGAGCTAAAAAGGAACAACAGACACAAAAACAGACGATGGAAGTGACATGGACATGGGCCATGCATTGGCTGATGCGAGTATGGCCACCATGGACGCCGGGGGCGGTGCAGCTCACGGCGGCCAGCTTTCACGAGGCCGACAAAGTTTTCCGTGACGCCTCTGCTGTGGTGCATTGTCAGTCATTTTCTCTCATTTCACTTCGTATCATCCATATGTCGCCTTTTTCGCTCAACGCTTGTTAAGTCGGACTGGCGGCGCAAGAGAAAAAAAAACATGGAGAACTGAAACGTGTTGCGCCGCAGGCCGGGCCAGGCAGTCGACGTGCCTGATTAGGGCGTGCCAGCGGCCGTTTTGCGGGCCGCTGGGGCTTGCTGGGCTGCTGGGCTGACGCTGGCGAGGAAGCGCAAACCTGGACTGAAGGGTGGCGGAGCAGCCCGAAATTTGCCTTTGTCTCTGCCCACAATGAGCTTCAGCCAATTGACGACGGAGGCTGCGCCGGAAACTGCAGACTTCGCCCGACAGCAACGGAGCAGGAAGGTGCAGGACGATGAGAAACACGACACAAGGGATGCCACAAAGAGAAAGAGACAGAGAAAGAGAGAACGAGAAAGACCAAAACACGCAGCCCCATCCCGCCGCCACTATTCTTTACCTTTGGTCCCTACATATTTCTTGGAAGGAACTATCGGCGCTAGCAGGGAACCAGTGCAAGGAACAACAAAAGCCCATCTAAAAGGCCGCGCGAAACAGGCGCTACTGCCTCCTTCCAGGGATGTACCGTTTGGCGGTGAGTTACTAGTAATGGTACGCCCGCCCACATTCGTGTCGCCCCCCGTTGTGACAATGAATTTCGTTCCAGGAATGAACCCAAGCAGAAACAAAACGACACGAAGAAAATCGACACCCAATTATTTATATCACAAACACGGCCACCCACAACGCAACACGAGCGCATCGTCACCGGGTACATCCCACGAGACTTGTTTATCCTGTCACACACAAACCAGACACAGGCTTTCTATTGTCAACACTCGATATAAACCACCTGCGCCGTCGTCCCAGTCATTCCGCCCCGCCCGAATGTCGCCCACCGCTCCTCACATCTCGCCATCATCATCTCTATTATCGACACCGACGCTGACACCGACGTTGACATTGGCACTGACAGACTGCCCCTCGAACAGACTGTGACTCCCTATGCAACACGTCACCGATACTTCCAGCCACCTACCGCACCGTCCGCTTCCTGCAAGCCGCCCCGCGCCCGTCCTCTTTACGCGCGCCTACAACCGCCCTTTTCTCGTCGCGACATCCACCCAACGCCGCCTCGCCGGCCACTGGGCTCCAAGGCCCCAGAAACAAACCACCGACCATGGCACCAAGAGAGATGCCCAAAGTCTCTGAGCTGCACGCCTATAATAACGCCGTTGCCGGACAGTACGTACATGCGCCCACATACTTGACCACTTGTAACCCTGCTAACTCGCCAGTGCCGGAACACTGTCGGACGCCAATGGTGACCTGTTCATCAAGCCCTGCGTCCAGGCCGAGATCGACTTTTACCAGCAGGTTTTTCAGGGCGACCACGCCGCCCTGGCCAGCATCATGCCGCTCTACATGGGCGAGCTGTCGCTGACCGAGACCACCGACGCGGCCGCCGCGGCCGTTGCCGCTGCTGGCGGCGTCGTGTCCGCCGACGTGCAGCAGGCCATTGCCGGCCTCGACACGCAAACGAAGCAGCAGGAGCAACGGCCTGCCCCGTCATTACCAGCTACTACGTCACCTGCAGCATCAGCAACCGTCGCGGGTCCCACCGCTGCATCACAAAGCGCCCCCGCCCCTCCTGACAACGTCACTTGGGTTCCTCGCGGCAACGCCAGTATCAACAGCGACCGCGCTGTTGTCCTTGACAACGCCACACAGGGCTACAAGAAACCCAACATCATGGACGTCAAGCTCGGGCGCCGCCTCTGGGGCGACAGCGCGCCCCTCCAGAAACGCCAGCGCATGGACGACGTGAGCGCCAAGACCACCCACGCCACGTACGGCTTCCGCATCTCGGGCATGCGCGTCTACCAGGGCGATGCGGCAGCCGCAGCCGCCCAAGACCCGACGTCCGACGGCGCCGGTTACCGCATTTACGACAAGGACTATGGCCGCATCGCCGTCAACGACAGCAACGTCGTCGATGCGTTCCGCACCTTCTTGTTCAATGAAGCCGCCGGTGTCGACGATGCCCACGGCCGTGCCGTGGCCGAGGCGTTCAAGGCCGAGCTGGAGCGCGTGCGCGACGTGCTGGAGAGCGAGCACACGCGCATGTACTCGAGCTCGCTGCTGTTTGTCTACGAGGGCGACGGCGCCACTCTCCAGGCGGCCATCGCCGAGGGCAACGCGCGCGCGACGGCACGCGAGGCAAGACTGAGAGAACGACAGCAGCGGGAACTCAACTTGTCGCCGACGCCCATCCGCGTGGTCGAGGCCGAGTCGGCGTGTGAAGAGCCCCAGACGTCGACAACGGTTGTGTCGCTCCTCGACGCGGAGGCGGCCGACGCCGCTGTGGACGTGGACCAACGCTCCCGCTCCCGGCGCGAGGTCCTCGGAAAGGCCGCCGACCGCTCGTCGAGTCGGACAGATAGCGGCATCGTCATCGACGAGGACGAGATGGAAGACCATTTGACCGTCGACGTCCGCAACCTGACCGAGGCCGACTTTTCCTTTGGCGACGACGTCGTCGGTATCATTGGCGCGGATGACTACGACGACGACGATAACGACGACGCGTCCGACACCGGCAGCGACAGCGATGGTGAGCCCAAGTCGCCGCCCATCTTTGGCCTCCGCCTCATCGACTTTGCCAATGCCAAGTTTGTGTCGCCCGCCGAGGGGCCCGACGAGAACAACCTCGTCGGCGTGCGGAGTCTGATTGCCATTTTTGACGAGCTGACCAAGTGAGCCCAACCTGGACGACGCAGGCGTTGTCGCAGCGTGCTTCTTGGTCGTATGATGTGTCTCTTTGTTTTTCTTGTTGTTGTATTTCCTAAAAACGGTTCTTCTCCGGCCCACGGCGTTTTCATACACACGTTCGCTTTATTCATTGATTCCCCTCTCGTCACACCCCACACATATAGGAGTCTATTTTTGTTGTTGTTTTTGTTTTCTCGGTTTATCTGGTCAAAGTAGGGCGAGCATATAGAGGGTACGGGCAGTGCTTGCGGGGACATTTTCATAGGACATTCGCTTATAGCATGCCTTTCTTGTTATTTCCTATCGTAACTTGGCTCTTGTTATCGGGACGCATTGTTTTTAGGACAGGTTTTACACGAACTGATGAACAAATCTACTTCGCCGAAATAATCGTGAACACACTGTCGTAGCTCTCGGGGACGAAGAACAGCTTTTGAAATAGCCTCGGCGGATCATCGGCAACAACCATGGTCGGGTCGTTGCTTGTCTTTTTTTTCTTCTATTTCGTCCTTTTCGAGCAGTCCTTTCCTCAATTTTGCATCACACGCTTCAGCACATCAATGACGGCTCGCGTATATTAGCCGGAGCACCACTTCTCTTGTCTCGACAATGATGAGACACTGGTCAATACGCACTGCGCAAGGTTAAATTCGACGAAACCACTGATTGTCCGTTGTAAGTTTGGTTCTAAAGGATGAGGCTCTTCCGTTCCTCTTCTTTCGGGTGGCTGGAAAAGATGTGCGTCAATAATTGACGTCGAATGAGGAGGACACTCGTGTGCAAAATTACCAACAAAAAAAAAAGAAGAAAAAAAAAAAAAAAAAAAAAAAAGGAAAACGTACAAAAAATTCAATTTGGTATAGAGACCGTAAAATAATGAATATACATTTATTTTACGTATTTACTTTTCATCTTCTTCCCAAAAGCATCTTCTTCCCAGAAACAATTAAATGAAAGGACCACCATCTACGCAATACATGCGACAATTCCCAACCGTTACACTCGCACACGCATCGCCACTGGATCTTGGTTCACGCATGTCCTCCAGGGATTCTCCACAACGGCATTGTTTCATCCGATTGTACATCTCGATGACACTTCTCCGTCTGCACAGAGCCATTGTCTGGTACCGGCTGCCTTGCATCCCCTACGTTTCTCTCCTCGCTTCATCGACCATCCTCGTCCCCTGTGATCCTGGGCAAAGGACCGCCATGAACAGCCACATCCCGAACCAGAGCCAGGAAATACGAGCATCCCTCCCATGAGACTGCATGGTGTCCAAGAGTCATGCCATCCGAAGCGGCAGTCCACGAACATGACTCTCCACTTGACAGGGGGGCGTAAATAAGGTGAGCACGAGAGGGGAGGCTGAACGGGCGTCACAAGTTTCGACGATCGCGCATCGGATGCGCTGTTTTCCTTTACACGTGTGCTTGCGCAGGCCCTTTCTCTGTCTCTGGCAGCCCGTGCAGTACACGCAATAGAGCCAACAATGTTGCTCGTTCCAGACCCAAGTGCCATGTCGGATGCCGGGCCGAGAGGTGACTGCCACCTAAAAAGGAAGCAGGCAGGAAAGAGATCGACCTTCATAATAGACGTATTTCCTGGTCGGTTTGCTCTCGAGTCGTCTCTTTTCTCTCTTCTTTCTCTCTCTTTTGTTCTCGTTCCCTCTCTCATCACCCTATCATCGCCAAAGACCAGCGCTGCTTGAACCCGGTTGTTCGATCGCGTCATTCACTCCTTTGAATATTGTCTTTTTATAAATAAATATTTTCCTCTTTTCAATCTCTTCATATTTACTCCACCCCCACACCATGTCTTCTTCAGCAGCTGCGCTGCTTCTTCTCCTCGGCGGCGCCGCCGTCGCCCAGCAGATTGGCACGGCCGTCCCCGAGGTCCATCCCAAGCTGCCCACGCAGTTCTGCACGACGGCCGGCGGCTGCAAGACCATGCAGACCAGCCTCGTGACGGACGCCCTCTCGCGCGCGCTGCACGCCGTCGGCCAGCCGTCCGTCGCCTGCGACGTCGCCAACAAGACCCAGTGCCCGGACGCCACCACCTGCTCCAAGAACTGCGCCCTCGAGGGCTATGACTATGCGGCGCACGGCGTGTCGACCACCGGCAACGCCATGACGCTGCGCCTGTTCAACGGGTCCGGTGCCAGCGTCCAGACCCTGAGCCCCCGCGTCTACTTGTTGGCCGAGGACGACAAGAACTACCAGCTGCTCAAGCTGGCCAACCAGGAGTTCACGTACGACGTGGACATGTCCAAGGTCGGCTGCGGCGTCAACGGCGCGCTGTATCTGTCGGAGATGGACGCGTCCGGCGGCCGTTCGGCGGCCAACCAGGCGGGCGCCCAGTACGGCACGGGCTACTGCGACGCGCAGTGCTTCAACACGACCTTTATCAACGGCCTGGCCAACTTCAACAACTCGGGCGCCTGCTGCAACGAGATGGACATCTGGGAGGCCAACAACGCCGCCACCGCCATGACGCCCCACACCTGCAGCGACGCGGGCCTGTTCCAGTGCACCGGCGACGCCTGTGGCCGCGGCGCCGCGGCCGCCTGCGACAAGAACGGCTGCGGCATCAACCCGTACCGCGCGGGCGCCAAGAACTTTTACGCGCCCGGCGGCTCCGTCGACACCTCCAAGCCCTTCACCGTCGTGACGCAGTTCCTGACGAGCGACAACGCGACCACGGGCAGCCTCGCCCAGATCCGCCGCCTGTACATCCAGAGCGGCAAGATGGTCAGCTCGGCCACCAAGTCGTCCAACGGCTCGACGACGTCGCTGTCGTCCCTGGCCACCGGGTTCGGCACCATCACCGAGGACTTTTGCACGCAGAACGGCGCCACCGACTTTGTGCGCCTGGGCGGCCTGCAGGGCATGGGCAAGTCGCTGGCGCGCGGCATGGTCCTGATTTTCAGCATCTGGGATGCGCCCGGCGACTTTATGACGTGGCTGGACAGCGGCGAGGCCGGCCCGTGCTCCGCGACGCAGGGCGACCCCAAGATCATTGCCATGAACAACTCGGACGCCGCCGTCACCTTTTCCAACATCCGCTGGGGCGACATTGGCTCCACCATCAAGATGTCGCCCAACGGCTCCATTGTCGCTGCCACCGACTTGGCCCTGTCCAAGCAGACATCCGGCGGTGCGCCGCTGCTGTCCATGTCGCTGTCGACGACCATCCTTGGTGGTCTGGCCATGGGCTTCGGCTACCTCTTGATGTAAGACGTCGGAGCAGAGGGAATCGAACATGAATCGAGAATCGATGGGACAGGACTCACCAGTGTCGAGGACGGCCAGCCATCCTGCTGGACAGGCCGCATGATACACTGCGTTTTGCACATAGAGACAAATCGAATGAAAAACAAAATGAAAACCGGAAGAGCATTGTGCAAGAACGTAAACGAGAAAACACATGTCCTTATGCTACACTAGATGAACTCCTGACAAGAAAACAAAAAAGACTCTGAGTCGCCGAGAGTCTGAATGTGTAATGTGGAACGCTGGAAACAAAAAGTACAAAATGGACAGCAGAAAGCAGAAAAAACACCATGAAAAAGGAGTATCGACGCCAGCCTAACCCCACGTCCCGCCGCCGCCGCCCGAGCGGCCGCCGCGCTTCTGCGCACTGATCCGCCAGTCCTCTTCCGTCTGGAACTTGTTGTACAGCGGCTGGATCCGCTCTGCGCGCCGGCGCCGGCTGAGCCGGTCGCTCGGCGACAGCTTGAAGAAGGTCGGCGCCGCGTCCACGAGCCACTTGGCGTCAATGGCCGTCGTGCACTGCATGTATTCCTTGGTCGTGAGCACCAGCGTGTCGTAAATGACCCACTCGGCCTGCTTGCCAAACAGCGCGCTCGACGGGTGCAGGTAGACGGGCGTCCCCTCAATCAGCGTCTTGAAGCCCTCGTGCGGATCCTTGCGCGACGCGTTGCGGAAGAAGCCCGCGCACAGCGCCTGGCGCACGCGGTCGGTGTGCGTGCCGCACGACACGATGCGGTGCTTGTAGCGCTCCATGATGCGCTCGAGCTGGGTGCGCACGTCCTTGGCGCGCGTCAGCACGCGGTACTGCAGGAAATGCTCCTGGCACCACGGCTTGCTGAAGCGCGCGCGCTTCCAGCTGTTGTACACGTTGAGCATGGTCAGGTGGTCGCCGTGCGGGTCGTTGAACTTGGCCTTCTTGGCGTCCGCCTGCTGCTGCTTGTCCTTGGGCCGGTACCACACGCCCTTGGGCTGCGCAATCATGCCCATGATGCTCAGCATCTCGTCGCTGCAGCCCAGCTCGACCGACGCGATCAGCGCCTTGGACGACGTCGGGTCCATGGGGAAGTCGGCCATCTTGCGGCCGAGCTTGGTGAGGAGGCCTTCGTCGTCGAGCGCCGACAGCGCGTACAGCTCTTCGAGCGCCGACAGCATCGTGTTGATCGGCGGCGGGTCCATAAAGTCAAAGTGCAGCAGGTCGTTGATGCCCATGGCCTTCAAAATCAGAATGGTGTTGCTCAGGTTCTTGCGCTGGATTTCGGGAATCGTCGTCGGCAGCATCTCCGTCTGGTACGCCGCCTCCGTGTACAGCCGGAAGCACTTGCCGGGACCCGTGCGCCCGGCACGGCCGGCACGCTGGTTGGCCTGGGCCTGCGAGATGGGCGTGACGACCAGCGAGTCCATGCCGAGCTTGGGGTCGTAGGCGTTCTGCTTGACGAAGCCCGGGTCGACGACGTAGTAGATGCCGTCAATCGTCAGACTCGTTTCGGCAATGTTGGTGGCGATGATGACCTTGCGGCCGCCCGGGGGTGCCGGCTCGAAAATCTTGGACTGCACCTCGTTGGGCAGTGCCGAGTAGACGGGGAGGATGACGAGCTCAGGCACAGCAGCACCGAGACCCTTCATGCGCTCATATAGAATCTCGCAGCTGGTATCGATTTCTTCTTGGCCCGTCAGGAAGACTAGGATGTCGCCCGCGGGCTCGGTGAGATGGATCTGCATCACCGTCTCCAGGGTGGCGTCGAGGTAGTCGGACTCGGGCTCGCGAGAGTACAGAATCTCGACGGGGAACGTCCGACCCGGGATTGTGAAAATTGGAGCACCGTTGAAGAAGGTCGAGAACTTCTCGGCATCCAGCGTCGCAGACGTGGCAATGACCTTGAGATCCGGTCGCCGCTTTACCGTCTTCTTCAAAAGACCAAACAAAACATCGGTGGCTAGGGCACGTTAGCAGGAAAATAAAAAAGATGAAACATAAAAAGGTGGAGGGCGTGTCGACTCACCAATCGTCCGCTCGTGGGCTTCGTCGAGCATAATCACCGAATACCGCTTCAGCTCCGGGTCGAGCAGAATCTCACGCTGCAGCATACCATCCGTCATGTACTTGATGCGCGTCGCCGGGCTCGTCAAGTCCTCAAACCGAATGGTGTAGCCGACCTCCTCGCCGAGCGGGCAGCCGACCTCTTCGGACACACGCTTGGCCACGCTCATGGCGGCCACACGCCGCGGCTGTGTGCAGCCGACCATCTTGCCGCCGCTGGTGAAGCCGGCCTCGGCCAGGTACTGCGTGAGCTGGGTCGTCTTGCCGGAGCCGGTCTCGCCAATGACAATCAGGATCTGGTTGTCCCGGACGGCCTGGATGAGCTGCGAGCGGAACGAGTAGATGGGCAGCGACTCGCGCTGCTCCTTCATGCTGAGGTCGGTGCGCTTGCCAAACGACTGGTCCTTGTTCTGGATGATGCGCTTCCACTCGGGCACCGGCTCAAACCCGCCCGGGCCCCCGCCACCGCCACCAGCACCGCCGCCGCTGCCACCGCCAGCGACCCCGCCGGCACCGCCACGACCGCCGTGGGCGGCACGCGCGTCATTGGCAAACTTGCGCTGCTCCGGGTTGGCCATGGGGTCGTGCCACTGCGACGTCAGGTCCACTTTCTCCTTGTCCCGTTCGGCCTTGGCCGCGTCGGCTTCTTGCTGCCGCAGCTCTTTGCGCTCCTTGGCCAGCACGGCGCCCGCCATGGCGGCGCGGTTGAGGGAGCCGTCGGGCGCCTTGACGACGCGGATGGGCGACAGCTCGAGCGAGAGCTTGGTCTGGCCGGCCAGGAAGGGCGGCTCTTCGTCGCGAATTTCAATGTCGACGTCCTCCTCGAGCTCGATGGTGCCCTCGCCCTTGAGCGTCGCGTTGTAGTCCTCCTCGAGGTCCGGGTAGTCGGACGCCTTGGCGACGCCGCTGGCAATCAGCTGCCGGATCTCCCAGCGCTCGGGCGACGTCATGCGCTTCTTGCCACGGCGGTTGGCCGCAGCGGCAGCCGCTGCACCACCGCCGGCGGCGCCACCGGCGTGGTTGCCGTCCATATCCAGGAGCGTCGAGCTGCTGATGCGCGCGCCGCCACGCACGCCCAGCGCCTCCATGTTGGCGCCCGACTGGAACATGTCCTGGGGTGCCGTATTGAGGTCCTCGCCCGACGCCTGGTCGACCTCCTTCATGGACAGGCCGACGCGGCGGTCCTCCACCTTGACCACCTTGACCTTGACGGGCTGGCCCATGGACACGACGTCCGAGGGATGGTCGACGCGCTGGCCCTCGACGAGGGCGGACACGTGCACCAGACCGTCCACCTTGCCACGAACGCCGTGGATGTTGACAAAGACGCCAAAGTCCTTGATGCCCGTGACGTGGCCGTCGTATGTCTTGCCGAGCTCGGGTGTGTCGTCGAGCGGGCCGCTGTCGTGGTGGCTGTTGTGATGATCATATCGGTCGCGGCCGCCGCGGTCCTGTCGGTCGTCCCATCCATTTTCACGTCCTCCGTGTCGCTCTCGCTCCCGCTCTCGCTTGCCGTTTGCGTTGCGACTGCTGCCGTAGTTGTCGTACTCGTCGTCGGCGTCCTCGTATCCGTAGCGCCCGCCGCCTCGCTTGCGGCCCCTCGATCGTGAGCGCGACTGCGACGGCGAACGTGACCGGTACCGAGACTTGCGGTCACGGCCGTTGCGGCCCCGGGGGCTTGTGCTGTCTCGTGTCCTCTTGCGTTCTCTGTCCTTTGCGGCGGTGGAGGTGAGGTTGGCCGTCGTTTTGTCCGGTTTCGGCGCGTGGCTGGCCAGGCCTTCGAGCAGCGCCAGAGCGTCGTCGATCTCGTCTGCTTCGTGCGTGTCATCGTCCGGATCGTCCGCCTCGACCTGCTTGTCCGGCAGGGACAGGCCTTTGAAGATGTTGTCCTTGTCGGACCGCTTCTTGCTTGACTTGCCGCCCGGTCCAGCAAGTTTGGCATCGCTGCCGTCTTTCGCGTCTTTCTGGGGTCGGTTGCGCATCTCCGGATGCAGCGTGCACACCAGACGGTCGATGCTCTCGACGAGGCTGGGCGGGAAGTCGACGTTGAGCTCGACGAGCTTCTTCTTGAAGGCGCGAAAGCTGTCGCTGGCAAGGCGCTGGGCAATGATGAACTCGGCCACATCGCGGTCGTTCATGCCGACGTGGTTCTCCATCTCGGAGGCGACCTTGGCCACCAGCGAGATGACCTCGAGCGCCTCGAGGCCCTCCATGGCGGGCGGTGCTCGTCGTGTCGCTGCTTGTAGGTGCCGGTCGTTTTCGCGTTCGCAGGTTTCTGTCGGATCGTAATGTGTCGCTTGCTCTCGATATTCGTGTTTGGCTGGGGCACCGTCGTTTCGCTGTGGCGTTGCGCGGTTGAAGAATGAAGCAGAAGATATCGTGACGAAACAGCGTGACGATGTGCCGTCAAAATTCTTAGTGCGGCGGCGGCCAGGCTGAACGGGCAGGAGCCAGTGGCGGGCTGCAAAGACCCACTTTAATTGTGCCGTCAGCCAACCACAGACAACGCCACATAAGGTGTCTAAGACAAACCTGTTGACATGGCCAACGTGTATTAGTTGTGCTGTTTCTTTCGACTCGAGTCTATTCCATGACAGCAGCGAGAGCTCGAAAAGACCTACATTTTTAAAGGGCCATGGATGCTCCTCGTTATGTTTCCTTTTCTGTCCTTTGTTTCTCGTATTGCCCGTTCTGGCAGGAGCTCGAAGAACACGTCCAGCCGGAAGGAGCGCTGCAACACAACATACCAGAATCAGGGCCAAAAAAAAAAAAAAAAAAAAAAAAAAAAAAAAAAAAAAAAAAAAAGTGAATTTATATCGAATGTATTTTGAACTTGGCCGTGATGCAGCTCTGAGAAAATAGCAGATATGAGGCATATTGTTGGGGCCGGATAAGACTGGACACAATAAACACAATGGCTAGCATGACGTTGGGTATGCGCGATGAATTGAAGCTGTACCATGCAATTTCTATATACATCGTCACCAAGGCACCGTCATGCATGCTCATTCCACATTGGTGATGGCCCCTGTGGGCCCCGATTCGAGCAGGGCCTGCAGCAAGGCCAAGTCCTTGAGCGCCTCCTGCGGACTCTGCAGCGGATCGGCCTGGCCAGCCGCGACGCTCGCCGCGAACGCGGCCACTTCGGAGACGACGCCAAAGTCGGGCTCGTAGGTGTCGGTTTTGGGGTCCGCCTGCCCGCGGCGGACGGACACAATCGAGGACGGCGCCCATGTCCAGGTCACGCGGCCCTCGGTGGTGACGACCTCAATCTCCAGGACATTTTTGAACTCGGTGCCAAAGGACATGGAGATGGTGCCGTTGACGCCGCCGTGCGTGGACGCGACCGCATGGATGCTGTCGACGGGCGGCAGCCGCTTCTCGAGGAGCGACGAAAAGCTGGCGACGCGGGCGACCTCGTCGCCGGCCGCCGCCAGCAGGAAGCGCAGGCCCGCGACGAAGTGCACGCCACCGTCGAGCAGAAAGCCGCCCTGGTAGCCGGGTTCCTTGCGCCAGGCGGTGTTGTAGTACTTGTCGTCCTCCAAGACGAAGCCGTTCCGCACGAGGTGGAAGCCGACCAGGCGGCCGCCAATGTCCTTGATCTTGGCGGCGGCATCGCGCACGACACGCAGGTAGCGGAAGTTCTCGGCAACGGACCAGATGGGCCGCGTGGCGGCGGGCAGGCTGTCGTAGTAGGCGACGAGGTCGCGGGCGGCGGCGACATCGGGCGCGACAGGCTTCTCGCTCAGCACATGTTTCCCGGCGGCGAGGGCCTTGCGGACGACATCGGGCTGGGCGAGGATGGGCAGGCTGATGATGACGGCGGCGATATCGGCGCGGGCAAGGAGCGCATCAAGGCTGTTTCCAGAGGCGGGGCTGTCGTAGTACACCTGTGGTTTGGTGGCCTGCTTGGCCAGGGCAGCGAGTCCCTCCGCTGAGGCCTGGGAGCGGGAGTAGACGGCAAGCAGGTTCAGGTCCTTGGCAGCTTCGACAGCAGGAAGGTGCTCTGTTATCTTGTCAGTATGGATATCCATGAGAACAGACGGCCGGGCTGTTGGAATAGACCGACCTATTTTGGCAAAGATGCCAGCACCAAGCAGAGCGACACCAGTCATGATGAGAATGCAGTATCAATTTGGGTTAAGACGAATGTCGTTTTACTAACAAATGAGTTCAGACGGCGGTCCAGAAGTCAGTTCAGAAGTTGGCACAAAGGTAGGTCGGTTGCGCTGACCATGAATTTATCTTGGTTCGTTCCGTTCTGTATCGCCGTAGTGCTTTCCCCACCTCTCATGTCGACAATTTGTCCCCGCATAGCGTTATACGGAGTAGTGTTGGCGGCCCGGGTCTCCGATAAATGCGCCATCGCAAATACGGATACTCTGCGACTTTTTATTCGTGTCCGTTTTGGCACGGAGGCCATGCATCTCGGCATCACAAGAGATAGCGGAGACAAGGTACACCCCCGAAAATTAACGCCTGTGGACTGCGTCAGAGCCTCGATGCGCATGACCATGGCCTGTACGTTCGGTTCCGCCTGCTAGATGCGCAACGCCGCCGGAGAGGCCCAGACGGCGGCCGTTGTGTCAGCATGAGGGGCGCACGCAGACGTTGGAATCGGGTCCATTGCTGAGTGCGAGGTTGGCGTGCCAGGCCAGCAGCTGTAGTGTGGCCTCCTCGATTAGCTTCGGCGCGTCCACCATGTGCTCGTTCCAGGCGACACCGCCGGTGCCGTGTCCGCTTTCACCACCCTGCATGCTCCAACAGATGCCGCGCAGGGCAATCTCCGAGAGAAACAAGTACGAAATACGTACCGGTCTCGTCGTAGTGAAGGCTGAGGCATCAACATACAGAGCCAGTTGGCCAGAAAGTAGGTAGTATGTGCGCTGGAGCGTATAAATTCAGAAACATGCTATACATTATAACAGAATGGGCCTTCAAAGGCACAGTGATCCTCCGTTTCCGTTGCCTGTTCAGAAGAAAGCAACACCAATATGACCAAGTCCGCTACGCCGTCGTTGACCAGTAGAGTGCCGCATCATCCACCACTTTCTGTTCCTGGCGGCAGCCGCGCATATCTTACACTTGTCCATGAGTAAGAGAAGAGTGACTGGCCGATAAGCCCCACAGGCTTCATCTTGACTTTAAGTCCTGTTCCATCAACTTCATCGTTATATATAGTACCCACAAGTTCGTATTGATAGTCCTAGAGGGCTATATTGTCTTCGTAAAGAATGTTTATATCAGATCCCAATCGCCGCTTCATCCACTCCCAGTTAGACTTAGCAGACTTATTGTCATTTTGAGCATAAAACACTACGTATAGAGGTGCTTCTAAATAATGTCGAAAATGCCAAGAGTGCGGGCGTAGAGAGGACTTTGAGGCTGACAAGGAGCTACGCGTCTACATATCCAACCAACAGCGAGCATCACTCATCACAGCAACTCGAACGCGAACAGCGCCCGTACTCCGTTCTTGTACAGTGCCCAAAACTTTAAAAGAAATAGGATGGTTGCCGCGGATTACATCATCTTGTTGCACACCCAACAGACACAATGCACGCAAAATCCGCAACCACGAACTTTATCCAGAATTCTTTAAAAGTACGACGTCTCTCACCGTCCCTTGTCTCCTCTTCCCAGACCCATTTCTTTGCACCTTTAGAACAGAAACTCGATTTATACGTCTCGCTTTTGGAATCCTTGCTCCTTCTATCTATACTTTTGGTCACATCGCTCTTCACCTTGATACGCGCTCCACAACGGCGACCAAAACAATGAGTTGCTTGTCTTGGGAGCGTTTCCCCCCAGAACTGCGCCTCCTTCTCCTCAAGCACATCGCTGGACCCGACCCAGACCCACACCAGGGGCCCAGACATTGCTCAGAGGCAGAGGCGGCAAGGAGGGGTAGGGCAACGGGAGCGAAACTGCACACATACGCGTGGGCGCCGTGTGCGGCGGTCTCGCGCGAGTGGCAGGCTTTTTTCGAGCGACGCACGTTTGCGTCGCTGGCGCTGTTTAACGACGACGTGGGGCCGTTCTGCGCGGCTGTTCGGCGCCGTGCCGATCGGCTGGCGTATGTGGGCCGGCTGCGGCTGACCATCGACCTGCCCGGGTACACATGCGAGGAGTGTGGCACAGACGAGAATGCGGCGACGCTCAAGCGCAACAACATTGTCTTTACGGGCGTTCTGTGGCGTCTGCTGCGCGGGCTTGGCACATGGACGGGCCCTGTGTCACAAGAGCGGGGACTGCGGCTAGAGTTGGGTGTGCGCTCCATCAGCGATGGGCAGCACATGTGGCAGGAGTACCGCATCTTGCATCCGTACGGCACGATACGCTGTGGCCAAGACTACTGGCGGTACTTTAGGGAAACACGGCACCTCCGCAAACATTGTAGGTACGGATGGGAGGAATGGAGGAGCAGTGGCTTTGTCATTCCGCGAATCCGACTACCGCCCGCGGGCTTTCGCCGTATTTTCGGGACACGTCCCCTCGCACTTGACGCCGATGGTGTCGAGGTAGATGCAATAAACACGGGAGCCAAGGAAAACAAGGATGACACGGGACGGAAGCGGTGCAGAGCAGCCGGCATCTGCGATATCGGATGCGTCACGGCCCACCGGCCGCGCCGATTGTGCAGACACTTGTCATGGGCCGCCGGTTCTTCCGCGCGATGCACCCCGATACTTTGCACCACCTGCTCCATGCGTGCTTTCCGGGCGTGCAGCAGGTGCATCTGGAGCCGTGGCGGCCGCTGGATGCAGCCAACTTTGACACCATGGAGCGCGGCTACAGCCGTCTGCTCGCCGATCTGCCACCGTCGCTGCGTTGTCTCAACCTATTTTTGGAGAGCAGCCATACCCTTCACCGGCAGTTTCGTGGCTTTGACGGCGAACCCGTCGGCCTCACGGCCCTGACCTTTCGCCGACTCCGCCCGCAGCTCGGACGCCAGCTCGCCACGGGCAGCAACAACCTGGCCGTGATCAACGTCGCCTTTCTCTGCAACGCGGACGACTTCTTTGCAGCCGCGGCAGGCCTGCCCGCAGCGACACACACGTGGCCGCGGCTCGCCACGATCGTCTTGACGGCGCCGACGCTGGCGCCCTCCTCGTCGCCCGATGCCATTGTGCGACTGCTGCGGCGGGCGGCGGCCGTGGCGGTGCGGATGCCGCAGCTGCGGGAGGTCGAGCTCTGGTACGTGTGCTGCCAGAACGCATGCACGTTTTCGGTCACGCTGGCGCCGTTGGCGCCCGGCGGCGCTCTCGCGGGGACATCCAGAGGGGCGGCACCAGAGGCGCACTTGACTCTCCGTTCCACATGGCCGCTGCAGGCGGTGCTCACGAACCGTGTGGTGGGCGCGTGGCGGACGGTGACCAGAGAGTGGGTCAGAAGGACATGGCCGTCGGCTGACGAGTGTCGTCTTGACGACTGTCTTGTCGTCACAGTTGAGACGCTCCAGGTGAGCTCAAGTGCTATGGAGCGGGGCATGGATGCGCGCATGCTGGTGCTCACCGGCAGCACACTGGCCAGCAAGTATATATTTCGGCAGTCTTGCGAGGACATGCAGATGGAACGGACCGGGAATTGGAGATCGCTTTTTGTGGTAGTATGATATTGAATTTCATGGCGGATATGTATGAAAGGTTCTTATTTCGGAAATGTACTTGTGGTATAGAAAAAAAGGGAAATCAAAACGAGACCCACGGCGGCGCCAATACAATATACAATACATTTTACGTATATTTTTATTCCGTTTCCGTGTTTCCAAGTCATCTGAGCACGGAGGTCTCTTGACATATTTGCATCACACAAGATTCGAACGGAAGTGGGCATCGGAGGTCAAGGCCAGTCGGTGAGCAGACTCATCCTATGGTGTAGTAAACTCCAAATCCGTTGAACGGTCATTTGAACAGTCCCTCATGTACCAAGAAAGAAAAGAAGAACGGAAACAGTGAAAGAGCGAAAGGGCTTCAGGGCAGGGACGTCCAACGCTCTTGCCTACTGAGGTTGTAGGTGCAATGAGCGTCATATTTGTTGGCGACAGGTAGCGCCTTCCTGCAACGCAAGATGCAGTGACCCAGCCCAGACATGTTCTTTCCATAATAACAGAAAATGTCAATAAACAGAAAATGTCAATAAACAGAAAATGTTGGAACCAAAACATGGTCGCAAGACGATGTTTCTCCACCACCACAGCTGCATTTACAACGCCCACCACCGTCACAGACAGAGACCACGAACAACAACAGCAGCAGCAACCAGAAGAGCAGCAACAGCAGCAGAAACAGCATGCCGCGTGTAAGAGTCTTCCCCTGTAAAGCTACGAGTCCATGCTACTGCGCGCCTAACTAACATGCGCTGTGACAGGCAACTACAGGTCGTGGCCGGCGTGGTCGGCGTGGCCGGCGCCAAGGCATCGGGAGGAGCCGAGCTGGCGGAGGAGGACGGCTTCGGGCCGACAATGAGGACCTGCTAACGAGAGCACTGGCGATCATGCGCGAAGAGGAATCGGAAGAGAACCGCAGGACCGCCGAGAATTCACGCCGGGAGACCATTGAGCGATTCATGCATGAGGCTATCGATGCCGCACAGGGGGCAGAGATGGCAGCGGAGCAGGCTACAGTGGCGAGAAATGAGGGAAGAGCCGAGATTGCTGCCGGACTGGTCTGGAGTCCGGGCGATGCTGCGGCCGAAGCCCGCCAGGAGGCGGAGACAGCTCGTGCGGAGAGAGAGCGCGCGGTGGCGGCAAGGGCAGAGATGAGGAAATACCGCCCCACCCTCATCGAAGCTGAAAGTATGGAGGTCCAAGTGTCGGCAGCGGCGAGGGCCGCGCAAGTTGCGGAGAAGATGGCCGAGAACATGGTGGCAGCGGCAGCGGCAGCGGCAGCAGCGGCGAAGAACGAGGCAGACTACCATCTGCATCACCCGCAACTAGGCGAGGTGGTCGGTATGGCACGCGGAGACGACATTGTGCAGTTTCGCGGCCTTCCCTTTGCTGCAATTCCGGGTCGATTTCGACAGGCGACTTTGCTTGAGCAGCTCCCAGAGAATCCGTTTGATGCTCGGCAACCAGGGTGAGTCACCTTATGTGATACCGAAAGGCACAAAACTTACAACTCACATTCTCTAGCGCATACTGTCCCCAGCCACACATGCCGTTTCTGGAGTACTGGGACGGAGGACCGGTCAGTGGCTCTCCAGAGATTGCCATGCCGCCGATGGACGAGTTTGCCTGTCTCAATGTCGACATTACGGCACCTCGGTCGGCCGTGGAGAGCGGCAACGCAGGCGTGCCCGTCCTCTTTTTCGTCCACGGCGGCGCGTACATCGGCGGCAGCCACAGCGTCCAGGTGGCCCGGCGCGAGGTCTACGACGGGACCGATCTCGTCCGCGCGTCCGTCGCCGCCGCCCTCCCCGTTGTCCTGGTCACCTGCAACTACCGCCTGGGCCCCTTGGGCTTCCTGGCGTCGGAGGAGCTGGCCGCCTTCAACGCGGCCCACGGCGAGCCCGTGGGCAACTATGGGCTCCACGACCAGCGGCAGGCCCTGGCGTGGTGCGCGCGCTTCATCGGTGGCTTTGGCGGCGATGCCGGCGCGATGACCATCAGCGGCACCAGCGCCGGCGGCAGCTCCGTGCACTTCCAGAGCATCTATCCGGGCCCGCGGCACTTCCAGAGGGTGATCGCGTCGAGCGGCACGATGGTTGGCATTGGCCCGATGCCCACGAGCTATCAGCAGAAGAACTTTGATGCGTACATGGCCAAGGTGGGCGACGACGGAACACGCCGTCGTAGAACACGAGGCCGCGATGCGCTTGACATGGTCCGGCGACTGCAGCAGCTTCCTGTGGACGACATGGTCACGCCCGTGACGACGGACATTTACTATCCCGTTGTCGACGGCGAGTGGATCAAGGGCGGCCACCTCCAGGACTTGGAGACGCCGCGCAGCGAGGACGGCAACGAGCCCGATCTCATGATTGGTGCCTGCGCGTACGAGGTAGGATGTCGCAGGTCACAGTTCACAAACTCAAACCGCCGGGGGCCCCGTCCAATATGCTAACGGCTGTTGTGTCCCTCGACCTCAGCAAGATCTCACAGAGACCATTCTCATGGACAGAGGCACCCGCCAGCCCTTCGCCGATAACCACATACGCGGCAAGCTGTTCAACTTGTTCGCGTCAAACGGCATGGTCGCTGACGCCAGCGCGTTTCCTTCGCCGCGCATCGCCAACGACTACGGCCTCGCAGCGATCCTCGAGACGCCGTCTGCGGCCGTGGCGCCGTGGGCGGACTTCATGGCCGACGTGGCCTTTCGCCTTCCGCCGCTCCACATTGCCCTCCGGCACCGCCTCGCCAGCCGTGTCCTCGTCTACAACATCGAGGCCACAAACCCCTACCCCAACTGGCCCGCGTCGTATGGCCGGGCCAACCACGCCATCAGCGACCTCTTCCTCTTCAACGCTGCCCCAGACCAGGTTCCAGCAGAGCTGCGCGATGGGTACGGTGGCGCTGTCGCACAGATCCGGTCGGCCTGGCTCCGCTTTTGCCACAGTATCCTGCCTTGGCCGCCCCTCAGGACCACGGACGGCACACTGGGGCCCATCTTTACGTTCCAGAATGGACCGGCCGGCCGCTTGAGCGACACCTTGGAGGAAGCAGTTGGTGAGCAGAAGGCGACGAAATAGAGGAACATTCTGCAGTCGGACGCGACAGTGTAGACAAAGGGCCTCGTGCAGGATTAACAGACGTCATGTATTGCCTTGACGACTCGAGGAGCAATTGTTATTATATGAGACAAGACTCAGCCTATGATTACCGTGGCCAGTAATCAGGTACATGCGAAAATTAGTCCAAAAGTATTATACAGGAAAGGAAAGGAAAGGGAAAAAAAGGAATGGCAGAATTTATGTTTTGGTCGTTGTCGTCCACCCTCCACAATCGTCTACAGCTGCACCCACGAAATCTGCAGCGTCACGCCGGACTGGTCCTTGGTGTAGATGGTGCCCTGCGTCGTGCCCGACGGCACGGCCTTTGCATAGAACGTGTTGGACGCGCCGTGCGTCAGGAAGCTGCCGTCGTAGCCAAAGTTGCTGGCCGTCGTCACCGTGCTGGCGCACAGCAGCGAGGCGTCGTCTTGCACGGCGCACTTGCCCTTGGACGTGTTCAGCGTGAAGGCGACGCCGTCGGCCGCAGGCGTCGCCGTATACGTCGCCGGGGTGCCGCCGCCGCGGTACCAGGTGCCCGCCGTGATCAGGACGCCACCCGACGCGACGCCGGGCGACGAGACCTCGAGGTGGCCCTTGCCCGAGAGGGCGACGGCCGAGCCCGATGGGGCGGGTGCCGACGACGACGAGGCTACCGACGAGGCTGCCGACGAGGCTACCGACGAGGCGCTGGACCGAGTGACGGTCGACAGCGTCGAGGACGGCGCCGGCGTCGACGAGGGGCCGGACGACACGACCGACGACGGGCTGATACCGCCGCCCGGCGCAACGTTGGCGCCGCAGACGTTGAGCAGAGCCACCGTGGGATCGTGGTCCGACGTCTGGTCGTTGTAGTTGACCCACGTGTTGACGTGCAGGTGCTCCTCCTTGGGGGCCAGGGCGGCAATGGCGCTGCTGACAAACACGTGGTCCAGCTCCTCCATGTTGTTGTCAAACGTGTACGTGTAGCGCTCCTCGGCCGGGATGCCGGCCGCCACGTCGAGGTCCACCATGCCCGAGACGTTGGCAAACGTCGTCACGGGCTGCACGACGCTGTACTCGTTGAGGTCGCCCCCCATGATGACGCGGGCGTCGCCGTCGAGCGAGAGAATCGACTTGATGAACGCGCCCGTGATCTGGGCCTGCTGCGTGCGCTTCGCCACGGGGAGGTTGACGGGCGGGCGCAGGTCGCCCTGCAGGCTGGAGCTGCCGCCCTTGGACTCCCAGTGGACGTTGACCGTGAAGAAGACGTGGCCGCCCACGACCGTCTGCCACGCGGCCGCGAGCGGCTTGCGGCTGCTGGCCCACGCCGCATTGGTCGGGTCGATGCGGCCCGGGTTGTACTTGAGCGCGGGCTTGCCGCCGTTGCTGGGGTCCGCCACCACCGCGTCGGCATCCAGCGCGCCGCCGGCCGTGCCCGTCGTGCTCTGGGCCAGCCGCACCACGGCCGCGTTGTACAGGTACGCCTGGCGGATGTTGCCGCCGGGCTGGCCGCCGTCGGCGTCGTTGGCCGGGTTGATCCACGTGTAGCTGTACTGCAGGCCGCCCTTGCCGGCAATGGCCGCCACCAGCGTGCTCAGCGTCAGGGACGAGTCGACGACGCCGTTGTCCGTCGCGCCGTTGTTGTCCTGGATCTCCTGCACAAACAACACGTCCGGTGTCTTCATATAGTCGACAATGTGCGCCGCCACTGCAGCGACGTGCGCCGAGTCCGACGGCGCAAAGTTCTCAATGTTGTAGTCGCCGACGGTGAGGCCCGCGCACGTGCCGGTGCTCCGCAGCGTTGTCGGCGGCGGCAGCGCCGGCGCGGCCGAGCTCTTGTAGACGGGCGCCACCAGCGGCAGCAGGTAGTAAAAGCCGTACTGGTAGTGCACGACGCCCGTGATGTCGCCAAAGGTGTCGCCGATCTTGTACGTCGTCACCGCCTTGGCGCCGTCGAGCGGCGCGCCGACAATAATCGCCTCCGGGTTGGCGTCTTTGCTGCCCAGCGTCAGGCCGCCGCGGCCGTTGCGGCCCGTCGCCGTCCAGTTGCCCACCATCCACGTCTCGCCGTAGCTGTTGGGCTTGGCGACGGCCACGGGGCGCGGGAGCGTGACGAGGTCGCCGTTCAGCGCCTTCCAAAAGTCCAGGCCGTACACCTCCGGCTGCAGCTTGGGGTTCGCCACCGACACCTGGCTGACGTTGTTGGGCACGCCGAAGATGTCGCCGCCGTCCAGGCTCGTAAACTGCTCCGTGGGCGGGCTCAGCGACGACGTGCTGCCCAGCACGCGCGGCTTGGGCGCCCCGCCCTTGCCCGCCGCCCAGCCCTGCACGACGGGCGACTCCAGCTCCGTCGAGTACAGGTACGCCGCCGACGAGCGGTACTCGGAGACCTTGCCGCTCAGCGTCAGCGTGTCGCCGATGGCGATGCTGGCGTTGCCGCCGAGCGTCGAGCTGTACACGTACAGGCCGTTGCCGATGCGCGCGTCGCACGACAGCTTGGGGCTGCGCAGGAACAGGCCGGCCGACGACTTGGCCGTCACCACGCCGACAACGCCCGAGACGGACTGGCCATTGTACGGCGACAGAAACCTGTTGCCCGTGATGTCGTGGATGCTCTGGGCCTGGGCGACGACGGCCGTCAGGGCGAGCGTGGCGAGGAAGCTGTTCATGGTGAAGGGTGCCGATCAGTGCCGATGAACTGTATCCGGTCGTTGAGGTTGACCTGCTCCTGTAGGTCTCGTTTTGCAACGACGATCCCTCCTCTTTATCTATTTATTTCCCAGCTTGCCATCAGACGACTGCCCTGCCGCCATCCGAGTCCGCCTGCCCTGTCAGGAACAGGAAAAGAACTGCACCGATCTGGGTTCGCGTTTCCTTGTCAGCCAATAACGCGCCCGACAGTGTGGCAGGCCGGGGCCAGACCTAGACCAGGCGACCGGAAACCACGTTCTAATGAGCACAGCTGCGCATCTGCAATCTAAGGCATCGTCCATCCTTTCCGTCTTTTCCGCATGCGATTAGGTGCTGTTGAGCTTTGGGGTGAATGGTCGTCGATGAAAGTTTATTGTGGTAAATGCATGCCAAGAGCCCCTAACGACCAGCGGAAAGAGTAGCCAGGGGCACGCTGGAGCGTTCCTTCCAATCGTGGCGTCAGCCTCTCCCGCGTGCCTCTCGATGGGGTCTTGGCATTATCTACTGTGTACTCATCCACCACGTCCTTCAGTCTTGAAGCCCCTGTCCGTGATGAGACGGCCGGCCGGAGTACGAAGTCGGTTTGTGTTCCTGGAGCTGCCAAGGCAGGCCTTGTCGTTTAAGAACACCGACGCATTCGTTTCCTCTTCCTTTTTATCAATAGTCGATGAATCGAGGCAACAATGGCGAGGCGGCAGTCATTGACGAGCGGGCCGTTACGTACTCTTTTACTCTTTACTCTCGTCTGGACGTCTTGCTTTGTTGTTTTCGTGCCGAGTTGGAAATGTCGCCATATGGTGGGTGCCTTGATTCGGCACCGCAAAGCTTGGAAGGCGACTAGAGATGTATTAAACATGACGTTGGGTAGAGCCAATCAGAGACAAAACAAGAGCAAAGAACATTGCGTAGATTCTACGATAGTCCCTACATTGCAGATTTCTACCAACTAAAAATTCGGGTAACGAATAAATAACACAGGCCGGCAACAGGCAGATCAGCAATCTCTTCTCCCTTCCAAGTAAAAGAGCGTGTGATCCAGATGATACGACAAAGATAGCATGGAAGTTTTCAACATGCACTACAGAAAAGATCGACTCTCTCGCGGGAAGCGCATGGGAGGCGACAAACGGCACACGGCACGAGAGGATCAAAGAAAGCAAGGATTGTAAAGTAGGTGGACGTGTACGGTGGACATGGCTAAATAAGTTCGCGTTGCAAACACCACTAACAAAAGCTGCCCTGGATCTAGCCGTTTTCCCTGTCGGTCAGTGTCTACCAGCACGTGCGCTGTCTCGTACGAAGACCACGTTTTGCTGTTTCTTTTCTTTGAAAAGGACTTGACGGAAGCAAATAAGCTATGCTAGGACTCCACGTCAACTGATCCACATGTTCTCTCATTTCTTTTCAACCGCGTTGCCCTTGTGGAGCAGAAAGCAGGACTACGGGGTATTACTTCGTACGATGAACAGTCGGTCTATTTGTGCCGTATTGCAAATAGCAAGGAGAACCAATCAACGTCAAGAGCCATGGGAACACATATATTACACATGGCATCGGATGCAGGGTACATCATGTCGGATGAAAGAAAACGCTGTCATATAAAGTCTGGCCATGGGACCCTAACATAATACTATGCACAGAAACGTACCATGACACAAGCAAACCACGGCTCCAGCCATCCCTTCTCTATAAAATACATCAAAGCCTCAGTCTACAGCTCGCCCATGGCGGGCGTCTTGGCACCGTCCACGCCGGCACTCTTCTCCAGCTTGTCAAAGTCGGCAAACGCCAGCTCATACGCGAAACCCAGCGTCATGCGCGCGTGCTGCAGCATGTGGTCAAACGACAGGTACTTGATCAGGTCGTCCGTCGAGTGGATGTGCTTGTCGCTGAGCTCAAACGACGACTCAATCACAAACGCCGACGGGTAGCCCGCCTTGCTGGCCGAGGCATGGTCCGAGCACGCGTAGCCGCACTTGGTCTCGACGTAGGGGATGTCGCAGTAGGCCACAATGACCTTCTTGATAAACTCGGTGAGGGCCGGGTCGACGTAGTCGACAATGACCCCGACGCTCTCGACCTGGCCGGCGTCGAGCGTGCCCTGCACGTAGCCCGTCATGTCCTGCTGCAGCATGGCGCGGACGTCGTGGCCGGCCTTCTCGTAGGCGCTGAAGATGGCCTGCGAGCCCAGCAGGCCGCCCTCCTCGGCCGAGTACCAGTGGAACTCGACCGTGTTGGGCGCCTTGCCGGCCTTGATGTCCTCCGACTGCAGGAGCGCCGTCAGCGCCTCGAGGATCGTGACGGTGCCGCTGCCGTCGTCGTCCGAGCCAGGCGCCGCCAGGATGGACGGCAGGAACAGGTTGATCGAGTCCTGGTGCGCGCCCACGACAATCGTGCGGTTCGTCTGGCCCGGGATGCGCGCGATGATCGAGTTCTGGCCCCACGGGTGCGGAAAATGCTCCACCGTGATGCCGCTCTGACTCTGGAACCCGCCGGCCGCGCCCACAATCTTCTTGACCTGCCCCAGCAGCCACTCGGACGACTGCCGCCCGTAGTCCGACTTGTAGTAGCGCGTGTGGAACGACGTCAGCTTCTCGAGGTGCGCCTGCAGCGACGCCTTGTCCAGGTGCTTGGCGAGCGGGGCCACCTCGGACTGCAGTGTGGCGTTGGCCGGGAAGACGCGCGTCTTGCCCGCTGCGTTGACCTTGACGGCGTTGATGGCGCCCAGCTGCTCCGTCGCCGTAATGTCCATGAACCGCAGCCCGTTGCGCTTCAGCTCCCACTTCTCCTCCTCCGACACCCAGCGGGTCTCGCCCGGGCCCAGCTCAATCAGAAACTGCTCGGCAGCCGCCACCTCGGGGTGCAGCTGGACGTTCTCGCCGTTGTGGCTGTCGACGAAGCGTGCGGCCACGGCCGGCAGCAGCAGCGCGAGGGCGTTGGCGGCCTTCATATTGAGTGTATGGGGAGGGAGGAATGTGAGCGAATGTGGCTTTCGGGGGAATGTTAGCGTACACAGTGTCGATGATTGTCCTATGGCCGTTCTTGTCCTTGTTTTGTTGTTGTTGTTATTGTTGTTGCAAAGGAGAGCTGTCCAGTTGTTTGAGGAAGGCGAGTATGACGGATCAGAAACAGGCAGCTCTCCGCACTGCGTGACTGATAAGCAACGGCGGTGGGCTATCTCCTTCCTAGGCTGGCCAGGCGGCGCATGTATGGGTAGTGGGTCTTATTCTCAAGCATGAGCCCATGTGATTGGCTGGGACCAGTGCGGAGAGTTTCACAGTGGATTGCGTGCCACGCGGTCAAAGTGGTACGTCTTAGAGCCGGATGCAGTCACTAACGCTGAAGGACCCACTGTGGACGTTAGGCACAATGTAGCGAGGCCCGAATAGCATACAATCCTACTTTGTAACTGTTGGGCATCTGATGGCATAACGGACAGAGCTTTCCTAGTAAAATTTGCCGACATCATAGTCATTCCGTATCAAATCAGTTGCTTATCAAACTGCTTGCTTCCTCTTCTTGCTCTCCTACATGACGTGGCATGCGCACGATCCACGCAATGTAATGTACTCTGTCCTTACAAGTCAAAACGCTTTCTATATGTCGATGGTCTCTATTCAAGGCGGACGCTTATGATGGTCGCTTCCACGCTTCCATTCTCGTTCCGTCCTCCTCGTTCCTTACATGCTGTCTTCCATCTGCCGGCTCCGCGTCTTGGTCCAGTTGTCGTGCTCGGGCTTGCCGCCCTGGCTTTCGAGACCCATGCCGCGCTCGACCCACTCCTTGCTGCCCATCTGCGTCAGCCGTGACAGTGCACGCCCAAAGGCAAAGGCCTCCTCCTCGCCGGTAAACAGGTTCGAGTGCTTGAGCTCGGCCATCATGTTGTGGCCCTCCATGCCTTCGACGAGGTGCTCAATCGACTCGTTGGTACTCTGGCCTTTGCCGAGTGTGGCCGTCGTCGTGCCGTCCTTTGTCAGGCTATCGATGATCTCGTCCTTGGACACAAAGAGCTGGTTGAGCGGCACGGCCGTCGTCAGCACCAGCTTGGCCTGCGCCTCGTAGACGGCGTCGATAAACGTAATGAGGCGTCGCGCGAGGTCGCGCTGCCGGTGCGTCATGCCGGGCACGTCCGTCACGATAAACGCGTCGTACGCGCGCACGAGCTCCAGGTAGTCCGCGGCCGACGTCGGCTTGCCAATCAGCTCGTCAAACGTGAACCAGGCACACCGGCCGCTGACGCGCGGCACATGGATCTCGCGGCCCCAGACCTTTTGCACCTCGGGGTGCGGTTCCGGGTGCTCGCGGTCACCCAGGAAGCGGAACCACTTTTCGGCGTGCGACGCCGCGTGGCTATCGAGCGGTGTGTGATAGACGCCCGAGGGTGGACGGGGAATCTTGCGGTAGTCGGTGGGCGAGTCGAGGTTGATGACATGCAGTCGTCGCTTGAGCAACTCGATCGCAGGAATAAAGGACTCCCGCTGGATCCCATTCTTGTACAGCTCGTCCGGCTCGCGGTTGGACGTCGTCACGAGAACGACGCCATGCGACATGAGCGCCTCCAGCAGCCGTCGCAAAATCATGGCGTCCGCCACATCGGTGCACTGGAACTCGTCAAAGCACAGTACGTTGCCCTGCTCAGCAATGTCGGCCGCGACAAACGGCACGGCGTCGATTTCGTTGCCGTACTTCATCTTCATATGGTGCAGCCGCTTGTGCACATCTTGCATAAAGTTGTGGAAGTGGATGCGCGTCTTGGACCGCACGGCGCTCGGCAGCGTGTCGTAAAACAGGTCCATGAGCATGGTCTTGCCGCTGCCGACGTCGCCGTATAGATATAGGCCCTGTGGCAGGTTCTCGGGGATCTTGCCGAGGGCCGCCTGTTTGGGCCCGCTGCCGCCAAAGAGGGATCCCATAAACGACTTGGGCTGCGGCTGGAGACTTTCAATGTCCGGGTGCACGACGTCCGGCGCATGGTAGTGGCACAGCTCGTCGTGCATGTGCTGCAAACTCTGTATGATTCCTGGATTGCGTATCAGTTATTGTCCTTTCGCTTCTCATTTTCCGTAGCCTTTCACGAGGGCAGACGTACCCCGCTGGTGCTCGTCATTCCGCAGGCGGCCGGCCTCGACACGCCGGTCGTACTCTTGCAGCGGCCCAATGTCGTCGCGTGTCGCCTGCACCGTGTTCTCTTCCGTTGCCGTCGCGATGCTGGCATGTTGCCGCCGCTGGCCGGTCCGCGCACGTGTCAGAGGTGACGATGCTGCCGGAGACAGTGTCGAAGATGGTGTAGCACCACATTTTGGCGTCGAAGCAGGCCGGACATACGAGCCCGCCTTGGTCTGCAAGCAGCGCGCGCATATAGTCGCAGGTATTGCTGTCGGAGAATTCAAAGCAGGAGAACCAGCCGGCGCTTGTGGCGGGAGTGGACGTCGCCGAAGCGGTGTTGGTCGCCGCACGAGGCCGCGGCGGACGGCCGGGTAGAAAGAGGAGGGAGAAGACGAACGGGCGATCATTGCATCACCGAGGGTCGGTGGTGGTCGAGGGTACAGTGGTGAGGTTGCGGTTCGCGAAAGAGTGCAAGACAAGTCAAATGAAGTCAGCTGCGCAAAAGTGCAACAGGGCGAATTAGTCCCGCGGTACGGAAGTTGGAGAGGGCAGGAACAGCTGGTGTCTGGTTGGTTGGCTGGACTGCGGGCGCCTGGTTTGACACTGCCGAGATGCGGTACTGCGCTAAAAATTTCGAATAAGTCCCAGAGGCCCCCAATGTTCATAAGCATAACGTCACTGACGTCGCTACTGGGGGCCGGGATTTAACGGGAAAATGGCACCTCCCACCGCTGTCTGAACGGTTGTTGCAGCAGACCAACACGGAGGAGACGCCGAATACCGAGGATGACCGACACACAAGCAAAATGGGACGCAAAAAAATAGGTCTGGGAACTTCATCGACAATATGATAAAATGAAAATAAAAATGAAAAGAAAACTATCGTCATCCAAATAAGAGCGAAAAAACAAGGTTTTTACGTGCCATTATTCATTTTTACAGCGCAAGGGAAATATGTACAGATTATTAACATCATCCATCATACAACCCCTTTCTTTCCTACAGGAAGCACCCGGCCAAAGCCACTGTGACTGCCACCCACAAAGAGCGCTCGAAAGCCGCGGCACTGCTGCTAATGTCGGGGATAAACGGAAAGCACCAAGTGCTGGCCGACGTAATATTGGCACTGTTGCCGCCGCAGATGGTCCCGTCGGTCGTTCCGTTGAAGGTCGTGCCGTTGAACGCCAGCGTGCCACCCATGACGGCCGGAGGGGAGATATCGTGCGACGCATTTCTGGCCATAGTAGCGTACGTGGTCAGGTTGTGGTGGCTGGTCTCGCTGCTATTGTAAGTCGTGGCCGGGTTGACGACACCGTACATTCCGTCCTGGCAGTGCCGGCTGGCCGTGCAGTAAAAGACGAACGGCTCGGACGTGTGGACAGTAACGCGAAACGTGGCAAGCTGTTGGTCAGTATCATAGAAAAATAAAAAAATAAATTTTTTTAAAAAAAAAGGAAGAAAGAAAGAAACCCGACGGAGAGACAGTGAACTTACGCCACTCTCCTCGGCGGCGACTGGGATGAAGCCCGAGAAGAAGCCATTCGGAGCGGGCGCGCAGGCCTTGTCCCAAGAGCCGAGGGCCACGCTGTGGTTGCGTGGATAGAAGGAGAAGACGAGAAAGTCGCCGACGGCGGCCGATACTGTGTTTGGCGTAAAGGCGAGGCCAGACTCGCCCACGGTAATGGTCACAGTGCTCGGTGGTGATGGGGAGGTCGATGATGTCGGGGCTGAAGTCGGTGCAGGAGTTGGAGTGGTACTTGCTGGTAGAGCTGTTGATATTGGCGAGCGAGTTGACGACGTGCTCGATTTATGGTTTTGTTTTGTCGATGCGGCCAGGGTTATTCGTAGGGTCGAGGAGGCTGCGGAAAGTTGAAACGGAGGAGCTGAATACATCGGTGTTGTCGCACCCATTACACTGGTCGGTGTCGAAGATGTTGTCGTGGCCGACAAAGCTACACCGATGAGGGACACAAAGATCGCCTTGCGTAACGACATTTTGAAGACGACGTTTCCAGCAGTTGTGAATATTGCAATTTTTCAGTGATAGGAAACCTCGTTGGGTGTCTATCCATGGAAGAGATGTTCAGCCTTTAGATGAGGGCGGATACCGGACTCTGAAAACGACGAGACGGAGATCCGGACAACTGTACGTTCTCTGTTATATTTACCTGTTACCTTCATTTTTCTTATTTTTACCAGAGAAAGGATTCCCAAACGGAGGCTTACGCACTCCGACGGGCATTTGCATGGCCTTGGTGACACCTGCTTTGCTGTTTCCCAGCACCAGTACGCGTCACAACGAGGTAGTACTGTAGGGCCCATTTCTTTTGCTTTTGGCGATGGGCACATATTTTCTCTTTCCCCCCTAAGAGGGAGGAGTTTTGTTGTTCGTTTTCTTTCTCAATCGCTTGGAATCTGCATATCTCAACTGTCTTGGTCCCACAGACGAGATTCGTTGGAAAGTTGAGACACAGTCACATTCATGCAAACAGGACGCCGAATGTGAGCAAAGGTGCAATAACAGACGACTGCCAGGGGGCGACCACTTTAGACACGAGGTTATGAATGTGAACGGCACGTTACAACATTTTTCTTTACGGTCCTGAGTTCGTATGGAAGTTTAAGCATAAGTCTGCGTGGCCATGCAACCGAGCGCCAATTTACGATGCTTGCCTTGTAAGAGGCGCTTTTAGTGTGCCATGTAAAACATACAACATTTTTTGTTTCCAAATATTGTACTTTTTTTTTATTAAAATATTACGGAGAAGGTGAAGAAAATAATTCCTAAGATAAGAAGTAAAATGGTGAACATGCGACGAGTCAGTTGTCAACTTACAGGTGAAGAAAAAGAGTGGAGATCTTTTTAGTCGCATCTCGCGTGTGGCGTCGTTCCCCACCAACAAGAGAAATTTCACCTCTCCCTCATAAGCACTAATAACGCTGTCAGACTTCAACAAGAAGTCCTAGCTCCTGTCTTCGAACAGGTTCCGTGGTGCAGTTGGTTAGCGCATCGTACTAATATTTCTTCAACGAGAAATCCAATGCGAAAGTCGAGGGTTCGAGCCCCTCCGGGACCATTATAACTTTCTTTTTTTGAAATTCAAGAAGGACGGTTCGTTTTTATTCCTCGTTTGCCCTCAGTCTTCCATTTTTGTTATATTTTTTTGTCACTCATTTCTATCCGTGTTCGACATTTTATCAACAAACTTTCATGTTACATTTACTACGCCAAAATAATCGTTTGTTATTTCATCGTCCAAAATTTAACCCAAGATATTCCTAATGAAATTAAACGCCATCGAACCCACTCGTAGTTGTCCAAACTTGTACCTGTATCCAAATACGCCGTGAAATCATCGTCTGCCTAGCGGCATGTTTCAAGCCCTCCATCAAATCCCCTAACCCCTGTCATCTCGCCAATGACCTTGGAAGTGGTGCTCCACCAGCGTCTGCTTCGACCGGCTCCTGCTTGCGTGCGAATGCGGCACGCCCGTCGCAAACCCGTCAATCGGCAGCACCAGCGTGTCTCCGAACAGCTGCGGTTCCCTTATGCCATGCAGTGTCTCCCACGTAATGCGCGGCTGCCCGACGCCCGTGCCGGCCACGTGGTTCAGGTGCTCATAAACGACCTCGGTCCACGCGGCCGGGCCGGTGATGGCCAGAACGTCCTTGTCGGACAGTTTTCCCGCCAGAAAGCCTCCTTTTAACTTGGCGCCCTTGGCCAGAATGCGGTCCAGCATCGTCCAGAGTGTCGGGTGGTTAGGCGCACTCGCCAGGGTCCACTGGCAGAACTGGACCTCGTAGGTGGTGTCCTCGACGGGCGGGCTGGAGTCGGACTCGAGGCCGACAATGAGGCGAGTTTCCGCCCGAAACTTGCCGGGGACCCAGTCTCCAATGGGCTGCACGAGCGTTGTATCCATGTCCGAGTAGACACCGCCGTGGAGAGCCAGCGCGAGGTAGCGCATAAAGTCCGCACGCAGCACACGCCGCTGCATGCCATTGTACTGTGTGAGGGCGTCGCGGGCAAAGTCAAGCGTTCTCATTTCGGGCGCGGCGTCATTGATACGGGCAGCTCCGCCCGTGTCGCTGAGGCTGTCACTGACGCTGCCGCCCTCCACACTCTCGGTCGGGCCAGTGGTCTGGCGAAAAGTGTCTGGGTAGATGGGCACGCGCTGCAGAACCTCTCCCGCTTTAGGGGTAGCCATGGTGACAAGTCGGCGGACCATGCTGAGGGCGCCGCCCTTGTCCAACAATGTGTACGAGTATGACGGCGAGCGGGACAGCCAGGTGCCCAGGGAGGTTACGGAGAGAACGCTCGGTTTGAAGTCGAGGTAGATTTGCCAAATCTTGGCAGGGATGTGTGGAAGATGTGTCGTTGTCGTCGTGTCAAACTCGTCGACGGCCATGTTCGCAACATACTTTGCAGCTTCGGCCTCCGCCGCAGATTCCTCCTCCCTTTGTTTCGTGGCGTTGATCGCCGGCACGCCGCCCCAGGGCAGGTGTCGCATGCCACCTGGCACGGAGAGGCCGTGGCCTTGCTCATTGAGGTGCATCATGCCTATTGCAAAGAGAAACAGGCCAGCAAGAATCAAAATGATTCGTCGGAACCGGGCAACACCAGCGAAGCGGGGTCGAAATAAAAATGCTGATGCGCGTTTTGGTACTGACATGGATGCTGCGTCGGATTCGGTGCACCACGCCCCAGCACCTGCCAAGCGCGCAGACTGTTCGGCAATGTGCGTTTGCCACCGAGACAACATTGTGTCCTGCGGTGACACCGTCATGGTCGCGAAGTGTGTGAATAGTAGCTAGCACGACGTGTTTTCCGCGTCGTTTTTCGCGGCGATGTTGAGCTTGCCGGTTGATCCGTCGTGCGTTGCTACCCCGGGTTTTGCGAAAACGAGAAACCAAACGTAAGGATTGCAGGTCGTCGAATGTCGTCTAAGGACCAGCTTCAACCCGCAACCTCCGTTGGTTTCGGCAGGATCCGTACGATGTGTCAAGCAAGAAAGCTGTAGCCGTACTTCTCGTGTACTCCTCCAGCGACCGTCGAAAGAACCAGAGTGCTCAGCAAATATGTGCGAAGAGTGTCAGTTATACTCCGTTCAGTCGGTCGTGAGATTTGGTACAACGCCCGACGGTTCGATACCGGGAGGTTGGAGGGGAGCTCAGGGGGGCCTAGAAAGGTGAAGGTCGAAATGGCCAGCGCAAGGTTCTGAATAAGAGGCCTGGATTGGGCGTGTCAGATCGAATGACTTTGGCCGTCCTCTTTTGCTGTGCTCTCGATACGAGGTTGCAAAGCTTGGCAGGTACAAGTGGTAAAATACCAAGACCGAATCGGTTGCGTTGGGATGAAGAAGGGCAGTTTCACGTCTTCTCGTCTCTTGACTTCTCTCCAGAATTGAAATGGCGGCTTTCGAGGGTCTGTGCCGTAATACATATGCAGAACAAGAAACGCGGCCCAAGTAAAAGCTATGCGCGGCGCGGCCCATCTTTTGTCTCCGGTCTTTGCCGTTCGTTACCCTGCCTCCTGTCCTCGTAAGACACCAAAATCAAGAACGTATTACTTCGCCCCAGATGTCCGCCCTCTTCCATCTTACTTGGGCCTTGTCGAAGACCAGGACTGTGGAGTGTGGACCGAGAAAAAAGTGGAACCAATGAGATCAGAGCAAAAAGCTCTGAGAGACGAAAGGCAGGGAGAAGATGGATGGTAGCCGAAATTTAAGTTTTAAAGCAGGAGGTGATCGGCGACGCGCAAATGCGTGACGAGTCCCTACATAAAAGGAAGAAAAGGGGTTAGTCAGGCAGTCAGAGTGTTTGACTTTGTGGGAACTGTCTTGGATGACGACGAACAGGGCCCAGTAAGTTGCTTCTCCCATTGTCACATTGTCGTCACATCGCTGGTCGTCTGACATTGGAAAGGAGGCAAAAGTGTCGAGGAATGATGGATAGAATGAAGCTGGTTGTTCGCGTCGACATTCTTACGGTACATTCTTTTAAAGAGAGCCTCTGATCAAGACGTTGGAAAACGAAGATGTGACGTGAATCTGTGGTCGTGCCAAGTCCTTCTGCCGGTCGCTTTGCAGTGCCGGCCCCAAATGCCACCCGGGTCTAGCGGCAGTTGGCCGCATGTGTTGCTTCTTGGCAGTGACGTAGAGCTGGGAGCGCAGAGAAAACAATGAAACGAAAAGTCCGAGACAAAGTAAAATCACACCGAAACAAAAAGTTTGACAAAAGCAAAGGCAAGCGGACGATGTGATTCGAGATCAGGAAGTGGAAGTTGCGAATTCATGCGACGTGCTACGACTGGAAGCCACGACTGACGACAAACCATTCTAAGAAAGAGCGATGTGCACAGTAGGTGGCGACGCGTCACGCAGGTCTGATGGGAGGCAAGCGCGTGAGTCGTGGCCATGTACTTCGTAGGGGAAGGACAGAGCAAGAGCATGCGTTGCCTTTCGTCGCATTTTCACCTGAGATCTGCCCCTGAATTGCTCCCACGTCAAATGTGTTGCCCCTTTTCCCCCCTTAAAAGTCGCACAAATAAGCACGCAACTTGCACACGAAGAACAATTCTTGCAAACGCCACGCGGACCACGGCATATGAACCGGCGAGCACTGAGATACTTACGAGATGTACGGAGTACTGATTCTCAACATCAGCTGCGTTCCAGTAGTTTAGGCGACGATGCACAGCCAGACCTTGCGAATGGCTCCGCTGTCGTCCTCGGTCGATGGTATAAAAGAGGATCGTCAGACAGTGGATGCATCTGACTGCTAGATTGTGTTCCGTTCAATCAATATGGCCCTTCACTCTGTCATCTTGTTTCTTCATTTAAGAATGTTTGGAAGTTTGGACATGATGTGCAAACGAGAAGGTGCCTTTGTGCAAAACACGACAAGAGCCATAATGATATGGTTTCCAAGCGACTGCTTTTTATGCGACGGTTTGAAGACACGCTTCGTCTGTTGCCTGCATTTACGGCAGTCTCTTGATATTCTACTTTCTGCCTTATCCATGCTTGCAAACAATCAAACGACACTCGTCCATCTCGTCCAATCTCCTTACAGCTGCAGGTCCGACACTCGCCACACCAGCCGCTCGGCACTGGCCTCCTTTCTGCGCAACACATCCAAGGCCTTTTGAGCGCGCTCCAAGAGGGTAGCGCCTTCAATAATGCGCTGTCTGTTGGGCTTGACGATGCCTGCAGTCAACAACGCAGGAACGACGGTTGACTGCAGGTGTTCCTTGAAGAAGGGATCCTACACAGTTAGCGATGAAGAAAGGCATATGGACGACGCCTACACTGGGACAGAAAGGAGGTACCTCTTGATAAAAGTGCGCGCGCACACCGCGGGCTTCGACACCGTCGGCCCAGTTGACGGCAGCCTGTGTGTCCATGGCGTACTCGGGCGCGACGTCGTCGGTGGCATCGCGTACAATGACGGGCAAGAGGGCGGCGACGATGGTACCGTGCTGGGCCAGCTCGGCAATGGGGGCGAGGCTGCCCTGCTGGGAGGCGATGCAGTCGAGGACGTACGGCACGGCCGGCCCGGCAGGGTTGGCTTTGGCGCCGCTCTCCTCGGCAACGGCCTGGAGAATTTGGGCAGCCACATCGACGTCGTGATAGTCAAATACATGTCGGGCACCGAGGCCGCGCAGGTCTGCGTGGTGGCGCTTCGAGGCGGTTGTCAACAGGTTGGTGTAGCCCCATTGGCTCAAAATCTGCAGGGCGTATTGGCCACAGGACGAGGCGCCGCCCCAGATGAGGATGGGCGTGTTGGCGTGCACATTTGACGACGCAGGCGGCCGGGGCCACGCCAGAGGCAACCCGAAGTCTTTCGTGACGGCATGGAAGACGGAGACGACGTTGTTGGGCAGAGTGACAACCTCCTGCATGGAGAAGCCAGCGGGGATTTTGCCGAGACTCGTCTCAGGGACCGTGGCAAAGTCCTGATAGGCCTTCTGCTTGTTGTCCTTGAACGCGAAGCCAAAGACCTTGTCACCCACGCGCAGACTCTGGACGTCAGGCCCAACGGCCGTGACGGTACCCGCAATACCGTCGCCCATGACCTGGGGGTGCGTAACGAGCAGGCCGCCGTCGTTTTGGTGCAAGTCGAGCGGCGTCGAAGCAGTCCATTCGACGTGCACCTGGACCTCACGGCCGGTAGGCGTTGGCGTCGGGACGTCGATGAGACCCAGAGGGGCCCGCACGGCCACGGTGACGACTGCCTTGTGAGTGGACATGGTGATTCAAGTGTTAAGGAATCAGAACTGTCAAGTTGTGGTTTTATTACGTTTGATGATGCTTTCTTTGATTCCTCTTTTTCGTCGTTTTTCTTTGTGTTTTTCTCCCGATTACTTTCTTTGGAAAATAATGTTTGGCGTCTCTTGAGTTGGTTAAAATACTTTTTTGTCTATTTTCGTCTTACAATGCAACTCTAACACAAACATAAATGTTTTAAACTATGTTCGTGAGCCAAATCCGTCGGATCACTTACACGGCCGTTGTCGGATAAGCCGACTTACTTAGGCGGTTGGGCGCCAGAAGAGCAACTAAAAGAGCCGCCGGCTTTGCCGACGTTTTTTGGTGCCCTTACAAAGCATCTCCGCCAAGACCCACTTTCCCGCCCGAAGCATCCAACGACTCTCCATTGATCAACCCGACGCCCCCGACTTACACGATCAAAACAAAACCGACACCGAGACTCCTCGACATCGACAGCAACAAACACAATATCCACAGCAGGGAGTAGCAATAAAGCACAAGGAAACAAGAAGACGACAGGATTTTTATCCACTTTGCGGCATCCACATCCTCGGCATGGATTCGATGCAGACCCGAGAAGTCGGCGGCCGAACACCTCAGGCGTGCGAAGCGTGGTGAGTTTTGACTGTGTCAAGGCCGCAGACAATATAGAAATGCTACGAAATATACACATTGCTGACTCTTGACATCGGGTAGCCGACGCAGCAAGACCAAGTGCAGCGGCACGCGACCACAATGCCGGCGCTGTCTGAAGCGCAAGACGCCATGCACGTGGCCCGGCGCGCCCTCCTTCCAAGATGTCCCGAGCAGCGCAGACATCCCCGGCATACCTGGGACGCCGGAGTCGTTGTCCTCGACATTTGGACAATCTCAAGCGACCCAGAGCAGTCCTGCCGTCGATGCCTACGCCCGTGTGGGCCCCTCGCAAGCCGTCGCCCTCCCCCAACGGCTGCTTGACATCTTCTTCGAGCGCCACCATGAGGTTGAATTCTGCGCGTTCTTGCACAAGCCGACAACCACCATGGCCGGCCTGCAAAACCAGGCGCCTGTTCTGGCCACGGCCATTGCCAGTCTCGCGGCGTTGTACTTGACAGCCGACGAGGCGGGCCACCTCACCAAGACGCTCGGCTTGCCGACAGCCTGCGCTGTCAGCCTGTCCGACTTCTATGCACGGCAGGCCTCGGTTTTGGGGCGTCATTTGACGGACCAGCCGTCTATCCCCACCATCCAGGCCTTTTTGGTCCTGGCCGTCCGCGAGCTCGTCGCCTGGAAAGACTTCAAGGCCTGGATGCACGCCGGCACCGCCCTGCGCATGGCCGATGCGCTGCAGCTGAGTGTGGAGCTCGACGCCGACCAGCAGGCACCTTTTGTTTTCGGGCCGACCGCGACGTCGGCACGTCGCCACGTTGGGCCCCGCCAGCGCGAGATCCGCCGCCGCACCTTTTGGGCTTGCTTTGTTGTTGACCGGCTGATCTCGTACACATGTCACCACCGTTTCTACATTTCGCTACCGCCCGTCATCTCCAAAGGCGTCGCCACCAATGTTGTCTACGGGACCCGCGGCGGCGGCGAGGACGTGCGTCTGCCGTGCGCCGACAACACATTTGCCTTTGACGAGAACGACCCGGGCCCGTGGCTCGACGACTTCATGGGGGGGCAGTCGCCCCATCAGACGCCGGGCGGCCAGCTGTCGTTGTCCCGCACCAGCGTCACTCCCTTTTACCTCTGCCTGCTGCGGCTCTGGGGCGACATGGCCCTGCTGCACGCGACCGGTGGCCGACGCCGCACTCCGTATGCGCCCACAGATCCTGCCGGGCCCTTTGCCAAGGCCAGCGACGCCATCTCCGACTTTGCCACGCAGGTCGTGCCGCCTGCCATGCACTGGTCCGCCGCCAACTACCGGCTGCACCGCCTGACAGGGCAGGCCCAGATGTTTGTCCAGTTCAATTTCCTCCTGCACCACGCACGATGTGTCATGCACCACGAGTACCTGCCGCAGCTGGACATGCAGTACTACAGCCCGCTGCTGGAGACGGACGGAAGCAACAGCAGCGGCTTTGACGTGGGCCTGGGCCTGGACTTCGACTACCGCTCGCTCATGGCGTCTGACGCGGCGGGTCTGCCGCCCGACTACTCCCACAAACCGCTCATTGACACCTGCATCGATGCTGTCAATACCATTACGGACATGGCCACCCTGCTGTATCACGGCGGCGATGAGGGTGAGGGCGCACCAGTCGGCCTCGGCGGAGCTGGTGGTGCCGGAGACGTCCAAGCGGAACGCGACCGCGGCCGCGCTATGCTGCAGTCCACTGTCGCCGCCAATGCTCTCGTGACGGCGGCCGCTGTCCACCTCTGGGTCGTCTACACCCAAACCTGCGACCGCTGCCCCAAACCGGCGGCCCGCGCCAAGTTTTTGTTGCTGCTGCGCATCATCCAGTCCTGGGAGCCCCGCTGGCCGGTGGCTGCTGCGTGGGGCCAGACACTGGGCCTGCTCTACAAGCTGTATGAGTACTCGTACGGGACCGAGCCCGTCCCCGAGTTTGTCTCGTGGGAAGCGGAGGCAGCGGAGGGAGCGGATGGCTCGACGGCGGCGGCCAAGACGTCAGCTGTGGCAGGTACAGTTTTCTCGCCGAACTGGAAACAAGGCGAAAGCAGCGCCTGCCGCGACCACCCTGGCCTCTCCTACGGTGATATCCTGCCCGACCCTGCCGCCGTCGGCCAGAGCCTGCACGACAAGGTCCGCAGCATTCTCGTGCACCCGCTGCATGCGCCGGACGTGAAGCGCAAGAATTTGCGCGTATTCTCACAGACCTTGTGGCAGCAGAACCTGTGGTTGCTGCCTGGCCTACTGGGCAACGGCGCCAGCAACGACGGACTCGACATGGAGACCATGTATATGTGACGTGGGACGTACAGAAATGGGGGCGTCAATCTTATTCAATATTGTATCGTAATAAATAATGGCAAATATGTTACAAAATGTTGTGAGTATGAAAAGCAAAATCAGAAATAAATGCGGCCGTAAGGCTGACCATATATGCCTTTTTGTCTATCCCATTTAATGCCAAAAGAGAGACAGAGAGGACAAAAAAAAAAAACAGCTCCAGCATTCCATCCCTCACAACGCCGCCTTCTTCGCCTTGCTCTTGACCGACTTGACCAAGTCGGCCAGCTCGTCGCTGCGGGTCGAGTTGGTCTTGGCCTTCTTGCTGGACTTGGCCGAAGCGCCACCACCATCCTCGCCGTCGCCGCCCTTGCGTTTCCGCCGCGCCTCGTTCTGCATCTGTTCCAGACCCAGCGTGTCCTTGTACTGCGGGTGCGACGGGTCGATGGCAAACTCGCCGCCAGCAAACACCGCCTGCAGACGTGGGTCTGCCACGTCCACACCGTGGATGGCAGCAGCGGCGCTGGCGCCGCCGGCCTCCTCGCCGGCATCGTCCTCGCCGTCGTGCCGCCGGTTGTGGTTGCGCCGGCTCTTCTTGCGCGCCTCCTTTTGCCGCTGCTTCTCGGCCTTCATCACCTCGCGCATGTCAAAGTGGCCGGCGCTGCCACGCGCATCCTCGCCGTCGTCGCCCATCAGCGCCTCCAGCTGCGCCCGCGACGCTTCCTTCTCCTTGGCCGCGGCCTCGCGCGCCGCCCGCTTCTTCAGGCGCTCCTCCTTGCGGATGGCCGACTTGGAGGCGCCCGCGCCGCCGGCCGCGCCGGCCGCGCCCGGAGCATCGTCCAGGAAGAACGGATCGTTGAAGCCAAGGTCTTGGCCGTCACCGCCCTCGGCGAGGCCCCCATCCCCCTCCACATCGCTCTCTGCCTCGGCATCTGCGTTGAGATCAGGATCACGGCCCTCGCGCTTGGCAATCGCCTTCTGCTTGCGCAGGGCCTTGCGCTCCTTCTCCTTGCGCTTGTACTTTTCCAGTGTCGTCTCTTCGCTGCCGTCCGCGCCGCCAGACTTCTTCTTGGCAGCCGCGGCGTCCGAGAGCGCGGGCGTGAACGTGATTTGCATGCCGCCCACAGGGCCGTTCTTTTTGTCTTTGCCGCTCTTCTTGGCCGGCTCCTCGGCCAGGCCCAACGCGGCGCGCATCTTTTGGCGTGCGAGCTCCTTTTTGCTCAGCTTGGCAGGTTTCTCTTTTTCCTCGTCCTCGTCGGCATCGTTTCCTTCTCCTCCGCCGCCCTCCTTGTCGTCGCCGTTCTCATCCACGCCACCAAACTCCTCTCCATCGTCTTCAAAGCCGTCCTCGCCGTCGCTGTCGCTCGCCAGGTACGCGCGCAGATCGTTCTCAATCAGCTCCGCCGGCGTGCCCGAAAACGCCTTTTTCATCAGGTCCTTGCGCGAGGTGTCTTCGGGGTGCATGTCCCACGTCAGCTTGACTTTGCTGTGCTGCAGCGCCTGCGTCACAAACTCCACCGGCTTGTAGTTGGTGGGCACCTCGGTGCACTCGTCCCGCGGCTCGTCGTCGTCAAACGTCGTGTCGTCCGGCACGAAGCGCAAGTCGATAAAGTTGGACGACGACTGGTACTCGGTGCCGTCCGTGGCCCGGTAAATCGCCTCCGCCGTCGCCGCGTCCGAGCACACCATTACCGCATAGTAGTACCGCAGCCGGTCCAGCTGGTACGACCGCAGAGCGTTGCTATCAAAGTCCGTGTCGTCCTCTTCACGGAGAAGATCCTGCTTCACCTTTTCATCATCGTCGTCGTCGTCTTCGTCGTCTTCGTCGTCGTGGTCGTCGTCCTCGGAGTCTTCGCTTCCCTCGTCGTCGTCATCCTCCTCCTCATCGCTGTCCTTTGCTTTAAAGATTTCTCTCGGCGGGCCCTCCAGCTCCTCCCGCTGCATCCGCTCCTTGCCAAACTGCGACGGGTACACCGAGATCCGCTCGATCCGTCCCCGTCCGTTTTTGGGCACAAAGCTCGCAAACATTGCCATCAGGTCCCGCGCCTTGACGTGGTCCCAGTCCAGGTTGACAATCGCCAGCCGGTGTGTGATCTCGCCCGTCGGCACCTCCGCTTCTTCCTCGCGGAACTGCTGCGTGTCGACAGCCGCCTCGTCACTGTCGTCCGCGTCGTCCTCGCCACCAAAAGGCTCGCCGTCTGATTCATCATCGTCGTCCTCGTCGTCCTCGTCAGACTCGGACTCGGATGCCGAGAAGCCACCGCCTCGTGCCGCGTCGTAGTTTGCGCGTGACGTCTTGGACGGCTTGCTTGGTTTGCTTGACGCGGACTTGGTATCGTCCTCGCTGTCTTCGTCGTCCTCCTCTTCGTCGTCCGCCGCCTCGTACAGACGCTCCAGCGCCTTCTTCTTCTTGTCCGACTTGAGCTTACGCCCGTACCGGTCAATCTGTGTTGTGGCCGTAAACTCCTTGTCTTTCAAGACCCGACTGAACCGCTTGTCAAGCTTCGTTTTTGCGTCACGCCGCGACGGTAGTCGGTACCGTGGGTCGCTCTCGAACTTGGCAAACCGCGCATCGTTGATCCGGCTGGGCGAGCCACTGCGCTCCTTGTTTTTGGGAGCCATAGCAGTACGCAGCTTGGTTCGTTGCCGAGTGCAATCGTGGAGAGGGCAGTTTGTAAGGTCAGGTCGCGGGAAAGTCGCAGGCGGCAGTTAAGGAAGGTGTCTGTTCCTGCAGTGCGCTCGTTGACTTTGTGACGACTCCTCGTGAGTCTGGATGTTTTCTGCCAAAACTTTTTTTCTGGGCTGGCAGAATCGCCCTAGCGATAAAGGCGGTGAGAGCCAACTGCCACCGCCAGGCTAGCGCCTTTCTGGCCACTCGGCCTGGCCTACAATTGGAGCCTGCAATTGGGGCCTGTAAATCATGCTTGTAAATTGGGCCTGCCAAGACCGATCTCATCCCATCTTCCTTCGGTGTTGACGTACAGAGTCCGGGGTATATGAGAATAACATGCCTAGCCACGAATATCTTGCATTTTGATTTGGCAGCATTGTAGAAGAAGAAGCGCCTCAAGGGGCCGCCCGAAAATAGAGGCAGGACACGCCTGCAGCCAGTCTTCCGCTGTATTACTAGCCAGCTATGTACAGCGTCGTATGGCCACCTTTCGCGCCCCTTCCAGGCTAACAACAGTGGACTATGCACCCACTGACGTCATCCCAGAGTCGTCGCATGCATAGCTACAGCGTACAACACACAGCTTTGACATGCCTTGGCCAGGAGAGGCAGGACCTCGCTGGCGATTGCCGACTGGCAATTAATACACTCCACCACACAGCTTCTGGGGCAGCAAATGGAAGGAGCATTCCGCTAGGTTAAAACATGGCTGGAAAAACGGTCGTGGTTGGCTTCTCTTCGAGGTGCAATACCAAGTCTCGCCAGTGTGTAAGTGAGCATTGTACTTTCCCGTTCCGTACATTTCTACCCACATTTCGTAGCCTGTTTCTCAGAGCAGTGGTGACGTATACTGACGATCCCATTGAGCGACGTGACGACGCATCTATCCCCCTCCCACCTTCCCGAATTGAGCCAACAAGCCAATCGCTGGGCCTTTCTCAATGTTTACCCTTTGCACAGTCGCACTTTCCTCCACTATTCTCCTTAAAAGCAGCTGCAGCCCCCGTTCTTGGCATTGACATTCTTTCTCTTGGCATCTCCAAAGCTTCAATCGGCGACTATTCCGTAATAGATTCACGTTTGACGCAGCCCGTCGCCTGTTTCGCAAGCCCCACACATCTCACGGAACAGACCACACAGAGTTAAGAAATAAGAAAATAACCTCCGGTTCAATCGTTCAGCCCTATCCTTACGACGATCAACGAGCACGTCCGCTCACAACATCATGGAGACCAAAGACTTTGGGATTCTCAAGAAGGGGACGCTTGGCAATGGCATAGTCGAGCTCTGCACCTCCAAGAACAGTGTGTCGTCGCTGGTGGCTGCCGATCCCACATTGGCGGCGGGCGATGCCTGGCAGACACTCTACGGGAAGTACAGCCATACCAAGGACGCCGGTGACAAGGCCGCAACCTCTCAAGTCGACGACCTCCAGCGCGCCGCACAATGCGGCAAATGGGGTCCTACGCAGCCCAGCGAGCTCTTCTTGAAAGTGAGTGCTCTGTATCTCAGCGAGCTATTATAAGTGCCTTCCGCTGACGGCCACACAGATCTACCGTGATGTTCTGGTGGTTATCGAGGAAAGCCCGGACCGGGCTATGGTCAGCCCGTCACTGCTAGGCAGCTGCGGCGTAGCACCGCTGACGGTGATCTCGACCATCCCGGATATTGCACGGCACATGGCCAATGTCATTGCTCGCGCCGAAAAAGAGGTCTTTCTGGCGACCAACTACTGGCAGGACAGTGTTGCCTCGCGCTACATCACAAACGCCATGCGTGAACTCGACCGCCGCGCTGGCGCCCGAGGCGAGCGCGTTGTCTTCAAGGTCATGTACGACCGCGGCAGCCCTAAACAACTAGTCGACCCGCACTACCTTGTCGGTGTCGACGAGTACACGGGCAAAAACGTCATGATTCCATCGCCCGAGGAGATACCCAACATCGACATGCAGGTCATGAACTACCACCAAGCGATGGTCGGCACCTTCCACGCCAAGTACATGGTCGTCGACCGCAAGATTGTCATTCTGCAGAGCAACAACATCCAGGACAACGACAACCTGGAAATGATGGCTCACTACGAGGGCCCCATTGTCGATTCCTTCTACGACATGGCCCTCATGTCCTGGCACAAGAAGATGGAGCCTCCGCTGCCGAGCTACAACTCGCCTGCCGCCGCCGGCGGGCTCAGCATCGACGGTGTGGCACCTAGCCAAGCCAACATCACACTGCCAGCGAATGCCAGCACTGAACCACCCCCTGCCGCACGACAACAGCCGCAGACTACACCAGATGCGGTACAGGCCGGCCCGACCGTCGACGCGAGGGGCGTGCGTGAGCCGGGTGCACTGGACGCAAAAGCCGCGTACGCACCTGTTGAGAGTGATAACGTGCACCGCTCCGATATCGTCACCGGCCCGACGACCACTGCCAGCACGCTTCATCCGCATGCCTCGAAAACCAGTGGCGGGAGCAGCTTGGGCAATCCAGAAATGGACAAGGCCGCTGCTGCACAGATTAAAGAAGGGAATACGGGCAGTGCCGAGGGAACCCAGGATGTTATCAAATCCAGCCCCAACAAGCCGAATGGCCCGGACCCGGCCACTATTTCCTTCTTGAGCAGCGGGAAGCAGCCAATATCGGCCGCGTCCATCCACCAGCCCACTGCCCCCGACACACTCCTCCCACAAAGCACAAATGAGCACCCGCAATACGACAGAGACATTGCAGGCGAGGTCTCCCGCGTGCAGACGTCCGTCTCGGCAAAGCCAGGTGAAACACAGATGGAGGCCATCAGCCGGCTGCTCAACCATACCGTGAACCACCTCAGGGCCGATGCGCCAGAACCGAGCGAGGGCGAGGAAATGACACCCTACATACCCCACGCCACCCACGAGCCGTTTCCCATTGCCATGGTCAACCGTCCTCCGTTTGGTCCTCCGACGCACTCGTCGGTGGTGCAGCCCCAGAACGCGGCGTGGCTTTCGGCTCTCAAGAATGCGCGAAAGAACGTCTTCATCCAGACGCCTACGCTCAACGCCGAGCCCTTGGTACCGGCCATCTACGAGGCGTGTGAGCGGGGTCTCGACGTGATTCTGTACGTGTGCCTCGGCTACAACGACATGGGTGAGCTGCTGCCACGCCAGGGCGGCACCAACGAAATGATCGCCCACCAGCTGTACCAGGCCCTCTCCGAGACGGGCCGCCAGCACCTGCACTACTTTTGGTACGTGGCCAAGGACCAGACACGGCCCATCCCGCAGAGCAAGAAGAAGCGGGACTGCCACATCAAGCTTATGATTGTCGACGAGACGATTGGCATCATGGGCAACGGCAACCAGGACACGCAGAGCTGGTACCACAGCCAGGAGATCAATGTCATGCTGGAAAGCCCCGACGTCTGCCATGCGTGGATTGATGCCCTGCGCCGCAACGAGAACACCCATCTGTATGGCGGGCTCGACAAGAAGGAGGGCGTGTGGCGCGACCACGAGGGGAAGGAAGCTGACGGTGTGCTGGGCATCGACCCTGGACGCTTTAGCTGGGCCAAGGGCTTCGTAGGCGCCATCAAGCGTGTGCAAGGCAAAGGTGGTTTCTAGGAAGAGCTGCCACGTGGCGCACGCAATGACTGGTGGTGGTCATTCCAGGAAAAGGGCAACGGGGAATGATGAACGTCTTTTTCTCTGGCGAGAATTTTTGGTGGCGTCACGTTGCATTTTTGAAGAGTTATGTTTTTTATATATGAAATGATTTTACTTCTTGTTTTCACAAGCTCATTGCCAAAGCCTCATATCAGAATCAGAAATTCAGTCGCTCTCCGTACCGCGCGTCCCTGTATTGTCCACGTTCCACATGCTTCTTGTAAACACACAAGGTATGAGTAAAACGCATGACGTGCCAGCTAAATCAAAACAAATCCTCGCTTTCCCACAAGATGGTATTTTTCCACTTTTTTTATTTTTTGGTTTCCCATTCCACACACTCTAATAACTGCGACCGAACATGACCCAGGTGTTGGCGCTGCGCTCGCACTCGGGGTTCAGGCACTTGGTGCCTTCGGCCAGCTTCTCCTCCGGCTGCTCAAAGGGAATGCACAGACTCTTCATGCCCATCGACGGGGCCTTTTGGCCATCAGGGCCCTCGGTCACCTCGTCGCTCTTGGTCAGGTCCTTGATGCGGTCCTCGCACTTTGGGTCCAGGCAGAACGGGATCAGCACCACGTTCTTGTTGTCCAGAGCCGGCACCACCTTGCTCCAATCCTTAATCACCAGACGGTGCTCACGGAAGGACTTGTCGGCCTTGTCGTAGAGGTCCTTCTGCACCGTCTCGAGCAGCGCCGGCACGGCCGTCGCCAGCTCGGCCAGCGGGATCGTGCCCTTCTCGCCCGTGTCGCGGCGCGCGAAGCTGATCACGTCCTTGGCGGCGTCCTTGGGACCAAACTCGAGGCGCAGCGGCACGCCCTTGAGCTCCCAGTCGTTGAACTTCCACGCGGGCGTGTAGCCCTCACGCACGTCAATGTCGGCGCGCACGCCGGCCTTCTTGATCTGGGCGAGCAGCTCGTCGCACTTGGCTACGTGGGCCGTCTTCTCCTCGGCCGTCATCTTGGCGGTCAACCCGACAGGGATCAGAATCGCCTGGACCTTGGAGATGCGCGGCGGAAGCACGAGGCCCTTGTCGTCGCCGTGGATCATGACCATGACGCCAATGACGCGCGTGGACAGGCCCCACGAGTTCTGCCAGACATGCATATGCTGGCCCTTTTGGTTCGGGTCCTCGACGGTAATGTCGAACATCTTGCTAAAGTTCTGGCCCAGGCAGTGGGAGGTGGCGCCCTGGATGCCGCGGCCATTGGTGGGGATGTAGCCCTCGACCGTGGTCGTGTAGTAGCCGCCGGCAAACTTCTCGTTCTCGGTCTTGCGACCGCGCACGACGGGGACGGCGAGCAGCTGCTCGTAGACACCGGCGTACAGCTCGAGGATCTCAAGGACCTCCTCGCCGGCAGCCTTCTCGGAGACGTGGGCCGTGTGGCCCTCCTGCCACAGGAACTCGCGGGCGCGCAGGAATGGAGTCGTCTGCTTGGCCTCCCAGCGGACGACGGAGTTCCACTGGTTGAGACGGAAGGGCAGGTCGCGGTGGCTGCGGATCCACTTGGCGTAGTAGGGGTACATGACGGCTTCGGAGGTGGGACGGACGGCCACGGGGACCTCGAGGTCCTTGTCGCCGCTGTGGAGGTTAGCACAAAGGGTTGGATACACAAGGCTCATGCTCATAATCAAAGACATCCCAGCATCGGGGGAGACTCACGCTTTCGTCACCCAGGCCAACTCAGGGGCAAAGCCCTCGACGTGGTCCTTCTCCTTCTCGAGCGACTTGGACGACAGGAACATGGGGAAGCTGGTCTCCTCGACGCCCATGTGCTCGATGCGCTCTTGGAACCACTTGCGAATGACGTTCCAGATGTACATGGCAGGCGGGCGCAGGATGTAGAAGCCGGCAATTTCGTTGTAGTAGTCGATCATCTCGGCCTTGAGCACAACCTCCTGGTACCACTGCGCAAAGTGGTCGGCCTTGCTAACGGTGATGCCGATGATGTCGTCCGCCTTCTTGCCGCCCACAACGGCGACGGTCTGGGTTGCCGCCTTGGCGGCCTTCTCCGCCTTGGCCTGGGCCATCTTGGCCGCCTTCTCGGCCTTCTTGAGCGCGCTCTTGGAGGGCTCCGTGCTCGCGGGGGCAGCTGCGTCGGCCATGTTTGTTGATGGTGACAGGGTTGTCAAAAAATGGTGATATTTTGGGGATGCCGTGAAATTGGCGATGCAGCCACTTTTGAGGACAAAAGTAAACACGCTCGGGTCGTTCAAAATGCGCAATGCTCGTTTCTCCCGTGAGTCACCCGGACAGTTGTGTCGTCTTCTCCGGTGATTATTTTCTTATCCCAACTGCTATTTTTTGTTTTTTGTTTTCAGGCAGGGAACGATCTCAGGTATATTAGTCTATTTATTTGGAGGGCGCTATATGTCCTATCTTGTCGCCGTGCCGCCTGACTCTTTGGCGGCTGCCATGCCAAAATCTTTCCAGCTGCCCCGCACTCGCGGGCCCCTGGTTCGCTTCAGGCGTTGATAGAGGGGCCAGAGCCCGTGGAACCTCCTTATCTCTCCTCGCCTGACCGAGAGGGGAAAGCGGTGTGTCTTAGTTGCACTTGCTCGTCGCTTTTCTGCCAGGTCCCTCCTTCCCCCTGTCCCTGCAGGGCATGGATCAACTGATTTTCCGTCCAAATATCAGGAAAGTGCTATGGAGCACTGTAGAATCCCGTTATCTTACCAACAGAGGGCCACTGGTGGTTTTGTCTATGGCTTCCCCTGTCTTCTATTCCCCTCCACGGCTCCCCTCTTTTTTGCCCCTATTGTGAGCAAACTTGCAGGCCCCAACAGCAACCGCCGGGAGCTACTGCTGCGAAGCTCTCCTATTTTTCAGAGCCACTCAAACTATACGAAATATTTCTGCCTTGGTAAAAGAAGCTACATCGACGTCGAAAAGCACGACATATCCCCCCTTCACGACCAGGCGGCAGTATTACGTCGACGGCACTCCCGCTCCCGGACGAGAATCGATCGATCTTTGCAGTTCTCGTTTCCGTGATACTTTTTCCGTTTTCAATTCGCATTCGCCTCCATCCACACCGCCATCGCCATGACGTCCATGTTCGAGCAGTCCCGGCAGGGGACGCTCTTTTTGGGTGGCCAGAAGATTTCTGGCACCGACATTCGTGATCAGAACGGTAAGTCGGGAGTCGGTTGTGTGATTTTGTTGCCCGGGCTGCCGTACTGACGCTCCCTTTCCGCAGTGATGGCAACACAGGCGATTGCCAACGTGGTCAAGAGCTCCTTTGGCCCCAGCGGTCTGGACAAGATGATGGTGGACGACATTGGCGACGTGACGGTGACCAACGACGGCGCGACGATCCTCACGCTGCTCGACGTCGAGCACCCGGCCGGCAAGATCCTGGTCGACCTGGCACAGCAGCAGGACAAGGAGGTGGGCGACGGCACGACGTCTGTGGTGCTGATCGCGGCCGAGCTGTTACGGCGCGCCAACGAGCTGATGAAGAACCGGATACACCCGACGACGATCATCACGGGCTACCGCCTGGCGCTGCGCGAGGCCGTCAAGTACATGAACGAGAACATTAGCATCAAGGTCGAGCAGCTGGGCCGCGAGTCGCTCATCAACATTGCCAAGACGTCCATGTCCAGCAAGATCATTGGCTCCGACTCGGACTTCTTTGCCAACATGGTCGTCGACGCGCTCCAGGCCGTCAAGTCGGTCAACACCCGCAACGGCGAGACCAAGTACCCGGTCAAGGCCGTCAACATCCTCAAGGCCCATGGCAAGAGCTCGACCGAGTCGGTGCTCGTCAAGGGCTATGCGCTCAACTGCACTGTGGCCTCGCAGGCCATGAAGACGCGGATAACGGACGCCAAGATTGCCATCCTCGACATGAACCTGCAAAAGGAGCGCATGAAGCTGGGCGTGCAGATCACCGTCGACGACCCGCAGCAGCTCGAGCAGATCCGCGCGCGCGAGGCCGGCATGGTCATTGAGCGCGTCGAGATGATCCTCAAGGCCGGCGCCAACGTCGTCCTGACCACCAAGGGCATCGACGACCTCGTGCTCAAGCTGTTTGTCGAGCGCGGCGCCATGGCCGTGCGCCGGTGCAAGAAGGAGGACCTGCGGCGCATTGCCCGCGCCACCGGCGCCACGCTGCTCAGCACGCTGTCGGACCTCAACGGCGACGAGCGCTTCGAGGCGTCGTACCTCGGCCACGCCGAGGAGGTCGCGCAGGAGCGCATCTCCGACGACGAGTGCATTCTCGTCAAGGGCACCAAGGTGCACTCCTCGGCGTCCATCATCCTGCGCGGCCCCAACGACTTCTCGCTCGACGAGATGGAGCGCTCCGTGCACGACTCGCTGTCGGCCGTCAAGCGCACGCTGGAGAGCGGCAGCATTGTGCCCGGCGGCGGCGCCGTCGAGACGGCCCTGCACATTTACCTCGAAGAGTACGCGGGCACGGTGGGCTCGCGTGAGCAGCTCGCCATTGGCGAGTTTGCGCAGTCGCTGCTGGTGATCCCCAAGACGCTGGCCGTCAACGCGGCCAAGGACGCCTCGGAGCTGGTGGCCCAGCTGCGGTCACGGCATGCGCTGTCGCAGCGGGTGCTGGACAAGCCGGCGGCGGGCGGCCACGGCGCTGCGGGTGCGGCGGCATCGGCTGGTGCGGCCGGTGCTGCATCGGGCGCGGCGGGCGGTGCCGGCGGAGCCAAAGACGCACAGCAGCTGGCGTCGCAGGTGGCCACCTCGCAAGGCAAGTCCGCGGCGGCCAAGCAGCAGCAGCTGGACGACGAGAAGGCGATTGCGCGCAAGAAGGGCTACAAGAACTACGGCCTGGACCTGATGCGGGGCCGGGTGGTGGACGAGATCAAGGCAGGCGTGCTGGAGCCGAGCATGAGCAAGGTGCGACAGCTCAAGTCGGCGGTGGAGGCTTGCATCAGCATCATGCGCATCGACACGCTGATCAAGCTGGACCCGGAAGAGCAGAAGGAGGATGACGGACACGGCCATTAAAAGGGGGCGGCGTCGGAGAGCCTACGGCATTAAGTTTCATGGCGGATATGTATGAAAGGTCCATGTTTCGGAAATGTACTTGTGATAGAGAAAAAAAAGGGAAGTCAAAACGAGACCCAAGGCGGCGCCAATACAATATACAATACATTTTACGTATCTTCTTATTCCGCATCCGTGTTGCCAATCATCTGAGCACGGAGGTCTCGTGCCATGTTTGCACCACACAAGATTCGAACGAAAGTGGACTTTGGAGGTCAACGCGAGTCGGTGAGCAGACGCATTCTATGGTGTTGTGAACTCCAAATCCGTTCAAGGAGTGGTCATTTGAACAGCCCCTCATAGATAGTGCAAGTACGAATGTACCTTCCCCCTCGCTCCATCCCTGCGGGTGCCAGTGGGCCGCCTATCGTCGGCTTAAACGCTAAGAACACGCAGACCCGCCCGCAGTTTCCGTCTTGCAAGCGGCCTTCATGGGCGTCGATTTTCCCTGGTGAATGACACGGAAAACGGAGTAGGAAGCAATAAAATACGTCCAACATAAAAGGGACTCTGGTTTGACCAGCTCCCCGTACATCCTGTCCGCTGTTTCTTTGATGTACATTTTGTCGAAACGTTTTTTTTAAAAGAAAAATTACATTAGCACGACAAGGACGATGACAACGGCAGGAACGACCAGGAACGTTCTCCACCACTCTGTCCTGCTTGTTTGGGGCAAGTGCGGTCAGATTATGTGCCCGTTGAGTACAGCATACATGCAAAAATACTGCTCTTGATGGCTTGTGCTGTTTTGTCTTTTTCTATTCGCCAATCACGAACTGAACTTTTAGTCACAAGCTCACAAGCGCCTTCTTTTCTTGGATTCTGTACTCAACGTCCTCCGTAGAAAACAGCCCGTTAAACCAAACTGCATAGGCCAAGGCCGGCCGTTGCTGTACCTAGTGCGGCCGATCTGCCCTCTCCAAGTTCTGTTATTGTTCCATTGAATCTTTCCATTGTGGGCCTATATATACATATACCACACCGGTTCCTGCATCCAGGCTTCTCTTTTTATCTTCATCGTCGAGTCGTGTCTCGAAATCAACTTCTTTCCTTATCTGCCAGTTTGCATCAAACTAAGCAAGAGCTGACGCTAGACCCACGCACGCCTACGCACCTTCCCCCGCGAACGACGAAACCGTCTGCCATCGGGTCCTCCTTCCTTTTTCATCATTCATACGTGAACAAGAGGGATCCTGGAATTGAGCCGACCGGAACTTGCACGATCCATCTACAGCAAACTCTGACGACGAAACGCCCAGGCCTTACCCCAATTGCTTCATTTTGCTTCATCGCCATATATGATGGGCTCTACAGGCCACGACGAGAGCCTGCCGGAGGCGACGGACCCGGCCCTCGTCCTCGCGCTCCCGACGGCGCAAGAGCGCCGCAAGGTCTGGGAGCTGACGCACACCATGTGGGGGAACGCTCTCGTTCTAGACGACTACCTGAAGCGCGAGGAGTACTTGACGACGGTGCCGCTGGCCATGGAGAGCGGGATCACGCACTGGATCCTGACGGACAGCCGGCGGCCGGCCAACGACCGGCCGATCCTGTCGAGCTGCGAGACGCTGCGGAAGCACGCCATGTCGGCCGAGGCGTCGACGACGGCGACCGTGGTGGACGGCATCGCGCACGGGATAGCGTCTGTGTTTACGGACCCGGCGTACCGGGGCAAGGGCTACGCTGGGCGGATGCTGGAGGAGCTGGGCCACCGGCTGGAGCGGTGGCAGGTGACCAGCCCAGCACATGAAGAGGTCGGCGCCAACAGGATGGCCAGCAAGACGGACAGCGAGGGAAACGGAAAGGACGGTGCACCCAAGACGCTGTTTTCGGTGCTCTACTCGGACATTGGCAAGAACTTTTACGCGAGCAAGGGCTGGCCGGCGTTTCCCAGCACGCACCTGTCGTTCCCGCCGCTGGCGTTGCCCCTTTCGGACACGGAAGACGGCGCAGCGTCCTATACGTCCAAGGCTGTGCACAGCGAGGACGGCAGTTTCACAGTCACGCCGCTCGGCTACCACGAATTGACGGAGCTGTGTCCGATTGACGTGCAGCTGCTGCGCGCGCGGCTCATCCGGCGGGCCACGCGGCGGGCCGTGCTGGGCGGCGGCAGCGGCCGGCCCAGCCTCGCGGGGCCGAGCGTCACGCTCGTGCCGGACCTCAACACCATGCTGTGGCACCTGATGCGCGAGGACTACATGACCAAGCACATTTTCAGCAAGACGCCGACGGTGCGGGGCGCTCTGTGCACCTTGAACAACGCCCCCCAGCCCGGCGGCAGCGGCGTCATTGTCGAGAAGCAGCGCAGCATCTGGGTCATTTGGACGCGCGGGTACTACAGCGGCCTGAAGACGCTCAACGGCGAGGGCAACACGCTGTACATTCTGCACGTGGTGCTCGAAGACCTCGACGACGACTTCCCGGCGGACCCGGGCGAGGTGCCCATCTCGCAGCAGCACGTCGACGGCTTTGCGGCGATTGTGCGCATGGCGCAGGGCGAGGCGGCGGCGTGGCGGTGCGGCGAGGTGCAGCTGTGGAACCCGACGCCGGCGCAGCGGATTCTGGCGGAGCGGAGCGGCATTGCATACAAGGAGGTGCTGCGGGATAAGGACAGCATCCCGAGTCTGCGGTGGCACGGTAAGGGCTTGTCGGAGGACGTGGACTGGGTTGCCAACGAGAAGTTTGGCTGGTATTAGAACGAGGTGGGAGGCGGTGGTTGGCTCGTCTTGCCTTTTGATTTGGTTTACAAAGTGGCACTTTTGCCTGGATGGGAGAACAGCCCTCTCCAATTTCATCTATATTACCGTCTTTGAGTCAAAAATGAAAACAGTTGCAGAGTGCTTTCCGAAGCACCCCCACAGCCCCGGAGTTTGTTTCGCCGTACGATGCCGCTGGTAGTGGCCCCGTTGTTAGCGCTTCTGTTCACTGAATCACAGACTAGTTATTGGGGCTTCCGGGGCGCTGGCGCTCGTTTTAGGCGGGTATGGTTACCCGCTTGGCGCTGCGGGGTGCCGGAGGCCGGGCCAGCAACAGCATGCCTTGTTGATTTAAGGCGGCGGACAGCGACTCACGATGAGAATGGCTGCCGCTTCTCGTCTGATAGTTTGAAAACGGAAAACAAATTCGTATTGTGCCCCAGCCGCCGCCAAAAATGCCTCCCACATCCTACACCATGGTCGCGTTCATCAAGCGCAAAGAGGGCATGTCCCTCGAGGACTTTTACACGCACTGGGAAGACGTCCATGGACCGCTCGTCAAGCCCTGGGCCAAGAAGCACGGCCTCACCTACAAACAGGTATGTTTGTCCTCCTTTGTTTGGGAGGGGGCCTCCCTTGGTTATATCAAACAACGCGGCTGACCTTCAGGTCCACACCGGCTCAAGCGCCCCGACCGGCGTCGACTCCGAGTTCCTCAGCAAATACGACGGCTGTGCCATCTTTGAATTCGCAGACCCCAATGCCATTACGGTGGCGTTTGCCGATCCGGAATTTAAGCGGGATGTGTCGCCGGACCAGGAATACTTCATGCAGGAACAGGTGACTATTATGACGACGGGCAGCACTGTGACCATAGTGTAGGGTCTCCTGTCCGTCCCAACTGTATATTGCTGATCAGTATTCACCACGTCGATGAACTTGTAGCCATAAAAACAAACTTGCGAATATAGTACAGTGTACGTGAATGCACATTGAAACATACCCAATAAGAAATAATAACATTTAAAAATAAATAAAAAACCAAGTATACGGATGCATCCGGAGTATGTAGGCGCCTCGAATCAAAGATGAAACCTGTCGACGTCAGCCAATGCTCATCCTGTCGTCGAACGTCACGCCAACACACCACCATTCACAAATTTGTACATCGAGTTGCACGTCTTAAAAAGTGTGGCCAGCGCCTTGGCCTTGTTGACTTCGTCGAGTCTGCGGTGCCTTTCTCTGCAGGCAGTATCTTGTTCAATTCAGTCTACACAGCCCAATCCTCCCCACATGGAGATGCAAAGACATTTGACAGTCAAAACAGGCTCACAGCCTATACCTCTCTCATTTCCTTTACGTGCGTGAAGCAGACCAAAGACGGCCAACAGCGAACTGTTGTTTGTCTTGTACCGGTCAAGCCAGAGCCAAGTGGCCCAAGTTCCGCTGTCCCAGGGTGAGGGCTACCTTCAGACAGGAGCGTGCAGAAATAAATGATATCACAGCCTGGTTCTCGAGGCCGGGCAAGGGTGGGTTGCAGTGGGAGGGTTGAGCAACAAATCTTGTTTTTTAGACGAGATCCCGTCTTAGCGTTGATTATTTATATTATTCTTTTAATGGCCCACTGGCCCTTAGTGCAGGCTAAAGAGACTGCTGTTTCAAAATGGAACCGCTGTCGACGCCTAGTGCAGTGACGACCTGGGAAGGGGGCTGGGGGGCTCGGTGTTGGCCTAAGGCGTGGCCTGTGGGGTGTTGGCTACAGGGCAGCCGGGTGGCTAGGCTGGGACAGGAAGGCTAGACGGGTTGCCCGCGCGAGCCACTGACGTCAACACTGTCAACCATTAATGGGTGGGAACCAATATGTACATCACCAACTCAAATTATGCACACACAATCTAGCAAACAAACCCTGCCAAACGTGACACACTGTCTCTCCACACGACCACTTTTTGTGTGCGTGTAAGTGTGCGTGTGGGACTTGCACTGATCTCTGATTTGCCACGCGATCGAGAGACACGAAAAACGGGAAACGAATGACTGAAAATGACGGAACACTGAAGAGGACAAACGGGATGAAGCTAAATACGCATATATAAACAAAGACCCGTCCTAGTCGAGTTGATCCCAAGCTGGACCTGTCGATACCTTCTCCTTTCGATGCACAACGTTGAACAGATTATTTTCAAGGCCGACTTACACCAAAGCCACCGCGCAGAACACACACGTGAATCGCACCATCACCATCCCCTACACAACCATCACGACCACCAACCACCACAATGCCTACCGTCCTCGGCCTCACAAACGAGAGCTACGACAAGCTCAAGGACATGTCGACCCAGGACATCGGTCCTGACAACAAAGGCCGCCTCTCCACCATCCTGCAGCGCAACGTCGCCGCCGGCCGCGCCATGGACACCCAGCTCTGGCGCGCCCTCTGCGACGAGCCCGCCACGGCCGTCGCCTACATGGCCAAGGACTGCGTCATTACCAGCCCGCTCGTCCCGCCCGCCGATGACGACGAGGGCGGTGGCGACAAGTTCGCCAACGTCGTCGCCGGCAAGGAAAACGTCGAAAAGGCCTTGTCCAACATGTCGCCCCTGCTGTCGTACAAGTTCCACGACATCAAGGTCGTCCAGATCGACCTCATGGCCGTGGCGGCCGTCTACCGCGTGACCGTGTCGCGGCGGACGTCGGGCGATGGCAAGGGCACGAACAAGCGGGACGAGATTGAGGATCTGGAGATGGTGGCGCACTCGTCGTGGCGGCAGACGGCCGGCGCCGACTGGGAGCTGTGCGGCCATTGCGCCGGGTTTGCCGAATAAAAGGAACTACGGGTTGCGCTTCTTCTTCCTATAGTCTTTTTATTTTCAATTTTGTTTATTTCTTGGGAATACCACTAGAACAAAACAGTTCTATTTTCTTTGTTTTCTTTACATTTGTTTTCTTGTCGAGATTTGCGTCTCATTTTTGCCTCGTTTCTGAGCGGATTTAGTTGCTGCGTTCTTTTTTTTTTTTTGGTTATTATTAATTTTGCACCATAAATACCATTTCAAAAATCATGAAACCAGAAAGGAATGGTCTTGTCACTTGGTAATATTGTGGTACATAATTTTGAACGAAACGAAAACTCAATATCACTTTGCAATATTGCTTCAACGCTCACAATCAGTTTCTCCACTGCCAAGCCTGTGTCTCTGGCTAAACGAAGGCGCATAGTCTCACGGTCGCATGCATGCATTATTTCGTCATCCATTTCCCGTCCGCCTTTGGCTTCCCGCCCTTTCAAGCGTGCGCAGGACGTAAAGTCATGTCGGATAGGTCACGCCCGATCATGCATGCTACCTGCCATTATTTCACGTTACTATTGCGTATGGGTGAGCATGTTAACTGTTGAATAGTAGCAAGAAAAAAAGAAGTATTCTCTATTATGTAAAAGAAGAGCTGTTTATTTCTTTCTTGTAAAAAGAAAAAGAAAAAAGAGGCTTCAAAACCCTCACAGTGTTGATCAAATCGTCCGTCGTAAGGAAACAGAGAAATAGGAAAGGAGGAAAATAATAAAATAAACAAAGGTCATCAACCAAATCCCAATCGCCCATAAACCCGCTGGAACATCACCAAAATAAAAAAGTAGAGCGTACTGGATACAAAATTTGATATTTCGTTTTTCCTATGTTGTAAGCCGCCAAAGAGCCCCCCTCCTCATCTACAGTAAGGACAGTCGATAAGTGGGATGATAAAAGAGAGACAATGATGAGCCCTACAGCAAAGGAATCAGAGACCACAAATTTATGCAGACACACCCAGGGCGCTGTTGAAGGCGTCCGCCGCAGCCTGGCCGCTGGCGGCGTTGGCAGCCGAGGCAGCGCTGTTGCAGGCCGACACAGCATCCGCGCCAGCCTTGCAGTTGGAGCTGAGCTGGCCGCAAATGAAGCCCGAGATGACCTTGATGTTCAGGGCCGAGCCGTGGCTGAACTGAGCCGAGTCGACCGGCGCGAACGACTCCTCCTTGCGGCCGTCGAGGCCTGCGGCGAACTTGATGGCGGGGTTGGAGCACGAGCCAAAGTCAAGAGCAGCGCGACGGAGCTTCTTGACGCGCTTGGCAGCGCCCGAGGCGGCCTCGCAGGCGGACTGCTGGGTCTCGCACTGGGCAACGCCGCCCGAAATCTGGCCCGAGTTGGCAGCCGTGGAGCAGGCGTTGTGCTGGACAGAGCAAGAGCGCTGGAGAGCAGCACCCTGGTTGACAAAGGTCGAGCCGTCAACCGAGAAGGGGCGCTTGGGATCGGCATCCGAGCTCACCACAGGCGGAGGAGGGCCGCCCAGGGCGCCCGTGAAGGTCTGGACGTTGACCGAGGCCGAGGCACGGGACTTGACCTTGACGCCGGCGACGGCAGTCTTGATCTCAGCAGCCGACAGGTCGGCGACCAATAGCTTCTGGGAGTTGATGCAGCCAGCGGTATCGGCGGCATCATCGCAGGTGTTGCCCTTGGCAGTCGGGTCGCCAATCTTACCAGGGGCGAAAGTGCCGGCCTCGTTGGCCAGGGTCGGGTCACCGCCGACGGCAGCGATCTGCTTGGCGACGTTCACGGCAATTTGCTTGTTGCCCGAGGCAGCAGCCGAGGCAGGGTCTTGGTGCTGGGTGATGGCAGCAATCTCGGGGTTGACGGCGGTCTGCGTGCAGAGAACCGACTCCAGGCCGACAGAGCCGGTGTTGCGCTCCAGGGCACGGTAGAGAATGGCGTTGACCTGGCCGTTGACGTCACCAGCGGCGACGGCATTGGTGAAGACCTGGTCGGCAACGATCTGCTGGAGACAGTCGAGGTCCTTGACATTGGGAGCACCCTTGGCGGCGGCAGCGTTGCCGAGCAGACCGAAGACGGCGTCCTGGATGGCCAGCGGGTTGTTCTGCTGCAGGATGGGGTTGACGACGTCGAGGATGTTCTGGTGCGAGTGCTCCTGGGGAACCTCACGCTTCAGGACAGCCTTGTACAGAGAAATGTCGCGAGCAGCGGCAGCGCCAGCGAAGGCGAGAACGGCACCAGTAGTCTTCATTTTGTAAAGATGGTAGAAGAACGCGTTACAACAACAAGAGAGTGTATAAAAACGAAGTGAAGAGGCCCGGCCTGAAAAAGCAAATTATAAAAAAGAGTGTAAGGAAGATAAAAAGTTCACAGAACTGTAGAAAAGAAAGAAAGCACACTGGGTGAGAAAAGAGAGCGGTTGTTGAGTAGGACTGGAGAAAAAAGAGAGAAGAACAAAATAGAGAGAGGCTCGAAGGTGGGAAGAGGAAGCGAGCTATATGTATGGCATGATGATCTGACAACAATGGGCAAAGCCCATGTCAACAAAGAAAAAACACACACATCAGTCAACCTGTCAAAAATTAAAATAATAATAATAATAAATTGGCAGGGGAAAGGCAGGAATGTCGAGACGGGATAAGGTGGAACAGGGGACAGGCGACCAGAGAGACCAGATCACGACGGACCAGATCTGTCGGCAAGGTTGTGGAGAGGCGAGAGGGGCCGGAGCTGATGAGACGGAGACAGACGCAGGATTCAAACACGGGCATTGTGGCGGTCTGTCTCCAACCGTGCCCCTTCCCACTCGGCTACCCGCCTCATATTTGCGTCTGCGATACAAAAAGGCGTGCAATAGCATGGATCATAGGACCCCTCGCTAGACGCCCTCCGTCATTTTGCAGATCATGATGGACGCATCGCCAAAGCCCGAATTGGGAAAATGAGATAATGGGAGAGTGGGAGAATGCTGAGAGTGGTACAGACGGGACAGGGGCGTAAGGAGAAGGTTTTCTGTATCGGGTTGGACGGTGTCCGGAACAAGACACCTTTTACAGTTTGCAGTCGTGTTCGAACGAGAGCCCATGGCGTTCTGGTCTGTGTGGTGGGTTGGGTGGTATGCTCGCCAGGTCTCCTCACACCCCATTGTTACTCTCCATCAGAGCACACACGCCCCAAGCCAGATCGAATAAGCAGACTGCCGGGCTAGTCAGGGGTGTGAGATGAGTCGACGTTAAAGGAGGTTCGAAGACGTTAAAGACGGCTGTACGACAAAGAAGCCTATCACTCCTGCAGCAGCGGCAACGGTTGTGTCCGTGAGCAGGGGCTTGAAAGAGGTTAAGAAGGCTTCCCACAGGAAGCGTGGGAGGCTCTGCGGGTAAGGCAGGCCTGCGTTGAATTGCATAGGCAAAGTCCACATTTGTTTGTAAGGTGAGTTTTGTTGCAAAGTCGCCCTCATTCCCACCGGCGAAAGAGGCATCAACGGCTCATCGTGGCGAGTCTCAGCAATGCCTCTCCGTCCGATGGAAAAGCATCAAACGAATTCTCGGATGACGACAAGCTCCCTTGACGCGAGGAAAGGCCGCGATTTGTTGACTTGAGCACAGTATACGTCAATATGACAGCACGGGCAGGTGCCTCGAAAAGAAGGTTCTTTCAGCCCCAGGTTTTTGGTAAAGCTGTAGTGAGAAGAAAATAAGTCTGCCTCCGGCTGTTTTCGACGCCGCGGCTGTTTTGACGCTCACGGGGCGGTCAGCCACGCATGTGTCTGGGATGCCCTCCGATCAGACTGCCGATGGCACGTCGCACGTCTCAACTGCGCGGGAGCCGCACAAACCCGCAATTGGATGTGGACGCCAAGAAGGCAAAAAGGCAAATGGGGTGAACATAGTGGGAAAAACAATTGACTTTCTGTCGATTCTAAATATGACCAATGGGGTTCGATGCCTTTGACCCCTACCTTAAACCGCTGCATCGGAGAGGAAGGAGCGATCCAGTCGAGTCGATGCATTTGGGAAGGCGCATTTCTCGCCTTCCATGGCAACGTCAGCGTCCGTGGACGGTCTTGCCGTGCCTGAATACGGTCGCTCCTTCATTTTCGTCCTTAATTGTTTTGTCGTGATCTTGTCCTCTTCGGAGAATACCTCTGACGTCTTGTGCCTTGCTTTTCTTTATTTCTAACATGGCGATGATACGACGGAGACGACAACCACCATAGCGCGCCAAGCTTGATAACTTTATGCTCGACTACAACTGGTGACGTCCTCCTTCGGCCCAGCCTGCATTCAGTGGATTAGCCGCCGATAGCCTCCTCTCTCATATTTGTCGACTAGACTTTAGCATGCCTCCATTGTGATGCGTACATTTCGCTGCTCCCTGTCCGCCCAGACGACAAGAGACATAACCCGGTGGATGTGACTCTCCTTGTTTCTGCCTCGCTACGGCGTTGCGCCTCCTTAGATCTTTGACTGGGAATGTCTTCGACATCAGACGAGGCAAGTCAACGCGAGATGAAAGGAATGTTAAAGTCGGAAAGGGAGCCCAGATACATTATCGCCACGCTGCCTGTCCGCATTTCCTCTTGAAGCATCGTGGTATCGTTCAATGTTTGTTTATGTACCTTTTCTGACGACACTCACTCGTGCCAAGCTTTGCTATCCAGATCACTTTTGTTTCTTCACGCTTTGCGATAAACAAAACATCGATGAGCAGCTAGCAAGCCGTTGTAAAAAGGTTACCAGAAAACAGCATTCTACGTTGGCGAGAGAAGATGCGTTCAAAGTAAGGGTGCAACCGCATCAATATCCATCTCAACCAGAAATCACAGAGACAGAGAGCAATATATGAGGAGTCGACCAGACATGCCTCAAACCGGGCACGCATTTTTTCCAGATTATAAAGGATGATGAGCGTTTTGGGCTCAGGTGTGTGTCAGCCAGGAAACAGTTGAGACAAATCGGCCCTGTCGTCAATATGGCAAATGAGCAAAATCCCATTGTGCGAAACGTGTTTCACAACCTCGACAAAAGACGGTGGACCTAAACGCCATCGACTGTCAAGATGGCCAAGACAAACGAAGACGAAATCCCGATTTTCGTCCGTTGTCTCTCGTTCGCAACCGGCGAGGTCTCTGTCTCCATTTCTGCTCTTTCCAGTCTGCAAGCTCACGCTTCCCCAGCTCTGGAGCCTAGAAAGTCAATGCCATGATCGGAGCATTGCAACTCTTTAAAGCAATCCTGCTTCGACCGATCTTTAACACGAAACTCCATGTACCAAATGGCAGCCAGCTGTGGCTCGCTCATGGTCCATGCGACATGTTCCACGCACCCCATCCAAAACACATCTTGTTGTGTGCAACAAAGTTCGATTTATACACGACGAAGTCGGACAAAGGTTCCGAAACTGGAAACAAGGGAATCCAAATCGAGACATTCCCCAGTATACGAAGCCTCGACTTCTCCAGATATGGACAATAACTCGAGACGACAACGCACACAGGCACAACGATTCAAGGTCTGCGTCGTAGTCCCAAGAAAAATGCGGCAAAATTAAGCATGATAAAACTAAGGTTGCCTTTGATGCTCGCTCACTGTCTGGACAGCGATGTCCTCTGTTCCCCGGATGTCATTAACTTGGGCATGTGGCCCTTGCCCCAGCTCGACGCTTTCACTCGTTTCGGCGCTGATTGTTTCCGCACCCCTTTGCCCACATTCGTCTCCTGCAAGTCTTGGATCGCTGCTCTTCTGTTTCCAAAACAAGCATCATCATTGTGATGTGCATCATGTCTTGATCGTGATTGCATCGTCATGGTCCTCGGCCCTGCCAACCGCCCGTTTACCTGGACCAAAGCAACTGATACTCGCTCGATCGCCTCACTTGTCCCTCGTCTTCTCATCTTGCTCCCGTCTTGTTTTGTTTTATACGCGTCGCGATCTGTCGTCCCGACCCCACGATTCGTTTTTTGTTCATTCATGGCACGATGTGGCAAGCTGAAGCGGCGGAAAGTATCGTCAACAAATGGGTCATGTGAACATTGGTGGCGCCTCGGGTGTCGGACCATGCTACCTCACTGGGCCACTGCCGCCAACCGGTAATTACACACAGCAGAAGCCATCCGTGACGCAGACCGAGCAAAAGGGACAAAGTGAAGAAAGTAAAATATGTGCTTTAAAATGATAGCGAAGTAGGTGGCAAGGACAAGGCATTGTTCTACAAACCCTTTCCTGCTGTCGTCCTCCGTGCCTCTCTTCAGCTCGCCCGCAAATATAAAAATAAAGCAGCAAAGGGGCCAAAAGGGAAACGCAACAAACTGTCTACCACCGACCATCTCCTCCGCCAGTCCGTTCCCCTGACCGTCTTCCCATTTTCCAATGTATCAATATGTACTCGTACATTTCTCTGTGTAGGATGGTTGTAGTTTTGCATGTTTTTCTTTCTATTGTTTTTGTTTTCGTCCCTTCTTGATATGCTGTTCAGGTTCACGCTCCCATCACTTTCTTACGGGGGACAATCGAACCGCTCAACCAATGACGAGCTTCTCGTCCTCGGGGAACTCGTATGCCGGGATCTCCAGGTTCAGCGGCGCCGGGCCCTTTCGTATACGGCCAGAGATGTCGTAGTGGGAGCCGTGGCAAGGGCAGAACCAGCCACCAAAGTCACCGGCCTCGCCGATGGGCACACAACCCAGGTGCGTGCACACACCCAGCATGACAAGCCACTCGGGCTTCTGAACACGGTCAGAATCGGCCTGGGGGTCGCGCAGGCTCTGGACGTTGACGGCGTTGGCCTCGGAGATCTCGGACTCGGTACGGTGGCGGATGAAGACGGGCTTGCCACGCCACTTGATGATGACGTTCTTGCCCTCGGGGATCGTGTTGAGGTCGACCTCAACCTTGGCCATGGCCAGGACGTCGGCGGAGGCGCTCATGTTGACGAGGAACTCTGCAGTGCGGGGTGTCATGTCAGTAACCAGTCGTCACATGCGAAAGGCCCATACATATTTTGTCGTTTCGTCTCCCAATCTTCCCCATCATCATCCTGTCGCGCTCAGATACGGGGCCCATGGCCCGACTCCGGGACCACGCCATTATCCCACTCCAGCGTCCGGTCCATATCCATTTTGCATCACTCGTATCCGGTACCTCGGCATCCAGGCCCATCATATTGGATAATGATCGACCACACCTGCTCTCATCTTCCTTCCCATCTTTATCCTTCCAATTCGATTGCACCTACCCTGGACAGTCGACTTGGCGCCGGCAGCGGACAGCGCGCCGAGGGTGCCGACCATGAAGTAGCCGAACAGCGCGTTGGCGCTGCCGCTCTTCTTGGAGAGGTAGTGGCTGAAGTCGGGGGCCTGTTCGGACTTGGACGTGCCGCGGAAGGGACTCTTGAAGGTGGCGGCCGAGCCGTCGTTGCGCGCGACGGACGTGCTGAAGCTGGAGGAGGCGACGGCCGCGAGCCGTGCTGTTGTGTTGGCCGTGGGCTTCGTTGTCTGCTGGATGCACTGGGCCGCCGAGCGCGCAAGCACGCGCGATGCCGTCGAGAGAGGGGCCATTGTGACAGTGTCGGGTGGAGGGAGCGACAGACAAAAAAAAGAAAATGAGATAGAAAGGGTCGCCGGTGGGAGAGTGGTGCGCGGCGGAACGAGGAGTAAGGCGATATTCAATTCAATGGGGACGGGGAGAGGGAGCTTCGAGCATGTCCTGAGGTTTTTTCCGTAGTCTTATTTTTCCCTCTCCCCCAATTGGCACAGCACACACCAGAGGGAAACAGCGGGCGGCGGGCGCTTTCCCGGCTAGTGCTAAGGGTTTCCAATTGCGGCGTACAGCAGGTAAGGAGAGGCCCAACGCTGGCCTCAGGCATTGAAAGTGCAAATTGCGGGCCTCCCATTGGCTACCGTCAGGTGGGTCGCATGTGCTGGTACAGATTTCCGATCCTGCCCGAAGGACAACAGGCCAGAGCTGTCACCCGCCAGGCCGAAGGTTGACAAGCCACAGCACGCGCCACACTGCCACACTTTGTCGTCCTAAAGACAACGACGAACAAAATAACGAAAATGCATCATGATAAATTCGCTGTCGTAGATATGTACATCATGCTACTGCACCGTCTCCTTTTTCTAACTGACGGCGAACTATGATTGGATAAAAAATGAATATGTCAAGGAACCCGAAAAAAAACGTACCTCGTCTCTAGATCAATGCAAACGCTTGAGCTCTTCGATGCTGCTGCGAAGATCCTCAACGCTCGGGCCCAGACCCTGGGCCACCTCCTTCTGTGTCTCGTCGTCCAGATCCAGGAATCGCTCCAGCATCTCGCCGTCAATAAACCGGATTGGTTCGGCGGCCTCGCGCTCCTGGTTGCGGAATCCGCGGTACGACGCAAAGGACGTCTTGCCCAGGCCTGTGACGGTGGCGTCGAGCTTGGCCTGGAGACGCATCAAAAGATCTTGGGCGGCGGGCGATACGGTGCCGAACATGTACAGGGCGCCCTCCACGGTCGCCAAGAAGGCCTTGGGATGCACCATGGCGTTGGGGTTGGACTCGACGGAAATCGGCTGCATGCGATTGACCATGTCGCCTAGGTTCATTTCGGACGTGGCGCGCAGTTTGCGACGGTCTTCTTCAGTGACGCCGTTGGCGTTGCGCTCGAGAACCGAGAGATTGCCAAAACCATCGGCCTCGAGCCAGGACTCGCCTTCAATGTGGCAGACGGCTGTGACCCAGCTGGCCTGGTAGTAGCGCGCGCGGCCTTCGAGCTTGGCGGGCGTGGCAGGCGTGGCCGTTTTCTCCCCATCATTGTCGTCGACGTCCATGCTGTCGGCGCCGGCAGACGTGCCACCAATCTTGGCCACATCGTTCTCCCTATCATCGTCGTCGTCGTTGCTGCCGCGTGTCGCCGGAATGTACTCCACGATTGTCGTCGATTTCATCATGTCGCCGACGGCGATGTAGTTTCCGTAAACGGCCAGATCAGAAATAAACGTCGCGGCGCGGAACGAAGCAATCTTCTTTAGCTTGGCCGACATATTGCTTGTTTCAATGTAGTCGCTGATGATGACCGTCTTGCTGAGACCCAGCACAATCTTGCCGTCGAGGACGGCCAGGCGGCGACAGGGTCCGCGCATTCTGTGCGTCGAAACAATGTAGGGATTCCGCTCAGAGTCGACACCGACAACAATCACGCGGCCCTGGCTACCCCCGTCGTCCACAGCTGCTTGGGGTACGTAGCTCGTACCCACCAAGAAGCGCTCGGCAGGCTGACCCTGAGAGTCGAGCAGCTCGGCACGGATGACAGACTCCACCAGCTCGCCCTGCTCGCCATCGAGTGGCAGAGGCCGGCCAATGGTGCGGAACATGGTCTCGTCGACGAGCTTGATGGAGCACGTCGGCACCTCGGTGCCATTGACGACATTGGCGCCGATGCAGCCGAGTGCAAAGACTTTCTCGACGGGAGAGTAGGCAATGCGGCGGATGGTCTCGTGCATCTGGATGGTCTGAACATGGGTCTGCTTCTGGGTGTCCGGGCGGGCGATTTTGATGGATGTAAGGGAGGCCACAACGATGGCGTCGGGGAAGTCTTCGCTGTCAAAGGGGCAGACGACGTTGGCATCCTGCGCCGTGACAGCAGCATAGACGATTCTGCCTTCGGAGCCATAGATAAGACTTGGGTGCTCGGTCGTAGCGAAGATGGAGTAGGTGCCGTCCGGTTGAGGGAGGGGGTAGAGGTTGGCACGGCGGGTGCCGAGGACGACGCTCTTCTTGGAGTGCAGCGTACGATCCTCTTTAGAGACAGAAAAGGTGACCACCGTACCGTCGTCCATGGCGACAAACAGCGTCGGGCCAGAGAGGTGCGTCGGCATGACCTGAGCCAACGCTAGGCTGCGCGGCACGGATGCTGTGTCCTCTTTTTGGCGCACCGAGACGCTTGCCTGCGTGGGCTGAAGCGTCGCAAGATCCACGACGGCAACGGTTCCCACCATCCATGTGCCAACGACACCGGTATCCAGAAACTGCGGTGCAGCATGGATGGCGGCAATCTGATCGTCGCCAAAGTCCTTCTCGGCTGCTAGTGTAAGGCCCTTGTCGATGCGGAGCGATACGAGAAGCTTGCCCTCGATAGAGAGCAACGCCCACCGATCGTTGGCCGAGGCGAGGGAAATAGCTTTGCCATCTTGTGGCGACCAGCTAGCCAAGGTGTCGCCGTTGTTTCCGTCTGACAGCGTTACAGACCTGGCCGTGATAACGAGAAAAGAATTGTCCTTTGCCCGGGCGGCAAACAGAGTCTCCTCGTCAAATTGAATGCCTGGGAAGAAGGTCACCTCTTCGACTTCGCCTTTATCATCAAAGGTGAAAACGCGTGTCTCGGTCAACAAGGACACGACCAGCGTGTCCGTTTTACCGGACGCCGTCGGCCGCCTGCGGAGCGGGAACAGGGCACGTACATTCGAAAAGTCGCCCAAGATGCCAATGTCTTCGAGGCCTACACCGCTCCGCACCGACCGGAGACTGCCACCTTTGTTTACGCCGCTCCCAGTAACAATGCGAGCTTGGCCAGACGCATACTCGTTGGCCTTGCCGTCTTCGCGGCTGCCCATGTCCATAATGGTAAAATCAAGTATAGGGCCAATATTAGAAAAGGTCTGGACCAGCTCACAGTACTCGTGTTTCTTCCCGCTGGCCTTGTCGTTGGCAGTAGTCGCCGACTTGCCCGGCTCGTCTGTCATGGCGTCGTCGGTGCTGTCGTCGGTCAACTTGATGCGGTAGAGCTGCGAGTCGCCGTGATGCGATCCGATAAACAACAGGCTTCTAGACGGATAATACACCAACGACGAGGCAATGGACGTCTTGCCAATGGGAATGACCTCAATCTTTTTGACAACCTGGCCATCCGTGATAATCGTGAGCAGTCGTAGTACACCCTGGTCGTCAGCCAAAAAGTAGTGGGTGCTGTCAAAGCGCGCCCAGGCGACATAGACAGCCGGTGTACGAGGGGTCACGGTTTTTGTCGCCTGCGTCGTATCGTCGATATACACCAAACTCGTCTCACCGACGACGAGCAGGCCGCCGAGATGTGGCTCAGCCGGTGCGTTGTTGCTGGTCTTGCGCACGTTGTGGCGGCGCTCGCTTTCACTCGTCTCGACGGGGATCAGCAGAGCGGCACCAATGTCGTCTAGGTCGAGATTGATCTCGCGGTCGCGGGTAGCATCAAAGCGCGAGACGACGGCGTCGCGGTCGTCGGACGTCAAACGGTAGGAGGACAGCTTGGCGTCGCGGCGTTCAGACTGAGACTGGTACAGAAACGCAATCTTGGGGTGGCCCGTCTCGCTGTACAGAAAGGTGCACGCTTTGATGAAGAGCTCCGACAGGCGCACTTGGTCCATCCAGTCGATGTTGCGGGCCTGGTCACGACGTGACTTGAGCCGTAGCACGCACAGGACGCCCTCCCAGAGAAGCAAGGCCATGTACCGTCCGGAGGGGTCGACGATGCAGCGGTCTTGGCTCTGGGAGTCACGCAGGTGCTTCTCGCCGACATCGTGGAAGTTGTCAATGGTGTCGAGGCCTTGCCTGGCATCGTCCCAGACGAGGGTAAAGTAGTCGAAGCGGTCGGTACCAACAAACAGCAGCTCGGTGTCGGAGTCCTTGGGCCGCAGGGCCTCCAGCATGGCCACGGTGCCGTAGATCTTTTGCGAGTGGAAGAGGGCCAGGTCGTCGTGTTCGGTGAACCGCCAGATCTCAATTCGGTTTGCTCGTCTGGTGGAACGGCGGTCAGCTCAGGTCACGTATATAGTACACCTCTTGGAGGTTTACTTACGATATTACTAAACAGTCCTCCTCCGCCGAGAACAGCTTTATCCGGAGAGCATGTCGGATGCTGCTTGGCCGGTGCACTGGTGCGACGTAGGCCATGGTGAGACGTGAGGAGGAGGGGAGAGGGGAGGAGGGGAGAAAAAAGGAGACGGAGAAGAGACGAGAGGAGACGAGAGGGGAGGAGGGGAGAAAAAAGGAGACGGAGAAGAGACGAGAGGAGACGAGAGGAGACGAGAGGAGACGAGAGGAGAGGATGGCGGTGGGCTATGCGGACGACGAGGGCTCGACGATACAACACGATACGGGGCGTGAAAGGGACGAAAAAAGGTTAGGAAGAAGATCAACAGGTCGCTTAATACAAGCGAGGGTGGGCTGGATGTGTCAATGTCTAGATTGTGTGTTGTATGGAGCAAACGAATGGTAAGCACGGATGACGATGTGAAGTTCAAGTCGTAATCACACTAAAACGCAGCTGCTGCCGGAGTTAAAGCGCGGTATCGGTAGCAGCTTCCCCGCCAAAAAAAGTACGCGACGGAGACGGGAGATAAAGTGGCAGGCACGCCCCGCAATTGTCCACTCAGAAGGCTGGTAAGGGTGCAACAAGCACTCTCACACATGGGATGGAAGGTTCGACGCCGGTTGTATTCCGCCTATAAAGAGATAATAGAGTGAGGTACAAACTCTGGTGAAACAATCAAGAGAAGTGCACTATATAAAGAAACGATTGCACTCTTCTGCATACGACGCGTTCTAGAGTTTCCTGGTGTTTACCCCCAACTTACAGATCTGCTCGTGTGCTCTGGGCAGGATGCTGACGCCCAGTTATCTCAAGAGCGGCGCGCTCGGACCTGACTGGAACAGATAACATCAGCACCCAGCGCATTACTCTGTTTTAAAAATAGATACGCCAACAGGTAGCTTGAAGAGAAGAGACAGGCCAGCGATCCAGAAGCTGGTACGAGTCTAAATCGTCGAGCCGCAAGGGCAGGGAACACCCGTGCCTTTAAGCTACCGCTGTAAGAAGAGTTTCGAGGGCAGAACATGAAATTAGACCAAGTAAAATAGATGTATCGAGAAATTAGTACGAATGTAAGTCTCGTGCAAATCCAAGACATATCTACACTCAGAATGACGCTACATGCTCTGTCACTCAAGCGTCTCCAAACACCACTTCCACCAATCCAAAGCGTGCTCCACTCACGTGGGAGTGTATCGCGCCATAGGGTGCCTAATTCCGGCTGAGTCAGTGGAAGAAATGGAACAATAGGAGGGCTGAACGGGCGCACAGGGCACGCCAGACTGCTAAAATCCATTAAAGTATGGGCCCTAAATGCCACTCATCCCCCTCGTAGGGTGTGCGCGCCGCGCCTTCCTACTCGAGAAAGCAGTATGATACAGGCACCCTTCTTGGAAACCTTCTTTCGAGCTCGTTCTTGTCGTTCTCATTCCTGCTTTGAATATTCCTTCGTCAACAGCATCGATACGGCCATCTTTACGTCTATTTGATTCTTTCATTCTCAATCCCTCATCCGACCGACGCCGCGCCGTCTCGCCGACGCACGGTCTCTCGAAACCATCAGCCGGTCTTATCTACCCACCAAACGCCCCATAATACCGTCGTTCGTTATGGCGACTGCATTCGAGAGGGGCCCCCCGGTCGAACTGGAGGAGAAGCTCCAGCACACGGAAGAATGGACGCGCAGCATCCTCGAGTCACTCGGCATGTCGTCGGATGCCCGCGGCACCGGTGGTGAGCCGCTCACGATCCCGCTCGACGAGCCTGTCCAGCCGCGCCAGCGCAAGCTGGTCCTAGGCCCTGTCATTGTCGACTCAGACGACGAGTCGGATGGCCCTGTGGCGCCCCGTGCCACTCTCATGAAGCGGCGCCACTCGCAGCGGGACAGCCAGCGCCACCGTGATGCGCTCCTCAAGGGCAAAGAGGGCAGCCGGCAGCGCCGGCGGTGGGAAAACGACCGTCTGCTGCACGTCCCCAATGCGCAGCCGCCGCTGCCGAGCGACTGGGAGGTGCACCCGACGCACACGGTGCACTACAACCTGCCGTACCACGTGGCCCAGTTTTGGGACCGCGGACTGCGCGAGATGGTCAACGAGCGGCGCGCGGCGGAGGCCGTGCTGCGGCGCCAGCAGCTGGTTGCGCAGCAGTCGGGCACGGCTGCGTCGCCCCGGTCGTCGTCCAAGAAGAGCCCCAAGAAGGCTTCGAAGAAGGCAAAGGCATCCGGCTCGCCAAAGCCGACGTCGCCGTCTCCCACATTTGGCATGGTGACGCGCGACCTGCGGCAGGCCGTGAAAAAGTCCGAGACCATCAAGCTGTGGGTGCGCGCGCTCGAGGAGCCCGTGCGGCAGTACGTCTTCGCCGCCGAGGCTGCGCGGAGGGCGCTGGAGGGCGACGAGGAGACGGTCGCTGCCGAGGCGTCGCCGTCCCTCGAAGACGACGTCGGCAGCGACATGCCTTCGGACCCGACGGCCGCCAGCGACACCTATGCTGTCTCGGACGAGGACGATGATGAACTCGTGTTTGTCGGCCGGCGCACAGTCGTAGAAAAGGAGGCCCAGGCCTCGTGGAAGCGTGTACACCGCGAGGTGGGCAATAATACCGTCGACAGCGGCATCTTGTTCGATGCACTTGGCGACGGCGAAACCGGCTCTTTCAAGTATGTCCCCATCGCCCCCTCCCCCCCCCTCCTCCCCCTTTCCCCTCCTTATCCGCTCTCTACCACCCACTAACAATATAGACGTTGGATTGCACACTCGCTGTCTGATTACTACGGCCTCACATCACAGTCGACGAACATCGACGCATCAAATCGGGTTGTCTATGTCTCGCTACGGGACGAGGCCATCCGGTCGGGCGCCGGGCCCATCTTAATACCGCGGCCGATGTGGGAGCTGTTTGAAGCGGCGTGATTCGATCTTGTTGTATGCTATATATTGTCTTTCTTTTTTTCTGTTTTGTGTGTGTTTGTTTTTGTCGCTTTAATGTTCGAAACTTGGAAACACGACATACACCACATAGATTACACGGCAGGTCCTATAAAAACGTAGACAAAGAAATACAACTGCATGTACGACTTACCTCTCGTAAGTCGATTGCCGATCATGTCTTGCAAACACGTTAGAGGCGGCTTTGCATGTGCATCCTAATGATGCATACATCTCCGCGTGTTGCGCGAAGGATCGGCCTTGGCGTTGGCTCTCAATAAGCCTATTAGAAGCCTTCTGTAATTCGAATTCTGGGCCCTGCCACAATTGCCGAAGCCGTGAATCCTTTCAACGGCTTCATCCTTCGACCCATACTCAATGTCATTCATGTTCGATTCCCCCGTCTCGCCCTCTCCTTGCCGGCTTCAAGCACAATGGTTGACACACAGCACGCCGTCATGCCAATACCAACATCCTCCCCGTTCCGCGTCGAGTTTGCCACATCCGAACAAGATCTCGAGGACATTGCGGACCTCTTCGTCGAGTACACCAGCAGCCTCGGCATCGACCTCGCCTACCAGTCGTTTGCCGAAGAGCTTGCCGGTCTGCCGGGAAAGTATGCCTCGCCGCGCGGCACGCTCCTGATTGCGCGGAGCACTGCACCTGGCGTCAAACCTATTGGCTGTGTCGCCCTCCGGCCGCTGCCCGCCGGTGAACCCAAAAACAGCCCGCGCTGTGAGCTCAAACGCCTGTACGTCCGATCCGATGCACGCGGCACCGGTCTCGGCGAAGCATTGGCACGGCGCGCCTTGGCGGAGGCGGTGTCCCGCGGGTACGGCGAGGTGGTCATGGATACGCTGGAGTCCATGACGGCGGCGCGGCGGCTGTACACAAAGCTGGGCTTTTCCGAGACGACGGCCTACTATGAGACGCCCATCCAGGAGACCGTCTTTTACCGGCGAACGCTTCCTTGAGAGACGTTGTAGATCAAAGAGGGGAGTTTAGAAACGACATGAAAGGAGCCACAATTGACAAACGAAGTATACGAATTAACTAGGCTTTTCGTGTTTACCGAGATATTATGAGCTGTGCCCTTGATTCTGGCTGACAACCGGAAAAGCAGCATAAACAAGAACCCGCATTGTACGACAGAAGCATCCCTCGCCTTTTACGAAAGTATTTCCCGAGCAGATGATGACACCCTTCCCTTCACAGCGGCAGCAAATCAGGAGGCCGTCAGGCTTGTCTTCGACCAAGAAAGGTAACCCGGAGCGGTCAGGCCGCAAAAGCCTCAGTTGCTGGGTTCGCCCGCTCTGGGTAGCTTCTTCCCCGGATTTTGCATTTTAACAGTCGTTTTCGAAACGGAAAGCTATGGACAGAGCTCTTGATTGCTTTTTTTATTTCTGCAAAAGTGGGATCAGAAGCAACGAGATTAGTTTCCCCTATTTCACGCAGTCAGCACACCTTTCACTATGGCATACGAAATTCACGTCAGATGCCCTGTGGCGCCCTACTTTGGTCGTACTACCCGTTTCCGCGGATGTCCCGCCTTTCCCTGCATTTATTTGTCTTGGCTGTATTTCGTACGAAGTAGCTGGCCAGGGAGGCGCATCTCCGCCCTTTTTACGGAGTATACGGGGCACACGATCGTTGTTCTTCACTTCAGCTTCCAACGATGGCCAGCCACCTGCTTCTCATTTGCTCTTTCCCTGTGGGGGGGTAGATGACCTTCAAAGAACCCCGACTTTCCCAAAGCTTGTCTTTTGCTTCAGCATCGTCTCTCACTTCATCTTCCGTTTTCGCACGTTATGTCATTCGCGATGGATATTCACTTCTGAACATCCTTACCGTTTTTCTCCGCGCAGCCCTGAGCCTCAACGACACGTGCTTGCACACCATTCTCCGCAATGTTTGACTCCGCCTCGGCACATCCTGGACCATGGAAAGATTCAAAACCTGGCTTTCAGAGCTGGCTCTCATCGCGATGGCACAATCCACGGTGGCGTAGGCGCGTCGTCCCCCGAATCGGCGCCCTTTTAATCACGAGCGTTCTCTGTTATACTGTCCTTTACTACCGCGGCCAGGACTTGGCCTCCCTCCGTTCTGTCGAGAGCACGGCCGACGAAAGCGACTCCATTCTCAGCGGCGATAGCGCTGACAGCAGCACGGTGACTCCTATTGTCGAGCCGTCCAACCCGTCCGATGACAGCCGATTTCCAGGCGGCTGCATGAAGTTCGAGGCGCGCCTCTACAACAAGCCACAACCACTGTCGAAAGGAAAGTACCAGCTCCCGTATGTGCGTCCTCCGCCGGCCTGCCGGACCTTCAACCTGTCGTCTCTGGAGGCGCTCATCGACGAGATGCGGACGACCATCCACGACCCGGATTTGTTCCGCCTGTTTGAAAACGCCTTCCCCAACACGCTCGATACCATGATCAAGTGGTATGGTTACGCCAACGTTACAGACCCAGATACGAAAGAAGACACGGTGACAGACGAGGAGCTCACGTACATCATCACCGGCGACATTGACGCCATGTGGCTACGCGACTCGGCAGCCCAGCTGATGTCGTACAGCAGTCTCCTCGTCGCCGACGACAGTGGCAGTGGAAGCGAGAACACGCCGACACTAGCCCGGCTCTGGCGTGGCCTTGTCAACATGCAGGCCCGCCATGTCTTGATCTCGCCCTACTGCCACAGTTTCCAGCCGCCGCGGGAGTCCGGCATCCGACCCACGAGAAATGCCGCCTACTCACACAACCACCCGTACCCTCCGTACGACCGCACGCTCGTCTTTGACTGCAAATGGGAGCTCGACTCGCTCGCCTATTTCTTGCAGATCTCGGCGACATACTTTGAAAAGACGGGTGACCTTGCCTTCTTTGGTCGCTACAACTGGGTCGACGCGGTCACGGCCGCCGTCGACGCTGCGGGCGCCATGCGCGAGGGCACGTACGATGCCGAGGGCCACGTCCTCAGCTCCGCGTACACGTTCACGGGTTGGACCGACCGCGGCTCGGAGACACTCACCAACAACGGCCTCGGCAACCCGAGTGTCTCCAACGGGATGGTGCGCACGTCGTTCCGGCCGTCCGACGACGCCACCATCTTCCAGTTCCTGGTGCCGGCCAACATGATGTGGGCCTCGTCACTGGAACGCGCATCAGCCATCATGCAGAAACTGGCCGCTCTGCCGTCAAGCTCCGGCTTCACCAAGCAGGGCAAAGCCGAGAACCTGACGCTCGTGATGCGCCAGTTCGCCCGAGGCGTTCGCGGCGGTATCGCACAGGATGCCGTCGTCCGGCACCGCACATTTGGCGACATTTTTGCGTACGAGGTGGACGGCTACGGCAGTGTCAATCTCATGGACGACGCGAACATTCCGTCACTGCTGTCGATCCCTCTTCTCGGCTTCCTCGACGGCCCCCCACAACAAGAAGGCGGTGGCGTTGATAGGAGGAGCAACCGTGGTAGCGATGATGTTGGCGTTGACAATGCCAAGCAGCATCACGAGTACGCACAGATCTATGCAAACACCCGCCGCTTTGCTCTGAGTCCGGCCAATCCCTACTTTGCCTGGGGCGAGAAAAGCGGATTTGCAGCTGTGGGCGGTCCGCACTTGGGCCCGGGACGAGCATGGCCTATGGCTTCGATCGTGACGGCCCTGACCACATACATCCACGATGTTGATGGTGGCGATCGCGGCAGCCGCGACAAGATGGTCGCCCTCCAGCTTAACATGCTGCTCAACTCGACATTTGGCACCGGTGTTATGCACGAAAGCATCGACACATGGGCGCCTCAAGTCTGGACGCGGCCGTGGTTCGGTTGGGCGAATGGCTTGTTCGGGGAGCTGGTCCTAGCCATTGCGAAGGACGACAAGCAGCGGCACGCGGACGAGCGGCTTCTGAGCCGAAGCTGGCAATGAGCCACGTCCTTTGGCAGTGGCAGAACACGTGAGCTTGCGAAACCCACCAGCCATCTTCCAGTGTCTGCCACGCCACGATCGGGCACCACAATTGGACCGTTCTCGACTGGCTGGCCAGGCCTCGGCCTCCAGCTTTTCGAGGGTCGCAGGTCCCTAAGCGGTGGGGTGGGCTGTGCGTTTGGCTTGTCTCTCGCTTTCAACTGCCGGCATACGGCAGCATCTGGAAGAAGCAACACCTCACTGTTTTTTGCACGTCTCAGTCGCAAAGTTCTGGACTTTTTGGACCCTGGGATCTACGTCGCGACGATCAGGTCCAGCTGTCTCTCGGTTCAGGCGGGCCCCATTGTCTTGATCCGGCAATTCAGATGACAAAAAGAAAAGGATGAGAGGGAACAGATGAAAGAAGAAACTATCCAAAGCGGACTGGAATGTCGCTAGTGCTTAAATGTCTTGGAGCCGCGCTGGGCAAAGACGTCGGCTTCCGCAGTGAGGAATGATGCGCTCGGAGAGGCTGTCGTTCATTGTAAGTTTTATTTCGTGGTCGGGGCCGAAAAAGAAAAATTGAATGTATTTTTGTATTCTTTCTCAATCCTCGTTTGTTTCGTGGTCGGCGGCCACTTTCCTTCTGAGTGTGCTCCGTACTTCGTAGACATAGACGCAGCTTCCAAAACAGGCAAATAGGCAAGCACTAACACGACCATTGGCTGCCAAGCAAACGCTTGGTGGTTCCTTCCGTAAATCCTGCAGACCAGGTCTCTTTCGAAACCCGGTCGTTGTTTCTTCATCCAGCGGCTCCTGCCCAATCCTTGCCGAGTGCAACACACATCCCCCCCCCCCCCCCTTTTTTTTTCCAGTCGATCCTTTTTAAGTTCGATCCTTCAACTCTCAACTCTCAAGTCTCTCGTCTCTCGTCTCTGTCGTCTCACTTTCTCATGCAGCCGTTCGTCAAAATCGCCAAGAACCAACGCCCACCGCCACAGGCAGCCAAGCCTGACTCGGCCAGATTCTGGAATGCGCGCTAGTGCAGTCGCTTCACAAGCGCCCGTTCAGCCAGCGCCTGTGGCTACAGATCCATCCGTTGGACGAGTCTTTTCAAGGAGCTGGCAACCGTTGGAATGCATGCGCAACTGTCCCGCATTCCTCCTGCCTCTTGCCTTTTCTTCTCTCTCTCGACGTTTGCTTTGTTCTGCTATTTGCCGTCCCTTGTCTCTCATCGGCGTTGCCCTTTCCATCTGCCCCTTGAGACCCTGTCCCTGGATGTCTTTGTTGTTCCAACAAAAAGACGTGACTACAACGCCCAACACCATCAGTCAAAGGTCGTTTTATGTCTCTTGCGTGGGCAGCCACTCTCGCCCCTTGCTTTGTCCCCCAAGAACAAGGGTTGGCCCACGCGTTTGTCACGCTCCTGGTCGCTGGTCTTTATGATTTCGCCAATACAGACCAGACCAGCTTATTGAGTATTTTGGGAGCCGGGGCTGGCCATCCTGGGCTCAAAATTGCTGGCCCGTTTTGGGCGGAAGCGGCCCCTGCCTTTGACTCGCTCTCGACGACTTGGACCAAAACTCGCATGCGCCCTGACCCAGGCAAGATCTTCCGAACAACAACAAAGACCCTTGAGCCTGCAAGACCCTTTCTATGCCTGTTCCTGTATTCGTTCTGGATTCGGTGGCGTTCACGAGCCACGCTAACCCCTGAACACCTCCGGATGCGACTCGTCTTCGTCAACCGTCACCGATCGGCAGCCGCATCTCTACAAGACCAAGATCCACAATGGGACTTCCACGTTTGCTATTCAGGGCCTCTGGGCGTATCGCGCGAGCGTCTTGTCGTTGCGTGCAGGCGCAAAAATGCGCACCAAAAGTCCCAAATTACACGGTCTGGCCTGCTAGTGCGGTTTTTGAGTCCACTTGTCCTTCAAGTGAGACACTTGGCTCAACCTATTGAGGGACGTCAACATTCCGATGCCCGGCTGGCGGCCTGCGCAAAGCCGTCTGGATCTTTTGCTTTTTGCACGTCCTCTCGACGCGTGCTGCTTGCCCTATCACTTGGGCCTGATCTGCGGGGCCTCCCGGTGTCTCAATACTTGGTGGCCCAGCCTAGCTGTTGTGTCTCTATGTTGTACTTTCGCTACGTTTTGAGTCGATTTTTCGTCTTGCCTTTTTAAAAGATCGTCGATCCGTTTCCGTTCAAGTTCAGCCATCTCTGGAAATGCAGTCGTAAAAAAACACGAGCTTGGTATCTGAATTCGCTTGTTCGGGTCTCTTTTCGTCACTTTACACTTCTTTGCCCTACACTTTGTTCACATTCTTTCCGTGGCTGGCACCAATCCCTTCTTTCTTCACAAAGGTGAAAGCTGTTCACCGTACACAATCAACGCAAGCAAAAAAAGGACAACATCGTCTGGCACGTCTGGCCTCCCTCTTTTTGTGCTTTGTGTTCACATTCATTGTCCGTTTTTTAGAAATTTCTCGAGACATCCATGATGCTATAAAGACAGACCACCCTCCTTGTCTTTCTTTTCATGTTCATCATTCAAACCATCCTTTGCATGTTTACTTTGCTCAGTCAATAAACTCTCGGCAGTTTGCTATATCATCAGCAACATCAACACCAACACCCTTCAGCAAAGAGTCACTCACTCACTCCTGTGCATTCTCTCTCGTGCAACACAACAAGCACTCGACACCAAATTTCATGACCCATTGTGCTGGACACTTTCGGTCTCAGTAGAGTCTCTGCTTTTTATTCATACACCAAACACACCACACATTACCGACAGCCCAACACAAATTTCAAAATGAAGTCTGTTGCTCGCGTCGCTCTTGCTTCTACCCTGCTGGCTGCCACCGCCCAGGCCGCTTCCTATTCTCTGGTGGACAACTACAACAACACAAACTTCTTCTCTGGCTTTGAATTCTTCGACGCCCCAGACCCTACCCACGGTTTCGTGGAGTACGTCGACGCCCAAACAGCCAGCAAAAGTGGCCTTGCTGGCTACGTCAACAACATGGTCTACCTGGGCGCTGACCACAACACGGCGAACCCGGCGTCCGGCCGTCCTTCTACCCGCATCACCAGCAACAAGGGCTACGAAAAGGGTCTCTTTATTGCCGACATCCAGCACATGCCCGTCGGCTGCGGCGTCTGGCCTGCCTTCTGGACACTGGGCCCGAACTGGCCCGGTGGCGGTGAGATTGACATCATTGAGGGTGTCAACAGCCAGTCTACGGACGCCATCACACTGCACACCGCCCCGGGTTGCACCATGTCCAGCTCTGGTTCCTCCTCTGGCACCAAATTCAGTAACGGCGCCTCTACAGTTGACTGCGGTGCTAACGGTGGCTTTGAGGGTTGCTCGCTCTCCACAACAAACACCAATGCCTACGGCCCTGCCTTCAACGAGAACGGCGGTGGCGTCTACGTCATGGAGCTCACCTCACAGGCCATCTCTGTGTGGTTCTTTGCGCGGAACACCGCACAGGCTGCTAGCATCGTCTCTGATGCCACCCCCGACACGTCCACCTTTGGCACGCCCATGGCCAAGTTCACCGGCTGCGACATTGACCATTATTTCTCGGCACAGCAGATCGTCTTTGACACGACCTTCTGCGGCGACTGGGCCGGCAAGGTGTGGGATCAGGACTCTACCTGCGCGCCTCTTGCAAGCACGTGCGAAGCCTACGTCAAGCAGAACACCGCCGCATTCGTTGATGCCTACTGGCTGATCAACAGCGTCAAGGTCTTCCAAGCTGCCAGCACCGGTTCAACCAAGCGCCGGAGCCCGCCAAAGACGGAGCAGAAACAGAAGGAAGGCATTGTGCCTGTGCCGTTCATGGCATAGTCGCGCTCCATCTCCGACCCCTGCCCCCCCCCCCCCCCCCAACGTCCCCGTCCCCGTCCCTCCCCCAGCGGTAATAAAACAGCGCCCGGTTCTCAAGACAGATGGTAACCGTTCCCTAGAATCCCCATTCCCCATCATCACATCAAAAATCTTTCCCCAGCAATCTTCCCTTCATAATACCCTAGACCCTTTGCACTTTGCTTTCATGCGTTTTGGTTTCTGTACAAAAGTCACTCTGCGAGTGCTGTTTCTTTTCTCGCTTCAGATTTGTTGTGGCTTGCATACCCTTTGCATTTTCTCTCCCCGCGCTGAGAAACTTTCTGCCTTGGTTTTTTTATTGCGTTTTGGCAATACTTCTCTTTTGAGTACAAAGAGCATTTTGGTTTGGGTTGGCTTCTTTGTACACTTTTTGGCAGCAGGTTTTGTTGTCTTTGTCTTTTTTACGCGCCCCCTTTCACTTCTCTTGCCCCCCTTTTATTGCCTTTTGCCATTCACCACCCGCCGGCGTCGAGTGTTTGACACATTCGTGACTGCTTCCGAGTGCCCATTGATATATGGCCAATTTTCGCTTCTTTTGTACATATTAATTTTTATTCATATTTTCAATTTTCATATCCTGCATATGAAGTTCAAACCTAAACCATTCTCCATAATGCTTGCTTCTTCTCGCATGTGATACAACACGCAAACGGTACGTGTTTGGTGCAAGCCACAACAAAGTCACTTTCACGTGAATGTACAAAAACGTAATTACCCCATACAACCTGTCAAAAACCCACGTTTTTTTGAGCTGCCTCGAGCTGCATGCTCCCCTAGTACGACATACAAGATTGACGAAGCCGACTACGTCTCTTGGAACAAAGAACTCGATGGGATCTTTTCCAGATACGTCATGTAGTCTTTTTTTTAACACACATGGTCGGATCTCCCGAAACTTGCTCGTCTGCGCAGCCTTCCCATTGGGCGGCGGTAAAAGTCAACAACTCCCCAGTTCGGCCCATAGTCGCCCGTCTCGCACAGAAATGTTTCTCAGTCTAGTCGCAGTTGATCACATGCCCCCTCAAGGGAGCCGTTTATGATGTACTCTCCACCACTCGTTAGGCAAATGCAACAGTAAATTTGAGCAAAATAAGTCTGTGTTGGATTTTGTCTTGGTTTTCAAAATGATCTATATTTTGCTCCGACAGGAACGAAAAGACGAGAAGATGAGGCGATCAACAAATCCTGCCGAATACTCCATAGTGTATCAAATGTAGTAAAACCCTCCCCATATATGAAAAAAAAATTGGTAAAACTTGAGTTATTACACAAAGAGTCGAAGAAGGGGACACAGAAACGGTTCCAAGAAAGCAGCCAGAAAACAGGAACCGGTAAACAAATGTAAACAAGCAACACACAAACGCAATGTATGAATCGGCAAAAAAAAAGCCCAAAAAAGCAAAATGAAAAGAACAAAAGGTCGAAGTAGAAGTCAAAAGTATAAAAGTGCCAAAATTGTGACAACGCTGTGTGTGCAAGAAAAAGTCTGGACACACGGCCTAACGGGGGACTGTCTCGCGGAAGCAGTGTACCAGAAAGCTTGCGGGAAAGAGTTAAGAAGCGAATAACAAAATATGCAGCAACGAGGTTTTGAGGTATGGCGATTCAGGACCCTTTGTCCTAGGCACAATATCCTGGTGTGCCTCACCAATCTATCCCATGGGCCTTCTCCACGATGGGGAGTAAGGCGTCAAAGCAAAAGCAAATGAAAAATCGTCAACCTGCAAAGCGAGGTATATGTAATCGGAGGGCGAAGAAGGCACCGTCTGGTATTGTGGAAGATAGTCGTGGTATATAGATAGAAATATGTGACGGGCGAGAAAGGATGTGTGTTCGGTCGCAGCAGTCGTCGAGAGACGGGGGGTTGTCGAAATGCCCGAGAGAAGAAACGCGGTAGGTCGTCAAGATCGTATTAACGTGAACAATATAGGATGAGCGACACAGGTAGTGTGGAGCAAAAGCTGGCCACCCGTCTCTTAAAACTTGACTTTTTGGCCCGTCAGCTTGAACCAGGCGGCGCACAGTAGATCCTCCTTAAACCGCTCCCACAGCGAACGGTTGAGGTAGTAGCTAAGTTCACGGTAGTTGTACATCTCGCCCCAGCAATCGCGGCCCCATTCGCAGCCAGCCATGTTGACGAGGAAATCACGGTCATTCTGCTCGTAATGGAAACGTGTGTTGTTGCCATTCTCCGAGCAGGCGCCTTCGGGGAAGCTGTTGATCATGCGCTGGGGAAGGAAGGCCATGTGTTGGCGGATCCAAGGTTGTGCCGTGTAGAGCTGCTCCAGGGCATCCTGCTCCTTGTGCTCCCACTCCATGTGCTTTTGCTCGTAGGAAACAGGGTCCCACCACACGTCGAGCAGACGGTCCGTCCACTCGCTCTTGCGCACGAAGAAGGAGCCCAGGTTGAAGCCAGAGCAGTCCTGCGACAGAATGAAGTTGACCGAGTCTGCCTGGCCATTGCCGACTGTGCTCCGTGACACGTCGTCGAGGTATACGTCATTGAAGGGATGGGTGAGGTTGAGGGGATTGTACTCGTTGATGTCGCGGTAGATATGCTTTTCGAGGTCGTTGAAGATATGGTCCTGCAGTGAGTACGAGGGCTCCATGACAAATGTGTTGAGATCCAGCCACCAAAACCTGTAGGCGTTAGAACTAAGACTTGTCGGGTATGAAGCAAATCAATGTGGCGAGAAAAAGAGTGCGTGCTCACCATTCGGCCTTGGGATACTTCCGCATCGCCTGCCGGATAAAATCGACCTTCTCCCAGCTCTCACGCCACTCGTGAGCATAGCGTTTCTTCGTGCTCATGTCGACAATCTCGAGATCGTAGCCCCAGCGCGCGGCGTAGCGCTTCTTGTTTCGTGTACTGTCTCTCTCAATCGCCCACTCGCGCGCGCCCTTCCATTCCATGACACCACCGCCAACGTTTGCAGCCAGGATGATGACAAACTTCTCTCCACCGCCCAGCCATGCTGTTCTCCGCCAATAGTAGACAAGAGCTGCAGCAAGAATCACCATGTTAGCATTTTGGCCGAAATTGACACCGCTCAGAGCAGCACCGTCGGAGAAACACGTGCAGACAAAGGGGCACAACGGTTTAACACTCACGGGAATGGTAAAATATGTATATCGCGGCAAGTAACGCCAGCACGATGGCCCAGCGGATTCTCGTTGTGCGCCCCATGTGCGCAAAAAAGAGTTTCACGCGTCCGAGAAGCGACGACTTGCTAAATTCCCACCGCCCTCTTGGTTTGTCCTTGTCAGAGTACGATGAGGCGCGCGACGTCGGGGTGTTCGCGTTGAAGCGTGGTAAACTGCTCGAGAGTTGGCGCATGTGTCTGGTGAAGAAGCCTTGGTTCTGTGTGGCAAAGGATGGGTATTTGCTTGCGCCCGAATTGCGCGAATGTAGGGTTGAGCCGCCATTCGAGTCGCCGTACGACTTGGATGGGCTTGAACGACCGCTTCCGTTGATGTTCAGGCCAGGGCTGGACCAACCGCCGTCGGGGCTTGGAGAGGGACTCCGCGAAAGAGACATGTTGATGTTCGGCGTACCTAATCGAGGGGGGCAGAAAGAAACAGAACAGAGCAGAAGAAAAGGTTAGCCTTGTGTGTCCCTCCGGAAGCGTAAAAACATTACCGCGACCAGTAGCAGAGCGCAGGCGCAAACAGGAGCAGAGAAGCAGAGACAAGGGCCGGATTTGGCGCTGTTTCTCGTTGTGTCTCGTTTGTCTCTCGCTGTCTCTCGTTGTTTTGAGACAGTTGTGGTCGACTGGAATGTAGGTAACATACCGGGTATTGGTGAGAGGGGCGGTTGACGGGCATTCACGCCCAAGTGTTGCGACGAGTGACCGTCCAACGACAGCGGCGACGGAGGACCAATGCTCGATGAACGGCGGCGGTGCGTCCGTGGTCGGTCGCTGTAGGAAGAGGAGGACGCGGTGGAAAGTGTTGAAGAAGCCAGGTTGGTCGGTGTTATGTTCCACGTCACCAGAATGGCACTTGACAGGCCAAACTGATCACAAATGGAAAAGGGAGTAAGGGAAAGGAGATGGAACGGGGACAAAGGAAACGAGGAAGGACAAAATGATGATGAAAACTAAACCAGGGTAGGTAGGAACGAAAGCTCTCAATTCCAAAACGATCAGGGAAGGGTGGAGGGGATACTCGTATAGCGAGCGAAGGCGACTTGGTGAAGATGGTACGGATAAGGACACGAGTTTGGCGGGAGGACAAGAAAAGAAATCGTGCGCTGGAAAACAGGTGCCAAAATCGTTCCCCAATTTTTTTTCTCAACGTCTTGGACCCTGCGGTTTTGTTATTTTGGCACTAGGCACGGGCGAGTCGGTGCAATTGCCACTACCAACCCGTGTTCGTTTTGGAGGGACTCGTGTATCCGCTAGGAAGACTTTAGGGAGGTTTTAGGAGAATTGGCTGGCCGTTCGCAGGAGGCGATTTCAGCTCAACTGGTGCCGTCCTTGTCTCTGATCTGATCGGTAGATCGCCTGGATGGACGAGCAGGAGGGATAGGATGGTGGGTGGTGAGCTGTCAGTCAAGCGGTGGAGGTGACGAGCGTACTCGGTGGTGTAGTGTGGCGGTCAGGTAATTAGGCACGGTAAAACAGCCACGCTGTCGGGACAAGGGAACAGCTAAGAAAGGGATACGGAAACGGCAGACGCAGTCAGACAATGAGATGCATGGGAAGGATTAAGCCAGAGGGTCAAGCCAAGACGCAGGTGCAGAGGAGGTCCGGAGGCAGGATTGTTTGGGGGTCAGGGTCTCAGCCCGGGACAGAAAAGGGCTGAGCAGTGCGAAGAGCCTGTAAAGGAATTGTCTGGAGTCTGGCTGTTGCGTTCTCGTTTTCGGCGTGGTATTCGTGCGTCTCGTACTCCGTATCTCGTGGCTTTTTGTCGGGTTGGTGTGCAGCCTGATCTTCGTCGGTTGCGAGGCTAGTACGAAAAAATGGTCGAGTGTGCCAAAAGTCCGACAAAGGTGGCTGGCGGGGGACGTGATCAATACGAAAGGATGCGGGTGAAAATAACGAGTTGAAAGAAGAAAAGATGCAGATGGCTTGCGAAGTGGAAGCTCGTTGATGTTTTGGAAATCTCCTCTACGTGCATTTTGCTGCGTTCCTTCCCCCTTTTACAGTTTTCACCGGCTCGCTCCTTCCCTTTTATTGTTCAATCCTGCTCTTCCTTGTCGCAATTTGGGAGATGGAAGCACGTTGGGGCGTGTGTGTGACAGTGGTTCGTTCCTGCCAAAGGAGCAGCAAATGGGGGTGTGGAAACGCCAACATGTCGTTATCTCGCGCTATTTCGTACGGGCCTTTTATGTACTTCGTAGAGTGAATACTGGGCAGCTGTTCCGTGCTCCTATCCGTCTCCCCTCTCCCCTGTAAGGCTTTTCTCAGTTTTGCTCTCGATTTCCTGCTCTCTGGTTGGCTAGCCGTGGCAGTGCAAAAAGGAAAACATGCAACGAATTGCCCTCGACGATATTTTACGCACAGAAAGAACCGCCCGGCGATGGAGCATACATTTGCCGCCGTTGGTCGCTCTTGCCGCAAACGCTCCTGCATAGAATTACGGCGTATACGATTTGCGGTGGATGGAAATCATTGGCAGCTATGGCGGGTCCACTGGCATTCGCTCTTGTCTGGTCGGTGCTCATCGCCTTATGCAGCCCCCTATTTTCGCGTTCAGCGAATATTTCGCACCCATGTTTGTGCTCATCCATGTCTTGAGGTCGTTTTGGGGCGGCTTTTGGGAAGCTTTTTTATTTACCCTTCTCCTCGGAGCCCTGTCTGTTTTATTTCTTTCAGTGTCGTCTTCGAAGGGGCCTTTGCACGCCGGGCTGGCGTTTCTCCTAAAGCGGCGGCAGTAAGGCGAAGGGCCACCAGCTCGGTTCTTCAGATTGAAGTTTTGCTGGATTCAAGTCACTCAACACCGAACTATAATCGGACAGGGAAGGGCTTGTGTGGTTGTAGCGGCGAGGCGGTTTGTCCACCCAACTCTGTCCCTTTCCGTTCGTCTAACAGTGTCAACTAGTATGAAGTATTATCAAATTGAAAACGCGATCAGTTCGTTATCAGCCTTTCGTCTCTCTCCATCGCTCGGGCTCCATTATCCCACCCCTGCTAACAAAAAAAAAAAAAAAAAAAAAGAAAACAAAAAAAAAAAAAGAGGAGTGCCAGACTTTCTCGACCGTGTACGACATACGGAGTAATTACGTCGTATCAGGTACATTTAAATATCTAGCAATCTAGCCATCCGGCCTTGATGATGATCATCAGCTATCGCCGCTAGCTGACGAAAGGACAGGTAGTACTTTTCGTCGGTGTTTACCCTCTTGTTCGGCCTCTTTTTTTTGTTGTGTTCTGTTCCCTTTGTTCTTTTACCTCAGGCGGTCCAGAATATCTGCATTGCATCTTTTTGTATGCTGGTCCAGGCTCCACTCGGTTGGCGGAAGGGGAAATTGAAAGTGGATGTCGAATTATTGGCATAGAATTGGCAAACAAACACACAACACAACCATAACTGAGCCAAATCATGCACAGAAAATCACAGTGCCACACAAAGCTCTGGAACCGAACAGCGCATCAACGACTAACACTTGTATCTTGAGTGTTGAGCAGGAGATGGGGGAGGCGGAGGAGATCAAGAAAACGAGCTACAACAAGACACAGTAAGCAACATGACAACGTCTCGAGGAGGCCTTTTGCAGCCACTTCTTTTTTCGATCGACAATTCTGACAAGAGCGATAAAACAATAACTACAACGTACTACACACTGCTGCTGGCCGCACGCCTAAATGATCACGGGAAAAAGCCTCCGTCTCTGGCAATGTAGTTACTCGGTACAGATATGCTCATCTGTAAGTCGTATGGCGGTTTAGCCCCTGTGGAACTAGATGCCAATCCATATCTGCACAGCACAACAAAAGTGAGGATCCATTTGGCCCTGGCCGCCCAGGTCCTATCCTCACCAACTAAAGCTCTCCCTGCATCTTGAGCTTCCCCCCACTACGCAAGCAAAAAGGGGTAGAGATGAAGACGGGCAAGGGGCGTAGCGCCGCTTCGAGATTTTGACAAGTGACAAAATCATCGGAGCACAGAGCGCCCAGCCAATGAATGTGGCTATTTGGCTGCTCAATTTACAGAGTGCCACACAGTCAAAGGCTCAAAACCACCACAGAGGGAAAATAGAGTAGCAATGTGCGTAAAGACAAGTTGACCCGGCCAAGCCTTCACTAGCCAGGGGTAGGCTTCTCTCCTTTGTCACCCCTATTCCTAATTCTCTGCCTTTTTTATTCTTTCCTAAGCAGCCCCTTTCCTTCTTTTCCCTTTTTGATCAGCCGCTTAACGCCCCTGTATCGCGTCAGAGGCAGCACCAGCCGTGCCAAGAAGTCGAAAAAGGCCTACGTCCCACGAGGTAGCACAGGGATCTACATCGTATTACACCGTACGTAGTTAAAGACCTATCCAGCCTTTATCAATATCCCAAGCTGCTGCTACGGTTCACAACGCAAACAGAGCGACAGTATTTATTGCATTGTTTGAATATTAATCTTTAGCCAGTCCAATGCTCTTCTTTTCCAGAACGATGACCATAACACATCCGTTAGGTGGCAGGTTCTCATGAAAGAAAAGCGAGTTTCCTTAAAATACCATTCTAGACTACCTACGCGATGGGAACAGAGGTACAGAGACCGACAACAAAGACGCTCTAGTCAACTACGAGATCAACACCGCGTATCGCTGGCCGGAAAATCACACTTCGTAGGTCGTATTACTTGAGATCTTTGAGCCAAATCGTAGTGGGCTAGTTGGCCAATGTGTCGATCCCGTTGAGTCTTTCCAACATTCGCAAATCGAAACAAACTTTCTTCTAGTCGATCCTTCAAGTTGGCTAATGGAGGCAAAGCAAACGAACGTCAGAAAACTCAAGGTCTACAACACAACTGGGTATTCCTGGCCAGAAGGGATAAAAAAGCAAAAACAGGTTGTCGACGGCTTGCCCTAGTGGAAGAGTCCGTCGCATTCGATAAAAAGGGGGTTGAAATTAGGACCATATTTGGTCAGTAGAGATTTTGAAGGAAGTGATGCGATATTCTGGGCGATCGAAAGGCCCCAAGTGAAGAGATTTTTAGTCATTTGTCTTGACATTTTCTTGACATTTTCTTGACATTTTCTTGACATTTTCTCGGTTAAATTTTCTTGGTTAAAATGTAAGTTACAAAAACACAAAGGTACGAGGTAGAGTTTAGAACCAACAGCCACGAACGTGGAAGCTAACGGCGACGCTAAACTTCGACAGCCGATGACAGGTCATGTGACCGAATTGGTCTCAGAATTTGCCAACTGCAAGCCGGTGACCAATAAGCAAGACCAGGGCCCTGAAGATCTCTACATCCCACGGTGTAAACTTTTGGTGTGTGTCAGTGGCAGCAGAAAGTCTATGCCCAATAGCAGGTGGACTGCATCAGCCAATGACATCTAAACTAAATCAGGCGCAAACTGAAGCAAAGCTTGTGATATCGG